GTTTACCATCGGGTAGGTTGTTGTCACTGACCTCCACTGGGCGAGTGTAGGTTTTATCTAGCCCAGGTGAACTCTCTTTACTCCCTACGTTACGGAAGGAGTCGTAATGCAATGAAGACTTCGTCCAACCTGGGCTAGGTTTTACCATGAGCTCTCACTCTGGCAGTGCGGACACGACTGTCGGAACCTGGAAATTAAGGTCTCTGCAACTCTTCCGATGGGCCATGTACTCGACCTCTGCTGAGTGCTGGGTCGACAATCATAACGACCAGTGGCGTAGCCGGGGGGGCGCAAGCCCCCCATGAAACCTTGTCGCCCCCCAGTCGCCCCGCCCCCACTGAGATTTTGAGTTTCTAAAAAAATTATCATTTATCTACATGACGCCCCCCTATGAAATGTTCCACCCCCCCCCAGCGCCCCCCCCCCCCCCCCAACTGAAAAATTCCTGGCTACGCCACTGCATGATAATGACATCAGGTCAGGTTAGTCTGTATGCCACTTCTGGCGCTCCTGGAGAGTTGGCAAGTAGGATTTGACGATCCCGGACCAAAAGTGATCAGCGAGGACCTGGCTGTGCTTCCAGTGTCGTCGGTCAAGTAGATCCCTTGCAAGATAGACAACCTGAGGGAGAGACGCGTCATGCTGCCCCATCAGCAGAAGGTTTGGAGTGACTGGATCGGGATCTGCAACATGCGAGATGAGACATATATCCCAGAGGCTTGGATTTTTTTTTATTCCCTCGACTTCAATGAGCACGGTGCGTAGTACTGACTCAGTAACTGACTGCTCATTCAGGGCAACTCTCAGGCCATCTTTCACAGACTTGATCTCCTGTTCCCAGGTTCCTCCAAAGTGTGGAGCCTTCGGAGGGTTGAACACAAACTTGACATGGTGCTTGGTAAGCTCCTGCTGTAAGATGGGATCCGTGGCAGCAAAGGCGTCTCGTAGCTCATTATCACCTCCTTTGAAATTAGTGCCACAGTCGCACAGGATCTCGAATGGTTTCCCTCGTCTGGAGATGAACCATCAAGAATCCTAATAATTTAGGACAATGAAATACTGACTCACTGGTAGTATTGCGCATGCCTTCGTGAGGACAGTGAACGTTTAACCAATAAAACGGTAAAAGACACCAGATTTCATAGGAGCCAAAATTTCATTTGACACCGGAATAGTGTTTAAGACCAGCCAGGTGGTCTTTATCAACCGTTTTAAACTGGCCATGTGACGGCTCTCGACCAATAGGAAAGGGTGAACTGTCTTATAGTGGGGGGGGGGGGGGGCAATGTACTTCCGTTGGCATGTCATGTTAATTTATGGCAACCATTATAAATGTAATCTTATGAGTTCCGAGAACAAGAAAATTGATGTTGCCATTTTGTCCATTGACCTTTAGTGACCTTGACCTGAGGTCAAAGTTCATGGGTCAATTGCACCTAAAATTTGCCTTTCGGAAGGGTTTGCGAAGATTTTCGAGGCAAATGAGCACATATTGTATTTGATTGAGAGTTTCTCCATTATAATAAATGTTATTATTAATGTATTTATGGGTTTTGCTGAAGAAAACATGGGAAAATGTCATATTTGCCCGAAAAGGGCCGTGTTGTTTTGACCATCTCACGCAGATTCCGCCCCCGCCCCCCATGACCTCGGCCATCGAGTGATGAAAAATTATGAAACTCGGTACATGCATAGAACAACTAAACATGAACAAACCCAAGAAATTTCATGACTATAGGTCACAGGGTTTTGGACTTACGGCTAATAAATTATTCATAAGCACGTATGGTAATTCAAATGTGTACACTACGTATATGGGGAAATTCAGTTTTGACGGAGGGTAGCGCCGAAAATGTTTTGCTGCGCGGCAACATGTGGTTCGAATATTATGTTTTTGGTATCAAAAGATGTGCAAGACTCGAGGCTAAAACGTCAGGACAGCTCAGGCCGTGAAATAAATAATTTTATCGCGGAAAAAGTTGAAAGGGGGAAATCCGCCCCCCCCCCTTTTAGGGCCAAAATATGACCAACCCTTTAGTGCCTGGCATCTAAATATGAAATGTTGTAAAGTGTCCTCTGCAGTACCGCACTCACACAGGGCGTTTGTTGGTTGAGGAAAATCCCCACTTCTTCATGGTGCTTTTGATGCGTGCCACTCCAGAGCAGAGGTGATTTAAGCACCTCCAGGTCTTCCATCCTGCATCGGATCCTGTAGGTAAGGCTTCTGCAGGCTTGATTGGCATCTCATGTAGTGGGGGAGACGACACCAGCCTGGCCAACCCAGGAGGCACACACTTGGGTCTTAATAGCAGGGTTGATCGCTTTCAGGTGACTCACAGTGTAGCACTGCTGTGACTGGTCAAGAGCATCGGTCAACGTCTTCCCTTGGGGGACCGTTCCTTTGAAGACGTACTCTACTCTGCCATTGAATACTACAAAGAAACGATGGTTCTTCAGTAGGACACCAATAAACTGGGTAAGGGTCAGGTCTGCCGTCATGTCCAGGATCTTCTGAAGGAGTCGGCAACGGTTAACACTGTCAATAGCAGCTGTAAGATCAATTGGTTGGACCATCTTCTGGGATGTTTTAACTTACAAAAAATTGATGTTGCCATTTTTTCTGACCATTTTCTGATACCTTAATCTTATTTTCTATAATATACCCCAAAACGGGTTAAAATGCACACAATATGGTGTTAGAAATAGGAGATTAAGTATCCATTTATCCCTTTGGGGTTTTTAATCATGCTTCTTACACTAAGTAACTGCTCTGCATGCGTTTTTAAAGTCCTGTTAGTGTGTGGCATATAAACAGCTGAATTTTCCAGTAAAATATCAACGTATTTTTGACTAAATTTATTAACATGACATCTTTCACTGGAACATTACATACATGTACATACACTTTTAGATCTTACAGCAAACACATGTTCATCTGTCTAATGTTTATAAAGGAGTGTCCATGGCCGACCATACCAGCAGTACAAACTGCTGCAGTGTCAGAACTAAATTGAAGGATCCTCCTCCTCATCATCGTCGTCACTCGAGCAACGTGACAGGTTGGCATACAAATGCCTCGATGCCTCCTGCTGCGGCTGTCAGCTTGCAGGCAGCTCCCAACGCAGCAAAGGCAGAAAACACCTCAGCAGAACACTAATTTAGTGCCTGCCAGCAATTGAGCTTGCCCTTCACCGCAAACTTGCCCGTCTGCTCAGATCCAGTGAAAGCATGGAAGCCTGCATTTGTGGAGGCGCCGAGGGCATTGGCTATTATTGGTGCCAATGGTATTTCCTGTTTCTTAGTCCCAGTGCCACTTCAACCAACGAAACAAAGACAATTCAACCAACGAGCTGTTCATCTGATTAACACTGGGTTTTTTGGGGGGGGGGGTTCAAAACTGGGACTGTCATTCAGTCAACTTCCATATCCGATGACCAGAACATCAAAGTCCTGAATACTGAGCTTAGCGGAGTAGCCATAACATCTGTCTACAAACCACTCGGAAGCCCCTTCCTAATGCCACCGCCACAATCCACAAAACAGCCCAAGCTACGCATAATTATCGGGGATTTACAATGTAATAGCCACAGCAGCATTATTGGCTATCATTCCATCACAGACGTCGACGCTTTTGAATCGCCGGCCGAAGCAAGTCAACTGAGCCTTATTCACAATGCGAAACTGTCGAAGTTTTTCCACAGTGGAGGCTGGAGATGAAGTTTCAACCCTGCTCTAGCCCTTGTGAGCCACAACATCGCCTCACTTAGCAACAAGATGGTCCTTGACCCATTCCAAAGACCCGACATCGCCCTATTGGAATCAAAGTGACTGCTGCTGTCTCTTCGCAACAATTCCAATCCACCGCTGTTTCAACTTAGTAAGGCCAACTGTGAAGGCTTCACCAATGCGCTCAAACACCATCTAGCTGACATTGATCCAACCCCTATGACTCTGGTTTGTTGATGTGGTGGTGCAAGAACATCCCTTCGGGCTGCCGCACTGATTACAACCCAGGCTTAGCATCCCGTAGTGCTGAACTTTACAGGAAATACAAACGCATACTGTGTATGAAAACGACTCTCTTGCTGTCGATACCGTCTCATCTGGGGAGGAATTAATAACAGCCATATCAGAACAGCTTAAAAGCTTGTGGCAAACCCTTGTGGTAACCACCAATATGGCCAAGAAGCCAATATGCCCAAGAAGCCAATATGGCCTCCAAGCCTTGAGTATAATAAAAAAAAAAGCTCAGCCAAGTGAACAGCATTGTAACATCACCGCCAACCAGATAGCCCACAACAACTGCTATTAAATGGTAAAGTGCCACGTTCTCTTAATAAGCGACCGAAACCCAAGCTCCGCCAGAAAGACCCCGCCATTGACCTAATTGGCTTCATCAAATCCTTCTCTGCTAATGAACTTGTGACTGGCATAAATAAAGAACAGGAAATCAACCAAACTGGATAACATTTTCACCACAGAACTGAAACATCTTGGACCAAACGCCTCAAATTGGTTACTCCAGCTCATCAACACCTGCCTCGCCACACAAACAATACCTAAAGTGTGTCAAAAGTCGAAGGTCATCGCCCTCCTAAAACCCGGGAAAGACCCAGCTTCTAAACCTCACTCAGTACATTAAGGACTGCTTCCATCAGAAAAAAATAGATCACCGGCGCTGTCTTTGTTGATCTTACAGCTGCTTTTGACAGTGTTAACCGTTGCTAACTCCTTCAGAAGATCCTGGACATGAAGGCAGACCTGACCCTTACCCAGTTTATTGGTGTCCTACTGAAGAACCATCGTTTCTTTGTAGTATTCAATGGCAGAGTAGTGTACGTCGTCAAAGGAACGGTCCCCCAAGGGAAGACGTTGACCGATGCTCTTGACCAGTCACAGCAGTGCTACACTGTGAGTCACCTGAAAGCGATCAACCCTGCTATTAAGACCCAAGTGTGTGCCTCCTGGGTTGGCCAGGCTGGTGTCGTCTCCCCCACTACATGAGATGCCAATCAAGCCTGCAGAAGCCTTACCTACAGGATCCAATGCAGGATGGAAGACCTGGAGGTGCTTAAATCACCTCCGCTCTGGAGTGTCTGGCATCAAAAGCACCATGAAGAAGTGGGGATTTTCCTCAACCGACAAACGCCCTGTGTGAGTGCGGTACTGCAGAGGACACTTTACAACATTTCATATTAAGATGCCAGGCACTAATAAAGGGTTGGTCATATTTTGGCCCTAAAAGGGGGGGGGGCGGATTTTCCCCTTTCAACTTTTTCCGCGATACTCTTGAAAAATTATTTATTTCACGGCCTGAGCTGTCCTGACTTTTAGCCTCGAGTCTTGCACATCTTTTGATACCAAAAACATAAAATTCGAACCACAGGTTGCCGCGCAGCAAAACATTTTCGGCGCTACCCTCCGTCAAAACCGAATTTCCCCATATACGTAGTGTACACATTTGAATTACCATACGTGATTATGAATAATTAATTAGCCGTAATTCCAAAACCCTGTGACCTATAGTCATGAAATTTCTTGGGTTTGTTCATGTTAAGTTGTTCTATGCATGTACTGAGTTTCATAATTTTTCGTCACTCGATGGCCGAGGTCATGGGGGGGGGGGCGCAATCTTCGTGAGATGGTCAAAACAACACGGCCCTTTTCGGGCACAAGTGACATTTTCCCATGTTTTCTTCTGCAAAATCCATAAATACATTAATAATAACATTTATTATAATGGGAAAACTGTCAACCAAATTGAATATGTGCTCACTTGCCTCGAAAATCTTCCAAACCCTTCCGAAAGGCAAATTTTAGGTGAAAATGACCCATGAACTTTGACCTCAGGTCAAGGTCACTAAAGGTCAATGGAAAAAATGGCAACATCAATTTTCTTGTTCTCAGGACTCATAAGATTACATTTATAATGGTTGCCATAAATTAACATGAAATTTCAACGGGAACCCAAATCTTTACATTGGCCCCCCTACTATTAATAGCATTAAGGATTTTAAACCAAAAAGGCCCCCAATGTCATAAAGCTGCCTGGGTCATACTGTTCCGATTGTTCCTTATTTTAAACATGAATTAACGTTTTAAATTTGATTGTTTTTTTTTTAAATTCTAGTGGAATTTTCCATTCGTCTCGCTGGCAGTAGTAGCTATCTGCAGGGCCGAGTGGAGGTGTACGTCGACGGAGTGTGGGGAACAGTTTGCGATGACAACTGGGATCTGTCAGACGCCATGGTAGTGTGTCGACAGCTGGGCTACGGAAATGCCCTCTTTGCATATTCACGGGCGGACAGGTACTTTGGACGAGGCAGCGGACGCATCAAGTACGACAACGTCAATTGTCGGGGTGATGAAAGCATGTTACACCTTTGTCCGTTGTCCACCGATGTCCATTGCGGATATTTTGATGTTGCTGGTGTGGTCTGCTCTTCACCCAGCGCCAGCCCCACTCTTTCATGTAAATTTCAAATTTCTTTTTTACTTTTTTTTAAGGGGTTGGGTTGGGGTGGGAAAATAAGACTATTCGTGTTGTTTTGTCCTTTCTTTGCAAAGAATGTTCAAGAGTCCACTTCTGGGATTCTCTTACCTATTAAACCTTACATTTGCATATTTCTCAAGCCTAAGGCTCCCAATCGCTAGCGTTTTATACCAAAGTAAATAGCGCCCTCAGCGCCCAGGCCCTATCCGTACCCGTACCCGCATCAGTCTGGTACCCTCGTCATCTTTTTCTCTAGCGCTCACATGAGTGACACGTAGAATTTTCATGCTCCCGAAGGATTTGCTTTTTCCTTCCTCATATTGCTAAGTATTGATTAAAGTAACATTAAAATTAGTTGTACACAAAGTGTGTGTCGTCTTTTCATAATTTGTGAAGAAAAATTACCACTCCTTGGTTACATTTTTGCCGTTTTCGTTACTGGAAAGTCGACAGTTCTATCGTTTCATTGTAATGGCGGAGTCACGCAAGACTATATATGCTCGGCATTACCCTGCAAAATTATGTCACGTGCGGCGCTTGTCGCCGCATTAAACCCCGGGCACGTGTGGACGCTCATGATTTGCGCCCAGGTTGCCGTTCATGCACCCCAGAAAATGCCTGCGAGGTATGCCATACTTGGGGAGAAGACGAATGGGACGTAGTTTCGGCTTTGCTTAATTCTCGGTCGCCATCGGTGGACTCGGCAGTGAGTAATTCTCCCGGGTCATCACAACGCAAACGATCGACCAAGAAAAAATCGGGTACACCTAAGTCGCTTACCAGGGACACGCTTTCTGGGCCTCTGGCCCCCAGTAAGAATACCCAACATGCTGGAGCTGCGCCTTCCGGGCCTCCAGTCCCCATGTGTACTTCAGACAGCAACCGACCAAGCTACCCACCTACCAGAGACACGCTTTCCGGGCCTCTGGCCTCCGGTACACCGGGCGCAGGGAATAGGGCTACGCCTGTCGGGCCTCTAGCCCCTACTCCCGGTAAAAAGAAAAGCAAAAAATCAGACCACGCTGCCGGGTCCGGAGCTATGCCTTCCAGGCCTCTAGCCTCCGGTGCCCCGGAGAGGGATAACCGGGTGGCTCCTTCCGGACCCCTAGTCTCGAATTCCGGCAAAGCGTCCGGTAAGAAAGTGGGCTGAACCGGGGATGAGCAGACATCCTCCGGGCCCTCAGCCTCTGTTGCCAGAAATATTATGCCTGACCGGGATGACCTGAATATTTCCCAGGATACAGATCTGACCCTGATGGAAACCGGATCGCCCGGGACTCACCGGAGCCGGAGAGATACGGTTTCGAAGGGTAAGCATCGCCATCACAAGAGGCCTCGGCGCCGTAATTATAGCTCCAGTTCCTCTTCAGTAGGGTCCGTCTCAAGCTATTCTTGGGGCTCCCAACATTCGCCTTACCGGAGCTCTCGCTCCAACAGCATAAAACATATGTTGTTACAGGGTTTCCAGCAGTTATCGGCCACGATAACATCGTTGGTTCCTAAACCGACTGGGCAAACCTCGGTCAGCGAACCTGTTACTGTTACACAGGATCACAGGATCACGAGTCAGGTGATCAGATGTCAGTTTTTCCCTCCGATAATTTATCTAAGGATTCTGACAACTGTCCATCATGTCCCCGTGCAGCCATAGACACACAATCGGCTTCAGCGCTGAGGGACACAAAGATCAACCCACTGAGCCCGAGTGCCGCGGGGAGGGCGAAATGCCCAAACTCCCCACGGTTGTCTCGTCCAATGACGAGTCTGCCATTTCGTTACCTCTTTCCCCCTCTGACCAAAGGTTACGGGTATTGATGAAAGACATGGTCAGAGTGCTCAACATATCGCCGGCTGACGAACCGACACCAGATGAAAAAGGCCACCGATCTTACAAAAAACGTACGGGCCCGGCTGACTCCCAGACTTGGGCCCTTTCCTGTCAAGACAAGTGGGTACAGGACAACGTAAGGCAGGGGTATGCATTGGAATTCACAAGCACAACCCCATCGGGCTTTACTCCACTTCCAGCTCCTATTCCAACAGACAAGCAAAAACGCCTTGCAATGGAAAGCGAAATTCAAACCCTACTCCAGAAACAGGCAGTTCACCTGGTTCAATGGTTCAAAAATTATATATTTCCAACGATTTTGTTCAACAAATTGACTTCTTGTTTTTCGAAACACCCCTCTATAGCTATATTATAGTATGGCCCTGTCGCGAATAGTCATAAAAAAAATCCTTATATGTGGCATGCGTGTCACTCGTACTGCGCGAGTGGTGTGGAATGTAGCTGTGCCGGTGTGGTGTGAATTTAGGACAATGAAATACTGACTCACTGGTAGTATTGCGCATGCCTTCGTGAGGACAGTGAACGTTTAACCAATAAAACGGTAAAAGACACCAGATTTCATAGGAGCCAAAATTTCATTTGACACCGGAATAGTGTTTAAGACCAGCCAGGTGGTCTTTATCAACCGTTTTAAACTGGCCATGTGAATTCACAAGCACAACCCCATCGGGCTTTACTCCACTTCCAGCTCCTATTCCAACAGACAAGCAAAAACGCCTTGCAATGGAAAGCGAAATTCAAACCCTACTCCAGAAACAGGCAGTTCACCTGGTTCAATGGGGAGATACCAGGCACAGATTCCACTTGTCATTCTTCCTACAAACAAAGAAGAACCCTGGCGAGTGGCGTCCCATACTGAATCTGAAACCCTTAAACAGGTATATTTGGCCAAAAAAATTCAGGCTGGAGACGCTGCGTACAGTCCTCGAGGCTCTACCGGTACCAGCTTGGGCATCCTCACTAGATTTGCAGGATGCATACGTACATGTTCCAATTTCAAAGGGCCATGTTCACTTCCTTCGGTTTCAGTACGACGGAAAAACTTACGAGTTCAGTTGCCTTCCGTTCAGCCTTTTCACGGTAAAGGTGTTTACCAGAATAGCAAAAACTGTTGCATCAATCCTGCAAAAAAGGAACATTCAGATTTTTGTTTACCTCGATGATTGGCTCGTCGTGGGCTCAACCAGAGAGGAGACTCTAAGGGCAATCAATCTAACGCAAGAACTAGCATTTCGGTTGGGTTTTCTGATAAATCAGAAAAAGTCTCATCTGGAACATTCCACACAGCCAGTCTATTTAGGGGCCGAGTTGGATCTCCTGCAGAGCGTGGCTGTGCCTACACAGGAAAGAATTCTCAACCTAATAGAGTGTGTAACACTTTTTCTACCTGCCAAAATAGCCCCAGCCATAGCATGGTTACGTCTTCTGGGGCTCATGGCCAGTATGGTGGACATAGTCCCGTGGTGCAGACTAAGGATGCGATCCATTCAGCTCCATCTCCTTGCCCACTATTGGCCAAAACTGCATTCAATAACTCATCTCGTACCGGTCGTTCAAGATATTCAAACACATCTACGTTGGTGGCTGAATCCGTCCAACCTCAACATAGGTCTGTCTTTCATTCCAACCAAACCGATGCTTCCAACCATGGCTGGGGGCGCATCTCGTCACAGAATCAGTTGCGGGGAATTGGAACCCAGACGAGAGGATCCTCCATATCAACGTTCTCGAGCTGCTGGCTGTCAGGAAAGCACTGATCCACTTCCAGCGCACGATAAAGGGTCAGGCAGTGCTAGTAAAGTCCGACAACTCCACCATTGTCTCCTACATAAACCGTCAAGGAGGCACACGGTACCCTAAGCTTTGTCTTCACACCTAGGATCTCCTAATGTGGTGCACCATGAACGACATAATGTTGACGGCACTTCACATTGCTGGCAAGCTGAACCTCATGGCAGATGCTCTCTCCAGGGGAAAAATAATCCTGACAGAATGGACACTACACCCAACGGTAGTCCAGAACATTTTCCAAAGGCTCGATCGCTCGGACATAGATCTGTTTCTGTCAGCCCTCAACAACCACCTGCCGGTATATTGCGCACGAAGTCCCGATCCCCATGCGTGGGCAATGGGCGCCCTTTCCATAAGTTGGGCAAACATGTTCAGATACGCATATCCACCGATCTTTCTCCTTCCGAAGGTACTGAGGAAGACAGAGTCGGAATATTGCAAAATAATCCTCATCGCCCCATTCTGGCCCCGTCAGCCTTATTCAGAGGATAGTCAATCTTCTGATTACACACCAATAATACTCTCTCAGAGGGTAGATCTTCTTTCAACCCCGCTCCAAAATCCCACTGCCAGAGCCGAGACACTTCACCTGACCTGTTGGCTATTGTCGAGTAGTCTCTCCGAACAGCAGGACTTTCGGCAAACGCCGTCATTGCCGCCCAAAGTCGTAGGGCCTCAACACGACAGTCATATAACAGCCGACTACAACATTATTATAAATGGTGCGGAGACAAGTCTATTGATCCATCCACAGCATCTGTAGGACAAATCAGTGATTTCCTCATGGAACGGTTTACGCAAGGCCTCTCCGTTTCCACAGTTCGAGGCTACCATTCTGCAATAGCAGCAGTTCATACAGGTTTTTCTGATGGATCAACAGTTTCAAACAGCATCCTCGATTAGTCCTTTCTTGGGACTTGGGTTCAGTTCTGTGGGCATTGACAAAGCAGCCATATGAGCCCCTTGCTAATGCCTCTCTGCTAAACTTGACATTAAAAACAGTTTTCCTGATAGCAGCGGCTACAGCCAGGAGACGCAGTGAGTTGCATGCCCTTAATTACCATAGAACAGGGTCATGTACGATGGGAACCACATGGATTTCGACTGATTCCTCATAAAATGTTTCTGGTAAAGAATCAGTCATCAACTTTCCAACCATCTGATATTTTTATTCCGGAGATCTCTTCAGTCCGAGATGACAAACTCTGGTGTCCGGTTCGGGCCCTCAAGTGGTATTGCTCCCGAACCTAGCCCCTCAGGGGTGAGACCACCCAGTTGTTCATTACAACAACTCTGAGCCTTATTCAGGGGCATCACGGGACACGATCTCCCGATGGACTCTTCTGTACCAGATTGGCCTACACGTTCAGAGAACACTGCCCATGCTCATGACACAAGAGCATTAACGACATCATGGGCATTTTTGAAAGGCGTTCCTCTGCCAAACATTCTACAGGCAGCTAGCTGTTTGAAAAACGCCATCAACCTTCAGCTCGTGCTACCTGAAGGACGTCCTATGTTCAGAAGGTCAGACGGGACAACTAGCCCTCTAGGCTGCCATCTCATCGCAACTGTCAGGACAGGTTGACTACCTCCAACACCTGGTCGACTAGAACTCCATATACCTGTAGTAGGTGAGTCCTTTTCCACATACTTTGGTAATGTTTACCTATCAATTTTGGTGAGGACACGAGGGGACATACCAATCTAATCCAGGTAGTGCTTAGAACAGTATAGTACCTATATGGCGGCCTCGCCCTAGCCCTCCTCCTATAGATGGTGCAAATCTATGCAAATGTAAGGTTTAACAGGTAAGTGAGTCCCAGAAGTGCACTCCCTCAAATCAAAGGTGATTTTGAGTCCACGAGGGGACGATACTTACCTGTTAAACCTCCCACCCTCCTTCCCCACTTGGGGCTCAGCTGGCAGGGATTACTGAGTGCTCGTGATAGAGATACAGAAGACAAGGGTACCAGACTGACGTGGGTACGGAGGGCCTTGGCGCTGAGGGCGCTATTTACTGTGGTATAAAATGCTAGCGATTGGGAGCCTTAAGCTAGAGAAATATGCAAATATAAGGTTTAACAGGTATTAGTATCGTCCCCTCGTACCGTGGACTCACAAATCACCTTTGATATGGGGGAGTTACGTTGTTAAAAAATACTTCATTGTGATTTTGTTTACAGACCTGCAGGGAGATTGAGTATCTAACTTGATTGTTCACATGCGATACTTACGTTTGAATAGTTTTGTTCAAAGTGTATTGTACACAATATAATATGACTTGTTTCAATATATTGAATTTGAAATAAGGCCCCCCCAAAAAATATTTGGTCTCTGGTCAGACCAAAGTTCCGGAATTGACGCGGCCACGCGGCTTTTTTTTTTTTTTTTTTCCTTTTTTTTTTTTTTTCTTCAGCTTGGATTGTACAGACAAGGTGGGTACTATCTTGCTCTTTTGGTGTCCTCATGTACATTGGTGGCCTCCATAATTTGCCTTGGTGCTTTCGATCATTTGCCTTGGTGCAATTTCCCATTCCTTGGTGCTCTTTGGTAAAAAAAAATTGAGGAGGTGCGGAAATAGAGGGCGCTGTTTGAGCTACCGCGGAACATTTTGGAAAAAAAAAAGATCGACGCGCATGCTTAAAATCGACGCGCGCGCTGACCAGAGACCGACTTATTTTTTTTTTTAGCCTAAGACTTAACACGTATACTGTATACCATGATTGCAGCTCAATGCAGAATTCAATGTTTGCAAGATGGTATATAGCTTGGCAAGTGCTAAAGTCGAGGCCGAGGACGAGTAAACATTTCATGTAGTGTTTTCGTTTTGAAGTAGCTCACTTAAGAAAAAAAATTACTCATTGTTTCTCCATGACAGTTTAGAGTAGTGTTGTAGTACTCGTAGACATACATGTACTTGAGTACATTTCTTTAGGCCACGCCCAGTCGCCACTGTGCATGTGGGTAACAGCATACAAGTACATGTATGCGTCTTTTCAATGCCACACTGCACATTTCTGCCACACACATCATACGTGTACAAGTGCCGCTCACATACAGTCGTGTTTTACAATACTGTCCAGGACGATGCTGCGTTTCCCTTTGTCCCTGTTATATAACACTCTCTCATAGACTATAAGCACATAACCATACGATAGAGGACCATTTTCAACAAAAGACTCAACACCGAGGACTGAAAGGATCTGTTGTTCTCCCTTTGTGTGTCAGTCCTCGCTCGTTATGTAGAGCACATTACAAGCATGTTAGTTGGACATAAATGAGGGCTATATCTGAACAAATTGGAGAAGGGTGTGTGTGTGTGGGGGGGGGGGGGGGTTATTGCTAACAGAGAGACAGTTCTTTATTCCTGAATCCACCAAAATCTATGAAAATCAGATATTGCTATTTTAAAAGGTGAGAGGTGAGTGTGTTTTTTTTTTACAACCTTTCTTCTCCAATTCTAGCCAATTCCAGTATACGTCTTGTCGGCGGTGTGGACGCTTTTCAAGGTAGAGTGGAGGTTTACGTAGACGGCGCTTGGGGAACAGTCTGTGACAACGAATGGGACATCAACGATGCAAGTGTAGTGTGCCGTCAGCTGGGCTACACCGGTGCCATGTCAGCGACTGGCTCGGCATCTTTTGGCGTCAGATCAGTCCGGATAGCTTTAGACTATGTACGTTGCACAGGACTGGAGAGTCGGTTGCAGGACTGCGAGTCAAAAATTAGCACTAACGGTTGCATCAACGACGAGGATGCTGGGGTCGTCTGTGCAAGTTAGTAATGAGAATGATGATAACTTGAATGAGCGCTAAGCGAGGGTATTCACTGTTGCCATTCTTTTCATCAATGTTTTCCTGATACAAAACTTTCTCTTCATGAACACATCTACAATGTGAAACATGTAACAAACAATGTAATATTTTTATGTATGCCAAGGGAACCCGTTTTTCGATTTTAATTGGAAAACCGACTTTTTGACGTTTCCAACGAAGTGTCAAATTTTCTTATGGTTTGTCCCACAAAATTTCGATTTTGTAACAATTTTTCCACAATACGTGATTTGAATTAAAATCACAAGTGTAGATTTAATCTCTTTCACCAGTCATTAATGGAGGGTTTCTACCCAGCTGCCCACTAGCACATGGCTGGCCGGGTATGGATAGCCAGCCACATGAACGATCCAATGGATAAAATTCAACATGTGCGATTTTTGGAGGTTTTAAATTTAGTTTTACAAAATGCATTGGTTTAAAAGTCACGATAATTACCTTGAGGCTGGTGAAGGGAGCATAAAATGATACATTTCGCTGGCAGTTGTTGGAAGAAAAAACAAGTATGCCTGATTTTTCCCATGTACGTTAATGGACTTTGGTTGTATCATGGACATGAATGAATCACATTAGTTGAAGAGGGGGGTATTGTGCACCCTCGGAAATCAACTTCTAATCAACGTCTATAGATAAAAACAAATGCGTAGAAAATGATTTGCTGTGTTAAAAATTTCAAAAAATGTCCTACGTATTGTTTTTATGCAAATTAGTGCCGCCACTATCGAAACATGTATTTTTCACTATATCACAGCCAAAATTGCAGATAACTGAACGAATTAAGTGTCTAAACCCATGTTTTCAAGGTCAGAGATCACAATAAATCTATTCTGGAAGTGACCACATGTATCTGTGGCATAGGAATATGCAAATTAATGCCGCTATACCAGAAAATCATGTTTTTGGCATATCAATCTCGGCCAATATAGCACATTACTACACAAGTACCAGGTGTCTAAAGCCATGTTTTGAGGGTCAGATATCATTAGGAGACCATTCACGATGTAGCTATGTGTGTCTTTGGCAGGTAAATATGTAAATTCTAAAGTGCCGATTATCAGAAATTTGATTTTTGGCCTATATCTCAGACAGTATAGCACATTACTACACAAGTAAGGTGTCTTAAGCCATGTTTTGAGGGTCAGGTATCATTAGAAGACCATTCACGAAGTAACTATGTGTGTCCTTGACAGGTAAATATGTAAATTCTAAAGTGCCGATTTATCAGAAATTTGATTTTTAGCTAATATCTCAGCCAATATTGCAGCTAATGTTGACAGATGGGTTTCTGATAAGCAGTAATGATCAAAGTTGATCTTTTATGCCATCATACTCAAAATAAACTGTAATATTGGCTGAAAGTGAATAAGATATTGGCTGAAAATCAAATTTCTGATAATCGGCACTTTAGAATTTATGTATTTACATGCCAAGGACACACATAGATTGTAATGATACCTGACTTTCAAAACATAGGTTTAAACACCTTACTTGTGTAGTTATGTGCAATATTGGCCGAGATATTGGCTAAAAATCAAATTTCTGATAAACCGGGCACTTTAGAATGTACATATTTACCTGGCTTGGACACACATAGTTACTTTGTGAATCTTCTAATGATACCTGACCCTCAAAACATGGGTTTAGACACCTTACTTATGTAGTTATGTGCTATATGTGCCGAGATATGCCAAAAACATGATATTCTGTTATTAACGGCACTAATTTGCATATTCCTATGCAACAGACACATGTGGTCACTTCCAGAATAGTTTTATTGTGATCTCTGACCTTGAAAACATGGGTTTAGACACGTAATTCGTTCAGTTTTATCTGCAATATTTGCTGAGATATAGTAAACAAGTCAGGTGTGTTTACAAACACAAATGCCCCGCAACCGTGACTGTTCCCATGACATAACACCACTCTTTTAACATCAACTTACATGTACCTTGGTCACATGGAACATTCATTGACAGCATTAGTGTCTTCTGTAGGTTTTATATGAATTAATCCCTAATCCCTATAATCTCAGAATAAATACAAGATTTCTATTGTTTTAGCCACTGTGAACTTGACCCTTGACCTTTTTGCCCCAAATTCAATAGGCTTCTTAGGATTACCAAGAACAATCCACAAACCAAATTTGAAGTTCATATGTTAAGTATTTCTCAAGTTATCGCGCTGACAAGATTTCTATTGTTTTAGCCACTGTGAACTTGACACTTGACCTTTTGACCCCAAATGCAATAGGCTTCTTAGGATTGCCAAGAACAATCCACAAACCAAATTTGAAGTTCACATGTAAAGTATTTCTCAAGTTATTGCGCTGACAAGATTTCTATTGTTTTAGCCACTGTGAACTTGACCTTTGGCCTTTTGGCCCGAAATGCAAAAGGCTTCTTAGGATTGCCAAAAACAATCCACAAACCAAATTTGAAGTTCACATGTAAAGTATTTCTCAAGTTATCGCGCTGACAAGATTTCTATTGTTTTAGCCACTGTGAACTTGACCTTTGGCCTTTTGGCCCCAAATGCGAAAGGCTTCTTAGGATTACCAAGAACAATCCACAAACCAAATTTGAAGTTCATATGTTAAGTATTTCTCAAGTTATCGCGCTGACAAGATTTGTCCGGACACACACACCCACACACCCACACACTCTCAAATGTGTATCCTTGTGGAGACATTCCTTTGTTCTCGTGTAGTAAAGTGTTCAATTTTGAAAGTGAAGTTTCAAAATGCTCTTATTTTAACCAGAATTAGTTTCCTTGGCTGAAATTTGGACTTAATATCCCTTTTCTAAAACTCTTTCATTTGCGACATATCAACCCACCTTGGAAATTCCTAGTTTTTGAGTAAAACCCATATATCTATTTCGTGAAAACCTTGTGGAGACCTATTCATCTATAGAAATTGCCCTGTGGAGACCTTTACAATGTTTTGTTCCCTATTGTGTGTGTGTCTCCACAAGGATACGAATTTGTAGTCACCCATACTTGTTTCACATGACTAGTGTGGACTTTCCATTGCTTTCGTGTAGTTAAGAAAAACCAGTGAAAAAACTCATTTTTCTCAAACTGTGAAAACTCTTTCAACCCAATTTTTTTTCTATGATTCCCTTTAGTGTTTCTCTTCATTCTGCTACAGATAAACCTAACCCAAAAATGCCTCTAAACCTGTTTTCCAGAAATGGGGAAACACTGTGTGGACGTGGGGTAAGTCCACACAACGTCGGTGCTACCAACATTATGTGGACGTCTTTTGTTCGGAAGTCCACACTGCGTATGTAAGACAAACTCACCCACCCACCCACACACACACCCACCCACCCACCCACGGAAGGACAAGGCGGAAACAGTATGCCCCTTCGGCTTCGCCGCGGGGCATAAAAATAGATTTTGGGTAATGGCGGCACTAATTTGCATCAGAACAAAACATGGGACATTTTTTAAAATTTTAATATAGCAAATCGTTTTCTACGCATTTTTTTCTGATCTAAAGACGTCAATCAAAATTTGATTTCCAAGGGTGTACCCCCTTCTTCCCACTAAACTACATGGATGGTGCCCTTGTCTTTCGGACTTTTTCCTCAACGTTCTCAAGTAAGAAGTTAACTTTTTTGTTGATTAGTCCATTACTCTCACTGTAATTCAGGCTTGTAAATTTTTTTATGAAAACACTGAGCATTTTTCTCATTGTAAAATTTACAGGAGGCGATGTCCAGAAAGTGTGCATGAAGTCAAAAATTATATGTTTCCAACGATTTTGTTCAACATATTGACTTCTTGTTTTTCGAAACACCCCTCTAGCTATATTATAGTATGGCCCTGTTGCAAATAGTCATAAAAAAATCCTTACATGAGATTTGGCATGCGTGTCACGCGTACTGCGCGGTGTGGTGTGGAATGTAGCTGTGTGCCGGTGTGGTGTGAATAATAGGACAATGAAATACTGACTCACTGGTAGTATTGCGCATGCCTTCGTGAGGACAGTGAACGTTTAACCAATAAAACGGTAAAAGTCACCAGATTTCATTGGAACCCAAATTTCATTTGATACCAGAATAGTGTTTAAGACCAGCCAGGTGGTCTTTATCAACCGTTTTAAACCGGCCATGTGACGGGCTCTCGAACAATAGGAAAGGGTAAACTGTCTTAGTGTATGAATTAGCATTAAGCATTTTAAACCGAAAAGGCCCCCAAAGTCATACAGTTGCCTGGGTCATACTGTTCTGATTGTTCCTTATTTTAAACATGAATTAACATGTTAGATTTGATTGTTTTTGTTATTAAATTCTAGTGGAATTCCCAATACGTCTCGCTGGCAGTAGTAGCTCTCTGCAGGGCCGAGTGGAGGTGTACGTCGACGGAGTGTGGGGAACAGTTTGCAATGACAACTGGGATCTGTCAGACGCCATGGTAGTGTGTCGACAGCTGGGCTACGGAAATGCCCTCTTTGCAGTTTCACAGGCGAACATCCACTATGGACGAGGCAGCGGACGCATCAAGTACGACGACGTCAATTGTCGGGGTGATGAAAGCATGTTAAACCTTTGTCCGTTGTCCACCGATGTCCGTTGCGGATCTTTTGATGTTGCTGGTGTGGTCTGCTCTTCACCCGGCGCCAGCCCCACTCTTTCATGTAAATTTCAAATTTCTTTTTAAATTTTTTAAGGGGTTGGGGTGGGGTGGGGGGATCGAGATAAGACTATTCTTGTTGTTTTGTCCTTTCTTTGTAAAGAATGTTCTTCAAGAGTTACATTGATAAAAAACTTTCTAGTGATTTTGTTTACAGACCCGCAGGGAGATTGAGTATCTAACTTGATTGTTCACATGCGATACTAACGTTAGAATAGTTTTTTTCAAAGTGTATTGTACACAACATAATTTGACTTGTTTCAATATATTGAATTTGAAATAAGACTTAACACATAAACTGTATACCATGATTGCAGCTCAATGCAGAATTCAATGTTTGCAAGATGGTATATAAGCTCAGCAAGTGCTAAAGTCGAGGCCGAGGTCGAGTAAACATTTCATGTAGTGTCTTCGTTTTGAAGTAGCTCACTTAAAAATTGCTCATTGTTTCTCCATGACAGTTTAGAGTAGTGTTGTAGTACTCGTAGGCATACTTGAGTACATTTCTTCGGGCCACGCCCAGTCAAGTATGCATCTTTTCAATGCCACACTGCACATTCCTGCCACACACATCAGACACAAGTGCCGCTCACATACAGTCGTGTTTACTATACTCTCCAGGACGATGCTGTGTTTCCCTTGGTTCCTGTTATATAACACTCTCCCATAGACTATAAGCACATAACTGTATGATAGAGGACCATTTTCAACAAAAGACTCAACACCGAGGACTGAAAGGATCTGTTGTTCTCCTTTTTGTGTCGTTCCTCGGGGGTTATGTAGAACACATACAAGCATGTTGGACATGAATGAGGGCTATATCTGAACAAATTGGAGAAGGGGTGTGGGGTTATTGGGACGTCAAAACTACTGCTAACAGAGAGACAGTTCGTTACTCCTGTTTCCACCAAAATCTATGAAAATCAGATATTGCTATTTTAAAAGGTGAGAGGTGAGTGTGTTTTTTTTTTTACAACCTTTCTTCTCCAATTCTAGCCAATTCCAGTATACGTCTTGTCGGCGGTGTGGACGCTTTTCAAGGTAGAGTGGAGGTTTACGTAGACGGCGCTTGGGGAACAGTCTGTGATAACGAATGGGACATCAACGATGCAAGTGTAGTGTGCCGTCAGCTGGGCTACACCGGTGCCATGTCAGCGACTGGCTCGGGATCTTTTGGCGTCAGATCAGTCCGGATAGCTTTAGACTATGTACGTTGCACAGGACGGGAGAGTCGGTTGCAGGACTGCGAGTCAAAAATTAGCACTAACGATTGCATCAACGACGAGGATGCTGGGGTCGTCTGTGCAAGTTAGTACTGAGAATGATGATACAGTAGATTCCCGTTATAGCGCTCTCAAAGGGACCGAACGGAACCGAGTGTTATAACCGCACAGCGCTGTAACCGATGTACATGTACATGTACAAATACATGTACACATGTACATGTACTGTATAAAATACATGTATGTACATGTACACACATACACGTACATGTATGTATGACTGTACGGGTCGGACTATACATATACATGTAACATGTAAAGCCTGTGATTCTCTGTTGGACACCTCCATCAAAATCATATTGTTCGTTTCAAAATGGGGAAAATGAATTCTGTTGCCACATACACAAAATAATAAAACATTTCTGTTTAAAGTTGAATAAAACAGTTGAGAAAATCATGGAATCTACGGAGTTATTTTTAATTTGAATTTTGCCGCATAAAATATGAAAGTTTACAAAACATGCATAACCTATGTTCTTATTCCTCCATGCTATAACTGAACAGAAGGATTTTTGTTTGAACATTGGAACAATTTTTAGGGCCGAATGTGTCGCTAAACCAACGCAAAAAAATCTACGAAAAAAAATCTACGAAGTCTTGAACGACCATGGACTCTGGAGCAGACCGACTAGGGTTGAATTTTTCCTGAGCTGCTTGCAGCTAGCATTTCATACCGGTATTTCCATCTTCCAACTTCACCAAAAACATCTCAAATTAACAGCTGGAAAACTTTATACATTTAAAACGATTTTACCAACGAATCTGGAAAACGTTATCCCTAATTCTCTCTTGCAGCGACGAATCAGAAAACCGTACAACACACTAGCTTCATGCACACACAACACAATCCCACTGTACTGTATGCAAAACGCAAACATGTGCTCGCGACTCGACTGCGCTGGGCGGAAGTTGCGCTATGAGCATGTGGCCTCCATTCCAGGCGCTCATTCTTGCAGCAGGAATACAGTGTGGCTGAGAAGTTAGCCTTGACCAAGGCTATCAGCTTGTTCCCATACGAGCTTGTTCCCTCTACCGCACACCGCGCGCGCCGCGACACAATCACTAGCTGTACTATACCGTTAGCCTCAACGACCCTTGCGTGTGCTTTGTGTGCATGTACGTACGCCCCACACACACTTCCGCAAACAGCCGTACAATAAGTCGAAACGGAAGATAGCCTTGACGCAACCGTGGCGAATTCCTTATGTATTTCTTTATAGTTTCGACCGAAATCGGCCGAAAATTTCTGATGCGCATATATTACACGATATCCAATCAAAGCCCGTAAACTTTGACCCGCGACATACATATTCATGACCCACAAATTACTGCATACACAACGTACATGTATGTTCACTCAAACCATGGTATGTCCAGGCATGGAGGAATAAGAACACTTATTCCTCCATGGTCCAGGTATTTCAATCCCATTTTAAACCATTTCTCCAGTTTTATTACAAACAAATGAAATATGCCTCTATATGAGTGAACAATTGTTCAAAATGATACTATTTCCCAATGTATTGCGAATTGGACAGTTCAAGACAGTCCGCCGACGTTTTGTCGGTGCAACAGCGTACACATCACGCCGCTACCTGCCCGTGCTATTCTGACAGCGAATGTAGGGAACAGGTCAACTCGGACCCAAGTCAAATCATACCCATTTTATCGAATGCAGGTTAACTCGTATCTATAAGCACCCGTATGAATTAACTGCAAGAAACGAGCTATTGACTTTGGGATGGAAATATACGAAACTGTCAGGTACATGGTGAAAAAAAAACTCTCCCTGAATTCGTACCATGTGTAAATTACATCTCATACGTACGACACATGTATTTTAACGCGTACGTATGAATCCTATATCGTACCTACGACATACGTACGAGATGTAAGTCGTAGATGTAAATCGCACGAGATACAAGTCGTTCTCACAAGATATGTTGTATGTACGACATAATCGACAAACAAGTCGAACATACGAGTTACAATTCCTATTTTGTACACACGAGATATTAAGTCGTACTTATATACGACTTTGTCGTATGTGACATATATCGTACCCTGTCGAATCGACTTATGCACGACATATATGTCGTACCGGCACCTGTCGACATTATGTCATATGTTTGATATGTCATACCCTGTCGACATATACGTCGTACCCTGTCGATGATATTAGTCGTACCTTGTCGAAATATGTCGTACCCTGTCGATATATAGTCGTACATACGACATATAACTTATAAGTTGTTCATACAAGTTAAAATCAGTCTTACAGAATAAGTTTGCTGAGGGGAAGATATTTTTTCCCATATCCCCTTGACAGCTTAGAAGAAATACCCCCCCCCAAAAAAAAAAGTCAGCGGTAGATATACTCAAAAGTGTGAGCGCTTTTTTTGCCGCTGAACGTGAAAGCGCAGCGTGTCTTACTGCATGGCGCCAGCCGGGCCGGTGCCTACAGTGGACGGCCCCAACGTGGCCTCTGTGCATGGTGACATGTTTTTGCCGGTGTGCGGTTTTGTACCGTTTGCCGTTTTTTTGAAGGTGTAATTTTTCATCCTTTTCATTTAATTTTCGACCCAAACTATGTGTAACTTTATAAATATTATTCTACTATTATTTAAGATTTTAAGGGGGTGTTTTACAATAATTATTGTTACCACAGGCCATCTGGTTTATAAACCTTTGGTCGTATTATGCAATGCAATAAATATTCATTTTTTTGACAGCCGTTATCCAATGAGAGAAGACTATTTACCATAGCGCGTACTAATTATCATATTCAGCATACACGGTTGCGTCAAGGCTATCTTCCGCCTCCACTTACTGTACGGCTGTTTGCGGAAGTGTGTGTGGGGCGTACGTACATGCACACAAAGCACACGCAAGGGTCGTTGGGGCTAACGGTATAGTACAACATTGTGTCGCGGTGTGCGGTAGCGGGAACAAGCTCATATGGGAACAAGCTGATAGCCTTGGTCAAGGCTACTGGAAGTGTAAAGTCGGCCTTACAATATGAGTGTACAAATGTACAACACAGTGTGCAGAAGGCTAGTCACTGACCACGTTAGTTATTGCATTGTGAAACGGTTTTCGTTTTTGTGCTTATTCAAACTGCGACACGTATCCCCGGACGGACATGTTACGTTTTTTTCACATCCCACCCAAAACATGACATTAATAATCATGAACAATTTGTTGAAAAAAAATCATGGGTTTCGGACAAACTGTTCTAAACTTTCTTGGATCTTAAACTTAATTGGAGACATAAAAAACATCCAATTTTTCGGAGCAGGGGAACTGTAATTCCGTTTTGACTTCGGAGATGGGAGCAGGGGACCATCGAAAGTCCTTGGAGTGGGAAAAAATGCCCGAATTTTTCAAGGGCCAAGACCTCATATGAATCAAAACGCGAACTTTGAAAGAAAATTCAAGATATTTTTTTTTGAAAGAAGTGACTAATAAAACGGGAACAAATATCCTAGAGCCAAGGGGTAAATCGATGTCCGTCTCGTTAATGAAATAAATGTATTTAGTACATGTATAAGATTATGAAGTTTCAATACGGTGAAAAACACAAAACAAACGATGCACATTTCAAATCCAGTCCCTACCTCGTCCCCAGGGTGTCGAGCAGTACGCGCCCACCACTACCTGCTCTCTCACCCTGGTATTGGATCATTTGCATGTACAAGATTTTTTGCACACGTATGCAAATGAGGAACAGTGTGGTGCCTGGATATGCGTTACACATTAGCGTTTGTTTTTGTATGCGGTGTCTGGGGTAAAAACAGAGTCAATTCGTAGCAGCGCGAGCACGGCGTGAGTTACGAAAACACGATTTTTGAAAACAAACTGTTACGATCTTATCGAGACAACATACAGTATCATATTTCATATTAATATGAGCAAATTGGAAAGGAAATTAGTATTTTCGAGAAGACGTGGACGAATGATCACGAAAACACGTACTGCACGTTGTGAATATATAGCACCAAGTACACGATAAAAATCCATTACTAGCCTATTGCGGTATCCAATCAGGATACAGGAAGAAAGTTTCCTATCCAGGGTTTACTATTGGAAACACGGTTGGAAATAAAGTAAGCACTGGGGACGAGGTTGATCCAGTCCCTATAATGGCCGGGGTTTTTGCCTACAGAAGACGCGTGCATCATCGACCATACACCGTCTGTACCCGGACCCGTTGGATATGCCCTGAACAATACACGCATATCGGCACGTACAGTACAGTATGTACATGTACCGTACGTACAGCCACTGTGTGTGTGATGATGGACTGCGCGCGTTGTACATGTACATCTAGTGGGTAGCATAAAATGGTACGACAGTAGAGCGCGTAATGAATATGCATGACTATGACGTCACTAGAAGCTCATGAGTAATATATCACGCACGGTACGCGTAATTTTTTTTCCTAGGAGGGTTAGGGGCAATGTCATGAATAATTCAGTTTTTCCTTTGAATCATTGCAAGACTTAGGTTCTCATTCTATTTTCCCCTTAATTTAAAATTATCTCAGTGATAAATTTGGAGAAGAAAAATAGTTGATGAAAATGAGCAGCGACGACGTGGATTCGAACCAGGGATCTTTGTATCATCTCGCTATCCACTAGGCTACTGTATGGTAGCTCGACGACAACCGTTCTTTAAATGCTTTAATGTATTGTAACTAGTTGAGTAACTAACAACAATGCTGTTGATGTCATTGTCCGTTCTCATGGATAAACGTGAATTATTCATGACATTGCCCCTAACCCTCCTAGGAATAAAAGTTACGCGCACGGTACTGATAGATATACATAGATGCACACTGTATGTGCTGCATCCCACTTACCGATGATATCACATTTAACAAGTCCTCTTTCTACTGTCGCGCCGCCACCCTCTAGTGTCGTCCCACTTACCGATTATATCACATTGAACAAGTCCTCTTTCTACTGTCGCGCCGCTACCCTCTCGTGTCGCCCCACTTGATGATCATCGGTAAGTGGGGCAACAGTAGAGAGTGGCGGCGCGACAGTAGAAAGAGGACTTGTTAAAGGGAATATACATCATTTGCTTTTGCTGTAATTTTCAGAAATGGATGGAATTGGGGAGTTGGAAATATATAGCAAATATAGTTACACTGACTTTTTTGAGGTTTTGGGTTCAAAAATGCTATAAAAACCAGGAAAAACAATCATTTTCGTGTAGTCTGGTTCCCTGACTCCATTTAAGAAGAAACAGAGCAGTTTACATACATTGGGGAAACGGTAAGGTCAGGGAACCAGTCTAGCTGGCTTGTACCCGTTCATAGGTGTGTAATCGATTGCAAACAAGTGCGATGGTCAATTGGGGCCAGTATTTGAAAAAAAGCCAGTTTTTTCCAACGCTGGTCGGCCGATCAGCGTTGGAAATTGATACAAAAATACCACTTTTCTTAAAAATGACAGTATACCAGGTGCCATGATTTTACAGGATGCTTTACACTGTCATTCACTAACAGTCCAGCAAGGTATTTCAAAATGATTTGGTAGTTTTATTTTTTGATGTTTGCAAATGTTGTATTTTCCCTTTAAATGTGATATCATCGGTAAGTGGGACGACACTAGAGGGTGGCGGCGCGACAGTAGAAAGAGGACTTGTTAAATGTGATATCATCGGTAAGTGGGACGACACTAGAGGGTGGCGGCGCGACAGTAGAAAGAGGATTTGTTCAATGTGATAACATCGGTAAGTGGGACGACACTAGAGGGTGGCGGCGCGACAGTAGAAAGAGGACTTGTTAAATGTGATATCATCGGTAAGTGGGATGCAGCACATACAGTGTGCATCTACATGTACATGTACATGTATATCTATCAGTACCGTGCGTGATATATTACTCATGAGCTTCTAGTGACGTCATAGTCATGCATATCCATTACGCGTCTACTGTCGTACCATTTTATGCTACCCATCTAGTGTGTGCGACCACGTGGCGTCAGTGGGCAGACTGCGCCGCTCCTTGCGGTTTTCGTCAAATCTGCGAAGAATCTGACACTCCAAGGTGAATAGCGTTATACAGGAATCATTTTACATGTTTTATATTGTTCCTGGGTCCTAAAATAGTGAGCGCTATATCCCGAAAAGCGTTGTAAACGGGAGCGCTGTAACCGCAGGAAAATGTACACAATGAATGGGAGCGCAGTCGGGGAAATGAAAAATGAGCGTTATATCGGCAGGAGCGTTATATCAGGGCGCGCTGTAATGGGAATCTACTGTAACTTGAATGAGCACTAAGCAAGATTAGTCACTGTTGCCGCACTTTTTATCAATCTTTGCCTGATACAAAACTTTCTCTTCATGAACACATCTAAAATGTGAAACATATTACGAATGATGTAATATTTTTAAGTACGCCAAGAAAACCTGTTTTTCGATTTTAATCAGAAAGCCGACTTTTTGACGTTTCCAACGAAGTATCCAATTTTTTTATGATTTGTCCCTCAAAATTTGTTTTTGTAATGATTTTTCCACAATATGTGATTTTATTTAAATATAAATAATGAGTGTAGATTTAATCTCTTTCACCAGTCGTAAATGGAAGATTTCTACCAAGCTGCCCTCTAGCACATGGCCGGCCGGGTATGGTTAGCCAGCCACATTAACGATCTAATGGATAAAATCCAACATGATGTGCGAATTCCAGAGGTTTCAAATTTAGTTGTACAAAATGCATTGGTTTAAAAGTCATGATAATTACCTTGAGGCTGGCGAAGGGTGCGTAAATGATACATTTCGCTGGCAGTTGTTTAAAAAAAAAACCAATTGTGTCTGATTTTTCCCACGTACATTAATGGACATTGGTTACAGGAATGGTGCCCTTGTCTTTCGGATGTTTTCCTCAACGTTCTCAAGTAAGAAGTTAATTTTTTTGTTGATAAGTCCATCACTCTAACCGGAATTCAGGCTTTTAAATTTTGTATGAAAACACTGAACATGTTTCTTATTGTAAAATTTACAGGATGCGATGTCCAGAAATTGGGCATGAAGTCCAAAATTATGTATTTCCAACGATTTTGTTCAACAAATTTACTTCGTGTTTTTCAAAACAAATCTAGCTATATTATAATATGGCCCTGTCAGCGGCGGCGGAACAGGTTTGAAACTGGGGGGGGGGGGGGGGGGGGGGGGCAGCACCCAAAAGGGGCACTTGCAAACCAAAAGGGGCACTTGCAAACCCGTGCTGAAATGTCGCCACGTTTTTTTTCACCAGACACTTGGCCTCCTTAAAACCAAATAGTGTGGGGGGGGGGGCCTGGTACCATCTTCCAACATAGAAGGCGCTCTTCAAAACCAATGATTATATGCTAAACATACATTATGTGCCCATTTTCAGGGCGTCTTGTATGGGTTTTGGGACTTGGTTTTCATATTCCTCGTTTATATCAAAAATATCTCTACCATTATTGGAAAATGGTTACTTCTAAGAAATAGTAAGATACTTTAAGGGCATTTTTGATTTATCTCGAGGGGACACTTAAATGCTCGAGGGGGCACATTGATGGCCGCAAAAGGGGCACTTGGGAAAATCTGGGGGGGGGGGGGGCAAACGCCCCCCCCCCGGTTCCGCCACCCCTGGGCCCTATCGCAAATAGTCATAAAAAAATCCTTATATGTCGCATGCGTGTCACGCATACTACGCGAGTGGTGTGGAATGTAGATGTGTGCCGGTGTGGTGTGAATTTAGGACAATGAAATACTGACTCACCGGTAGTATTGCGCATGCCTTCGTGAGGACGGGGTCCGCTCATAAGTCCGACGCCTCATAGGTCCGACGCCTCATGAGTCCGACAAAATCGCATTCCCTAACCAAATAAAGGCCCATAAGTCCGACGCCTCATAGGTCCGACGCCTCATAAGTCCGACGCCTCATAGGTCCGACGCCTCATAGCTCCGACGCCTCGTAAGTCCGACGAATTAAACGCCTCGTTTTTCTGTTGTCGGACTTATGAGGCGTCGGACTTATGAGGCGTCGGACCTATGAGGCGGAATAAATAAATTTTATGCCTCATAAGGCCGACGCCTCATAAGTCCGAAATTTCGGACTAATGAGGCGTCGGACCTATGAGGCGTCGGACTTATGATACGGCCCCGTGAGAACAGTGAACGTTTAACCAATAAAACGGTAAAAGGCACCAGATTTCATGAGAGCCCAAATTTCATTTGACACCGGAATAGTGTTTAAGACCAGCCAGGTGTCTTTATCAACCGTTTTAAACCGGCCATGTGACAGGCTCTCGAACAATAGGAAAGGGTAAACTGTCTTAGTGTATGAATTAGCATTAAGGATTTTAAACCGAAAAGGCCCCCAATGTCATACAGTGGCCTGGGTCATACTGTTCCGATTGATCCTTATTTTAAACATGAATTAACATGTTAAATTTGATTGTTTTGTTTTTAAATACTAGTGGAATTCCCCATACGTCTCGTTGACGGTAGTAGCCATCTGGAGGGCCGAGTGGAGGTGTATGTCGACGGATCGTGGGGAACAGTTTGCGATGACCTATGGGATCTGTCAGACGCCACAGTGGTGTGTCGACAGCTGGGCTACGGAAATGCCCTCTACGCTCGTTCTTCAGCGTACTTTGGACAGGGCAGCGGACGCATCAAGTACGACGACGTCAATTGTCGGGGTGATGAAAGCATGTTACACCTTTGTCCGTTGTCGACCAACAAATATTGCAGACACACTGAAGATGCTGGTGTGGTCTGCTCAGCACCCAGGCCCACTCTGTCATGTAAATTTCAAACTTCTTTTTTACTTTTTTTTTAAGGGGTTGGGGTAGGGTGTGTGGGGGGGGGGGAGATAAGACTGTTCCTGTTGTTTTGTCCTTTCTTCATAATTATGACTTATTATTAAGTCATAATTATGACTTATATCTCATAATAATGACTTATATTTTATAACTATGACTTAGTATTAAGTCGTAATTACGACTTAGGATATCTCATAATTATAACTTAATACTAAGTCATTATTATTACATATAAGTCATAACAATGACTTAATAATAAGTCACAATTATGAGATATAAGTCATGATTATGAGATATAAGTCATTATTATGACAGTTCTTTTTTTTTTAGTTTGTATTAGTCCCTTTAATGCTTCCGTAATCTCTTAAGCTTCCTCTTTAATAACCGTCACTGCCTTCTTTCAATCCAATTCCCTTCTGTCATTCTTAAAACAGACACCACCGTAATTCGTCTAGTCGGCGGTACCAGCATTCATGAGGGCCGAGTGGAAGTGTTGCTCAACGGCGATTGGGGAACCGTCTGTGACGATGGATGGGGCCTGAACGATGCCAAAGTGGTGTGTCGTCAGCTAGACTTCACTGGTGCGTTATCGGCTCATTCATTGGCGCATTTCGGCCAGGGAACGGTCCCGATAGCCATGAGTGAAGTACGGTGCACAGGAAGTGAGAGCAGGCTGACGGACTGTTCCTTCCAGACAAGTCACAACTGCGACCATCATGAGGATGCTGGGGTCATCTGTATAGGTAAGACTAAAGGTTCTTGTGCTGGGCTGTCAAAGCCTAGCTGACAGACGTACTGTTTTTGCTTTGTCCTTCTGCGTGTGTGTTTGTGCGCAGTGTTGTAGTAGAGAAATCCCAAGTACCGAGTACTGCCAAGTACTTAGGTTACCGAGTATGTGTGCGAGTACGAGTACTTGTACTTCCGAGCACAAGAACAGGTCTCTGAGTACTAGGACTGTTACTTCCAAGTACGAGTAATAGTACTTGTATTCTGAGTACGAGTATAAGAACATTTCCGAAAACGGCCATGCAGCAAATGGTTCATTGGGCCTAATTTGACCAGGCCCAGTGAGATTGATATATACAACCCACTCATCGCTAGCTGTTAAATGTGTTTGTCCAATCGTACACAGAGAAAAATCAGGAAACTTTGATTTCTCTGCAAGCCAATTGTTATCAATTGCAAAGAAAATGTGGACTACCTAAAAACAGTTTTTGAAAGAAACCCAGTTCTTTCCAACGCTGGTCGGCTGACCAGTAAGGCATTTCATGATAATTTGGTAGTTTTGTTTTTGTATGTTTGCAAATGTTGTATATTCCCTCAAACAATGCCTCACACATGAAATAGAGAGGCTAGCTGTTACTATAGACCCCCCCCCCAAAAAAATACATCTTACATATTCATGAGCAAGAGCTGAATTCTTACTGATCTATTCTGATGACATTTTTTTGTAAATCCTCTTCATCTCATTACGTGAAATTCCCTTTAGCCAAAAACCCTGGATTCTTCTCACCAGTTTCACTACTTTGACCCCTACCAGCTGTAGGGTCCTTAGGGTCAGTGACCATTAGCTGTGGTAATTGCCCTATAAATCACAGCGTATGCATTGGCCATCTGGCATGAAAAGTATGAACAATGGAGGTAGAATTAGAAAAACGTCTAACTGTTTCTTATCCTTGCTCGAGATATATTCATTCGATTTTTATGATTCAAAGTTGCTTGCATAATAACTTTGACACTGTGTCCATTACTTTACAGTATAAACAACAACCTAGTAGATTCCTGTAGATATTTTTGGTCAGTAAACTCACAGGCAGTGGTGCCATAAACCACCTGTCCACACCTCGTAACCCTTACTCCCAAGGGGGTGTGTAAAATCCTATTAGAATTGGAAGACTGGGGACTGTTAGGGGTAGTTCAGTCAGATTTAGAAGGTCCTGTTGAAAACTGCTGGTCCCAAACCTTTGAGTACAGACCCGAGTTTGTCATAAGCAAACTCGGGTCTGGTTCTAATGGGTAATTCACGTAATGTTCTTCTATCCCAAATCCCATAGACTTTGTACACGTTTTGTCTCGTGGGCACTTTGGGCATAAAACAAAGTCATATGACATTGAAACTTAACATAGTAAAAAGGCACATAGCAAAGGTCTTTGGTAAAGATAGATGCAGTAATGACGTCATCATGGAACATATGTGACGTCATCTTAAAGATGCAAACTTTAAGCCTTTATATATCTTATGAACGGTTAGTCCGATTGGGTTGAAACTGGGTATAGGTAGACCAGGACGTGTTATAGATGATTATGTAGGTGACATCATCATGTGATTTAATATAGATTTTTGAACTTTTGAAGACTTTTGCCATATCTCATGAACGCAAAAAGCTGAATTCAAAATTCTTTTTGCATTGTGTTTGTTGGGCAATAGGTAGATGTACACACTTTTTCAAAATGTTTGACATCATGGTGACGTCATCAAAGATGCAATTTTTTTTTTTACACATATAAGGGAGAGTCCGATCGTCATGAAACTTGGTGGGCCTAGTAAGAAAATAATACTAGTACACAAAACCTGAAATGACGTCATAATGATGTCATCGGTTATTTTTTATGATTTTTTCTTAAATATGTACAATTTTATTCGCTTACAAAATTTAACACTTTGAGTCATCCGATTGGCTTCAAACTTGGTACAGATCAAAACCACAATAGTCATTCATACCTAGCATCAACATTTTCACCCTTACTCTCCAGGGTATTTTGGCTAGAAACCCTGCCAAACGCAGCAACATGCGACACTTGTCTAAGTGACAAGCCTGCCCGGTGTAGCAAGATCAGGATACAACTGGATACAACTGTGGCATTGTTCAATGGAACCAGCTCTCAGAAACGGCCATTTATGCACTGGCCGGTGATTTCCTGCGGATAAGGCGCGCGGCGGATAAGGCGCAGGGTCCTTATTCACAAAGCACCCGTAAATGTTTGCGTTGCGGGGACCCGTAAGTGGATGTTAAGGGCACGTAAGACTTGCGTTAAGTGGTATTCACGAAGCACCCTTAGAGTTCCCTTAGTGGACCCGCATGTTGCGGGCACCCGCAACTAATTGGTTGAACATTAAAAAAAAAAAACATGCCAAGACATTTTATCCCATTTTAGAGAACTTGCTCGTTGTAAAAATGACAGGCAGATTCGATTAAAGATTAACTTGTCTTTGTTTTCTTAGGAAACAATCAACACCAATCAAGCATGTCTTTAAGAGCATGTTCTTCCACTCATTTAAAGAAATAAATGAATCACTAAAATTTACCAATGCTTTCAGAAGTTATGCATGTGTTACAAACGTAGCCCATTTTTATAGCTGTCCTTAAATGTCATTGGAAGCTATTGAGTTAATAGTGAGAATCATATTACAGACAAACTTTAAAATGCCAACAAGACTTTAAAGGAAACATGCAGTGGAAATTCAGCCCATCTTGTTCTCTTACACATTATTATGTGTCGCAACAATACATACAGGATCGTAATACTTGTTTTCGTTGGAAGTGACAAGAGAGTGGTAGTTTTTCAATTGGTAGCAAATCCTTTCATCAAAACAATCGCATGTAATGGGCGCTATTTTGCTTTTGACGCACAAGGAACTCCTTGTCAAAAGTGCATATGAACAGTACAAACATAACTCCTTCAAAGTTACCCACAAAAAAAGCTTGGAAAAAAACTAGTGGCGACTGCTAGTGTCCAAACAAGCTGTTTAACATGATAAACAAGTAAAAAGTGGAACTTACTGCAAGAAAATAGAAACAAGTGTGATATATATTTGTACTCAAAGCTGTAGAGACACTTCTGTTCTGCTTTGAATGAGATCACGCTTTGGCTCATGAATATGGAAAGTTTCAAATAGCATAAAAATTGAAATGTTGAAATTTCTCCCTTGTAGTAACAAAAGAAGATTGAAAGTCATAGTTACATGGCAAGAAAGCTGTTTTAAATCTATTTAAGTCATACAAATCCTTTTGCAGGTTCCCTTTAATAATTGAACTCAAGACAGAAACCACTGTCAGAATGTGTGCTTTCAATATATAAGAAACAAGTTAGCTCTATTTGTTTTAAATATTGATAGTGATTTTTGTATCCTTTCCCATGCTCTTGTTCATTCAGTGGAGGTGGGAAAGTCCACGTTTCATTGTACTCAATGGGTGTTCAGTTTGCATCACGTGATGAGTGGTAAACAAGTTTGTGATCGTTTTATTGAAATAGACATAACTTCGGATTAGACTGTGCAATTTAGGTGAAATGTTCACACTTAAAATCCCATAAGATGTACTTCGTCCCATAAAAAAACAAAGGGCGGCAGTCGCTTCCCAAAAGTGGAGGACATACCTATTACGGCATGGAGCGGGCCCCGAAATTTTTTGGTTTCTAGATGCTTAATCTGTGGTGCGATCCGAGGCCATTTCTGAGCACTCAAACCACTTTTGTGAGCAAAAGATCATCTTATAACATCATTTTTTGAGTTTGGAGTCATTGAATCAGCTTCTATAGAATCATTATGTAGGCTACAATTTTTATTCGGGGATAGAAAAAGTGTGTGTGTGGGGGGGGGGGGGGGGGGCAACGATATGATATCCGCCACTTAAAAAAAAAAAAAGTGGGGGGAGGACTTGTCCCCCACCGATTGACGCCCATGAAAATGGAACGCGCCAAATATTTTGAACACATTTTTCAAATTCGGTCACTTTCTTTTTAACTCATCCTATAGTTGGTTCAACCGGTCACGGAAGATGAACCGGCACGTCAAATCAGTTCGTAGATCCAAAATACATGCCAAGAGTGCCGCCATTGTGACAATCGAGATGATCCACGCAAGTTGTGGTGTGCTTGCGGGACGTCTGGAGGTCCCGCAAATTTACGGGTGGTTTACGGGCACACACAGATTTAAGGGGGCTTCGTGAATAACCCGCAAGTGCTTAAGTGAGGGTTGCGGGGAAGTTGCGCGCCCGCAAGCATTTACGGGTGCTTTGTGAATAAGGACCCAGGTCCCTAAAATCACCCCCAAAAAATTCAAACGCCAACAGATAAGGCGCACCGCCGCATAAGACGCATGTTTGACCGCACACAGAAGAACACCAGGCGTCACCCGGTGTCGGTACATCGCCACAAAGTGGCCATTGTGTTGCCTTAGAACGATCACACTATTCGGAGGATGAATTAAACCGTAACCACATTGGCTGGTCACATGTAGAGCCATGAAGAAAAGACCAATGTAAATTGATACCGACCTTCATCCATTCAGCCAACGCGCGCTGTGCATGCTTGCTTGCGGTTTCCGATCCTGGCCTTCCTTGGCCTTTTGTTAATGCAGTGCGGCCCAATCAGCGGCCAGAAACGATGGTCCACGCGCTGTCTGAAGATATTGCAACACGCGCACTGGATCAGATTCGTAGACTTGCCCAGTCCCTCCGAGCCAGATGTTGCGCCCTCTACCGGTGACTAATACAAAAACTAGCGTCGCCTATATGTATATACCATACGAAAATAATCCCGTCACACCGGGGGAGACGTAACAAAAATGTTTTATTATATTTTTTTAAAATTGTTGTAATGTTTTTTTGTATTTAAAGTTCTTTTCCTTTATTTCAAACCTATAATTTGTTAATCACGTTCATAAGATATTTGTTTAATACATCACTTCTCTTAGTGTTAGTTTTGTTTTCAAGATCATTAAACTTATTTGATATCTTACTAATAAAATAAACGAAACAGACACATGAACCATCTCTTTTCTCGTTTGGTCGTCCTGATAAGGACGGTTTGTTTTGTTGGACTCTTCAAAGTTTATTTGAAGCTATATGTCAGGTTACTGGTGAAAAGAATATGCCGAATTTCATCTTGATCTTCAGGCTTGCAGAAAAAAATTAAATATAAAAATGTCTTAAAACAGAACTCCTATTACCATATTTAAAATAAAAATCCTGACCTACTATTATAATAAGATAATTCAAATTCCCATAATACTTTTTAAAACAAACGTTTAAAAAGAGGCAATTAATAAATGAACGATTTGAACGTTTAATGAAACAAACGAAAGTGCAACATATAAACATTAGTACTTCATATTATCCTAAGTCTAAAGCAGACTTCGAAGATATCCTGTACAATAAACACCCTCAACGTTCACACAATAGAACTTGAGTGAATGCGATTTCCAAACGTTTAAGTAATTCTGATTGCAGCATTTTCGGAATGAAAAAATGGCCACAAAGAAAAACGTTTGTATGACGGCATTGTTGGAACGAAAGCACGATCACTAAGGGGGATCAACGCATTGCGGCATTGTTGGAATGAAAGCACGATCATGGGGGATCAACACATCGCGGCATTGTTGGAATGAAAATACGGTCACAATGTCTGGAGAGTTGAGCCTTGGTTGACCGCATTATTGATTGCGGCATTGAAAGAATTCTTCACACAAAGACCGTCACTTTGAACTCAAGCGACACCAGATAAGGCGCACCTGTAGACAAGGCGCAGCCATGTTTTTGTGGTCTAGAAAGTCAGATAAGACGCGTCTTATCCGCAGGAAATTACGGCACTAGCTAGATGCATCGAAATGCACCCAACTTTTCCACCCGATGCACTGTGTTGCGTGTGGCAGGCTTAGGGTTAATATGTTTATGCAACTGACGGTTTATTCAACTTTTTTGCTCTTGTTTTTTTCAGAGACTGGGTTCGCCATACGTCTTGTCGGTGGCAGCAGTGAAACCCAGGGCCGAGTGGAGGTTTACCTAAATGGGGTTTGGGGAACCGTCTGTGATGACGGCTGGGATTTAGATGACGCGAGGGTGGTATGTCGCCAGCTGGGATACAGCAATGCCGTACAAGCTGTCGGATCAGCACACTTTGGCCAGGGCAGCGGAGACATTTTCTTCGATGACGTGGCGTGTAGAGGATCGGAGACAAGCTTACTGGATTGCGTGAGGTCAACCGAAAATGACTGTGGACATTTTGACGATGCGGGTGTCATCTGTGGTACACCCGGGAAAGGTAGGCCAGTCTATTATTAACTATAGGCAAATAGGCAAGACTTGTGGAAAAGCCTTTGTTTCTCTACTTTTTTTTTCTTAATTCTTCTTCATCTTCTTCTATTCCTAATCCTATAGACCTTGTACACGTTTTGTCTCGTGGGCACTTTGGGCATAAAACAAAGTCACATGAAATTGAAACTTAATATAATCAAAAAGCACATAGCGAAGGTCTTTGGTGAAGATAGATGCAGTAATGATGCAGTAATAATGGGACATGTGACGTTATCTTAAAGATGCATACTTTAAGCCTTTATATCTCATGAACGGTACGTCTGATTGGGTTGAAACTGGGTATGCAGGTAGACCAGGACGTGTTGTATATGAAAATCAAGGTGACGTCATCATGACATCATCATGTGATTTTATATAGATTTTTGAACTTTTGAAGACTTTTGCCATATCTCATTAACGCAATAAGCTAAATTCAGAATTCTTTTTGCATTACCCTTGTTATAGGCATATGTACACACTTTTTTCAAAATGTGTGACAGCATGGTGACGACACCAAAGATGCAATTTTTTTTTTTACACATATAAGGGAGAGTCCGATCGTCATAAAACTTGGCGGGTAGTAAGAAAATAATACTAGTACACAAAACCTGAAACGACGTCACGAACATCGGTAATAATTTTTATGATTTTTTCTTAAATATGTACAATTTTATTTGCTTACAAAATTTAACACTTTTAGTCATCCGATTGGCTTCAAACCACAATAGTCATCCATACCTGTGGTGCTTTATTGACATCAACGTTTTCTTATTCACCCTAACTCTCCAGGATATTTGGGCTAGAAACCCTGCCAAATGCAGCAACATGCAACACTTGTCTAAGACCCTGTTCCCACTTGATCCACCAACTGGGGGATCTGATCCACCTTTTGCCAAATTGCCGGATCAGATCCCCCAATTGGTGGATCAGATCCGGCAATTGTGTGTAGTGAGAACGCTAACCGTTATAAGGTGGATCAGGATCAGATCCACCTTTTCTGATCCACCTCTGGACCAGGAAACAGATCCCCAATTGGTGGATCAGATTCGGCAATTGGCGGATCACGATCAGATGGGAACGCAAAAGGTGGATCTGATGCGGCAATTTGACCTGTTAACATCCGCCCAGTGCACAAGTGGCGCGAAAATGTTGCAGTCTTATGAACGAATACGGGCGATTCCCAATAGTGCGCCTCCAAGAGTTTGCAGCGCGTTGGCCAATCACAATGCGCGAAATCAGTCGACCTTTTCCAAACGGGCGTTGGGTCGACAGATTTTGCGCATTGTGATTGGCCAACGCGTTGCAAACTCTTGGAGGCGCACTATTGGGAATCGCCCGTATTAAGGAACACGTTTTCAGGCGTGTACTACTCATGTGAAAATTTCCAACGTACACAACATGCACAATAAACAACCGCTGAATTACGGGCTGGCACCGTGCATGCACGATGCGTGCATATCGCATGGCATACCTGCAGCACACTTGGCATATTCGTCCATTTCTACACCTTTTTCATTCGTGAAATTTTACTTATTTTTCCATCCATAAATGCCTCTGAGTCCGCAACCACCAAAACACTTCCCTTTGGCACAGAATCATGGAAAAGCTTACGAGTATGCGCTGAGAATAGTGCTGATAACGCGGTACGAACTGAGGTGACAAATCTGTAGTATTGATTATAGAAAATTGGAAAATGACGTCGTAGTGCATCATGTGACCATTTTTAACCTATGAGAAGCTTCAGAACCAGGGAATCCCGTATCGATGCATTGGTTTCTGCCGTGATGTCACACAATGAGCGGCGCTGTTCAATTTCACCAGTTAATTTATGCATGCACGGATCCTCTACGGATCCGTGATTTATGTCAGTGAACAATTTTGTCGGTGAATTCTGCATAGCGCTGTTTGAAAACTGACCCATCCTGGCCTAGCATTCAACACTTGCACTCCCACAGAGCTCGCGTAATTCCAAACTCAGTGACCTTTCGGACTCGACATTGCCATTCGAAAAGGTGGATCACGCATAAGTGGGAACGCGACTTGCGGTTTCGTTGCGGTACGATAACGATCACACCAAAATGCCGGATCTTGATCCACCTTTTTCCAGTTCAAGTGGGAACGCGATGTAAGTGACGAGCCTGCCTGGTGTAGCAAGATCCATCAGCTAAAAGTCGCAAACTACCTCAGAGTCTGTGGTCCCTGAATGCAGCAGGATACAACTGTGGCATTGTTCAATGGGACTTGCTCTCAGAAGTGGCCGTTTATGCACTGGTGTTGGTAGCTCAATGCATCAAAATACACCCGACTTTTCCACCCGATGCACTGTGTTGCGTGTGGCAGGCTTAGGGTAGTATGTTTATGCAACTGACGGTTAATTCATTCAACTTTTTTGCCCTTGTTTTTTTCAGAGGCTGGGTTCGCCATACGTCTTGTCGGTGGCAGCAGTGAAACCCAGGGCCGAGTGGAGGTTTACGTAAATGGGATTTGGGGAACCGTCTGTGATGACGGCTGGGATTTAGATGATGCGAGGGTGGTATGTCGCCAGCTGGGATATGGCGAAGCCGTTCGAGCTGTCGGATCAGCACACTTTGGCCGGGGCAGCGGAGACATTTTCTTTGATGACTTGGCATGCACTGGATCGGAGACAAGCTTACTGGATTGCACGAAGTCAACTGTAAATATAAACTGTGGACATGGTGAGGATGCGGGTGTCATCTGTGGTACATCCGGGTCAGGTAGGCCAGTCTGTTATCACCTAGTCGAATAATTTGGTTTTTGTCTCTTCCCTGTATTCCTCAGGCAGGATTCGAACCCACAACCTCCTGCTTTCTGCTGCAGATGTCTTAGACTTGGTTGACAGGTTTCTATTCTATTTTTAGATCGGAAGTTTAAAGCTCAATAGGATGAGGGTTCGAACACTTTAGAGCAATCTTGGACACAAGCTATAGTTACTGGTAACTATAGTTCGAGTAACTGCACTCAAACAAAGGATGGTTGGAGTACCTTTGTCGACTATTTGAAACCGGAGCCCGGGGCATAGATCCATTGCTGGTTACCAATAGCCGGGCGGAGCCAGGACTTTTGACCATCATTTGACTAGAGGCATTCATGCGTTGCCATTGGTGTCACAAATCAACCACCAGTCGACTAATGGTCCTCGCCGAACTTCCTCTTCTAAGGTGGATGTTTTTCTGTCTCAATGTATCGACACAAAAAGTTTATTTCCCGTGTGATTACAGATTCGTCTACAATCCGACTGGCTGATGGCGACAGCGCGCTGGAGGGCCGTGTGGAGGTGTACGTCGGGGGTGTGTGGGGCACCGTCTGCGACGGTTACTGGGATCTCGCAGACGCCACTGTGGTTTGTCGCCAGCTTGGCTACGGAGAAGCACTGACAGCTCCAGGGGAAGCATTCTATGGCCCTGGAACCGGATCGATAGTCTTTGACGAAGTGAATTGTCGGGGAACCGAAGACAATATACAGGATTGCTCTTATTCTACTGTGGACAACTGCCATCACAGTGAAGACGCGAGTGTTTCTTGTAGCAATTCGTCGGCAGGTAGCAAATTATTTCCTCAGTCCCTCTGCTTTTCATCCTCGGCATTTTTGTCAGGAAGCACAAGTACTCGCACTCATACTCAACAACCTAAGTACTCGGCAGTGCTCGGTACTTGGAAAAAAGTACTCGACTACAACACTGTTTAGTCCCCTTACTATCTTTCAACCAAGTATGTTTTCAGTGACTAATTACGTCACTCACTTATTGGATAGCTGCAAATGATGGACTCTGGCTTTAACTCACCGGAAAATCTTCTTCATCGGTTGTAGACATAAGAAATAGATGGGACTTTTTTATTTTTATTTTTCCTGCTCCCTTTAGGCGCTAGTGAGTGTCACGATGCTTATACATACACTTTTTCATAATTCATATGCAAAAACACTGATTTGAATATGCAAAAATGCCCATTAATATGTAAAAACATGTAGCGTCCTAATGTAAGCATTTTGCCCACAGTGGCAGTGTCCCTCAACTTCATGTGTCTGTCTTTCTTCTTCACTGTCAGGGGTGCGGGGGGAGGGGGGGGGGGGGTTTACTTGTGCAAAACTCTGATGATCATCTTAAAATTTTCCAAACACACAATAAATAGCTGTGTTTTTTTTTAAGTTGCTAAGAAATTGCCATAATAAAAAAATGTGCCAAACTTGGGTGATGAGTCAGAAATGCAGTAGTCGTGTTCATCACAAGTGTGATGTTCAATGAGGTTCTTGTTTTTTTCACCAGCCTATGAGTTTGGTCAAGTACGTCTGGTCGAGGGTAATTCGGAGTACGACGGATACGTGGAGATCTATTACAAGCAACAATGGGGCACCATCTGCAATAACCAATGGGACAAGACAGATGCAGACGTGGTTTGCAAGGAGCTGGGACACGAGTTTGCCAATTCCACATCTGACGCTTCAGGTATTTACAAATTTTGAAATTGCCCATATTTCAAGGTATAGTCCAGCATTTGTAATTTGTGCATTTTATTCGTTTGAAGCAACAAACGAGCTCAAAATCTAATGAAAGGTGCTGAACAACTAACCTGATGAAGTTTCACCTCGGCTTCAGCTGTATGTTTTGAGAAAAGCAACATTCCAGGATCTCGATTTCAAATTAGAAGTTGCTGAATCATGTTTTGAATTGGGCCTGATTTCAGTGTCCACGTTCTCACTGAGCAGATTGCAGCTGATGTGAAATCGCACACTGATCCAACGAATTAAAGCAACTGCACGCACGTGTGTGTCTTATCAACGCTGTGCGCGCTTTGCCGAAAAAAAAAAAAATACCTATCTTTAGACACATCGTTGGAAAGGCCTTCTTTCGTTGATTTCTTCAAAATGACAGCATGCCAGAAAGAACAATTTCACAGGGAGTTCAGTCCCCTTAATTGTCTTCAACGAAGTATGTTTTTCAACAATAATTATGTCAGTTACTTTTTGGATAGCTGCAAATGATGGACTGTAGCTTTAAATTAGAAACCATTTCTTGACATAAAACCGCGCATCCCTAAAGACATGATGTGAGCGCATTTTTGTAACCCTATTGGCCAAAGAGGAAGGAATGCAGTATCCAGACGCCACTTCTTTGGTTGCGTTCAAAGTCTATAGAGAGTCGAGTGCATTTTCAAAGTATATCCTAACAAATTGAAAATGTTTCTCAGTCCCAGATTCATGGCTTTTTCATGTTTTCACTGACCTTCATTGAGATGATATATGATGAAAAAAAGGGGCGTCAACATTCTCTTCCACTAAGGAACCTGGAGTGCGTGATGTGCATACACAGACTTTTAGGTTTTATGTTTTGCAAGGTTTAGGTTAATGATGTAAATTTGGGGTAGCAGTTTGTTTATTTTGAAATTTTACCTGGGGGAATAATGAAGAATACTTGAACATATAGCCTTCAGCCTTTTGTTTCATTGCTTGGTTTAGATTACAAAACCGGAAGGAGTAGTACCAAACCCATCTGGCTTGTTGATGTTGCCTGTGGAGTATACGATACCAGACTAGTCAATTGCGACCATGGCCAGTGGGATAGTATTGACTACTGTTCTCATGGTGAAGACGTGTGGGTAAAATGCAACGGTGCTCCGGGTAAGTACACAGCTGCATATCTGGGTACAGACACCCACAAAAATCTTGTTCACTAAAGCAGTTTAGTACCTTTACTTAAAACGTTGATGCCTTGCTAGAGCAAATTTTACCTCAAACTTAAAATATTATCTTGCGGACCTTTATGGACAATCTGTACAGCAACTTCCGAGATTAAACTGTTGGTGTTGGTTCTTTTAACGGTTCCCCTTTTTTTTCTTTTTTTTTGCCAATCGGGTACCGGATTCCTGTACTACCCATAAATGCACACCCTAACCCGAGGTATACTCCAGTGCATTATAGGGATATTTTATGCAATATGTCACATGATCAGTTTCAACCAATGACATGTCACCATTTGATAACCACAGTATACCAACCATCCGGGCCCACTGCAGGACTCTCTTCCGGAGCGATAATTGGGATTGTTTTCGGGGTGATCGTTGGCTGTATTTTGTTGTACGTCTGTTGCAAACTGTGCTGTTGCAAGTCGAAAAAAGGCCCCGCCAAATCAACAACGGCAGTAAGTTTGGCCCCGTTCACTTCATTTGCACATTGCTAGATAATGGGCCTTATGCACGAGGCGGCCATATTGAATTGAAAGTGAGGTAACATTTTCATTTTTGGAACTTACAAAAACAAATGAAAGCAAGGAAATTGCTAATTAAATCAAGTCTGCTTCAATGAATAATTTATATTTGGTAATTAAACATTCCCTAATGTTTTAAGCCCGATTTAAAAAAAAAGACAGTGAATTAAGGCGGCATAAATAGTCTGGTGCCATCCCATTCAACAGTTAACAATTTATGAAATATATTCAGGGAACTTGAGACAAATGGCCAACTTGTGCATAAGGCCCATGGTGACTGCATTGAAAACATTCTACTAAAAAAAAATCATTAATGTATCATTCATAAATACCTGAGACAGTATTTGACTCATTCCTATTGGTGGAGAGCCCGTCACTTGGGTGGTTTTAAACGGTTGATGAAACGCCAACTGGTTTTAAACACTTTTTTTGGGTGTCACGTGAATTTGGAATGCTACGAAATCTGGTCCCTTTTACCCTTTTATTGGTTGAATGTTCATAGTCTACACTTTGGTATATATATATATTGCATATATGCAATACTACCAAGAGAATGGATACTACCAAGAGTCCAAAATTCACACTACACCAGCACCGCTATGTTCTGTGCCACATCCCACAGTACGCACTACACATGGGTCAATCTCCATATAAGGATAATATATATATTAGTACTACTCCTGAGAGGCACATACCATAACCATAGCTAGAGGGATGTTTCACAAAACATGAAGTGAAATACATGTAGTTGAACAAAATCGTTGGAAATTTATAATTTTGGACTTGTTTTGCATTTTTGATTGAAAAGTATTTATGAATGGGAAAACTGTCGCCGATAATGGCCCTTTCTGAATCCGCGTCCAGGCCCACTGGCCCAGCACATATTTATCCAGATTTTTTCAATTCAAAACAAAAACTAAATGGCATAAATAAACCTGGCATAAATAAACCTGTGCATTCTGAGAATGGATGACAATGAAACTAGGCAATTTGTGCACAAAAACAACGGGGCTGTGAACCAGCTAATTAATTTTCATTTGATTCGTCCTAAGTATATTTATATCTGAAAGTTAGTGATCATCTTTTCACACTTTGGTACATAAGTGATGTGAAATATAATTGTTTGAAAAATCATTGTTTGAAACTGAGCAGAATGAAGAAGGTTTTGGGATTCCCTTGTTTGGAAAAAAAGGTAACTATGACCCTGAAACTGGAGAGGCCGATGTTGGCCGATCAGGATTGGGATTTCAAGCTCTCTCAGCGAACTGTAACCAATCATTCCTCAACGCCTGCAAACTGGAAATTTTAGGATAATTTTTTGTCTTCAAAGTTTTAAAGTTTGATTTTAATTTTCAAATTGCATTTCAAATATTCTCTGCATTAAAATGAGCACTCATGATCAAGTACTTTTGAAAAACACTAAAGAAGAAAGATGGAATTTAAAGTGGGACTGGTTCACTGCCCCGATAGGTTTGTAAGTATATTGCATCGCTTGTTTGTCATCCATACCCAAAACGCAATGCGATTGTCAAAAGTGTTTTTATTGTTTGTGACAGGCTCCGTCGCGTACCTATATCCAGGTACAACAAGCGGAAGTAATCTGGAGATCCCGCGGTCCACTACCATCCTCAGCAGTCCCCCAGTTGTCAGATGTCTAGGCCCCGCCCCCTCCCTACGAGCCAGTCAGCTCTCAGCCCACAAACTTCCCACTGGTAACTGGCACAGAGATGCTAACCATTATTCTTTAAAAGTAATTATTAGGATTTTTGAGGCATGTAACTACTCTTGAAAATTCCAGCTGTCTTATGCGCCAACATTGTGGTTTGTTACGAACCCACTTATCCTGTAATCCTTTAGTAGGGTTTGCTCCCGCACTAGAATTTTTGGTATTTAATGAATGTTTGTTATGGTGGCTACGCGCGGGTAAATACCCTATATAAGCACTGACTGGCTTTTATTCGGTCTCAGTTGGTGCCCATGTACAACCATTATGTGCGATTTCCATTAGAACATCGTTGAGCCAGCATCTCCCACCGTTCTTACCGATGTACCCTCATCGCTGGATCGTGGCTGAGGCTGACGGTACTACCGGATGGAGACCTGGACTGTCGTGGCCTGCTTGATGTGGCTGACTTCCCGGTACTCAACGCTGACTTACCTGTGGCTTGGCTGATCTACGGCTGGGTGCGGAGATGCTTGGTTCGACGGCTGCACTAATACCGTTGTGGGCACTGGCTGGGCAGGGCCTGTTCCTGCTACTGGTTCCTTATTGGTAATAATATTTGGCCGAATACAATTTTCCTTTGTTGTTTTGCTTATTAACCCTATTTTGCCGGCTTGTTCTTTACTGTATTTTGCCTATTTGTATAACTTGCTGCTTTGCTAATATCTTTGTAATATATTTTGCTTTGCCTGTGTGACAGAATTTTTTTATGTTTTTACTATCTGGCTATTTCTTTTATGTTTAAAGCATGAGTTTCTTAATTGTGTAATTTCTTATTCTTTTAACTTGCTTCATTGAGCACTGAAATAGCTGTTTTTGCCTATTTGTATAACTTGCTGCTTTGCTAATATCTTTGTAATATATTTTGCTTTGCCTGTGTGACAGAATTTTTTTATGTTTTTACTATCTGGCTATTTCTTTTATGTTTAAAGCATGAGTTTCTTAATTGTGTAATTTCTTATTCTTTTAACTTGCTTCATTGAGAACTGAAATAGCTGTTTCCTCTTTAAGTGTGGATCATGAATAATTCATTAGGTAGACCACAAAGCACTTCCTGTGGTACCCACTTCTGAGACATGTGGCTTATCTAGCCATTCCTTCAGTTGATGCAAGGCAGTCCACACGCAGTCATTTATTCACTCTTGTTCCATGCTCGTTTCACCAAAGTTCTGAGGCTAGAAGAATCCTTGTTGTTGGAGATTTGTGGTAAGTTTACACTTGTATATTGGTTTGAGGACCATTTCTTATACAAGTCAGTTAATTGATTTTAGTTTGATACTTTAAGAAGTTAAGGGTTTAGATATCTTGCTAGGAGGATCTCTTTGAAAGTTTCCAGTCATGCTTACAAAGTTTCCATTTCTTGGAAGTGACTTGCTTGGTTTCATTGAATTCATTGATATTCTAGTTTACTGCATTGATTTTTAGTTTGTTATACATGTACTTACTTGGAGTCTTTTCAGAGAGAAAATGCATTTATTGGTTCTGAAAAGCTTGAGATGTATTTATGGTTATTGGTTTTGATTTAGTTTACTGTTTGGCCCCTGAATTCAAGTTGAGATTTTGTGTTATTTTGTGATGTTTGTACTCTTACTATTTTGACATTTGGATCCTGAAACGGCATTCTTAGTGAATTTACTTTGCCAGAAACAGTGATCAGGTTCATATTTGTACAGAAATTCTTTTCTTGAATTCGTTAAAGTAGAAGTTAGGAGCAGTTATCATTTCATTCTGATTATTTCGTATTCTTTTATTAGTGGAAGTGTTATGAGACTACTGTGGAAACTCATACTCTCAGTACCATTTTGACCATGCTTAGATTATTTTCTTTAGGCAGAAAACTGAACGTTGTTTATTCTTGGAGAGGCTGGGCCAGGCACTAGTTGTTAAGGAGATTAAAGTTAAAGGCATTGTTTATTCTTACAGGCTTTAGAACAGTAGAGGAAAGAACACTGACATTTTAACTTTGAATTTAAGGAAACTTTATCGTGTTGTTCTTTAGAGGATTAGGTACATGTATTTTCCTTTTTGCATTATTAGCCATCTTTTAAATTACTTGAGATTCACCAAGATTTTATTTTGTTGATCATTGGAAAGTGTTAATTCTTTTGTTTAATTTTGATGTTTACTTATGATTGTTTTCTTTCTTTCTTTTTTCTTTATAGCTAATACCAACCCTTTTTTTTTGTGGTGTAAATTCGGAGTAAATAAATTACATCCAACCTCTAGAAAAGAATCTTTGCTGTCACACCTGTATCTAATGCTTTGGGGTTCTTGCATGAAGTTTAAAGTTGCAGACTAACTGAGAATGGTTGTTGTATCACACATTGACCTGTTGATTGATTTGGGAGAATTCATTAAATTTTGTTAATCATATCTTGGTCTCTTTTTTGCGTTTGCTTCAAAAGTCATGATTCCTGTTTTTATTACTTATTTCTTTCTGCATTGCGTTCCCCGCACGTCACAGCGTGCGATGGTGTTGGGGTGTGATTGCACGCCTCAAATCAGAAGGACTGTCGTGGTGGGTTGTGGGTGGTCGTGGTGGTGGTGGTCAAAATGGTGGTTGTCGTCGATGTTGGTTTGCAACAGAACCGGGCTAGGCCTAGGCTAGCCCCATAAATGTGGCCAATTTACTGGACTACCTCCATAAACATAGGCCACACTTCCACATGTACAAAAACGTGTCGAACTATGTCAAATTTTGATTTTCACATTTAGGCTTAGTGTATTATTTTTTTTTTGCTTTAGAAGCATACTCACTCTTTCAAAGGCTAATCAGAAAGTGCTGTCTTTTTCAGATGTCCAATTTTTGTGAAATTTCATGTTGAAATTTTGATTCGCAAACGTGTGCAAATGAATCTGGAAATTTCACGAAAAATAGACATCTTAGAAAGGCAGCACTTTCTGATAAGCCTATAAAGAGGGCGAGTATGCTTCTAAAGCAAAAAAACCCTACAAACTAAGCCTAAATGTGAAAATCAAAATTGACAAGTGGAAGTGTGGCCTATATTTGCGGAGGTAGTCCAGTCAATTGGCCACATTTATGGGGCTAGGCCTAGGCCAGCCGGCCAACTGCTTATGAATGAATTAGGCAAGCATTTTGCTTAGGAAAACATCACATGCAAATGTTATTTCAAATGAGTAAGGGGCCCTAATCTGTTTCATTAGTGAGGAAAATCATCAACTATACACTGCCTTTAGTTAAAGTACCTTCGCAAACACAATGAAAATGTACCGTCATGGTCCGATGCCGCTCCGGGCCGATTTATGGAGAATTTACGTGCCGAATGCCAATATTTGAATAAAACCAGTCTTATTCAGTTCATCACCATTCCTAAATCTTTCTGATTTTGAAGAATGACAATTCTGTATGTGATTAGACTGCCGAACATTGAGATGAAGACAGCGACGATTAACGTGCAAACGCCATTACTAATGTTTACACATCTGGGACTTTTCAACACTTCGCATACCAACATGGTGGCGGCAGTCTGCCTGACGTGATCACGCTTTTTGCCGTTGAGTAATCCATCTTGCGCCGGCGCTACAGGCACTAAATGATCTTTGGTTGGGGCGGGCGTAACATTATAATGAGAACCAACAAAGATCCTATAGCGCCGCAGATCTTTGATGAGAACGGTCCGCTTAAAAAAAAAAAGGACTGGGGAGCCGGCCGGAGATGAGGAAGGGCTCCTCGCACGGTAGGTAGGTAAAAACTAGATTTTGGCATGCACTGTATGTGCACTACTCATCAACGCGAAATATGCAAAGCCGCTTAACTATTTTTAGGGGGTAAAATTATTCAGATATGTAATAAAAAAAATATTTTAAAGCTGTTTATTCTCTGCACAAGGTCAACAGTGGTTCCTGATTCTGCGGATAATACTTTTTGTAGTGGCAAGCATGGGCGTCGCGAGGGGGGGGGGGGGGGGCAAGGGGGGCACTTGCCCCCCCCCCCCCCCCCCGGAAAAGCAAAAATAAAAAATAAAAACCTAGAAGAAGAAAAAAAAGAGAGAAAAGAAAAGAAAAAGAGGCGCGAAGACGAAGTGGTGTAAATTTAATGAGTTGGGGGGGGGGGGGGTAAAATGTCCCTCCCCCCCCCCTCTAAAACTGATAAATCGAGAATGTGTTGAGAAATGCAAGCATTTTTGGCAAAAAAAATATTTTGCCCCCTCTAGAAAAAATCCTGGCGACGCCCATGGTGGCAAGTTGTGAAAATTAATTTGGGTTTAAATCAACATTGTTATTTCAAAGTGTCACAGATTTCAGACATTTGTTGCAAATCAAACTGCGTTTCAAGGATAGAGAGTGGATCTTACCCCTCCAAGTGTCGGCCAGTAACCCGGCGGATGATGGCTCACGAGGATTGACTGCAGACGACATGATCAAGAACCAACGATGGCTGAACGGACCTGATTTCCTGTTGAAGGAAGAACAACACTGGCCACTCCCACCTGTTGTTCTCAAGGGGCCCTACCTAGATGTACTACCCGATACTCTGCAGAGTGATCCCGAGGTGAAGAAAGTTGTCCAGTCTTACTCCATAGTTGAGAAGGATTGTGTAAAGGAGTTCCTGAGTATCTACTCAGGAACTTCTGTACACAATCCTTCTCAGCTATGGAGTAAGACTGGACAATTTTCTTCACCTCGGGATCACTCGGATCCTGGAGTCAAATGAAGCGTGGAGTTGCCTGGTTGCTGAGATATAGAGACTACCTCTATGCTCGTGCCAAGGGAAGACGGGATGCCAGTGAATTCTGTTGTAACAGACTGTCTTTGTCAGAGTTGCAGAGAGCTGAGAGAGACGTCATCAAATACACCCAGCGTCCGTCGTTCCGTAACGAGATTGCTGTACTTGAGGCTCATGCAGATGACAACAGAAGGACCACCAAGAAGAGTAAGAAAGTTCCGAAAGCGCTCCACAAATTGAGCCCCATCTTGGTGGATGGAATTCTGCGTGTAGGTGGACACCTTGAGAATGCGCCAATCCAACTCGACATCAAGCATCCAATTATCCTGCCGAGCGATCACCAGGTGACGAGGCTGCTGATCGAACATCATCATCTCAAGGTTGGTCATTCAGGGGCAGGTATGACCTGGACGTCACTATAAACAGAGAGATTTTGGATACTGAACGGAGGATCTACAGTGAAGCGATTGATTGGAAAGTGTTTCCGTTGCAAGAAAAAAAATGCACCCCTTTGTCAACAGCTGATGGGTGAGCTGCCAGCAGAAAGAGTCACTCCAGAGAAGCCCCCCTTTACATACGTGGGCGTGGACTACTTCAGTCCACTTTACGTAAAACAAGGACGCAGCCATGTCAAGAGATACGTACGTGTCTTCACGTGTCTTACAATGAGGGCCATACATATAGAAATTGCTCACTCACTCGACACAGACGCCTTCATAAACGCTTTGCGGCGGTTCATCAGCAGGAGAGGTACACCAGAAAAGATCAGGAGTGACAATGGTACCAACTTCACGGATGGAGAGCGTGAGTTGCGGGAGAGTATTGCATCACTGAACGAGCAGAAGTTTGGAGACTATCTTCATCAACGAGGAATTGAGTGGCAATTCAACCCACCGACGGCAAGTCAACGGAGTCTGGGAGGGGATGATATGTTATCTGTTCGAAAGATCCTCAAGAATCTCCTTCAAGAACAGGTGGTATGTGATGAGGTGCTACTTACCTTGATTGCTGAAGTGGAGGCTATCTTAAACGCGAGACCGCTCACACAGCTCAGCTTGGACCCCCGTGACGAAGAGCCATTGACTCCAGACTGAAGTGAGATGAATCGATGAAGAACTCAGAGGAGATTATTCTCAGGTTCTGTGCCACTGCAGCTTTATTCATCAGACATAATGTAAGAGTGAGCGCGGGCGAACTGTTCACCTAATGTGCTTGCGCGCATACAACGTAGTGCTCATGAAGTATCACAACATCCCTCCCCTTTTGAAAGTACAATTTCAGGAATAATTATTGGTGTACACATAAAACTGGAATTTACTTAATTAGCAAGCATTTACATGAAATGTGTAGTGATGGCTTTTCAATTGACAGGCATATGAAACATTGGTGGTCATATCTTACTAACAACTACAACTTTTGTTTCTCTGCAATATGTGGCACACAGTCTTAGTACCTTCTTTTCGAACGGTAACAAATTTAACTTTGAATCAGTAACAAAGTGAACTTTAGTACTTTGAACAAAGTGAACAAAGTGAACTTTTAGTACAAAGTGAACTTTAGTACTAAATTTAACTCTTTTTTTTGTTTTGTTTTTTGTTTTTGTTTTTTGTTTGGTTTTTTTAACAGTAACAAAGTGAACTTTAGTACTTTCTTTCTTTTGAAATTTGACTTTGGTACTTTCTTGCTTTCTTCCTTTTTGAACGGTTAACAAATTTAACTTTAAACAACAATAAATGTACTGAAACAGGTTTAATAAACATATGAAACTTTGAGTTCTGTTTCAAATCGTGTGGGTTATTTTTTTTTGTTTCCATATGAACTTAAATGTGTAATATCGTTTCTGAACCAAATTGTTTGAAGTATCTGCTATGTATAATCTGGGTGTGTGATGTTATTCAGTGTATCTGGCTGGTTTTCGGATTGTGCGTCCAGATTTTGTTTTGCGAGTGACAGTCGGAGACTTGTTTCGATCTGTGTTGTTTCGGTCTGTTTTGTTTCGGTCTGTTTGTTTCACAGCTTCTGTGTCTAGCTTCTTGTTGGACAGTGGAAGTGATTCATCAGCGAATCGAACTCGTTTGGGCGTAGCCAGGGATTTCATCTGGCTGGGCATCTCACGTAGGTGCGAACGGTTGCGACGTAGTCTGTGTCCATTGGGTGTGGTGACTTCATATGATCTAGGTTCCTTACAGACTGTTGTGACTTCACCAGGCAACCAAGTGTGGTTCTGCTGGTCCAGGATTCGCACTCGTTGGCCAACATAGAGTTGCGGGAGTTCTTTTACTGCTTGTTTGGCATCATGGTCGGTCTTCATCTTTTGTCGTCTTGCCTCTAGCTGGTCTCTGATATCCTCAGCTTTCTGGGGGTTTGCTTGCAGGTGGTTGTTTGGCAAGGTAGTTTGTATCGGTCTGCCGAAGAGAATTTCAGCTGGTGACGGTAGTTTGGAGTCCACAGGGGTTGCACGGAGGTTCAAGAGTGCTATGTCGACATTTTGTCCAGACTTCTGGCATTTCTTGATCACTGACTTGACGGTTCTGACTGAACGTTCCACGAAACCGTTTGAACGTGGATAACATGGAGACGAAGTTGTGTGCTTGATGCCCCATGTGTTACACATGTCTTCGTAGTGTTTGCCTACGAATTGGGGGCCGTTGTCTGACATAACCTCAGCTGGTGCTCCAAGGAGGCTGAATGTGTGTGAGGTGATGCCAGCAACTGCTGTACTGGTTGTGCTGTTCAACTTGTGAACGACAGGGTACTTCGAATGATAGTCAACTATCAGTAGATAGTTGTCTCCGTGGATTTCAAACAGATCAGTGCCAAGTTTGGTCCAGGGGGTCGAAGGTACTTGATGTGGCTCAAATGGTTCCTTTTGCTGTTTGGGTTGGGATTCCTGGCAGTAGGAACACGCTTTGACAAGTTCATCAATATGGCGATTGATGTTGGGCCAGTAGACCGACTCTCTGGCTAGACATCTTGTCTTCTCTATACCCATATGGCCTGTATGGAGCTGTTGTAAGATATCCGTCTGAAGTGAGTCTGGAATGATGACCTGTCTTCCTTTGAAGATCATTCCCCAGGAGATACCAAGCTCATCCCTGTATGGCCAGTAGACCCGTAGGTCTCGAGGTAGTTCCTTGACGGAGTCTGGCCAGCCACTGTATATTATCTGACACAGTGCACTTAGTACAGGGTCTCTTGCTGTTTCTCTCTGCAGTTGCTCTTGCTTAGACTGCCCAAAATGCACAAGGTCCATGCACATGGCGTCTTGGCCTTCATAGACATCAAAACTGCCGACCAATCTGTCTAGGGGTATGTCATCACTCTTTGTCGGGTTTGGCAATCTGCTCAGAGCATCTGATAGCGTAATTGTTTTCCCTGGTCTGTACTGTACGTCCAAGTTGTATCCTTGCACCTTAATTAGCAAGCGTTGCAGACGAGGTGGTGCACTCGAGAGGGGTTTCTTCCAGATCATCTCAAGTGGCTTGTGATCAGTGTGGAGTGTAAACTCTTTCCCGAAGAGATAGCTATGGAACCTTGTGATGCCGAACACTAGGGCTAGTGTTTCTCTCTCTATGTTAGAGTAGTTGGCTTGTGCCGGGGAAAGACTCTTCGACGCAAATGCTATCGGCCTGTTGTTTTGAAGGAGGCAGGCTCCCAGACCCTTCTGTGATGCGTCGACTTCCAGCACAGTGTGTATCTCTGGGTTGTAGTACTGGAGACACGCGTCAGTGGTGATGGAATATTTCAAGGCTTCGAATGCTGCTTGATGGTCATCCTGCCACAGATATGGCACATTCTTCTTCAGGAGATCCCTGAGGGTCGCTGCTTTGTCTGCCAGGTTAGAGATATATGCAGAGACGTATGTGATCAGGCCTAGGAATTTTTGCAGGTCTTCCTTGTCCTGAGGTGTTGGAATGCTGTGGATGTCCTCAATTCTGCCTGGGTCCGGCCGGATGCCGGTGTCGGAGTACAGTGACCCAAAGAAGTTGATTTGGTTGGTCTTGATATGGCATTTGTTGCTGTTGAAAACTAAGCCTTCACGGCTGGCTGTTTGAAGTAGATTCAGGAGGTTGGCATCGTGTTCTTCCTCAGTACGGCCATATACAGCAACATCGTCAGCAATGCCGACGCATCCTGGAACCTGTTCTATGATGTCGTCCATGCACTGCTGGAAGATGTCTTGGCTGATGGAGAGACCAAATGGAAGGCGCTGGAAACAGTACCGGCCAAATGGCGTTCGAAAGGTGGTCAGCTCTTGGGATTCTTCCTCAAGCTTGACGGCCCAATACCCAGCTTTAGCATCAAGCTTCGAGAAGAATTTGGCTTGAGAAAATGCTGGGTTGAGTTCCTCCAGTGTGGGTATTTTGTGCGGACATCTCTTGAGGCTCTGGTTCAGCCGCTTAGGATCCAGACAGACCCTAAGTGTCCCATCTTGTTTCAAGCTCGTGGTTATCGAACTACACCAGTCGGTGTGATGGGTGACCTTTCTAATTACACCTTGCTGTTCCATCTTGACGATCTCTATTTTGAGCTTCGGCTTCAGGTGTATGCTACACTTCCTGGGCGCGTCAATGCTCGGTTTAGCATCCTCCTTTAGATGAAGAGTTGCTCTGGCTTTGAAGTTTCCAATTGTGTCAAATTGGTTGGGGTACAACCTCACGAGGTCGTGGACCGACTTGATGGTGTCATGTGACAGATTTTGGGGTTCACCTACTCCTGGTTGTTTGGGTGATGCAGGGGGTTGAGGTGACGATTCAGTGGAGTGGATGGTGACCACTTCAAGCTCGCTGCACATGGGCAGGCCGGCTATGGCTGGTCCGGGGACATCTACGACGTAGAATCTGTTCTTTGTCCACTTCGGTGTCTTGTAGCGGCATAAAAGCTCAATGCACCCTAGGCATACAATCTCTGTACCGTTGTACGCCGTCAGCTTGGTCTTCACAGGCTGGACGAAAGACTTCCATCGACATCCATACATCTGTTTGATCGTACGGAGTGGCAACGTGTTTCCTCCGGCTCCAGTGTCAACTTTTGTGATTAGTCGGTGTGTGCCGATGAGGTCGGGGCAGATAACATCAAGCGTTGTGTATGCCTCCCTGTTGTTGTCTATCGAGCTCATGCAGAGGTTCGAGACAGTAACTGTGTGGAATACTGTTTCATATTCCTCTGAAGCTTCTGCTGAATGGATGGGTTGTTCATCTCTGTTGGTGTCATTTGGCTTCTGCTTGCCGGCATTGGATCGACTTTTGGATCTTGGTCTGCGAGTTGTATTTCCTCGCGATGGGCTGCGGCCACGTCTGGACGGAGATTTGCCCTTGCGTTTACCCTGGCTTCGGGTCTTTCTGCAGAATTTGGCCCAATGGCCCTTGGAACCACATGATTTACATGTGTCCCGGTAGGCAGGACACCGTCTTGGTGGGTGGGATAGACCACAGTTGCCACAGGTTCTGCCAGTGGGTCGGAAAGCATGGACAGCTGTATGTGACGCCTCCAACGTCTCAAGGCACTTTTTGCCAGCAAGGATGGCTTCGTACTTCCGTCCCTCTTGTAGCATGTCATCGATGCTAAAACCAATGGGTTTGTCTAGAAGATCTTTCTGGAAAGATTCAGATGTGGTAGACGCAATCACTAATTCGATGAGGCGTTCCGTCATTTCCTCTGGTCCGAAGTTACATTCGTGTGCCTTTGCTCGGCATCTGTTGACAAAGTTGTCCAGGGATTCATCTGGTTTCTGGCGATACCGCATAAGCTCCAGGCGATGTATGCGGAAGTTCACTTTGATGTGTAGCTGCTTCTCGAACAACTCCCATAACTGGTTGGGGATCAGTTGTTCTTCTGCTGACAGGCTTGAAGAATTTATCATTTTGAGGCCTCCAGTTCCGACTGCTATTTGTATCTTAACAGCACGCTTGGCAGGATCGGTGATTTCCTGGTCCCTGAAGCTCAGGTCCATCCGTTGTTTAAAAAGCTTAAACTCTTCTGCGATGTCTGTGGCACCCCAGTTTATTTCTGGGAACTTGGCCATGATGCAGGGCTGTGGGATTGAAATCTCTGGGATACAATTCAATATGCTACAGCAAACGAAATTGTAAACAATAGCAACTGCAATGTAGCTTAAAGGTAAGTGCTACGATTAGTGATCACAATAAATCACAACAATTCCGGCACTGGCGGATGAATACGGCGAATGTTCACTGTGATGAGCGGGAAGCGCACAGTTCCGGCGATGATGCGGAGTGATAGGGTCAAAGGTCACACTTGACGTAAAGATGCGTGAAGCGGTTCACAGGGCTTGTGATTTTCACGGAACTATTTGTTCATACGCACAGCTAAGAATGTGTGCACGATAGCAAAACAATGTTTAACAATATGAAGGTGATTCAAAGGTGTACATTGTTACGTGAACTGGCTGGGTGGGGGGGGGGGGGGGGGGGGCTGATGATCACTCCCGTAGATCAGACTTTTGACAAAGTTATTGTAGTGACTTGCCTTGGTCACGCGATGGTGCGACGGGCTGGTCCCTGACCGGTCGACCGTGTGTACGGGTCGAGTAAGCTCGGTTGAGTCCCGGTGCAGTCGCGTCAAATTGGAGCTCGATCAGCTTTCACTCAGCTCCACGAAAAAGACGAAAAAGTCCTCTGTCGCTATGATGCCGATGGTCGACTCGGGGCGAGGGGTTTTCTCTTGTCCGTGCTGTCCACAGCACGGTATAGCGGTCCGTCTCAGCGTTGGCTCTGGTGATGGCTTAGGCTTGGCTCGGTCCGGCGATGACTCCGGGCTAGGCTACGCACGCAGCTGAGTTTCAGTTACGTTGCGTGCGGTGTGCAGTGGGCTTGGCGACGGTGGGTGTGCGGCATACAGTGTGTGATGTGGTGCGCTAAATCTACGCACGCGGCGAGTACATGGATATGTACAGTTCACACTGGCGATTACAGCGGAAACGTTGTTGTCGCAGAGACAATTTCTGCTGCTTTCCGGTAGTTTTCAGTTACTCTGCTTAGTTGAGAGTGATGGGTGTTCTCTGGCCTTTTTCACCACCGCTGCCACCATGAAGTGAGATGAATCGATGAAGAACTCAGAGGAGATTATTCTCAGGTTCTGTGCCACTGCAGCTTTATTCATCAGACATAATGTAAGACATGTAAGAGTGAGCGCGGGCGAACTGTTCACCTAATGTGCTTGCGCGCATACAAAGTAGTGCTCATGAAGTATCACAACACAGACCATCTACTTCTGATGACACCAAGCTCCAACGCTCCACCAGGGGTATTTGTGAAGGAAGATGGTTATGGGCGGCGCAGATAGCGTCAAGCGCAATTCTTGGCAGACCAGGCTGCCATATCATGCATTTGTAAGGTCAAAGTTTAAACTCTTTTTGATTCCGATAATTCATAAATAATGGACATGTACCAAATTTATCTCCCCAAATAAATGTAAAATTATCAGGTTCTCTAAGTCCCAAAAGTTGTAGTTTCGGATCCAACACAATCGATAAGCCTTGTTGATATATTCATGCTTATAATTTATCATATTCTAAGTACTACTGCCTCAGGGTGCGTTCAGAAAGGGACCGAATACATGTACTTCAAATAAAAACACTTGTGTGGCAAATGTTTCCAAGGCTACACTTTAATTCATCTATATATATATTTTTTTAATTTTAAATGATGAAAGCCTGGCACCGAAAGTACCAGATGTACAAAGTAAACTACGGAAAAGAAGTGTTTATTATTAATTATACCCTCCTTTGCAAAAATATACATTCTGTGCCAAGTAGTCCTTTCAGTCAAAATCAGTCGAGAGACTGTTTTTAACACTTAGGAATTCCCAGCCTACATAAAGTAGATTGACTACGGAAGACATAATGTGGCGGCCGCTGTCCAAAAAAATGTTTTCACAGGTACAAAAAAATATATTCAGACTTATTGAGTGGCACTATCCGCATCTTCTGTATTGACTGCCTGTGACTGATTAAATAACTTGATACAGCTATTATATGCTTTGACTATGGGTGATCAGTGATAAAACAGCTGTGACCACAACTTGCCTGCTTTGTCTGTTGACCTAGTTTGACTAGTCACAGTGCTTGCTTGACATATGATCTGACTGCTGGTGACTAGCCTTTGCTGAAAGTATAGCAGGGGAAGTGGAGGTGAATTTTGACTGTCTGTGACTGTTTTAATAGCAGGAGGGTTCATGTTTTTGTTGGGTCTGTGTGACCAGCAGACTACAGAATGTTTCGTCTCCCCATTCTTCATGACCACATTTCCAAACTACCACCCAGATTATCTTAAGCATATGTATGCAGTATTCCAATGGCTGCTGGCCAGGAATTATGATCAACAGTACACATTCTCAATCATTTTTATTTGCCCATTTTTGAGTAACAAAAGCAAAACCTCCTGTTTTATTGTGCATTTCATATTTGTTTTTCCCATCATCTCTGCATCGGATCGTGTCTAGCTTCCAGAACCACGGATAGAAATATCCAACTTTCCTTTTTCTTAACGAACTTGAGAACTGATAGTACCGAGAAATATTTTTCCAAATTGGGTTGGCAAGAGATGGGTTTTATGCCACTTTTATGTGAAAAATGAGAACTCTTATAACACTGTACATCCGAATTCCCTTAAAAGTTAAAGTCCTGCATATGTTTATCATACTAGTTTTTTATGACTGAAGTGAGCCTCAAGAAAAGACTTATGAAATCATACGAAATGTTTTTAACATTTGTTGTATTTACTGTTATTTATTGAAACATAAAAATATATATTTAAAACATATATTAAGATCTAACAATGAGTACAAACAGTATACTATAAAAACAGTATACAGTAAAACAGTCTACTATCAAAAGTAGGGCATTATAAATAATATAAAAACATACAGCTACACAAAGAGACAGCTTGCGCTGAATACATTAAACTGACTCAAACTGCAATGAAGTACCAACCATCAAATGTACATGCTCATACAAGTACCGTGGTTTGCTTAACTTCTCAAATGCAAGTTGAACCTCACAATGGCAAACATTTCAATACTTTTCAATTCAATTTTCATAATCTTTACACACTCTTCATTTTATTGCACTTTGGCCGTTGGTTGAATCTTAAGTTACAATCTAGTAATTCATGATCACAATGCTCCAGCAGACGACAAGATTACTTCATGAACACATCGTCACAACCCCTTTTCAGGTGTTTATCAGTTGAGTTGAGAATGACTCAATTGTTCAGCCTTTTCTTTCATTTACTAAGTATTTCAGATATTCAAACATTCTTTAATTTACAAACGGTATTTTAGGAATTAAAACCAAAAAAAAAAAATGTTTTTCACTGGGCAGCAGAACAAAATCACTAGGGGAGACTGTTTTATGCGGGGATAGAGCTGCAAGCTAGCCCAAGTATCTAATGATAGATTTAAAAGTCTAGGTGGGGATGGGGGCAGGGTTTTTAGAGAACCTAACTAGGTTGGGTGTGACAAGCTTGCTAAAGGTACAGATGGGTGAAGAGGGCCAAGACAGGGATTGGAGGGTCATTAATGGGCATGGCTAAGAGGACCTGTCTGGGTGCTGATGGGTGCAGATGGGTGTTGCAGGCTTAATATAGGAAAATGGGTCTAGAGGACAAGGTTAGGGCTCTTAATAGGGCATGACTGGGTGCTGGTGGGTGCTGATGGGTGTTGCATGCTTAATATAGGAAAATGGGTCTAGAGGACAAGGTTAGGGCTTTTAATAGGGCATGACTGGGTGCTGGTGGGTGCTGATGGGTGTTGCAGGCTTAATATAGGAAAATGGGTCTAGAGGACAAGGTTAGGGCTTTTAATAGGGCATGACTGGGTGCCTGTGGGTGCTGATGGGTGTTGCATGCTTAATATAGGAAAATGGGTCTAGAGGACAAGGTTAGGACTTTTAATAGGGCATTGGTGGGTGCTGATGGGTGTTGCAGGCTTAATATAGGAAAATGGGTCTAGAGGACAAGGTTAGGGCTTTTAATAGGGCATGACTGGGTGCTGATGGGTGTTGCAGGCTTAATATAGGAAAATGGGTCTAGAGGACAAGGTTAGGGCTATTAATAGGGCATGACTGGGTGCTGGTGGGTGTTGCAGGCTTAATATAGGAAAATGGGTCTAGAGGACAAGGTTAGGGCTTTTAATAGGGCATGACTGGGTGCTGGTGGGTGTTGCAGGCTTAATATAGGAAAATGGGTCTAGAGGACAAGGTTATGGCTTTTAATAGGGCATGACTGGGTGCTGGTGGGTGTTGCATGCTTAATATAGGAAAATGGGTCTAGAGGACAAGGTTAGGGCTTTTGATAGGGCATGACTGGGTGCTGAAGGGTGTTGCAGGCTTAATATAGGAAAATGGGTCTAGAGGACAAGGTTAGGGCTTTTAATAGGGCATGACTGGGTGCTGATGGGTGTTGCAGGCTTAATATAGGAAAATGGGTCTAGAGGACAAGGTTAGGGCTTTTAATAGGGCATGACTGGGTGCTGATGGGTGTTGCAGGCTTAATATAGGAAAATGGGTCTAGAGGACAAGGTTAGGGCTTTTAATAGGGCATGACTGGGTGCTGGTGGGTGCTGATGGGTGTTGCAGGCTTAATATAGGAAAATGGGTCTAGAGGACAAGGTGAGGGCTTTTAATAGGGCATGACTGGGTGCTGGTGGGTGCTGATGGGTGTTGCAGGCTTAATATAGGAAAATGGGTCTAGAGGACAAGGTTAGGGCTTTTAATAGGGCATGACTGGGTGCTGATGGGTGTTGCAGGCTTAATATAGGAAAATGGGTCTAGAGGACAAGGTTAGGGCTTTTAATAGGGCATGACTGGGTGCTGGTGTGTACTGCTAAGTTGTAAAAGAATGTAAAACTACATCTACCAGTCCCGCATAGGGAGCTCAGGGGGTCAAGACAGGGTGCTGAGAACAAAATCACAAGGGGAGATAAGACTGTTTTATGTGGGGATAGAGCTGCAAGCTAGCCCAAGTGTCTAAAGGTAGATTTAAAAGCCTACAATCCTGGCCAGATCTCGCTGGGCCCCCAACGCCTGCTCAATGTTGTCTCTCATTGCGCGGTGTGTGCTCCATCCGCTGAAGAGAACAGCATTGACCGGGGGAGTAAGTGACCGTTGGAGGCTAAGGTTATTTCCAAGTGTCCTAACCATTTTGGCTGGGATTGAAGGTGGGGGTGGGGGAGTGTTTTTAGTGAGCCTAACTAGGTTGGGTGTGACAGGCTTGCTAAAGGTACAAATTGGGGGGTGGTGGGTGCATCAGGCTTGGAGGATGGTTCGGATCTGGAGGTCCAGGGTAGACTGCCGGGTGTGTCGACGCAACAGGTTGGTGGCCACCATGCACTGATTCCGTCGGTACTGTGGGGAACTGGTTCGGCCGCGCCATGACGGCATCATATGCTGGCGGGGCTTCGTCAGCTAACGAAGAGGGTGGAGCTGATGGGGATGCCGCCTCCCTTATAGTCAATGACTGCCGCGGAGGATGGTAGTGCACCATGGGAGGTGCTACGACAGTCTCACCTGGAGGAACTTGAGAATAGGCCGTCGCTGAACCCTGCCCCTTAAAAAAAATATTAAAGATAACAAATTCTAATTTTAAAGAAGTACACAAATCGTGGTATGAACTAACTTAAACCAAAATATGGTATTAGTGAGAGCCCCGACAGCGAGGCCACAAGTAATGCTCTGAAGTGGCGATTGTGCAAACTCTGATTAGCAATGTGTCAAAATGTACGCATCCTCTTGGTACTAACTCAGTGAATACAATGAATGTTCCAAGCTGCACAAATGCGTTATTTATTTACTGCAGTGTTGGAGTATGGTAGATTTTAAAAAAAAGCTTCCAAAGTTAAAAAAAAATGGCCAAGGAAGTTAGGATCAAACAAAATATTGCATCGCAGATGCAGAAGCCTGATAAACTGAAACCAAACCAAAGCTAATATTTTTGGACCGGGACGGTGGATTTAATACCTGCGTCTCTGTGCTGGTACTTTTGGACGACGCTAGGCATCCTTTGCAGCAGTACAACAGAATGAAGAAACCGGCAATGCTTCCAATCACAACACCGGCAACTCCACCTGCTGATAGCGAGGAAGCTGTGAAAATTGCAGAAAGCAAAAGATCAACTTCAAGAAACATCGTCCATGATCTTCGACAAATTCAAGGTTTTCTTTCTCAAAGCTGGGAGCAGTGAATGTATGTTCGCATAGGAGGGTTTATATATTCTTACAAACAGAGCTTTCCATTTGATAAATGCATCGGACCCAGACATCTCCTTTGTGATCGCAGTCGCTGTTGTCCCAGCCGCTGTGACTACACTGGACGAGTCTTTGCTCGTCACCTTCACAATTGACACTCTCCAACAGGACTTTCGGATTGTCGGAAAGCCATGTTACGTCCTTGTTGCCATCTGCAATAAAAACTCAAAATGAGAGAGCCATCACGATTGAGATTAAAACGATCGCTATTGGGTATGACTGTAACGCACAAGAACCGCCCCGCCCCACGCCCCCCCCCCCCCTCCCCATTAGTAACCAAGAAAAGGAGAGTTTGGGGAGCCCACCAGAAAAGACATTCTAATGCATTGCAAACTGCACCTGAAGTTTGCGCAAAGATGTCATTGATGTTCAGTATCAACTTGTGCGTGCTTTGCCCCATATGCGCGTGGAGCACTTACAACTGCAACACACGACACCCCTACAACTTGCAGTAAAGCGTATTGCAAAGGTCTTCGCCATTGAGTTCATGCAATGGTTAAAGTGGCGCAATGCCCGCGTGAAAATCCAAATCCACAATACCTCATCTGGTTTGTGGTATTATTGTTAATGAATACCAGGAGGGAAAGATTACTCAAAGCAGGCCAAACTAATCATTTGTCATTAGGAACGAACTGTGAAAAGATGGATAAAAGTTGGAAATTCGGTATTGGATTTTGCACTTCACCAATGTAATTGTTTTTTTTTTGCTTTCTTAAATCTCCATTGAGGATGTGCAAGAATTTCCGGCATTAAAATAATGAAATGTGGAAAAGTGACCAACCATATTTTTCGGAGGCGGTGAATCCAAGCTCTTTGCAGAGCACATCGCTGTTGACCGTAGTCCAGCCATTACCACAGATTGTCCCCAACTCCCGCTCAAAGTAAATAACGACACGACCTGACTCACCATCACCATCCACAAGTGTGACTTTGCCATTCTCTGGAAGGACAGCAAAAAAAACCACCAAAAAACAGTTATATCAGAAATAGAAAGTTAAGTAAAATTGGGAGTATGCATTGGGAGTCAGGTTTGCGCAGTGGTCCTTTCCTCGCCTTTTATTGCTATGCCCCAGGTTCGATTCCAGCCCTGGTTCACATGCAGGTTGGGTTTTCAGTCCCTACCTGATTCAGTGGGTTTGTCCTAGAATATTCTTCAGGGGTTTTCCTCCCGCCTCTAAAACTTAACCTTCTCGTTATTGTCTGCTCTTTACATGTTTCCTCAGGCTTGCGAGCTAGAGTTGCTGAGGGCGCTTTTGAGGAACCCTTGGTTCCATTACCAGAAAATTCATCCATTTGATTTGCTGCGCGATGCAAGTAATGGTTGCAAAACTGCAATCGACTGGTAAGAGATCATTCTCACTTTGTGACCTCTCAAACCTGTGTCGTAAAGTTCAATTTGTGGGTGCGTGTTCTATTCACAGAACAAAATACAGCACGGAAATAACAGCCCGAACTCATAAACAACATATCGAGAAAATGCAGACATGCAGTTTCCCTTTGAAAAGAATTGTAAAAGGCCATGTCATTCCTTGCCAGATTTCAAGGCTTATGGAACTGTAACTGAAGGATTTGTAATTTACAGAGATGCCACAGGTTCTGCTAAAAAAAAAAACGGAACTGGGTCTGCTTGAAAAAAACGGAACGGCTGCTTGAAAAAAACGGAACTTTTTTGTGTGTGAAAAAGCCTCTGAGTCCAAGTCTGACACAAAGTCCCCGTTGTCATCTTTATCTTGTAGCCAAGCCCAGTTCCGTTTATTTTTTAATTTTGCTTCTATGGCCTTAATTAAGCTGTCGGTTCGTTCAATCACTTTGACTTTTTCCATATTCCTAATATTTATTCTGTCTACCCGAATTTCCGACGTAATATTCGGCACGAAACATCCATGATTCCACAACACTGCTGTCGGTGTATTGCACTACGCGACGTAACGCGATGCGTTCGACAAAAACATGGTTGGTACCCGGCGTTTTTTGTATTCACATATATTTGGTGAAGCACACAAGAGGCGCAGTAGCGTGCAAGTCATATGGCGCAAGTACGTTGGCCGCCTGTATCGCATGCAGGCTCAGCAACAAAGACGTTTTTTAAGACTACTTCAACGAACAACGTTGTGCCGTGCGTGTGCCTAAATGTGCTAAACCGAGAGCGCTAACGAGGTAAAAATCACATTTCCACAGTTTTTCTTCTATTTTTCCAGTTTATTTTGTCGGCCAGAAAAAACAGACTTTTGTGAGATTTTTTTTAAAAACCGGAATTCAGGTTCAAACTGGAAAAGTGGCATCTCTGAATTTAACAGTGGCACACAAAACTTCTGTGTTTTACAACTACCATACATCACAAGTGAGAAAGCTACAACATGGGTGTACATCACGTGGCTAACGATTCTGTACGGATACAGGGTTAGCACGAATTTCTGTTCAGAGTTGTAAGCAGAGAGTTGTCATCATGAGCACAGCATTCAGTTGTTGGGAGAGCCATTACACTGAGCCAGGAGCTTTTGAAATCCAACCTACAAAGAAAACTCCAATACCTGGGTCAGTCCCACTGCAGGAGACTCCAGCCTCGTGCCTACTGCCGCAGGATCCAGAGCGGAACAGCTGGCACTCGTAAAGGAAATTCTCGTCACCTAGACATCGCACGTTGTCCACAATGGGTCCCCGAAAAAAGTCAGTGCCGAAATGGGCCCCCTTCCACGCACTGACCGCGTCTCCGTAACCAAGCTGCCTACACACCACTTGAGCATCGTTCATGTCCCAGCCCCTATCGCAAACGGTTCCCCAACGCCCATCGTATACCTCCACTGTGCCTTGCAGGGGGCTGCCCCCATTGACTAGTCTGATCTTGTAACGATCTAAAAGTTAGGGGGAAAAAAGAGAATCACAATTGGCTTGTGCACATTCAGAATATAATTAGTCATACTCAAGAGTTGAAACGAGTCACTGATTTTTGTGACTCGAGTCGAGTCATTTTAAAGAAGTGACTCGAGTCGAGTCGAGTCATTAGGTCTAAGGTTGAGTCGAGTCGAGTCGAGTCAAATATTTAGCTCGAGTCAATACGAGTCACGAATATTTGAACACTTTACCTTAAAAAAAAGGGTTCGAATCCAAGAGCTAAATCGCCCAAAACCAATGATGAAACAGCGAATTAGAAAATGTGTTTTAAAATTTGGTTCCTGGATAGTATTTTGTGCGTTCTAGAACCATGAGGTGGGAGTCTGTGACACGTTGTATATTTGTACATGACTGCTATTCGCAAAGTGAAGTGAGCATAAATTTTGCACCGTAAGTCATTGCAAATACTTTTCGCAAGGTTGTGCTTTTATTTTTGGGACTCAAGTCTTATATTAGCCTTCGCTCGAGTCGAGTCAAGTCTTCTGATGCGGGACTCGAGTCGAGTCGAGTCATTTGCTCGCAGTGGCTCGAGTCGAGTCGAGTCATTTACCCTTAGGGACTCGAGTCACCAAAAATTGTGACTCGAGTCGGACTCGAGTCGAGTCATTGACTCGAGTCATTACAACTCTGGTCGTACTTTGCGCCATACATGCGCAAACTAGTTTAGAGTCTGCAGACTTGGTATTAGGCAATTTTATATATCCTGCAACAAACGGACAATAGTTGCCCCCAAAAGATAGGACGTCGCAACTGTGGTTCCAAGGCATTTGACCAGCACCAACTGCGTGAGGTCGCTGTTCGTGCTTCGTACAGTATGTGTGATCTGATACACCGTGCCCTCTGGAGACATGCACACAATAGGGAACAAAAGATTGTATACGTCTCCACAGGGCAATTTCTATAGATGTATACGTCTCCACAAGGTTTTCACGAAATAGACATATGGATTTTACTCAAAAACTAGGAATTTCCAAGGTAGGTTGATCTGTCGCAAATGGAAGAGTTTTAGAAAAGGGATACTAAGTCCAAATTTCAGCCAAGGAAATTAATTCTGGTTAAAATAAGAGCATTTTGAAACTTCACTTTCAAATTCGAAAAACTTTACTACACAAGAACAAAGAAATGTCTCCACAGTGGTACAAATTTCAGTATGTGTGAGTGCAGAGCACATGGCTATTGCGTATTTTAGCGGCTGGCCATCGATTATCGGACACTATCGTCAAAAGCCTTGACCAAGGCTACCCAGGAGGGACTGTCTGCATTAATATAACGGGGCATAATCTGAGATCCTGTCTGCACCCAGACGACAAAAAACAGACATACCTGGCTGGGGAGCACTGCAGCGGACCCCTGCGTCTTGAGTGTGTCTGCAGGGAATATTCAACTCAGCCTTCGGGCACTGACGGAGAGATTGTTCCGTTCCCACACAGTCTAATCCGTATGAGTATACGTCACCACTCCCTTGGCCAAACCAGGCCGATCCTACAACCGATCGCGGCTCTCCATATCCCAGTTGGCGACAGGCAACGGTGGCGTCATCCATACCCCACGAATCATCACAGAGTGTCTTCCAAACACCAGAGGTATACACTTCCACACGACCGTCTAAATAAATGTTGCCACCGACTAAACGTATGGACAACTCTCCAACTTTGCATTGACAAAAGGGACAAAAAGTACAAAATACGGAGAGTTAGTAAAGTGGAAAAGATTAATTGTAGACGTTAACCCACAAACTCTGGGATATTTTGGCTAGAAACCCTGCCAAACGCAGCAACATGCAACACTGGACTAAGAGACAAGCCTGCCCAGTGCAGCACGATCCATCAGCTGGGCCAGTGTTTCCCCTGGCTAATGAACTGAGCGAGGTGGTAACAATTCAAGTTGATGATTGAAACGAAATTTGTACAGTCTGCAAACTGAAAAGAATGCAGCGTTCACAAAAATGCGCGATGATTCCAAAAACACATCAAAATTGTGAGTTCTTGATACATGGAGGTAAAGGAAAACGCTCATATATTACATAAAATGATAATATTTCAATTGATATTTCCTTTTTTGCCAATCTTCACAGCGAGGTGGTGATATTGGCAAAAATTGAGCGAGGTGGTCACTGAAAGTAGCGAGGTGGGCCGCCTCATGTTTGAATGGGCAGGGGAAACACTGAGCTGGGCCAAAAGTCTTGAGGCCAAACTGCCTCAGAGTCTGTGGTCCCCAAGTGCAGCAGGATACAGCTGTGGCATTGTTCAATGGGATTAGCTCTCATTGTCTAAGAAGCGGCCGTTCATGCACTGGTGTTGATAGCTGAATGCATCAAAGTGCACCAGACTTTTCCACCTGATGCACTGTGTTGTGTCTGGCAGGGTTTGGGTTGAGGTTATACACTGAACATATAAAAGTGGAACACCGCTATGACTATCTAGGGATGTACAGAAATGTTTTGATAAAGTGGTCATTTAAAGGGAATGTACTACATTGGCTTTTGCTGTAATGTTCAGAAATGAACTATTTTAAGGGGTTAGTATAACAGATCAAATATTGTTAATACACAGACATGTTTGAAGTTTTGTGTTCGAAAATGCTGGAAAAACCAAGAAAAACAAAAACGTTCAAGTAGTCTGGTTCCCTGTTTCCACTAAAAATGAAATGGATCAATTTATAGATGCTGGAAAATTGTAAGGTAATGGAACCACTCTAACTGGCCTGCACCCGTAAATGAACATGTAACCAATAGCAAACAAAATTTGGACTGATAAAAAGGTAAATTTGGAGCAGTAGTTGAAAAATAGTTAGGTTTTTCCAACAGTGGTCGGCCAACCACCGTTGGAAATTTATACAAAATGTCACTTTTCTTGAAAATGACTTCACACCTGGTGCCATAATTTTACAGGATGCTTAAGACTTTCATTTACCAACATCCTAGTAAGGTATTTTGTAAAAAAATTGTAGTTTTGTTTTTGATGTTTGCAAATGTTGTATATTCCCTTTAAACAAGACACATAAATGCAAATGCTACATGCAAATATGTGACACCATGTATTTTCACAACAAATGCACACAATTGAGCAAATTTTAACTGACGTGACTTTCACTGTGTTATTGCATGGTGCTTAAAATAATGTCAAATTCGCTACCAATTTCATTCGTGTTTTGTATGACCCAGCCTCAATGTAGTCTATGCAATATCCCCTTGCACGGCAAGGTTCTATACACAAAGCGATTCGGCGATTAATTATGCAAAACAAGACTGCGTCTTGACCTCGGGATTCTGACCATTCAGTGGGCTCCTTCTACATCGGTTCTTGTGCTCGCAAAATCAGGCTGCGTCATGCGACCTGTAACTATGTTACGCGATGCGCGAACGTCCTTCGGCTTCGAATGATCATCACATAAAAATTGCTTTCAACAACGTGCGTAATCTTGCACGTTCACGTCACGCCCACGAAGAGCGTTCGCTTATTTCTTATGCGCAGCATTTTGCTAACAGGCTTTTAATTCATCAACAGCTTAGTCCACATTTCTGATCAAAATGATGTCACAATTTTGTTAAGTCAACTCTGATTGACTGGCACGTTGGGTCGCATGGACCCTGTTGGACCGGAGACAGTGTCCGTTGGACAACAGGGGATACTCAGACTAGCTCACTGCTGAAAAAAATGAACAACATAAATGCAATAATAACATGCTTACTTTGTTCGGTGCCAGAGCAGATAACGCCAGCATCATTACTATGAGAACAACCAGAGACTGAGTAACTCTTCGGGCATAACATCAATTCCTCTTCTGTCCCTACGCAATCCACGGCTCTGATACCGATGCGTCCACTGCCCTGGCCGAAACTTGCTGCTTTGGTAGCAGATATGGCCCGGCCATAGCCCAGCTGACGGCAAACAACTTGCGCATCCTTGATATCCCACTGGTCATCGCAAACTGTCTCCCAGTTAATGGATCGGATCTCAACTCTGCCCTCAAAAGGACTGCTACCTCCCACTAACCTTATCTGGACGTCAAATGGATCTGGAAAACAAAATAGTTTTTATGTTATCACGTTTGTTTCTGCATAAATGTAGCAATTATAATATATCTTGCCAACGAGTATTTGACTGCAAACAAGGTAGGTAGTCTGGTAACCAAACTGGACAGATGTGTCCAACCAATTGTGGTCTACTGGTTTAGCTACCAAACCAGCTATGAATGTCCAATGAGCCAAAAGTTTAAGCAAGGCCGAGTCCGAATTAATTGGCTACGGCCTGAAATTGCACAATGCACATTGGTCTATGGGAAGTGGCCTGCAGCCGCTACCTAGACTCATTTCAAGCCGCAGCCACCTACTTCGTGTGTCCAAATTACTTTACTATAGGCTAGATTCTGTGCACAAGTACCTGCCCCCATCAACGTTTGCCAGGCGCGCAGGGCGGCTGGCCATACAAACACGTTGAAATTTTGATACGCAAACTTGTGCAAACGAATCTGGAAATTTCACGAAAAATAGACATCTGAAAAAGGCAGCACTTTCTGATTAGCCTACAAAGAGGGCGAGTAGGCCTATGCTTCTTAAGCAAAAAAAAACTACAAATTAAGCCTAAATGTGAACATCAAAATTTGACAAAGTTCGACATGTTTTTGTACATGGTGGATGTGTGGCTAGCTGGAGTTACCCAGCCCTGAGTTTTATCATTGGGTTGTCTATTAGGGCTGGAGCGAATTTTTCTCGTAACTTGTAGTATAGGCAAAATTTTTTGGAAAATGTTCAATTTTGTCCCCGTTACACACTAATTGCAACTGCAACTCACCCCAAACTTGCCTGGAATAACCATTACACAGGTCCTTGAAGTAAAAAACGATCCACGATGAAGATTCAGCCTACAATTGCAGTGAAAACAGGAGGAATAACCGCTAACTTGACAACCTTGCTGGCTGCGCTGGCTGTTGGCGCATGACGTCACGCGGAAGCGTAACACCCGATGACTGTTTCATGCACTATTGGTTGCGGTTCCAGTACCAAAGCTGTGATGCGAGTGGTAAACCTTATATTAGTGCATGAAACAGTCATCGGGTGTTACGCTTCCGCGTGACGTCATGCGCCAACAGCCAGCGCAGCCGGCAAAAACGAGTAGTTGACAGCGATCGCTCTCTGTGCCTGTTAATCGACCGCCATTCATTGTACACAATTTTGTTTGTGCACAAACCAATTGCGGTCCTGGCCAATCCAGCAAGGTTGTCAAGTTACGAGAAAAATTCGCTCCAGCCCTAATAGACAACCCAATGATAAAACTCAGGGCTGGGTAACTCCAGCTAATGTGTGGCCTATGTTTACGGAGGTAGTCCAGTAAATTGGCCACATTTATGGGGCTATTCATACCCTGGACTCCCTCCGTAACGTAGGGAGGAAAGGGAGTCCACCTGGGCTAGGTTTGGGTGAATTCCAGTTGAAGTTAGTGTGTAACTGGGACAAAATTGCACATTTTCGAATTTTTTTTTTGACCTGCCAATGCTGCTGGTTTTGGTGAACAACTTCCTCCAGCCCTAAATGACAACCCAATGATAAAATTTAGGGCTGGGTAACTCTAGCCCCACTAGTGTGGCCGTCGGTATGCTGCGCTGAACCTTTGGTCAGCGCAGCATACCGACGGCCACACTAGTGGGGCTAGGCCGGGTAACTCCAGCTAGAGCTTTACAAAAAAAGAAAATAACCTGGAGATCGATTTAAAAATCGCTTTCAAATACCACTTCTTACCCTTTCCACTGGCTCCCCTTGTTGTGCCTGCTATGATGAAAAACACAAGCCATAACACCACAAATTTGACTCGGATTAAAAGTGGCTTTGTACTCAATTTCTCACGAGACATGTTTACATCAGCTTTGTGGTTCTTACTCCTCTAGGCCTATATCATGTCCATCACTGCACTCTTAATCTTCATCATGCATGCCGCTGCATGCCATGCATGCTGCTGCTGGAGGGAACGCCGCCATGGGTGACCGTAATGTCATGCCCAAATTCTGCTAAATGCGCTTCAAAAATCTGACAGATTTATCAAAAATCTGCCAAATTCCCCAGAATCACTCGAAATACACTATAAACACTTAAAATCACATGCAGAATTGCAGATGTTGTAGTTTTGTCTTAATTAAGGTTCAAATTACATTATAAACAATTTATAGTCACATGAAGATGTCATGAAATTGCATAAAATGCGGTTAATTCAAAACTTAGGCAAAGTAAAAAAAAAAACATGTTTAGCGTCCTGCGTCTTTGACAAAAAGGAAGGAGGAGGCCCTTTTTTTTTTTTTTTTTTTTTTTCAAAATGGCCGCCCGACACATTTTTCAAGACAACGCGGCTGGGCTATTTTTTAAGATGGTTACCAGCTTTTTTCAAAATGGCCGCCACTTGGACTCATTGACTATTTCCACAGCTTTATACACGGTATAAAAGTCTAAAAATACGATTTCTTTCCTCAGAGATCGTTAAAATGTATCAATTTTTGTCTTTAAAAAAAAAAAAAGAAAAAAAAAAAGAGGCGGCCTCTAAAAAGGAAGTGGGCGGGGACGCTAAACATGTTTGTTTTTTTACTTCGCCTTTATTGTGTCGCGACGAATTAGGTCCCAGTTCTAATAGAGCTTACCTGTCCCATTATGCACGTGTTTGTTTGAAAAGATTTTTTAAACAAATGTACCATTTTTTTCACAAATTTGCTATGTATTTCTGTGAAAATAACCATTTTTGAAGATTCTGTCAGAAATCTGCCAAAAAAATCCATTGTCCAATTTTCTGTCAAACTTGTTTGTAACGAAAATTCTGCCAAATTTAGCCGAAATTCGGCTAAAACGGTCACCCCGAACACGCATAATCCCGCCGCCAAAACAATACACCATCTGCATGTTGGAAAATACAAAGCGTCACCATATCGTTTTCTACGATCTACGTACAGTTGAAGCCGCTGGCAATGATCTACTCATGCCCATCACTATAGAATAATTGATGAGAATAAGATTTCATTTTGAGGATGTCCATTTTAGGAAAAGCTAGGACATAGGCCATTGTTCCAACTTCAGGTCCTCAGACAAAAAGTATAACCAGCAGCGCAATATCTTGGCTTTCAGCAAGCGTTTTTGATCATTTTGTTTTTGGGGTTTTGGGTGCTAAAAAATAATGACACTGGTTTCCAATTCATCATTCACAGGAGAGGAAAAACACTTCTTTTTTTTAAACTTCAACCAGAGTTTCTTTATTTCATGACATGTACGTGTGACATGTATATAAATCTTCTTATTAAATACAATTTTGTATGCTTTAATGAATATCAATAAATAGCTAGTAGAAAAAAGAATACATTAAATTGCATAATGATACAATATATAATAATGTTACAATATACACAGTTTTTTATTCAAAACATAAAAACATGCACTTTTGGAGTGTTCAGGTCAATGAGACGAAATGTACAATGCTTCTCACTGAATTATGAGCTGACTGCTTGAAAACAAAGTCAATTTTACAATTTTAAAACAGTCCGTTAAAATCTTATGATTTGTATTCTCTTAATGTTTGTTATTATTCAACATTACATATATAAACATTTGAATACTAAAACACAAGAATACTGTGACCGCAGAAAATATAAAAGCTGATTGCGTAAAAAAAAAAATTAAAAAAAATTGGAACAGGAGAGCCATATATTTTAAAAAGAATATTAAAAAATACTTTAGGGATCTAGGCTCACGCAAGTAAGCTCTGTGAACAATTTTTTTTTATTTAGAGAGCCTGTGTCTTTTAAAAAACTATGCCATATTTTTGTAATTATTTTAAGGACAAACAACCAAGTAAGGCAACTGCAAAAGCAGATCGAGAAACGATCAATAAAACATCTGCCAAAATTTGGGTGACAATACGAAGTTCTTTTTCCCCTCTTTTTTGATTTGTTTGGAAGATAGTAAGTTTTTTGCAGGGATGCTTTTGAACAGAGCCCATTGTAAAAGCCCCCCCCCCCCCATTAAGACAGAGCTAATTTCTAAGCTTCATACACATTTAGTCTCGCTAAATCCTGTGTCTGTTTCTAATCAAACTTACGGATTCCTAATAACACAGATAACGGAAGGATTAAAATAACAGAATTTACAGTCGAGAAGACATTTGATCGGTCGTTATGAATACTAATATAACAACAGCTGCGTAATATTTTACAATTAGTGACTGCTGTGATGTGGAACATTCTGTTATTCACACTTTGGGGATGCACAGAAGACAACTTGCCAGTCATTTATGAGTACTAATCAAACAACAGCTGCGTAATATTTTACAATTGTTGACTGCTGTGATGTGGGACATTGAGATATTCACACTTATGTGACGCATTGCACCCTCGGCTTTGCCTAGGGTGTCATGCGCCCTCAAAGGTGCAAACCAAGAACATGTCCCATATCACCGCTGTGTTTATTATATCATGTCATTTGATTTCTGTGGGCTTTTGTGCTCCGTCAAAGCAGTCACAGAACCCTATGCCATGTACTGTGTAATTTGAGACGTAAATAATGTCACTTTTGTTATTACAAATGCACCTTAAGACAATTCTAAAACACGGAAATAACAATATCCAACATGCAGCATAACAAAGTACTGTTCATCATACACAGTTATACACATAAAAAAAACACGATATGAAATGTTACATTTTCAAATGGCGCAAAAATAATGGCAGAAAAAATGTACAAGTGTACATAAAATTTCACTATTTGTTTACAAACTACATGATTAGCACAAACTACATGATTAGCACAATTCTGTTTACATATTCACATTATTTCATGCATATTCAACAGTGATCCTTTTACGTTCCATACCGATATTCCAAAACAATTAAGAACTGAAATAGTTGTGATCTTGCACAAAACCCTGTGCACAAAAACCCTGGGCATAGTATTATTTTGAACTTAAACCATTTCGAAGGGTTTGTGACTGACTTGTGATTGGCTTATGATTGAGTTGTGATTGACTTGTGATTAACTTGTGACAGACTTGTGATTGGTTGGTGATTGACTTGTGATAGACTTGTGATAGACTTGTGATTGACTTATGATTGACTTATATTGATTTATGATTGACTTATATTGACTTGTGATTGACCAATGATTGATTGATCAGTGATTGACCTGTGATTAGCTTGTTACTGACTTGTGATTGACTTGTGATTCACTTGTGACTGGCTTATGATTGACTTGTGATTGGCTTACGATTGGCTTACGATGACTCGTCAGTCATCTGGAACTGATGTCAAATCCTTTCCAGTTACGAAACTCCCTGAACCATTAAGTGATTACGTCATCAGCATCCAAGTACATTGGATTGGATATTACCTGGGGCTGGGGTACAGCTGGGTTGGGTGCAGATGGGGGGTTCTGACCAGGCGGCAATGGCGCTGGTGGATAGGCTGGATCAGACGGCTGCTGTGGGATCTCGAACACGGCGCCGGTTACCAGTGGGAATTTTGTGGGCTGAGAGATGACCAACTCGTAGGTAGGGGGCGGGGCCTCGGCATCTGACAACTGGTGGGCAGACGGCTGCATTGGCTGTGAGGGTTGATGAATATACTGCTGAGGAGGATGGTAGTGGACCACAGGAGGAGCTCCAGGATCACTTCCGCCGGTTGGTACCTGGGAATAGGTAGTCGACGGAGCCTGTCACAAACAATAAACACTTTTGACAATCGCATTGCGTTTTGGGTATGAATGACAAACAAGCAGTGCAATATACTCACAAACCTATCAGGGCAGTGAATCGGTCAAACTTTACATTATTTTGTTTCCTTAGGTATTTTTTACAAAAAGTACCTGATCACCTGAGTTAATATTTCAATGCAATGAAATTGAAATGTAATTTGAATACAAGATGAAATTTAAAACTTTGGAGAAAAAAAAGAAGAAGAAATTGTCATAACATTTTCGGTGAGCAGGCACAGAGGAATGAATGTGATTGGTTGGAGTTGGATGAGAGAGCTTGAAATCCCGATTCTGATTGGCCAATACTAACTTTTCCCGTTTCAGGGTCAAACTTCAAGTTGTAATGTTTTTCTAAACGAGGAAATCCTGAAACTTTCATTCCAACAAGCTTTCCCAAAAATGACTTGACAAAAAAATATATATTGCAACAAGTATGCAACAATGTGTGAAAAGATGATCCCTTTTAAAATTCAGGATAAAATATAGTTGGGACGAATCAAATGAAAGTTTTAACTGGTTCACTACCCCATAGGTTTGTACACAAATTGCCTGGTTTCATTGTTATCCATTCTCAGAATGCACCAACGACATCAAACAGATTTATTTGTGCCAGTTATGTTTTGTTTTCAATTGAGAAAAATTAGATGAATTCAATAAGGGAATAAATATGTGCTTTCAGGCCATTATTGGCCCCTAGCCAGTTTTCAACATTATTGTTAATAATACCGGCCATATTTCTATCCAAATACCTTTCAGTCAAAAGTCAAAACAAGTCAAGAATTATAAATTTCCAATGATTTTGTTCAACTATTTCATTTCATATTTTGTGAAACACCCCTCTACAGCTATGGTTATGGTATGTGCCTCTCAGGAGCAGTTCTAAAGATCTCCTTATATGGAGATTGATGCGTGTGTAGTGCGTGCTGTGTGATGTGGCGCAGAACATAGCGGTGCCGGTGTAGTGTGCATTTTGAACTCTTGGTAGTATTGCGTATGCCTAAAGATTGTGAATGTTCAACCAATACAATGGTAAAAGGGACCAGATTTCGTAGGAGTCCAAATTCATGAGACTCCAGGGGAAAATATGGTTTTAAAAACAGTTTGCGTTTCATCAACCGTTTAAAAACCACCCAAGTGACGGGCTCTCCACCAATAGGAATGAGTCAAGTACTGTCTTAGGTATTTATGAATGATACATTAATGATTTTTTTTAGTAGAATGTTTTCAATGCAGTCACCATGGGCCTTATGCACAAGTTGGCCATTTGTCTCAAGTTCCCTGAATGTATTTTATAAATTGTTAACTGTTGAATGGGATGGCACCAGACTATTTATGCAGCCTTATTTTACTGTCTTTTTTTTTAAATCTGGCTTAAAACATTAGGGAATGTTTTAATTACCAAATTTAATTATAAGTTGAAGCAAACTTGATTTAATTAGCAATTTACTTGCTTTCATTTCTTTTTGTTAGTTCCAAAAATGAAGATGTTACCTCACTTTCAATTCAATATGGCCGCCTCGTGCATAAGGCCCATTATCTAGCAACGTGCAAATGAAGTGAACGGGGCCAAACTTACTGCCGTTGTTGAGTTGGCGGGGCCTTTTTTCGACTTGCAACAGCACAGTATGCAACAGACACACAACAGAATACAGCTGCCGACTAACCCACAGACAAGCCCAATTGTCGTTCCGGAGACCAGTCCTGCAGTGGAATGGTTGGTATACGGTGGTTATCAGATGGTGACATTTCATTGGTTGAAACTGATCATGTGACATATTGCATGATTTCATAGATATCAGTATAATGCACTAACTTCATGGAGTAACCTCGGGTTAGGGGTGCGCATTTGCGGGTAGAACAGGAATCGGATACCCAATCGAAAAACAAACCGGCTACTCGTTAAAGAAACCAAACCCAATATTTAAATCCCGGAAGTTGCTGTCCAGATTGTCCATAAAGGTCTGCAAGATAATACTTTTGTTCTAGCAAGGCACTGGAGGCGAAAAATCAAAATTGTAAGTAAAGGTACTAAACTGCTTTAGTGAACAGGATTTTTGTGGGTGTTTGTACCCAGATATGCAGCTCTGTACTTACCTGGAGCACCGTTGCATTTCACCCACACGTCTTCACCATGAGAACAGTAGTTACTATCCCACTGGCCATGGTTGCAATAGACTAGTCTGGTTTCGCTTCCTCCACAGAAAACATCATCAAGCCAGATGGGTTTGGTACTACTCCTTCCGGTATCGTACTCTAAACCAAGCAATGAAACAAAAGGCTGTACGATATATGTTCAAGTATTCGTCATTATTCAACACCTAATATCTTTTTATTTTCAAAAGAAACAACTTGCTACCCACAATTTACATCATTAACCTAAACCTTGCAAGACGTAAAAGCTAAAAGTCTGTGTACACACGTCACGCGCTCCGGGCTCCTTAGCGGAAAAGAATGTTGACGCCCCTTTTTTCTCATCATAATTTTGTGACCGGCTCCACAAAAAAAGGTATTAAGCCAAAAAAAAAAATAGTCGGTTTCTGGTCAGCACGCGCGTCGATTTTAATCATGCGCGTCAACTTTTTTTTCTTCAAATTAACACGGAAGCTACAACAGCGCCCTCTATTGCTGCACCTCCTCAAATTTTTGTACCAAGGAGCACCAAGGAATGGGGAAATTGCACCAAGGCAAATGATAAGGGCACCAAGGCAAATGATGGAGGACACCAATGTATTTAATGAGGACACAAAAAAACAAAATAGTACCCACCTTGTCTGTACAATTGAAGCTTGAAAAAAAAAAAAAAAAAAAAACCAATCGCGTCAATGCATCAATTCCGGAACTTCGGTCTGACCAGAGAACCGATTATTATTTTTTTGGGGGCCTTAAGTCGCGCTGGGCATTATTGTGTAATGGCCCATTCGACATTGAGAGGGTGAACAGTTTGTTGAAATGTGATTTTCATTTTTTATCATGAATGAGTCCTTTAATACCTACAGTTTCAGGTTTTATTCACAGAAATCTTGATTTTGATGAACAAAGCGGAAAAAAAACAACCATTTTGTGTACATCGTTCTGTTGTTCTACAACAAAGCCAGCTATTTCAAAGCCTGTTTTCTCAGTTGTGTAATTTGAACTCCAAGGATTATGCAAATACATCATATCTCCAGAACGGGAGGGGCTATGGAGCTCTGTTATATACCAAATGAAAGCTTACATTGTGGGCTTTCCAACCATGTATACAACTCAATTTCACTTTTTTGCGACATAATACCCTTTTTTGTGGAGCCGGTCACATATATCATCTCAATGAAGGTCAGACATTACAAAAATATTAAAAAGCCATGAATCTGGGACTGAGAAACATTTTCAATTTGTTAGGAAATACTTTGAAATATGCACTTGACTCTCTATAGACTTTGAACGCAACCAAAGAAGTGGCGTCTGCATTCCTTCTTCTTTGGCCAATAGGGTTACAAAAATGCGCTCACATCATGTCTTTAGGCCAAAAAAAAAAGTCTCCGGTTTCTGGTATGGAGCTTGCCCCAAAAGTGGTGCGGCGACGCGGCTTTTTTTTTTTTTTTTTTACCTGGTTTTTTTTTTTTTTTGGCTTCAAATGTCGGCTGATGACTGCAAATGGTGCCCGACTAAACTTAGTGCAAATATATGGGAGTCCAGAGAGGCCACATAAAGCTTATTCTCGATCCTAACCCCATCTAAAAACACGTTAAAATTGTGCAGCAGCAGGATTCCAGTCAAACCAGTGAGTTTGGCGGTTTTGAGACATCATCTTGTATTGAAAAAAAAACTTTGTCATTTTGCCAACGCGCATGGCTACGGCGACGCGCGCGCATACCAGAAACCGGAGACTTTTTTTTTTTGGCCTTAGGGAAGCAGTTTTATGTCAAAAAATGGCTTCTAATTTAAAGTTACGGTCCATTATTTGCAGCTATCCAAAAAGTAACTGACGTAATTATTGTTGAAAACCATACTTGGTTGAATGACAGTAAGGGGATCAAACTCCCTGAGAAATTATTCTTTCTGGCATGCTGTCATTTTGAAGAAATCAACGAAAGAAGGCCTTTCCAACAATGTGTCTAAAGATGAGTAGTTCATTTTTTTAAACGGCAAAGTGCACGGCGTTGATAAGACACACACGCACGTGCAGTTGCTATAATTCGTTGGATCAGTTCCCTTACTGTCCTTCAACCAAGTATGTTTTTCAACAATAATTATCTGCTGCAATCGCCTCAGTGAGAACGTGGACGCTGAATTCAGGCCCAATTCAGAATATGATTCAGCAACTTCTGATTTGAAATCGAGATCCTAGAATGTTGCTTTTCTCGAAATATACAGCTGAAGCTGAGCTGAAAGTTCATCAGGTTAGTTGTTCAGCACCTTTCTTTAGACTTTGAGCACGTTTGTTGCTTCAAACACACAAAATGCACAAATTACAAATGATGGACTATACCTTGAAATATGGACAATTTCAAAATTTGTAAATACCTGAGGCGTCAGATGTGGAGATGGCAAACTCGTGTCCCAGCTCCTTGCAAACCACGTCTGCATCTGTCTTGTCCCATTGGTCATTGCAGATGGTGCCCCATTGTTGCTTGTAATAGATCTCCACGTATCCGTCGTACTTCGAATTACCCTCGACCAGACGCACTTTACCAAACTCATAGGCTGGTGAAACAAATGACAAGAACCACATTGAACATCACACTTGTGATGAACACGACCACTGCATTTCTAACTCATCACCCAATTTTGGTCAATTTTTATATGATAGCGATTTCTTAGCAACTTAAAAAAAACACAGCTATTTTTAATGATGTGTGTTTGGAAAATTTTAAGATGATAATCAGAGTTTTGCACAAGTAAACCCCCCCCCCCTCCCCCCGCACCCCTGACAGTGAAGAAAAAAGACAGACACATGAAGTTGAGGGACACTGCCACTGTGGGCAAAATGCTTACATTAGGACGCTACATGTTTTTACATATTAATGAGCATTTTTGCATATTCAAATCAGCGTTTTTGCATATGAACAAGTGTATGTATAAGCATCGTGACCCTCACTAGCGCCTCAAGGGAGCAGGCAAAAAAAAAAAAGTCCCGTCTATTTCTTATGTCTACAACTGTTGAAGAAGATTTTCCGGTGAGTTAAAGCCAGAGTCCATCATTTGCAGCTATCCAAAAAGTGAGTGACGTAATTAGTCATTGAAAAAATACTTGGTTGAAAGATAGTAAGGGGACTAAACTCCCTGTGAAATTATTCTTTATGGCAAGCTGTCATTTTGAAGAAATCAACAAAAAAAGCATTTTCAACGGTGCTTCTGAAGAAGCACCGTAGGAAATTTAAATTAGTTGTTTGTTTTGTTATTCGGCAAAGCGTGCGCAAGCATTGGCACGACGCACACGCGTACGCGGTTGCTATAATTCGTCGGATCAGTGCGCGACATCGCGTAGCTGCAATCGGCTCAGTGAGAACGTGTATCGGACGCTGAATTCAGGCCTAATTCAAAACATGATTCAGCAACTTTTGATTTGAAATCGAGATCCTAGAATGCTGTTTTTCTCGGAATATACAGCTGAAGCTGAGCTGAAACTTCATCAGGTTAGTTGTTCAGTACCCTTCTTAAGATTTTGAGCACTTTCGTTGCTTTAAACGAACAAAATGCACAAACTACAAATGATGGACTATACTTTTAGGCCAAAAAAAAAAAGTCTCCGGTTTCTGGTATGCGCGCGCGTCGCCATAGCCATGCGCGTCGGCAAAATGAAAAAGTTTTTTTTCAATAAAAGATGATGTCTCAAAACCGCCAAACTCACTGGTTTGACTGGAATTCTGCTGCTGCACAATTTTAACGTGTTTTTAGATGGGGTTATGATCGAGAATAAGCTTTATGTGGCCTCTCTGGACTCCCATATATTTGCACTAAGTTTAGTCGGGCACCATATGCAGTCATCAGCCGACATTTGAAGCCCCCCCCCCCCCCAAAAAAAAACAGGTAAAAAAAAAAAAAAGCCGCGTCGCCGCACCACTTTTGGGGCAAGCTCCATACCAGAAACCGGAGACTTTTTTTTTTCGGCCTTAAGCCTTCTTTTGGGGATGGCAGGTGGATTTGTTTGTAGGAGAAAGGCATTGACAAAACTGCCCAGGAGGAAAAACAGAGGGACTGAGGAGAGCATTAGTTACCTGCAAAAGAACTGCTACAAGAAACACTCGCGTCTTCACCGTGTTGGCAGTTGTCAATAGTAGAATATGCGCAATCCTGTATAGTTAGTTCGGTTCCCCGACAATTCACTTCGTCAAAGACTATCGATCCGGTTCCAGGGCCATAGAATGCTTCCCCTGGAGCTGTCAGTGCGTCTCCGTAGCCAAGCTGGCGACAAACCACAGTGGCGTCTGCGAGATCCCAGTCATCGTCGCAGACGGTGCCCCACAAACCCCCGATGTACACCTCCACACGGCCGTCCAGCGCGCTGTAACCGTCAGCCAGTCGGATTGTTGACGTATCTGTAATCATACAGGAATTGAATTTGTGTCGATAAATTAAGACAGAAAAACATCCACCTAAGAAGATGAAGTTCGGCGAGGACCATCAGTCGACTGGTGGTTGATTTGTGACAGAACTTACGCCTGCACACCAATGGCAACGCATGAATGCCTCTAGTCAAACGATGGTCAAAAGTCCTGGCTCCGCCCGGCTATTGGTAACCAGCGATGAAACCATGCCCCGGGCTCCAGTTTCAAATAGTCGATAAAGGTACTCCAACCATCCTTTGTTCGAGTGCAGTTAGTCGAAATATAGTTAACTATAGTTTGTGTCTGTCAGATACTTATTTTTTTTATAGGAGAGACTTAGTCAAGTCTAGTAAGCCATGGTCAGTATTTCTGAGTGTGAGTTGACCTTTGTACATGTCTCCGCATGTGTGTGTGTGATTGTGTTAATGAAAGGTTCGCACTGACTGGATTGCATGAAAGGAATGTGTTCTGTTGTAGTTTATGCGTGCACTGCATGTCAGGGGAGAAGCGCGCGAAATGTGGCAGATTTGATCTCCGCTTTGCAGCGTCAACAGCTCATCATGCATACGGGTGTATTTGCGTAAGACTTAGCTTACCCATCGCCCAGAAAATATCCCTCTTCATGATATGTTGAGAGGATTGTGAGGAAACTTTGCCTATTAGTTGCTGACCGTAAGTATGCTGGAAAATTCTGTAGTTTGGACTAAATTTTGTTTTAAAAGTGTAGTAAAATTTGTCATATAATGCAACCCAAGATCACTGGAAATTTACTCATGCTTGTGACACACTTGTAGCAGAAAATACAACCTTGATATTTTGATGTGTAACCATGTATGTTTATATTGATACCAGGCTTATAAATTTAATTTTGGAATTCTCACAGATGGCTTTTGGGCCAACCCGACAGGCGGGTCCCTTAAATTTTGAGGTACGTGTGCACAAGTACACAGTGGCCCGCAAAGCAAGGGACTACTGCCCGCTACTCTCACCCAATTGGGGTCCTCTTTAGTTGTGGTGCACATGTGGTGTACACCAATTGTGCACCAGCTTTATGCCAATGATGTGACTACACCAAACATACACCCCAAAATCTTAGTCATAATGTACATACACCAAAAGTACACCACATTAAAGGGAATATACAACATTTGAAAACATCGAAAAACAAAACTACCAAATTTTTACGAAATACCTTACTAGGATGTTGGTAAATGACAGTCTAAAGCATCCTGTAAAATTATGGCACCTAGTGTGAAGTCATTTTCAAGAAAAGTGGTATTTTTGTATAAATTTCCAACGGTGGTCGGCCGACCACCGTTAATGGAAAAAACTAACTATTTTTCAACTACTGCTCCAAATTTACCATTTTGTTTCAGTCCAAATTTTGTTTGCTATTGGTTACATGTTCATGAACGAGTGCAGACCAGCTAGACTGGTTCCCTTACCTTACAATTTTCCAGCATCTATAAATATTGATCCATTTCATCTTTAGTGGAGTCAGGGAACCAGACTTCTTGAACATTTTTGGTTTTTCTTGTTTTTTTTTCCAGCATTTTCGAACACAAAACTTCAAACATGTCAGTGTAACAATATTTGATCTATTATACTAACCCCTCAAATAGTTCATTTCTGACAATTACAGCAAAAGCCAATGATGTACATTCCCTTTACGTTGGTTCACAAAGCATGGCACCAAATATACACCGCATTTTGTTAGTTCTTTAGGCTTGCTTTCGATGCCAGACGGGTATTCGTGGGATGACGACAGAGCGTCAACCACTTGAGGTAAACGGCGTTGAGGACTCAAATTCCCCTCCGGGTCATCGGGTCAAGGCCAACAATTTGAAAAATCCACACCCCACAGGACCAGTCTAACCTACTCATTGTGATTCAGCCCGAGGTTGGTGATTTGGGTCTAACTCCATATAGGTAGCAAACCAGTAAATAAACTTCCATAGACCCCAATGGTAAATGCTCCCACTTCAGAAATTCGGGAAAAATACTCACAACTCTCCAAGGTGTTCGAGACACACATCAAATTAAAGCTTATTTCATCATCTTTCATTTTCTTTTCAATTTTCCGGGGGTCAACTGATGACTTTTAGGAGAAATTTCCATCCGAAGATGATCACCCCTGAAAATAGTCCTGAAGCCCATCGCCATTTTGAAAAACGATGCCTACACTCCATTGCAAAATAGAGCGCTTTAAGGGCTCCAATTTCATCCAAATTGAACGGAACTACCGTAATTTCCTGCGGATAAGACGCGTCTTATCTGACTTTCTAGACCATAAAAACATCGCTGCGCCTTATCTACAGGTGCGCCTTATCTGGTGTCGCTTGAGTTCAAAGTGACGGTCTTTGTGTGAAGAATTCATTCAATGCCGCAATCAATAATACGGTCAACCAAGGCTCAACTCTCCAGACATTGTGACCGTATTTTCATTCCAACAATGCCGCGATGTGTTGATCCCCCATGATCGTGCTTTCATTCCAACAATGCCGCAATGTGTTGATCCCCCTTAGTGATCGTGCTTTCGTTCCAACAATGCCGTCATACAAACGTTTTTCTTTGTGGCCGTTTTTTCATTCCGAAAATGCTGCAATCAGAATTACTTAAACGTTTGGAAATCGCATTCACTCAAGTTCTATTGTGTGAACGTTGAGGGTGTTTATTGTACAGGATATCTTTGAAGTCTGCTTTAGACTTAGGATAATATGAAGTACTAATGTTTATTTGTTGCACTTTCGTTTGTTTCATTAAACGTTCAGATCGTTCATTTATTAATTGCCTCTTTTTAGACGTTTGTTTTAAAAAGTATTATGGGAATTTGTATTATCTTATTATACAGTAATAGTAGGTCAGGATTTTTATTTTAAATATGGTAATAGGAGTTTTGTTTTAAGAAATTTTTATATTTAGGATAATAAAAAGCGATGTATTAAACAAATATCTTATGAACGTGATTAACAAATTATAGGTTTGAAATAAAGGAAAAGAACTTTAAATACAAAAAACATTACATCAAGTTTTAAAAAATATAATAAAACATTTTTGTTACGTCTCCCCCGGTGTGACGGGATTATTTTCGTATGGTATATACATATAGGCAACGCTAGTTTTTGTATTAGTCACCGGTAGAGGGCGCAACATCTGGCTCGGAGGGACTGGGCAAGTCTACGAATCTGATCCAGTGCGCGTGTTGCAATATCTTCAGACAGCGCGTGGACCATCGTTTCTGGCCGCTGATTGGGTCGCACTGCATTAACAAAAGGCCAAGGAAGGCCAGGATCGGAAACCGCAAGCAAGCATGCACAGCGTGTGTTGGCTGAATGGATGAAAGTCGGTATCAATTTACATTGGTCTTTTCTTCATGGCTCTACAGGTGACCAGCCAATGTGGTTACGGTTTAATTCATCCTCCGAATAGTGTGATCGTTCTAAGGCAACACAATGGCCCCTTTGTGGCGATGTACCGACACCGGGTGACGCCTGGTGTTCTTCTGTGTGCGGTCAAACATGCGTCTTATGCGGCGGTGTGCCTTATCTGTTGGCGTTTGAATTTTTTTTGGGTGATTTTAGGGACCTGCGCCTTATCCGCCGCGCGCCTTATCCGCAGGAAATTACGGTACAAGCTCCCAGTCTTGTGCACGGCTTCCACCCATATGTTTTACAAACCCTCAAGTTCATGGCCCACAGCATCCTCAAATACTGAAGATTTTGAGGGCATGCAAATCGTGATTTGGCCGGCGTAGGCAATTTCGGACCGATTTACTGGTCTGCAACCATAATTGCCTGCAGCCGGTAGGATACCGAGGCCTATTCAGTTATATGAACAGTGAAATATTGAACTGTTGAGATTATTTGATGTCTTGTTCAAGACAATTGTTATTTAAATCTGCAGGCCCCGTCATCTGTGAAATTTCATTTCATTCCATGCTGGAGGAGTGGGTATGTAATTCTTGAATTTAATTCTTGAAATTGTTTTTGCATCTGGGTTGGTTTCTTTATTGGTTTATTTGGCTGCATCTCATTTGCAAAATTTAATTTATTCAATTTGATTTGAAGCTTGTATTTTATAAAGTTAAATTTGTTTAATTGTGCTATTGAAGCTTACAGGTATTTTTATTTGCATTACTATTTGCATGCATTGATTTCCTTCGCTTACACTTTTGAAGCTAGCATGAATGTTCATTTGCTTTGCTGAGTGCATGCATTGATTTAGATTTATTTGATGTGATTCTGGTATTTGTTTTGATATTGACTAAAGCCCTGTCCGCACTGGATTTTTTTGGTCAAACTGACCGAGACTTTGGGTACTTTTCCCATTTTAAGTCCAGTGCGGACAGCTTAGGACGTTTTCCTCTCAGTTACTTTTCCTGAGTTACTTTTACTGGCCAACTGCTGCCCAGGAAAATTGACCGGGTGCCCAGGAAAACTGACCAGGTCACTTTTCCCGACACGATAATCCAGTGCGGACAGTGCGAGTCAGTAAAAGCGGCTCAGGAAAGCGTACATCCGACCCGAGCGCCCTTTTAAGCATACATAGACCGCACGAACCTGCACGTGCAGTGGCCGAAAATGTTCAGAAACCGCTGCGGTGTATCATCAAGTCCAAGCGGTAAAATCTCGTTACAAATATATTTCAACGGAGAAATACATACACAGAAAGAGAGATCACATTGTGAGAATTAATTTGCAGAAAATTCTCTTTCTCCACCGATGTTTGTTAGGTATTTTCTACGATCCAAATTTGTCCTGTTACGCTACTGTTGTCATGCACGGCGCATCATGGTCCGGGACCGTACGTGGACCGTAGTCACTGGTTCCGGTCCTACATCATAGCTTTAATTCTGTTAGCATGCGATGGGAACCAAGGAATACTGATGGCACTGCTGCCGCACGGAACATCGTACAGCGGCATGGCTTCGACGACGTGCATCACAAATGCGTCAGATTTATAGGCCTTTTCGTCAAGATTTAACCGTGTCAAGATGAAATAATATCGTGTTAACGATTATGTTGTGCATGCAAATGGCGTGTGTAATATTACTGTGCGTATCGGCGGCTGAAAATGTGATCGGCATTTTGTTTTCTGCGTACGGTGAGTCATAATACTGACACAGTGACAGCTCGGTTAATTTCTCCCACGCGGTCTGGGTAAAGTTTCCCGTGTCGAAAGTCCAAGTGCGGACAGTGGTCACATTTGACCATTTCTCATTTTACCATCATCTCGGTAAAACCTTCCCAAAAAAAAAGTCGAGTGCGGACACGGCTTATGCTTCATTCCCTTATGCTTCTTTTTTTTTTTGCTGATTAATTTGTATATATTTAAACTTTAAGTTACTTTCTTTGATTAAATTTTGAATTGATTTTCTTTTAATTTTGCATTCCAAGTCAACACCATTAGTGATTTTCATTTAATTGAACAATTTCCCCAATTGTGCATTTATTGAGCATGCTCTTGGTTCACTGATTCTTCAGTTTGAATTTTGTTTTCAATAAATAAGTGTTTTGGTTAACTTCAATTAATTTTCTGCTTGTTGCTGAATTTGCTCTTCCTTAAGGGTTGGTTAACGGCCTGTTGTGAGGTTATTCTGTCGCGCCAAACTGAGCACAGGGTTCGCGCATGACAGTGTCCAAAATTGCTCTAAAGTGTTCGAACCCCTCATCCCTATTGAGCTTTAAACTTCCGATCTAAAAATGGAATGGAAACCTGTCAACCAAGTCTAAGACATCTGTAGCAGAAAGCTGGAGGTTGTAGGTTCGAATCCTGCCTGAGGAATACAGGGAAGAGACAAAAACCAAATTATTCAACTATAGGTAATAACAGATTGACCTACCTGACCCGGATGTACCACAGATGACACCCGCATCCTCACCATGTCCACAGTTATTTACAGTTGACTTCACACAATCCAGTAAGCTTGTCTCCGATCCAGTGCACGCCACGTCATTGAAAAAAATGTCTCCACTGCCCTGGCCAAAGCGTGCCGAGCTGACAGCTCTAATGGCATTGCTGTATCCCAGCTGGCGACATACCACCCTCGCGTCATCTAAACCCCAGCCGTCATCACAGATGGTTCCCCAAATCCCATTTAAATAAACCTCCACTCGGCCCTGGGTTTCACTGCTGCCACCGACAAGACGTATGGCGAACCCAGCCTCTGAAAAAAAACAAGAGCAAAAAAGTTGAATAAACCATCAGTTGCATAAACATATTCCTAAGCCTGCCACGCACAACACAGTGCATCGGGTGGAAAAGTCGGGTGCATTTTGATGCATTCAGCTACCAACACCAGTGCATAAACGGCCGCTTCTGAGAGCTAGTCCCATTCAACAATGCCACAGTTGTATCCTGCTGTGTTCAGGGACCACAGACTCTGAGGCAGTTTGGCCTTGAGACTTTTGGCCTGATGGATCTTGCTACACCGGGCAGGCTCGTCACTTAGTGTTGCATGTTGCTGCATTTGGCAGGGTTTCTAGCCCAAATACCCTGGAGAGTTAGGGTGAATAAGAAAATGTTGATGCTAGTAAAGCACCACAGGTATGGATGACTATTGTGGTTTTGATCTGTACCAAGTTTGAAGCCAATCGGATGACTCAAAGTGTGAAAAAAAGCGAATAAAATTGTACATATTTTAAAAAAAATCATAAAAAATTAACCGATAACGTCATCGTGACGTCATTTCAGCTTTTGTGTACTTGTATTATTTTCTAACTACCCACCAAGTTTCATGACGACGTGATGACGTCACCTTCATTTTCATCCTATTTTCATATACCTATTGCCTAACAAATGTAATGCAAAAAGAATTTTGAATTCAGCTTATTGCGTTCATGAGATATGGCAAAAGTCTTCAAAAGTTCAAAAATCTATATAAAATCACACGATGACGTCACCTTGATTTTCATCTATAACACGCCTCAATCTACCTACATACCCAGTTTCAACCCAATCGGACTAACCGAGATATACTGAGATATAAAGGCTTAAAGTATGCATCTTTAAGATGATGTCACATGTTCCATGATGACGTCATTACTGCATCTATCTTTACCAAAGACCTTTGCTATGTCATTTTTGACTATGTTAAGTTTCAATGTCATACGACTTTGTTTTATGCCCAAAGTGCCCACGAGACAAAACGTGTACAAAGTCTATGGGATTTGGGATAGAAGATGATGAAGAAGAATTTTAAAAAATGTAATCATAAATAGACCAGTAAAAATGCAGCTCTTGCTCATGAATATATATGATGTATAGTAATTAGTGGGGTTTTTTTTGGGGGGGGGGGGGTCTATAGTAAAAGCTAGCCTCTCTAGTTCATGTGTGAGGCATTGTTTGAGGGAATATACAACATTTGCAAACATCCAAAAACAAACCTACCAAATGATCATGAAATGCCTTACCAGACTGTTTGTGAATGTCAGCTTAAAGCATTTTCAACTTGTATTTTTGTATCAATTCCAACGCTGGTCAGCCGACCAGCGTTGGAAAGAACTCTTTTTTTTTGGCAAATACTGTTCTTAATTTATCATTTTTAGGTAGTCCACATTTTCTTTGCAATTGATTACAATTGGCTTGCAGAGAAATCAAAGTTTCCTGATTTTTCTCCGTGTAAGATTGGACAAACACGTTTAACAGCTAGCGATGAGTGGGTTGTATATATCAATCTCACTGGGCCTGGTCAAATTAGGCCCAATGAACCATTTGCTGCATGGCCGTTTTTAGAAATGTTCTTATACCCGTACTTGGAATGCAAGTACTCGTACTTGGAAGTAAAAGTACTCGTACTCAGAGACCTGTTCTTGTACTCGGAAGTACAAGTACTCGTACTCGCACACATACTCGGTAACCTAAGTACTTGGCAGTACTCGGTACTTGGGATTTCTCTACTACAACACTGCGCACAAACACACACGCAGAAGGACAAAGCAAAAACAGTACGTCTGTCAGGCTTTGACGGCCCGGCACAAGAACTTTTAGTCTTACCTATACAGATGACCCCAGCATCCTCATGATGGTCGCAGTTGTGACTTGTCTGGAAGGAACAGTCCGTCAGCCTGCTCTCACTTCCTGTGCACTGTACATCATCCATGGCTATCGGGACCGTTCCCTGGCCAAAATGCGCCAATGAATGAGCCGATAACGCACCAGCGAAGCCTAGCTGACGACACACCACTTTGGCATCGGTCAGGCCCCATCCGTCGTCACAGACGGTTCCCCAATCGCCGTTGAGCAACACCTCCACTCGGCCCTCGCGAATGCTGGTACCGCCGACTAGACGAATTAAGATAGTGCCTGTTTCGGGAATGACAGAAGGGAAAGAAGGCAGTGACGGTAATAAAAGAGGAAGCTTAAGAGATGAGACGGAATCAGCAGCGTTTGGAAAACTTTCAAATAAAAGACAGTAGAATCTTAAACTCTTGTGTGCTTTATACAGAGATGAAACTGGCATTTGAGAAAAATATTTGAAAATAGAACAAAAAATATGTGTTAGAAATCTGGGCTGCACTGCAGTTAATACACATGTACACACACGTTTGTTTATGGTGCAAATCAAGCATTTTCTTTTGTTCGTAAAAAATACACTGGACATCGCCTCCTGTAAATTTTACAATGAGAAAAATGTTCAGTGTTTTCATAAAAAATTTACTTTTCATTTAGTTTAGTGGGAAGAAGGGGTCATCGTGCACCCTCGGAAATCAACTTCTAATCAACGTCTTTAGATCAGAAAAAAAAAATGCGTAGAAAACGATTTGCTATGTTAAAAAATTCAAAAATGTCCCACGTATTGTTCTTATGCAAACTAGTGCCGCCATTAGCGAAAAATCTATTTGTCACTATATCTCAGCCAATATTACAGATAACTGAAGAAATTATGTGTCTAAACCCATGTTTTCAAGGTCAGGGATCATAATTAAACTGTTCTGGAAGTGACCACCTGTGTCTGTGGCATAGGAATATGCAAATTAGTGCCGCTAATAACGGAAAATCATGTTTTTGGCATATCTCGGCCAATATAGCACATAACTACACAAGTAAGGTGTCTAAACCCATGTTTTGAGGGTCAAGTATCATTAGAAATCCATTCACGAAGTAACTACATTAAATGTATGTGTGTGTCCCAGGCAGGTAAATATGTACATTCTAAAGTGCCGATTTATCAGAAATTTGATTTTTAGCCCATATCTCGGCCAATATTGCACATTTACACAAGTAAGGTGTCTAAACTCATGCTTTGAGAGTCAGGTATCATTAGAAGACCATTCACGAAGTAACTATGTGTGTCCTTGGCATGAAAATATGTAAATTCTAAAGTGCCTGTTTATCAGAAATGTGATATTCAGCCAATATTTTATTCAATTTCAGCCAATATTACAGTTTATTTTGAAAATAATGGCTTAAGATCAACTTTGATCATTACTGCTTATCAGAAACCCATCTGTCAACATTAGCTGCAATATTGGCCGAGATATTGGCCAAAAATCAAATTTCTGATAAATCGGCACTTTAGAATGTACATATTTACCTGCCAAGGACACACATAGTTACTACGTGAATGGTCTTCTGATGATACCCGACCCTCAAAACATGGCTTTAGACACTTTACTTGTGTAGTTATGTGCTATATTGGCCGAGTTATGCCAAAAACATGATTTTCCGGTATTAGCAGCACTAATTTGCATAAGAACAATACGTGGGACATTTTTTGAATTTTTTAACGCAGCAAATCGTTTTCTACGCATTTTTTTTTTTTATCTAGAGACGTTGATTAGAAGTTGATTTCCGAGGGTGCACGATACCCCCTTCTTCCCACCCAACTAATGTGATTCAATCATGTGCATGATACAACCAAACTCCATTAACGTACGTGGGAAAAATCAGGCATAATTGTCTTTTTCTTCCAACAACTGCCAGTGAAATGTATCATTTATGCTCCCTCCTCAAGGTAATTATTGTGACTTTTAAACCAATGCATTTTGTACAACTAACCTCCGAAAATGGCACAACACATACATGTTAGATTTTATCCATTAGATCGTTCATGTGGCCGGCTAACCATACCCGGCCGGCCATGTGCTAGAGGGCAGCTGGGTAGAAACCCTCCATTTACAACTGGTGAAAGAGATTAAATCTACACTCATGATAATTATTACGTGCCGTTTTCATCCACTATTGTATCGACTTTTCTTCGAAATGATAATTTAAATAAAATCACGTATTGTGGAAAAATCGTTAGAAAATCAAATTTTGTGAGACAAATCAAAAAAGAAATATGATACTTTGTTGGAAAAGTCAAAAAGTCGGTTTTCCGATTAAAATCGAAAAACGGGTTCCCTTGGCATACGTAAAAATATTACATCGTTCGTTATATGTTTCACATTGTAGATGTGTTCACGAAGAGAAAGTTTTGCATCGGGCAAAGATTGATAAAAAGTGCGGCAACAGTGAATAGTCCTCGCTCAGCGCTCATGCAAGTTATCATCATTCTCAGTACTAACTTGCACAGACGACCCCGGCATCTTTGTTGTGGTTGCAGTTGTTAGTGCTTGCTGACTCGCAGTCCTGCAACCGACTCTCCCGTCCTGTACAACGTACGTTGTCTAAAGCTATCGGGACTGATCCGGCGCCAAAAGATGCCGAGCCGGGCGCTGAGATGGCACCGGTGTAGCCCAGCTGACGGCACACTACACTTGCATCGTTGATGTCCCATTCGTCATCACAGACTGTTCCCCAAGCGCCGTCTACGTAAACCTCCACTCGACCTCGAAAAGGGTCACCGCTGCCGACAAGACGTATACTGGAATTGGCTGGAATTGGAGAAGAAAAGTTGTTTAAAAAAAAACACACTCACCTCTCACCTTTGAAAATGGCAAATTCTGATTTTCATAGATTTTGGTGGATTCAGGAATAAAGAACTGTCTCTCTGTTAGCAGTAGTTTTAACGTCCCAATAATACCACCCCCCCCCCCCACACCCCTTCTCCAATTTGTTCAGATATAGCCCTCATTCATGTCCAACAAACATGCTTGTAATGTATGTGTTCTACATAACCCCCGAGGACCGACACACAAAGGGAGAACAACAGATCCTTTCAGTCCTCGGTGTTGGGTCTTTTGTTGAAAATGGTCCTCTATTGTATGGTTATGTGCTTAGTCTATACGAGAGTGTTATTACAGGGAAAAAGGGAAACACAAAGCATTGTCCTGGAGAGTATAGTAAAACATGACTGTATGAGAGCGCTTGTGTATGATGTGTGTGGCAGGACTGTGCAGTGTGGCATTGCAGAGGCGCATACATGTATGCTGTTGCCCACGTACACAGTGGGCGGCTGGGCGTGGCCTAAAGAAATGTACTCAATTACGTCTACGAGTACTACAACACTACTCTAAACTGTCATGGAGAAACAATGAGTAATTTTTAAGTGAGCTACTTCAAAACGAAGACACTACATGAAATGTTTACTCGACCTCGACTTAAAGGGAATATAGGGGCCTACATCATTTGCTTTTGCTGTAATTTTCAGAAATGGATGGAATTGGGGGGTTGGAAATATATAGCAAATATAGTTACACTGACTTTTTTGAGGTTTTGGGTTCGAAAATGCTATAAAAACCCAGAAAAACAATCATTTTCCTGTAGTCTGGTTCCCTGATTCCATTTAAGAAGAAACAGAGCAGTTTACAAATATTGGGGAATTGTAAGGTCAGGGAACCAGTCTAGCTGGCTTGTACCCGTTCATAGGTGTGTAATCGATTGCAAACAAGTGCGATGGTCAACTGGGGCCAGTATTTGAAAAAAAGCCAGTTTTTTCCAACGCTGATCGGCCGATCAGCGTTGGAAATTGATACAAAAATACCACTTTTCTTGAAAATGACAGTATACCAGGTGCCATGATTTTACAGGATGCTTTACACTGTCATTCACTAACAGTCCAGCAAGGTATTTCAAAATGATTTGGTAGTTTTATTTTTTGATGTTTGCAAATGTTGTATTTTCCTTTAACACTTGCCGAGCTTATATACCATCTTGCAAACATTGAATTCTGCATTGAGCTGCAATCATGGTATACAGTATATGTGTTAAGTCTTTTTTCACTTCGATATAGTGAAACAAGTCAAATTATATTGTGTACAATACACTTTGAACAAAACTATTAAAACGTAAGTATCGCATGTGAACAATCAGGTCAGATACTCAATCTCCCTGCGGGTCTGTAAACAAAATCACAAGAAAGTTTTTTTTAACAATGTAACTCTTCAACAACATTTTTTGCAAAGAAAGGACAAAAACAACAAGAATAGTCTTATCTTCCCACCCCACCCCAACCCATTAAAAAACAAGTCAGGTGTGTTTACAAACACAAATGCCCCGCAACCGTGACTGTTCCCATGACATAACACCACTCTTTTAACATCAACTTACACGTACCTTGGTCACATGGAATGTTCATTTACAGCATTAGTGTCTTCTGTAGGTTTTATATGAATTAATCCCCAATCCCTATGATCTCAGAATAAATACAAGATTTTTATTGTTTTAGCCACTGTGACCTTGACCCTTGACCTTTCGACCCCAATGCGAAAGGCCTATTTGGATTACCAAGAACGATCCACAAACCAAATTTGAAGTTCACATGTAAAGTATTTCTCAAGTTATCGCGCTGACAAAATTTCTTTTGTTTTAGCCACTGTGACCTTGACCCTTGACCTTTTGGCCCCAAATGCAATAGGCTTCTTAGGATTGCCAAGGATAATCCACAAACCAAATTTGAAGTTCATATGTAAAGTATTTCTCAAGTTATCGCGCTGACAAAATTTCTTTTGTTTTAGTCACTGTGACCTTGACCCTTGACCTTTCGGCCCCAAATGCAAAAGGGTTCTTAGGATTACCAAGAACAATACACAAACCAAATTTGAAGTTCATATGTTAAGTATTTCTCAAGTTATCGCGCTGACAAGATTTGTCCGGACACACACACACACACACCCACCCACGGAAGGACAAGGCGGAAACAGTATGCCCCTTCGGCTTCGCCGCGGGGCATAAAAAAGTAAAAAAGAAATTTGAAATTTACATGACAGAGTGGGGCTGGGTGCTGAGCAGACCACACCAGCGTCTTCATGGTGTCTGCAATTGTTGGTGCTCGAGAACTGACAAAGGTGTAACATGCTTTCATCACCCTGACAATTGACATCGTCGAACTTGATGGGTCCGCTGCCTTGTCCAAAGGACGCCGATAAACGAGCGTAGAGGGCATTTCCGTAGCCCAGCTGTCGACACACCACTGTGGCATCTGACAGATCCCATAAGTCATCGCAAACTGTTCCCCACGATCCGTCCAAGTACACCTCCACTCGGCCCTCCAGATAGTTACTACCGCCAACGAGACGTATGGAGTATTCCACTAGAATTTAAACACAAAACAATAAAAAAAAGGTTAATTCATTTTAAAAATGAGGAACAATCGGAACAGTATGACCCAGGCAACTGTATGACATTGGGGGCCTTTTCGGTTTAAAATCCATAACGCTAATTCATACACTAAGACAGTTTACCCTTTCCTATTGGTCGAGAGCCCGTCACATGGCCGGTTTAAAATGGTTGATAAAGACCGGATGGCTGGTCTTAAACATTCCGGTGTCAAATGAAATTTGCGCTTCTATGAAATCCGGTGCCTTTTACCATTTTATTGGTTAAACGTTCACTGTCCTCACGAAGGCATGCGCAATACTACCAGTGAGTCAGTATTTCATTGTCCTAAATTCACGCCGCACCGGACCACCCAAATAATATTCACAGGGAAATAAAGCGTAATTTGTATCGTTATTAACAATCATACAAAAATATTTGGGAGAGTGCAAGATACTAAATATTTAATTATTAAAGTATTTTTAGTTATATTCCGAAGTGGAAGCCAGGTTTCTTGAGAAAAACAACCATGTGACAAGAATGAAGAGTTTGCAACCCGTCCGGCCAAATTTGCACATGGGTGTCAATTTGCAATTGCCTTTACGCAATTTGTAACATGCGCGTCACAAGTATAAAACTTGCGCGTGCAGTAGGCTATAAACTTGCGAACAGTTTCCAAATTGCACTCGACAGTTTTTTTATTGCACTCAAAAAATGGCCTGAACTTTGACAACAGCTGAATATTCAAATAAAAAAAATCAACGGTATAAACATTTTGTGTAACTAATGAAATATCCGCGTAGCTGGCAAATGGACTGGAATTGTTTCTTTTCCAGTGATTCCAACCCCATACTGTAGCCAGAGATTTTAGGGGTGTATTTCCGAGTGGCGGGGTATTCTGTAATTAGGCCTACTCCGAAACTTGAATACATTGACCTCAGGTCAAGGTCACTAAAGGTCAATGGAAAAAATGGCAACATCAATTTTCTTGTTCTCAGGACTCATAAGATTACATTTATAATGGTTGCCATAAATTAACATGACATGCCAACGGAAGTACATTGGCCCCCCCCCCCCACTAATATAAGTGTTCAACTACTCGTCATTCTCAGTACTAACTTGCACAGACGACCCCGGCATCTTTGTTGTGGTTGCAATCGTTAGTGCTTGCTGACTCGCAGTCCTGCAACCGACTCTCCCGTCCTGTACAACGTACGTTGTCTAAAGCTATCGGGACTGATCCGGCGCCAAAAGATGCCGAGCCGGGCGCTGAGATGGCACCGGTGTAGCCCAGCTGACGGCACACTACACTTGCATCGTTGATGTCCCATTCGTCGTCACAGACTGTTCCCCAAGCGCCGTCTACGTAAACCTCCACTCTACCTTGAAAAGTGTCAGCGCTGCCGACAAGACGTATAATACTGGAATTGGCTGGAATTGGAGAAGAAAAGTTGTTAAAAAAAAAACACACTCACCTCTCACCTTTGAAAATAGCAATTTCTGATTTTCATAGATTTTGGTGGATTCAGGAATAAAGAACTGTCTCTCTGTTAGCAGTAGTTTTAACGTCCCAATAATACCACCCCCACCCCCCCCCCCCCCCACACCCCTTCTCCAATTTGTTCAGATATAGCCCTCATTCATGTCCAACAAACATGGGAAAAAGGGAAACACAAAGCATTGTCCTGGAGAGTATAGTAAAACATGACTGTATGATGTGTGTGACAGGACTGTGCAGTGTGGCATTGCGGAGGCGCATACATGTATGCTGTTGCCCACGTACACAGTGGGCGACTGGGCATGGCCTAAAGAAATGTACTCAAGCATGTCTACGAGTACTACAACACTACTCTAAACTGTCATGGAGAAACAATGAGTAATTTTTAAGTGAGCTACTTCAAAACGAAGACACTACATGAAATGTTTACTCGACCTCGGCCTCGACTTTAGCACTTGCCAAGCTTATATACCATCTTGCAAACATTGAATTCTGCATTGAGCTGCAATCATGGTATACAGTATACGTGTTAAGTCTTTTTTCAAATTCAATATATTGAAACAAGTCAAATTATATTGTGTACAATACACTTTGAACAAAACTATTAAAACGGAAGTATCGCATGTGAACAATCAAGTTAGATACTCAATCTCCTTGCGGGTCTGTAAAAAAAATCCCAATAAAGTTTTTTTTAACAATGTAACTCTTCAAGAACATTTTTTGCAAAGAAAGGACAAAAACAACAAGAATAGTCTTATCTTCCCAACCCCCCCCCCCCCCCAACCCCTTAAAAAAAAAAATAAAAAAAAATTTGAAATTTACATGACAGAGTGGGGCTGGGTGCTGAGCAGACCACACCAGCGTCTTCATAGTGTCCGCAATCGTCGATGGTCAACAACGGACAAAGGTGTAGCATGCTTTCATCACCAAGACAATTCACCTCGTCGTACTTGATGGGTCCGCTGCCTCGTCCAAAGTACGCCGCTGAACGAGCGTAGAGGGCATTTCCGTAGCCCAGCTGTCGACACACCACTGTGGCGTCTGACAGATCCCAGTTGTCATCGCAAACTGTTCCCCACGATCCGTCCACGTACACCTCCACTCGGCCCTCCAGATAGCTACTACCGCCAACGAGACGTATGGAGTATTCCACTAGAATTTAAACACAAAACAATCAAATAAAACGTTAATTCATTTTAAAAATGAGGAACAATCGGAACAGTATGACCTAGGCAACTGTATGACATTGGGGGCCTTTTCGGTTTAAAATCCTTAATGCTAATTCATACACTAAGACAGTTTACCCTTTCCTATTGGTCGAGAGCCCGTCACATGGTCGGTTTAAAATGGTTGATAAAGACCGGCTGGCTGATCTTAAACATTCCGGTGTCAAATGAAATTTGCGCTTCTATGAAATCCGGTGCCTTTTACCGTTTTATTGGTTAAACGTTCACTGTCCTCACGAAGGCATGCGCAATACTACCAGTAAGTCAGTATTTCATAGTCCTAAATTCACACCACACCGGCACACAGCTACATTCCACACCACATCGCGCAGTACGCGTGACACGCATGCCAAATCTCATATAAGGAGTTTTTACGACTATTCGCAACAGGGCCATACTATAATATAGCTAGAGGGGTGTTTCGAAAAACATGAAGTAAAACTGTTGAACAAAATCATAGGAAATATGTAATTTTTGACTTGTTTTGACTTTGTGACCGAAAATGTTTGATTTTTGGACTAAAAAGGTTTTTATGAATGGGAATAAATATGTGCTTGGCCGGTACTAAACACTATGTTTAAGACCGGTTGGAGTCTGGATGCTGATAATTACCCTCGCCTTCGGCTCGTGTAATAATTATTAAGATTCATCCTGTAGACGCTTTGGGTGAAAGACATTGATCGCACACGAACCTATTGACTTCTATTGTGCATTATGTCATATTTGTACATGTAATAGGGTCAACATGCATGAATTAAAAGTCGTGACTCGTAACTCATTTTTAGGGGGTTTGAAACATGAGTACGTGCCAAACAAAGCATTTTGGATTTGTGTGCATAATTAGTGTGCCCTTGTGGTAAATATATGCAAGACATTTCTTTTTATAGGAATTGGGAAACACTGCAGTCTTTTTGTCACACTATATCGTCTGGCCTGTCCGTGTTGAAATCCACACGGGTCCGCCATATATAAACCAACTGGGTCCCATACACAACACGGGCAGGCAACGTGTGCTGTTCTGACTGTCTACCGGTACCTCTTTTTCAATCTGCCTTTCGGTTGCATGACAAAATATTGCAGATCTCAGATTCGGTAACTCCCTTTTCACCCAACCGTCTCACCTACTCGTGTTGGAATCAACACCAGACCACTGAAAGCATAGCGTACCGTTCACACTTACAATGAGTCGTAAACCGGGTCGGCTGATGATTTAGGATTATCTACCCCTGGGTTAATTGGATTTCAAGCCGAATTGACCTATCGCTGTTTGCGAGTTAGCCACGCCCCTTAGACAACCCTATGGAATTCTGTATGTTATTAGTTTAGTTTTGTTTGTCTCAGATTTTGCGCATTCCGCGTCCATTTTTGTATCACTTAATTCGACAATATTTCACAAGCTGCGTTGACGCGATTCTACCGCGATAGGTTCATTCTTGCAGAAAGGGGTTCCCGAAATCTCCGTGTTGAACCGCGGTCCAACATGGAGTATGGTGTGAAAAGCCCTCAAGGTGTACCCACTCTCAGTGTGCACAGGTACAGGTGTGCGACACCCTTTTTTTGATATCGTGTACATGTGTTCATCTGGAGACCCCCCCCCCCCCCCCCCCCGGCATGGTGCATCAAGAGTGCATCATGTTTCTCAAGTCATGGTCTTCATGTGCGTCACGTCATGAATTGGTGTGTCTGACAATTTGGGAAGTGTGCCATATTTCCTTCGAATCTTTGGTTTCAATTCTTTTAACACTATTACTCCCTATGGTGATTTACTAGGACACTATCCCATCACCATGGTAATCTGTGCACACAAACAGTTGGACTCTGTTTATTTGTGGTATGCCTATCCCACGTAACGATAAAGCACAGTCAGTTTACTAGTGCAGTACTCATCCTAACAAGTAACAGATCCCAACAAACCCTGGTGATGGAGTTTGGCTGGTTGGGGATCGTTAGGGTTGCAGACCAGTAAATGGGTCCGAAATTGCCTACGCCAGCCAAATCACGATTTGCATGCCCTCAAAATCTTCAGTATTTGAGCATGCTGTGGGCCATGAACTTGAGGGTTTGTAAAAAATATGGGTGGAAGCTGTGCACAGGACTGTGAGCTTGTAGTTCCGTTCAATTTGGATGAAATTTATGGGCCCTTAAAGCGCTCTTTTTTGCAATGGAGTGTAGGCATCGTTTTTCAAAACGGCGATGGGCTTCAGGACTATTTTCAGGGGTGATCATCTTCGGATAGAAATTTCTCCTAAAAGTCATCAGTTGACCCCCTGAAAATTGAAAAGAAAATGAAAGATGGTGAAATAAGCTTTAATTTGATGTGTGTCTCAAACACCTTGGAGAGTTGTGAGTATTTTTCCCGAATTTCTGAAATGGGAGCATTTACCATTGGGATCTATGGAAGTTTATTTACTGGTCTGCAACCTTAGGGTTCAAGCTCTTTTCTGTTGTACAGTGTGTAGATAAACATGAAGTACTGAATTTACTTTGTTCAACTAGTGTCTTTGAGACGAATAGACCTTTGTGTAATTCTTATCAAATAATACTACCATACGTCTTTTAGCTTATGAATTCGGACGGAAATTTATGCGCCGAGCGAAATGCTTTTGTGTACATCACATTTCACACTGACAGGACCAATCCAGAGGCCAGCCCACCCCCTAATTTCGGGCGATTCACAACGCAGTGCGCGCCACCAAGAGTTTGCCACGGAGAGTTCATTTTTCAAGGTCACGGTCGACAAAACATGGCCCATTTGAACGAGCGTCAGTAGAAAACTTGAGCTTATTTGTTATAGATTGGGGCAAAGCGTTCTGCCGCCTTACAAAAAAAACTCCATATTGAAAGAACGAATAGAAAAGGGCAAACAGATACTCGAATCATACGCTTTATACGAACTTTCTGGCCGGAAAAACTAACAATTTCAAAAGTCCCGCGCTGCGAATTTGTCGACCATCTCCCACAATGCACTGGGAAAAATGAACTTTCCATGGCAAACTCTTGGTGGCGCACTGCATTGTGAATCGCCCGAGATTTACCTGATGACTAGTTTGTATTAAGGTTGATCATCTTTAAAAAAATAAAAAATAAAAAATAAATAAATAAATTATCATCTCCAAGAAAATCAACATCTTTGGCCGCGCCTTTTCACTTTGTGAAAATCGGATGACCCAAATATTAAAAATATTCACGGTAAATAAAGCATAATTTGTATCGTTAGTAACAATATACAAAAATATTTGGGAGAGGGCAAGATACTAAATATTTAAAGTATTTTTAGTTATATTCCGTAGTGGAAGCCAGGTTTCTTGAGAAAAACAACCATGTGCCAAGAATGAAGAGTTTGCAACCTGTCCGGCCAAATTTACACATGGGTGTCAATTTGCAATCGCCTGTACGCAATTTGTAACATGCGCGTCACAAGTATAAAACTTGCGCGCGCAAGTAGGCTATAAACTTGTGAACAGTTTCCAAATTGCACTTGACAGTTTTTTCATTGCACTCAAAAAATGGCCTGAACTTTGACAACAGCTGAATATTCAAATAAAAAAAAATCAACGGTATAAACGTTTTGTAACTAATGAAATATCCGCGTAGCTGGCAAATATGGACTTGAATTGTTTCTTTTCCAGTGATTCCAACCCCATTTTAAAATTTTATAGCCAGAGATTTTAGGGGTGTATTTCCGAGTGGCGGGGTATTCTGTAATTAGGCCTACTCCGAAACTTGAATTTATTATCAGTTCACAATCACAAGCATTTCTTGGTTAAGCCTATTCTTAAATTTTGTAAGGCCCCATAAAATATCCTCCTTTTCCGACATATATTGCCACGCCCACTTACCCTGTCCATTTGCGCCATCAGTGTTCAGCAAAAGGAAGATAGTCGTCAGAGCCAAACTCAACCTCGTCCATTCCTGTAACGTTGCCATGTTTATGAACATGGACGATGTAGTTTACAAATTTCCGTTCATTCGATGTTTGTTATTTCGTGACGACGTCACAGAAGAGAGTCTGATGATGAGAAACGTAGGGATTTTCCCAATTCGTTCTGTCACATCATACGCCTTGAAATCAGGCTTATAAGTTATAGCCCAGGTTGGACCATTGGACGCCGGACGACGTCTTCATTGCATACGACTCACGTCCAGGGTATAATTAAATTCTACTCCGACCATGTAGGCCTAGCGGAAAAAAATCTAAAACAGTTTGTTCATATTTTTACCTGATGATGGAAGCTGAAATTTCGGTTACATGCATATTCCTTGTGTCCAGAATTATGCATACGCTGGGTTTAGAAAAGGCAAATACATACATCCGCGGGCGACGTGTTTACCGAAAATTAACCGCAGATCCACGCTTTCGTTAAAAACATTTGCAGTACGAACTCCCCCTAACCACTTCGCCCCATCCCCACTTCGCCCCATTCCCACTTCGCCCCATTCCCACTTCGCCCCATTCCCACTTCGCCCCATTCCCACTTCGCCCCATCCCCACTTCGCCCCATCCCCACTTCGCCCCATCCCCACTTCGCCCTAGCCGTTACATGCAAAAAAAAAAATCTCATCTTTTTTTGGCTTAAAAAACTATTTCAACAGATTCACTAATTGCTAACCAATGGAAAGAATTAGCCCATCACCAAATGAACAATTCATAACCAACCTCTCAAGCTATAGGCTCTCCCCTACCGAGAAAAAAGCTTTAAGTAAAAGATCAAACTTTGTTCCCAACCCGGCTATACCAACCCGTCTCCCACATATCTGAGAACGACAATACCTTTGACATCCTAATTTCACTGTTGGAGTAACCAATCTCATCTAAATGAAGTTGTAAGTGTCACATATCAGACAAATTTTGACGGAACATTTTCCTCAAGGCAGTGAGTTCCTTTTAACTCACTGACCCATACCTACGGATTCTTTTGAATCCAGCGGCTGATGATTTTATTCACAAGCCAATAGGAGAGGCGTCTCTGAATGGGATAGAGCCATCATTTCTCTCACCTGTGTCTCGAGCACCTCATCAAAGAGTTTGTTTTTTTCCTAAGTTTCTAGAATTGGGAGCATTTATTATCTGGGGTCTTTGGCAGTTTATTTGGTCTGCACCCCTAGCCTTCACCTTTTTCATACTACTGGGGCGAAGTGGGGATGGGGCGAAGAGGGGATGGGGCGAAGCGGAGATGGGGCGATGTGGGGATGGGGCGAAGTGGGGATGGGGCGAAGTGGTTAGGGGCGAAGTGACATAGGGCAGCGTGGAAATGGGGCGAAGCGTCCGACACCCGTGTGAAGACTAGGGTGACCGTAAGGTCATGGCAAAATTCTGCTAAATGCGCTTCAAAAATCTGTCAGATTTATCAAAAATCTGCCAAATTCCCCATAATTACTCGAAATCATACACTATAATACGGTGGCCCACAACTGTCACGGCAAAAGCAAAAGCGCCACGGCAAGCGCAAAAGCGCCGCGGCAAGCGCAACAGCGCCGCGGCAAGCGCAACAGCGCCACGGCAAGCGCAAAAGCGCCACGGCAAAAGAAAAAGCGCCACGGCAAAACAAAAAGCGCCGCGGCAAAAGAAAAAGCGCCACGGCAAAACAAAAAGCGCCACGGCAAAAGAAAAAGCGCCACGGCAAAACAAAAAGCGCCGCGGCAAGCGCAAAAGCGCCACGGCAAGCGCAAAAGCGCCACGGCAAGCGCAAAAGCGCCACGGCGAAAGCAAAAGCGCCACGGCGAAGGCAAAAGTGCCACGGGTTTATTATCTTTACATTTCTTGGGATGCACGTGACAATTACGAGGACGGGAGGCTCTGTGAGCTGATGCATTTTTTTGAAGAGTTTTTTTCCTTCCGACTAGCATGCAGAGAAGAGTTCCGTTAATTTGAGACTTAGTTCACCCATGGGCGTCGCGAGGGGGGCAAGGGGGCGCTCCCCCCCCCCCCCCCCCTGGAATAGCACACAAAAAAGGAAGGGGAAAAAACTGAGAGAAAAAAAGAAAAGAAAAAGAGGCGCGAAGTCATAGTGGTGTAAATTGAATGAGTTGGGGGGGGGGCAAAATGTCCCTGCCCCCGTCTAAAACTGAGAAATCGAGAATTTGTTTAGAAATACAAGAATTTTTTGGGAAAAATATGTTTTGCCCCCTTTAGAAAAAATTCTGGCGACGCCCATGAGTTCACCGGTGTGTATACCAGTGTAGGCACACAATTGAGCTGCCCAGAGTTTGGATATAGAATAAGAAAGAAAGAAATTAACTCAGAACCTAGAACTCATTGGCCCACCCACCCCCGGCTCAAGAAACCAACAAGCCGAACAAGACCTCATGATGCTTAGCGATAGCGACGGATGAGTTGCCCTGTGGACAGTCTTCCACATCATCGCAGAATCAGCCTGCAGGGCAGAAAGAGGGCTTGTTTCCGGCATCAAATAGTTCCGTATTCACTCGAAACAAAGCAAACGGCTCTTTTCAGAGCCACCAAATTTTCATAGAAGAGCTTAGAACTGTGCATCTCAACGATAACACTTCTCCTTTGTTTAGTGTCTCTCCCTTACCCCCCCCCCCTTTTTAAAGTTAATTTCTTTCTTTCTTATTCTATATCCAAAGTCTTCGCCTGTGTTACGTTCCTTACATGAAATCCACGACCTAACCTCCTCTGTCGAAAGCGTTGCAACTGTCTAATAGAACGATCCATTTCTCGATTTGTGAGTTATCTTCAACTCAGTCGTGTTTATTGGGAAGGGGCGTAATCATACATGCCGCCACTGCATCTAAAATTAAATGGAAAGGAGTATGGCCGCCACCATGAATTGAGAAGTGATTTTATGGCTGAGAAAATAGCAAGGAAAACCGGTCAGTGCAAGCAACGTTCAGCGAAGAGTTTTGAAATTCCCGCTCTCTGGGAATTTCTAACCTAATGGGCCCGCGGGCGAGTTACGTGTTGACAAGCCTTACCCACCCACTGCCGCAGCCTTAATCGACTTCCTATAGATGTGTATGATATACTGAAAAAAAAATTAACTCATACACTCTGGGCAGCTCACTTTCGTGCCTACACTGGTATACACACATGTGAAAAAAGGCTCAAATTAACGGAACTCTTCTCTGCATGCTAGTCGGAAGGGGAAAAAAATGTTTTCAAAAATGCATCAGCTCACAGAGCCTCCCGTCCTTGTAATTGTTTGCATCCCACGAAATGTAAAGAAATGAGGAACGGCCCTGATGGTGCCGATAGCGAGTCCCACTCCTTGATAAACTCTGATTCACGGCAGCAACTCTCTTGGAATAATAATTATCCTACAACAAATTAATATCGACGATTTATTTCCTGACCGGTTTTCCTTGGCCTTGCTATTTTCTCAGCCATAAAATCACTTCTCAAAGAATTAAATTCTGTGCTTAATAAGAATTCCTGGTGGCGGCCATTCTCCTTCCCATTTTATTTTTTGATGTAGTAGCGGCATGTATGATTACGCCCCTTCCCAATAAACCCGTGGCACTTTTGCCTTCGCCGTGGCGCTTTTGCTTTCGCCGTGGCGCTTTTGCGCTTGCCGTGGCGCTTTTGCGCTTGCCGTGGCGCTTTTGCGCTTGCCGCGGCGCTTTTTGTTTTGCCGTGGCGCTTTTTCTTTTGCCGTGGCGCTTTTTGTTTTGCCGTGGCGCTTTTTCTTTTGCCGCGGCGCTTTTTGTTTTGCCGTGGCGCTTTTTCTTTTGCCGTGGCGCTTTTGCGCTTGCCGTGGCGCTGTTGCGCTTGCCGCGGCGCTGTTGCGCTTGCCGCGGCGCTTTTGCGCTTGCCGTGGCGCTTTTGCTTTTGCCGTGACAGTTGTGGGCCACCGTACTATAAACACTTCAAATCATATGCAGATGTTTAAATATTGCCTTAATTAAGGTTCAAATTACATTATAAACAATCTATAGTCACATAAAGATGATATGATATCGCGTAAATTTCAGGCAAAATGCGGTTGCGTCATGACGAAGTCAGGTTCCCAATGAACCGGAGCACCTAGACCAGGCAACCTGTCCTATTTTGCAAGGGTTTGTTTGAAAAGATTGAAAAATTGAAGCCTTTTTGAAACAAATATACAATTCTTTTCAAATTTGCTATGTTTTTCTGTCAAAGAACCATTTTTACAGAATTCTGCCAGAAATCTGCCATTCTATGGTCCAGACTGGGACCTCAAGTGCTCAAAACGATGTAATAGAAGATCAGGCCAACTTTACTCACTCTTTAGCCAGCAGATTTCTCCCAAAATTTTCATTGGGCAAAGAAAAGGTCCTCAGTATTTCACCAACCAAGTTTGAAGACTCAAGTCAATTTTTAAAGGAGACTTTTCTGGTAATCCTTACCTTTAGGACCCCGTTCCTATTATAAGGTTAAAAGACTCACCAAAACAGCTGTAAATTACACTCAAAGTGACATTCTGATATGTCTTGACACATTTGAACAGTTGGCAATGACTTCTTTTTGAATATCAGCAAGTTAAATTTTGTGGAAAGAGGGCAGGGCTTTAATTGTTTTATGAGGGAAATTAAGGTGTAAAAGATGACGATGACAAACAGAAAGTAGACTAAAAAAGTAAGATGGCGAACTGCTAAAAAAAGGTAGGAAAGTCGCATTTTCTTTGAAGATGCTTTCAAAATTACAACTAACATTAGTTTATCTGAAGCAAAAAGAATGCTTTAGCCTGCAAAATTCACTTTGGTACTGGACAGTCATCTGCCAAAGTCAGTTTTGAACAGCTCGTAAAAATAGAGGTGTCCTAAATAAGGATTACCACTTTTCTTCAATATTTGGCAGTGGCTTGCACATGAGAGGGAAGTGAAGTGATTTCAAAATGAGGCTAAAGACTAGACTTGTACATGTCCATCCATGGTCCAACTGTTTGACAAGACTGACTTCTTCATTCATTGTCATTAGTCTGGTGCCTGACTATGGAGAAATGTGTAGAAATAGTGACCTAGTACCCGACATGCTAGATATTTCTTTTGGCACAGTCAGCTGACAGTTGACTGATGCAGTACTGAAGAGTTGTTGGACTGGTAGTTTCATGTGCCAGTCTATTTTCTAGAATTCCAAGTTTTCATACCTTAAGTTTTGGGACTCTCATACACGTATTGAGAGTCCCAAATTTTCGGACTAGGATTGGTCTAGATAGTCATGACCGCGGCTGCAACTCCGAAAATGGCTGTTTGCCGAATTAAGCTATACAATCTAATAAACTTGTCCCCACTAAAATGGGGGGAAATCTTGAAAAATCATTCCTAGTCCGCAGTTAAACAATACATACTGACCCCGAGGGTACTTTTTTTGAGGGGGGGGGGGGAGGGAGAACTACTTATGAGCATTACTATGATAAGTGATTACATGTATGACTAGAATAAGACTGTTCAACTTCCAAGTCCTCAGACATAAATGGTTACCCAGCAACGCAATTTCTTGGTTTTCAGAAAGCATTTTTGGGGAGTGCTATATATTATGACACTGGTTTTACATTCCCTTTCATCATTCACAGGATCAAGGCAAGGCACATTTTATTTTTTTTAACTTGAAGGGAAAATATAACATTTGCAAACATTAAGAAATAAAACTACCAAATCATTTTAAAATACCTTGCTGGACTGTTAGTGAATGACAGCAGTGGCGTCACCAGACTTTTCAGTCTGGGGGGGGGGGGGCCACAGGGGGGGCACCAGCATTTGATGGGGGGGGGCACTTAGGTGGATACGGATCGCCGTCCTGGGGGAGGGGTCTAAGGGGAGGGGGTGCCTTTGGAAAATTTTCGCATACGGAGGATGGGCTAGATGCAAAATGGTGCCACATTTGATGCTAAATTCGATCTGAAGATATCTCAAGAAATTGCTATTTTTGAGGTAATGATTTTAACAACGCGCAGAATTTTGCAGAGGATAGGGGGGCACCAGCATTTGATGGGGGGGCACTCGGGGGGGCACTAGGTTTTCCAGGGGGGGCACGTGCCCCCCCTGGCCCCCCCCCCCCCCCCCCCCCCCCCCCCCCCTTGGCGACGCCACTGAATGACAGTGTAAAGCATCCTGGTAAATCATTGCACCTGGTATACTGCCATTTTCAAGAAAAGTTCTATTTTCGTATCAATTTCCAACGCTGGTCGGCCGACCAGCATTGGAAAAAAAACTGGTTTTTTTTCTTCAAATACTGGCCCCAGTTGACCATATTTAGTTAGTCTGGTTTTGTTTGCAATCGATTGCACACCTGTGAACGGGCACAAGCCATCTAGACTGGTTCCATGACCTTACAATTCTCCAACGTCAATAAATTGCTCTGATTCATCTTAAATGGAGTCAGGGAACCAGACTACAGGAAAATGGTTGTTTTTCTTGGTTTTTATAGCATCTACGAACCCAAAGCGTAGAAAAAAGTCAGTGTAACAATATTTGCTATATATTACCAACCCCCCCAAATCCATCCATTTCTGAAAATTACAGCATAAGCAAATGATGCATATTCCCTTTAAACCATATTTTCTTTATTTCATGACATTTACGTGTGACACGTGTATAAATCTTTCTACATGTATTTACAATAATTTTGTATGCTTTAATGAAAGATATCAATATATGGCTAGTTGGAAAAAAATACGTTAGATGCATAATATGTTACAATATACAATAATGTTACAATATACACACACAGTTTTTTTATTGAAAACATAAAAATATTTACTTCAAATTTTTTGTGGAGTGTTTGGGTCTATGAGATGACATGAACAGTGCTTCTCACCGAACGAGTGAGCTGTGCTTTAAAATAAAGTGAAGTTTACAATTTTAAAACAGTCTGTTATAAAAATCTTATGGTAAGTGTTCTCATAAAATGTATGCTATTATTCTACCACACATATAAACATTTGAATACTAAAACACAAGAATAGTGTGACCGCAGAAAATATGAAATCTGATTTTGTAAAAAACAAACAAACAAGTAAGGCACTGGCAAAAAGCAGATCGAGAAACGATCAATAAAGCATCTGCCAACATTTGCCAACATACGAAGAAAAAAACTTCCCCTCTTTTTTGATTTCTTTGGCAGATAATCTCTGTTTGTGCTGGGATACTTGTGAACAGAGCCCATTATACCCCCCCCCCCCCCATTAAGACAAAACTGTTTTCTAAGCTTTGCACAAATTCAGCCTCTGACATTTCAATCACTAAATCCTGTGTCTGTTTCTAATCAAACTAACAGATTCCTCATAACACAGATAACGGAAGGATTATAATAACAGAATTTACAGTGAAGAAGACATTTGATCGGTCGTTATGAATACTAATCTAACAACAGCTGCGTAATATTTTACAATTAGTGACTGCTGTGATGTGGGACATTCTGTTATTCACTTTGGGGATGCACAGAAGACAATTCGTCAGTCATTTATGAGTACTAATCAAACAACAGCTGCGTAATATTTTACAATTGTTGACTGCTGTGATGTGGGACATTGAGATATTCACACTTATGTGACGTATTGCACCCTCGGCTTTGCCTCGGATGTCATGCGCCCTCAAAGGTGCAAACCAAGAACATGTCCCATATCACAGCTGTGTTTATTATATCATGTCATTTGATTTCTGTGGGCTTTTGTGCTCCGTCAAAGCAGTCACAGAACCCTATGCCTTGTACTGTGTAATTTGTGACGTGAATATAATGTCACTTTTGTTATTACAAATGCACCTTAAGACAATTTTAAAATACGGAATTACTATATCGAACAGGCAGCGAAACAAAGTACTGTACATCATACACAATCATACATATAAAAATAAACATGATATGAAATGTTACATTTCCAAATGGCAAAACAATTTTAAGAAAATGGAGACAAAATGTAAAAGTGTACATAAAATTTTACTATTTGTTTACAAAATACATGATGAGCATAATTTTTGTTTTTACGTTATTATTATTTCATGCATATTTAACAATGATCCTTTTAAAGGGAAAATACAACATTTGCAAACATCAAAAAATAAAACTACCAAATCATTTTGAAATACCTTGCTGGACTGTTAGTGAATGACAGTGTAAAGCATCCTGTAAAATCATGGCACCTGGTATACTGTCATTTTCAAGAAAAGTGGCATTTCCAATGCTGATCGGCCAATCAGCGTTGAAAAAAAACTGGATTTTTTTTCAAATACTGGCCCCAATTGACCATCGCACTTGTTTGCAATCAATTACAAACCTATGAACGGGTACGAGCCAGCTAGACTGGTTCCCTGACCTAACAATTCCCCAATGTATGTAAACTGCTCCGTTTCTTCTTATATGGAGTCAGGGAACCAGACTACAGGAAAATGATGGTTTTTCTTGGTTTTTATAGCATTTTCGAACCCAAAAGTTCAAAAAAGTCAGTGTAACTATATTTGCTATATATTTCCAACCCCCCAATTCCATCCATTTCTGAAAATTACAGTAAAAGCAAATGATATATATTCCCTTTAAATTCCATACCGATATCCCAGAAATATTAAGATCATGAAAGAGCTGTGATCTTGCACAAAAGCCCTGTGCACAAAAACCCTGTGCATAGTATTTTGAACTTAAACCATTTGGAAGGGTATAGTAGTACTGTGAATGGGATAACTATAATGTCATCTCTCTTCATTTGGTCACTGGTGCTTGTCAGTGACCACAACAGAGTCTATTTAGAACCATCTAACGGTCACTCAATGTTCCTTGGGGTACATAGACATGCACTAGTGACCTGAACGCCAGTCAATATGTGTATAATATGCACCTTCAACCTCGGGATCTAGTGCCCTTCCATGTTGCCCTGCAGGCTTCAAGGGGCATGCAGAATCTTTCCTGGACTGAGCTAGTAAATGGGTCTGTGATGTTCAAGCACCTAACCAACTGACAAATTCTCCAGTATAATGACGACAGCATGTGCAAGCATGACTGCACGCACGACTACTTCACATGCTGCCCAATTTTAACGCACCAGCTAATGTAAGTGAACCCCTGTTGCTGTATTTCAGCCAGGTTAAACATTTTTTATATATACCAACCCCGTCACAATTTCAAAGTATTTTTTTAAAAATTTGCCATGTTTATTCAAATACTTGACTGAGTAATATAAAAATAACAACACCCTAGAGGATTCTAATATCTTACATGTAACAATGTCCAAATATTTAACTGCAAAGGCTCATTTTCTTATACAATTTTTAAATCTACCGTAACAAAGTTGGAACTGAAGGACATTTCGTTTGTATTATAAAATTCGGTTTTCAGATTTATTGCGTATGGATACATGGTCTTTATGAACAAGAAAAGACTTGCGTTCCATCCCAAGTACCTAAACTACAAGACTGTCTGTCACTTGAATTGAGACTAATTGTCTTGTGATTGCCTTTGTGGTTGACCTGTGATTGGCTTGTGATTGACTTGTGATTGACATGCTTGGATTACATTTGGCTTGTGATTGACTTGTGTTTGACTCATGATTGAATTGTGATTGACCTGTGATTGGCTTGTGATTGACTTGTGATTGGCCTATGATTGACTTGTGATTGGCTTGTGATTGACCTGTGATTTACATGCTTGGATTACATTTGGCTTGTGATTGACTTGTGATTGACTCATGATTGAATTGTGATTGACCTGTGATTGGTTTGTGATTGACCTTTGATTGACTTGTGATTGGCCTATGATTGACTTGTGATTGTCTTGTGAATGGCTTACGATTGACTTGCGATTGGCTTACGACTGGCTTATGATGACGCGTCAGTCATCATAAATCCTTTCCAGTTACGAACCTCGCAGAACCATTTAAGTGATTACGTCATCAGTATCCAAGTACGTTGGGTTGGATAATACCTGGGGTTGGGGCGCAGCCCAAGGTTGACCAGTTGCAGGTGGGTTGGGCGCAGATGGGGGGTTCTGACCAGGCGGCAATGGCGCTGGTGGATAGGCTGGATCAGACGGCTGCTGTGGGATCTCGTACACGGCGCCGGTTACCGGTGGGAACTTTGTGGGCTGAGAGATGACTGACTCATAGGCAGGGGGCGGGGCCTCGACAGCTGACAGCTGGGGAGCAGGTGGCTGCATTGGGGCGTATGGCTGCGTTGGGGCGTATGGCTGCGCTGGGGCGTATGGCTGCGTTGGGGCGTATGGCTGCGCTGGGGCGTATGGCTGCGTTGGGGCGTATGGCTGCGTTGGGGCGTACGGCTGCGTTGGGGCAGACGGCTGTGAGGGTTGATTCATATACTGCTGAGGATGGTAGTGGACCACAGGAGGAGCTCCAGGATTACTTCCGCCGGTTGGTACCTGGGAATAGGTAGTCGACGAAGCCTGTCACAAACAATAAACCTTTTTGACAATCGCATTGCGTTTTGGGTATGGATGACAAACAAGCGGTGCAATATACTCACAATATACTCACAATCCAACTTTAAATTCCATTTTTTTTTTTTCAGTGTTTTTCAAAAAGTACTTGATCATCGGCACTCATTTTAATGCAGAGAATATTTGAAATGCAATTTGAAAATTAAAATCAAACTTTAAAACTTGGATAAAAAAGTTTTTGAAAATCTAAAAATTTCCAGTGAGCAGGCGTTGAAGAATGATTGGTTACAGTTCGCTGAGAGAGCTTGAAATCCTGATCGGCCAACATCGGCCTCTCCAGTTTCAGGGTCAGAGTCACCTTTTTTTCCCCAACAAGGGAATCCCAAAACTTTCTTCATTCTGATCAGTTTCAAACAATGATTTTTCAAACAATTATATTTCACATCACTTATGTACCAAAGTGTGAAAAGATGATCAGTTACTTTCGGATATAATACTTAAGACGACTCAAACGAAAGTTTTAGCTGGTTCACAGCCCCATTGGTTTTGTGCACAGATTGCCTGGTTTTATTGTCATCCATTCTCAGAATGCACCGATCATTTCAAAACAGGTTTATTTATATCGTTTCGGTTTGTGGTAATAACTACTGCTTAGAAGATATTAGTCTCCTGATGATGACTAGAGCAGGCTAGTCGAAACGTTGAGACCAAAGACAAGTTCGTTTAGAACTTACAGCAGGACTTTTCTTATCAGAACAAAAAACTACTTAGCAAAGTTGATAATAAGCAGGACAAGTTCTTTTTTAGTTATTACCACATGGTGTTACTGCAAACCGAAACGATACCGATACCCCACCATGCAAAGCCTCAAATCTTATATCAGGTTTATTTATGCCATTCACTTTTTTGTTTTCAATTGAAAACATTTGGATAAGTATGTGCTTTGAACAAGTGCGTTTAAAATCAGCTTGGGGTCTGGATGCGGATTTGGAGAAGGTCGTTATCGGCGACCAAGCACCAAGCCCGTTTTCACAGTCCGTACTTGTTTCATACCAGCCAAACACATATTTATTCCCATTCATAAATAACCTTTCAGTCAAAAATGCAAAACAAGTCAAAAATTATAAATTTCCAACAATTTTGTTCAACTGTTCCACTTCGTGTTTTGTGAAACACCCCTCTAGCTATGTTTAGGCCGAGGGAAAGAAAGTCATAGAATAACGTCCTGCTGAATTTGTAAAACAATGAGGCTTTTTTTCATTATTCATTATTCTGAAGCACTAACCAGAATCAGACAAATTGCATGATGTCACTACGTAGACATCATGAAAGGGTTTGGGGAAACGGCCAAAGGGAGTCGTTGGTATGCAGCGCTAGTGCTGGTAACCGCGCGCTATACATACGTGTTCACTGTACTCTGTTCGCGTGGGCAGATTGGGTTTCCCGCCAATGTGGTACACAGAATACGACTAATCTGCGTTAGAAAAATTGTGTAGAGCGGATTCTGATAAAATTAAAAGTAAACTATTGTGGCAGATTAATATTCTGGGTAACTAATGATTTTTTTTTGTAAATAATGAAAAATTTCGGCGGCACCTTTCGGCACATGCGGGCAGTGGACGGTATTCTATGACTTTCATTCCCTTGGCCTTATGGTATGTGCCTCTCTGGAGTAGTACTAAAAATCTCTTTATACGGAGATTGACGCGTGTGTAGCGCGTACTGTGCGATGTGCGCGTACTGTGCGCAGGAAATGGCAGTGCCAGTGAAGTGTGCATTTTGAACTCTTGGTAGTATTGTGTATACCTAAGTGTAGATTGTGAATGCTCAACCAATAAAAGGGTAAAAGGGACCAGATTTCGTAGCAGTCCAAATTCATGTGACACCGGAAAAAAAGGGTTTAAAACCAGTTGGCGTTTCATCAACCGTTTAAAACCACCCACGTGATGGCCTCCACCAATAGGAATGGGTCAACTGTCCCGGGTATTTATAAATGACACATACATTTTGTTAGTAGAATGTTTTTAATGCAGTCACCATTATTTAGCAACGTGCAAATGAAGTGAACCGGGCCAAACTTACCGCTGTTGTTGAGTTGGCAGGGCCTTTTTTCGACTTGCAACAGCACAGTTTGCAACAGACGAACAACAGAATACAGCCGCCGATCACCCCGCATATAATCCCAATTATCGCTCCAGAGGAGAGTCCTGCAATGGGACGGTTGGTATTATACAAATACAGCGGTTTGAGGAGAAGTAGTGGGAATTACTGGTCCCGAGGTGTAGGTCAGCTTGACTACCTCCCGACGCGAAGCGAAGCTGAGGGAGGTAGTCAAGCTGACCTACACAGAGGGACCAGTAATTCCAACTATTTTCCAGAAATAAACCATGCTGTATTTGTTTTACTACACCTCATAAATATTTAGTAGCCTCACTGCCGTTTTAGTAGCCTCACTGCCATGTTGATAACGGCCTTCGTATTTTGCATCTTTATTCAGTACAAGATATTCAAGTTCTTTGTCAGTCAACAAAATAGTCTAGTGTAATGTGTCTTTACTGCAATAGCTAGAAGGGCTGCAACAACAGACTGGTTCCGTAAAGATTACATGCCACAAACTACATGTCTACGAGGCGGGTCCGAGAGGGAATTTTTGGCGCTACCAGAAAAAAATACCGCACGGCAGCGAGCTGGATACTCATGGGGATGACGTCGCCTGGGCGCGTATCATTTTCACTTCCCGGACGTGCGGCGGAATCGGCCAATGACGTGTTCTAATTTGACCATGAATATTTATGAGGTGTAGTAAACTGTGGTTATTAGATGGTGACATGTCATTGGTTGAAACTGATCATGTGACATATTGCATGAGTTCATAGATATCCATATAAAGCACTTCATGGAGTTAAGGGTGTGCATTTACGGGTAGTACAGGAATCGGGTACCCGATTTAAAAAAAAAACACGGGTACCCGGGTACTCGTTAAAGAAACCAACCCCAACATTTAAATCTCGGAAGTTGCTGTACAGATTGTCCATAAAGGTCCGCAAGATACTAAGTTGAAATTTGAGGTAAAACTTTTGCTCTAGCAAGGCACTAGAGGCGAAAAATCAGTTTTAAGTAAAGGTACTAAACTGCTTTAGTAGGTGTTTATACCCAGATATGCAGCTCTGAACTTACCCGGAGCACCGTTGCATTTCACCCACACGTCTTCACCATGAGAACAGTCGTCACTATCCCACTGGCCATGGTCGCAATCGACTAGTCTGGTGTCGTAACTTCCACAGGCAACATCATCAAGCCAGATGGGTTTGGAACTACTCCTTCCGGTATCGAAATCTAAACCAAGCAAGTATTCATCATTATTCAACACCTGAATTTTTTCTTCTTCAAAACAACCAAATTGTTACCATAGAACTTAGAAATTACTAGAGCGCTAACTCGATGTACAAAGTAATGCCTGATGGGCGCATCCATATTTGTGCACAAACCTATGGAAAACTCGAAATTTTATACAGCTTTTGTACGGCTATTTGCATATCTGCGTTTGTATTCCATACCGGTGCGCGTCATCAAAGCCGATATGCCCAAAACCGAAATGCACGATCAGCAAATGAGCGTTTCATTTTGCTCTACGCAAACAGCGCAACGTGTGCGCGTCCCTCCGCTGCAGATGCTTTTTGCCGTGATGTTTTTTGAACCCTCATGACGCACTTAAGTTGTTTGCGTATCTTCTACTACATATGTAGCCCGTTGCATTTAGAGTACACTTTTAACATTAAATCCATATATTTTGATTGTGTTCTACAAACACGCACAAAAATTCAAAATGTCTGCGCCCAGAGCGGCTTCACAGCGTCTCCGTGCGCAAGAATGAGGAGTTAGCGCTCTAGTAATTTAATATAGCTCTATGATTGTTACCCACAATTAACATCATTAACCTCAACCTTGCGAGACGTAAAACCTAAAAGTCTGTGTATTGTGTGACGGAAAGAATGTTGACGCCCCTTTATATCATCTCAATGAACGTCAGTCATTACAAAAATTTGAAGAAAAAAAAGACATGAATCTGGGACCGAGAAACATTTTCAATTTTAATAGGAAATATTTTGAAAATGCACTCGACTCTCTATAGACTTTTTTGCACACAACCAAAGAAGTGGCGTCTGGATACTGCATTCTTTCCTCTTTGGCCAATAGGGTAACCAAAATGCGCGCACACCATGTCTTTATGAATGCGTTTGGCATCCGTGCGGATGCCGTTCCACCTCAAAAATAGACTTGATGCCAAGTCGGTAATTGTTTTACGTACGGACACTGGCTCCAGCACGCAAAATATCGCTGCAATGCGCGTAGTCTGGTTCCCAGACCAAATGATGCTGACTATGTCTGATCAATTACCGACTTGGAGAAAACGTTTTCAATTTTGTACACAACATATGGGAGTAGCTTGAATTGCTCGCGAATTCTATGCGAGCACTCTGATTGGTTCAGATTTCAGAGTGTATTCTAGGCCGCCACGGAAGATCGCTCTCATTACTTCGAGGGTTTGTACTCTGTGTTGTGTAACATTACAAAATTCATTATAGGGCATACACGACTCAAATAAATCAAGCATGTCACAGTGATACATTTCATTTCTATACACAATTGACCAAGCTGAGTGTGTTGGTTGTTAAAACGTCGCCACTCTGCAAACATGTCCCCGACGTATTGAGAAGAACTCCCCATGTAACGGAATGAATGAGTCCTCATTTGCATAGCTGTGCGCGATTGGATCTCACCGCAAACATGTGCTGCATATGTATTGCGCTGCTTGCATATATATGAATAACGGTGCGAGAACGTTATCGTCAAGTCGTTAGATTTGTTGCAACCCGGCCGATTACATACTAGTCTAATACCAGCCGTGCCGATGGAGTTCGACTGAAGCTCACGGACAAAATACGACTATCTAACGACTTGTCATCAGGTCTCCCTCAAAAATGGCTTCTAATTTAAATATGGACAATTGCGAAATTTGTAAATACCTGAGGCGTCAGATGTGGAGATGGCAAACTCGTGCCCCAGCTCCTTGCAAACCACGTCTGCATCTGTCTTGTCCCATCGGTCATTGCAGATGGTACCCCATTGTTGATTGTAATAGATCTCCACGTAACCGTCGAACTCCGAATTACCCTCTACCAGACGTACTTGACCAAACTCATAGGCTGGTGAAGAAACGAGAACTGTATTGAACATCACAGTGATGATGAACACAAACACTGCATTTCTGACTCATCACCCAATTGTGGTCTATTTTTATATGATAGCGATTTCTTAGCAACTTAAAAAAGTACTGCAAGTAAAACTTTGCGCGATCCCCCTGGCATCCTGCCAGTTTGTATGCATGTACAGGACAATTTTCAGTGACGGCATTGATTGTCCAACCGGCACGTACCAGTTCTCAGCTGAAAGGAGAGTATGGGTGAGACACCGGACTAACAAATGCTAGGGTCATTAGTGATACTGAGCTGAGCTCTCCAGAGACCTCGTAAATATCCATATTGGAAAGGATTTATTTGACGTCGGCCTTATTAATGTGTTTTGAAAATTTTAACATGAGGAATCAGAGTTTGGGGCAATTGCATGGCTCAAAATGGTTTACGCACTCTGTGCACAAGCACCCCCCCCCAAAAAAAAGTGAAGAAAAACGACATACACATGAAGTTCAGGAACACTGCCACCATGCGCAAAATGCTTACATTAAGACACTACATGTTGTTGCATATTAATGAGCATTTTTGCATATTCAAATTGTTTGCAGCATCTGAACAAGTGTATGTATAAGCATCACGACCTTCACCAGTGACTAGGGGGACCAGGAAAAAAAAAAAACCAGCCCCATCTGTTTTTTATGTCTACAACTGAAGAAGTTTTTTTCCGGTGAGTTAAGCCGTTCTTTTCGGATGGCAGGTGGATTTGTTTGTAGGAGAAAGGAATTGACAAAATTGCCCAGGATGAAAAACAGAGGGACTGGGGAGAACATTTGTTACCTGCCGACGAACTGCTACAAGAGACACTTGCATCTTCACTGTGAAGGCAGTTGTCCTGAGTAGAATAAGAGCAATCCTGTATATTGTCTTCGGTTCCCCGACAATTCACTACGTCAAAGACTATCGATCCGGTTCCAGGGCCATAGGCTGCGTTCCCTTGAGCTGTCAGTGCTTCTCCGTAACCAAGCTGGCGACAAACCACGGTGGCGTCTGCGAGATCCCAGTGATCGTCGCAGACGGTGCCCCACACCCCCCCGACGTAAACCTCCACACGGCCCTCCAGCGCGCTGTAACCGTCAACAAGTCGGATTGTTGACGAATCTGTAATCATACAGGAATTGAATTTGTGTCAATAAATTAAGACAGAAAAACATCCACCTAAGAAGAGGAAGTTCGGCGAGGACCATCAGTCGACTGGTGGTTGATTTGTGACAGAACTTACACCTGCACACCAATGGCAACGCATGAATGCCTCAAGTCAAGTGATGGTCAAAAGTCCTGGCTCCGCCCGGCTATTGGTAACCAGCGATGGATCCATGCCCCGGGCTCTGGTTTCAAATAGTCGACAAAGGTACTCCAACCATCCTTCATTCAAGTGAAGTTAGTCGAAGTACAGGGTGAGTAAATAAAAAAAACGAAACCCAAATGTCGGGACCATTGTTTTAGTGAAGTTCTGCATGTAGCACTTTCAAAATGTAGGATATGAAAGCCCCATTCATAAGCTTTGTTTTAGTACAAGAATCATTCAAATGACTCATGTACTTTTCAAGTTATGGGATTTTAAACACAACCACCGTTTTAAAGTTCTGTCCACGGATCACAAAAAGGTAAGTGTTCTTTCAGCAAAAAGAAAGCAAATCACATAGGGATTTTTCTGAACCCCCCCCCCCCCCTTTTGGTGATCCATGGACAGAACTTTAAAATTCCGTAACTTGAAAAGTACATGAGTGATTTGAATGATTCTTGTACTAGAAAAAAGCTTATGAATTGGGCTTTCATATCCTAGATTTTGAAAGTGCTACATGCAGGACTTCACTAACACAATGGTCCCGACATTTGCGTTTCGTTTTCCGACATTTGCGTTTCGTTTTTTCAAACTTGCTCTAAGCTGTTCGAACCCATCATCCTATTGACCTTTACATTTCTGATCTACAAATGGATGACCAACTTGTTTAACATTTTAGAACCTGTCCACCAAGTCTTATGAAACAGACTGCTGCTATATCGAATTTGAACCAGCCCAGCTACCCTGGCTATCAATCAGGTGGTAAGACAGCTATAGTAGAAAGCAGGAGGTTGTGGGTTCGAATCCTGCCTGAGTGAGCTTATTACATTCTCCCCTTTAGCTATCAGACAGTACTGAGTTTACAAGAAATTGAAAGGAATACAGGGAAGAGACAAAAACCAAATTATTTGCCTATAGGTAATAATAGACTGGCCTACCTGACCCGGGTGTACCACAGATGACACCCGCATCCTCACCATGTCCACAGTTATTTACAGTTGACTTCGTGCAATCCAGTAAGCTCGTCTCCGATCCAGTGCACGCCACGTCATCGAACAAAATGTCTCCGCTGCCCTGGCCAAAGCGTGCCGAGCCGACAGCTTCAATGGCATTGCCGTATCCGAGCTGGCGACACACGACCCTCGCGTCATTTAAATCCCAGTCGTCATCACAGACTGTTCCCCAAGCCCCATTCAGGTAAACCTCCACTCGGCCCTGGGTTTCACTGCTGCCACCGACGAGACGTAGGGTGTACCCGGTCTCTGAAAAACAAGAGCACAATAGTCGAATAAACATCAACCCCACGCCTGCCACACGCAACGCAGTGCCTCAGGTGGAAAAGTCGGGTGCATTTTGATGCATTCAGCTACCAACACCAGTGCATAAACGGCCGCTTCTGAGAGCTAGTCCCATTGAACAATGCCACAGTTGTATCCTGCTGCGTTCAGGGACCACAGACTCTGAGGCAGTTTGGCCTTGAGACTACCAAAACCAACTGATATCCTACTCAGAGATGCCAACATTCAACATTGAAAAAGAGTAATTTTCCATCAGACACCTGCTGAAAACAAGAAATTCCCTACATAACATGAAACCTGTTGAAAAAACAAAAAATATCGCCTAAATTACGCCTGAATCGTAAAAGCAGAACCGTACGTCTTCAGCTTTGACAGCCATGCACAAGAACTTTTAGTCTTACCTGCACAGATGACCCCAGCATCCTCACTATGGCTGCAGTCGTGAATTGTCCTGTAGGAACACTCCAACAGGCTATTCTCGCTTCCTGTACACTGTACTTCGTCCATGGCTATCGGGACCGTTCCCTGGCCGAAATGCGCTGATAAGGGCGCCGATAACGCACCAGCGAAGCCTAGCTGACGACACACCACTTGGGCATCGTTCAGGCCCCATCCGTCGTCACAGACGGTTCCCCAATCGCCGTTGAGCAACACTTCCACTCGGCCCTCATGAATGCTGGTACCGTCGACTAGACGAATTACGGTAGTGCCTGTTTTGGGAATGACAGAAGGGAAAGAAGGCAGTGACGGTAATAAAAGAGGAAGCTTAAGAGATGAGACGGAATCAGCAGCGTTGGAAAACTTTCAATAAAAGACAGTGGAATCTTAAATTCTTGTGCACTTTATATTAAACAGGTTCCCTTTGTGTAATTTTTAAAAAATACATCGTCCGTAAGGCCATATAAAAAAAGTCTTTGGTTTCTGGTGTGGAGCTTGCCCCAAAAGTGGTGCGGCGACGCGGCTTCTTTTTTCCCCCCTACTTTTTTTTTCTTCAAATGACGGCTGATGTTGCAGATGACGCTTCGATCCCCTTAAAACTCTCAAAAATATCCTTCAGGGTGGAGCTTGAGGTGACCTCAGTAAGGCCATAAGGCTTGAGAATTCTACACCCACTTACGATCTCGACCGACTCGAACATTCTTCAGGAAGTTTTGGATATAGTCAAGACAAAAATCTAGTGCTGCAGCCGAACCGCCGAACCGCCGAACCGAACTAAAAATAGCCGAACTTGGCCTTCCGAACTAAACTTGAACCGAAGTGAAGCGAAATGGTTGGTTTGGAAGTTCGGCAAGTCTCTGTTGATAGTGCTAGAATATGCTTTTCATTGTAGGCCTATACATTGTACCATGGACATGTACATTATGTATGCACTTCCGAATCCGAACTGAACCGATGTTCTGAGAAAAAAAATTCGAACCGACAACCAAACCGAAATTTGAGGATCAGTTGCAGCATTACAAAAGTCTGAAGAAACAGTGACGTCAGACCATACAGCAACATCAACATCGTGCATTTGCAGCCAGGCTGTTCATTAGTCTGCTCCCTTGCATACTGCGCTAATTAATAAGCGTTGACAGGTTCCAGATACATGACCATTGCTCCCTCAGTCTGGCTTCCAGACGCACAATTACAAAATTACAACACCGTCTGCAAATGGTGCCCGACTAAATGGAGCCCAGAGAGGCCACATAAAGCTTATACTCGATCGTGCCCCATCTAAAAACACGTTAAAATTGTGCAGCAGCAGGATTCCAGTCAAACCAGTGAGTTTGGCGGTTTTGAGACATCATCTTACATTGAAATTTTTTTTTTTTAAATTTTGCTGACGCGCATGGCTATGGCAATGCGCACGCATACCAGAAACCAGAGACTTTTCTTTTTTGGCCTTAGGCCCTATATGTTTCACATTGTAGGTGTTTTCATGAAGAGAAACTTTTGTACGGGCAAAGATTGATAAAAAGTGCGGCAACATGGAATAATCCTTGCTTAAAGCTCATGCAAGTTATCATCATTCTCAGTACTAACTTGTACAGACGACCCCAGCATCTTCGTTGTGATTGCAGTTGTTACTGCTATCTGACTCGCAGTCCTGCAACCGACTCTCCCGTCCTGTACAACGTACGTCGTCTAAAGCTATCGGGACTGATCCGGCGCCAAAAGATGCCGAGCCGGGCGCTGAGATGGCACCAGTATAGCCCAGCTGACGGCACACTACCCTTGCATCGTTGATGTCCCATTCGTCGTCACAGACTGTTCCCCAAAGGCCGTCTACGTAAACCTCCACTCTACCTCGAAAAGGGTCACCGCCGTCGACAAGACGAATACCGCTTGGGGCTGCAATTGGGGCTGCAAAATCAAACGCACTCAGCTCTCACTCACTACCTTTCAAAATACCCGAAATATGATTTTCATAGATTTTGGTAGATTCAGAAACAAAGATCCGTGGCTCTGTTAGCAGTATTTTTGACGTCCCAATACCACCCTTTCCCCCTCCTCCCCCCATAATTTGTTCAGATATAGTCCTGATTCATGTCCAACAAAAGTTGCGCTTGTGAGCGCTTGTGTATGATGTGTGTGGCAGGAATATGCAGTGTGGCATATTGGATAGACACAGATGTTGTTGCCAACTTTCGCAGTAGGCGCGGCCTATTGGGTCAGTTTATTATTTCAAAGAGTCAAGAATAAGCCATGGAGGTTACTGCACAACAAGGGCGTGCGTATACAGGGTTTTGTTGGGAATGGGTACCCGATTTCCGTAGCGGGTGGGTACCCTCAGACCCGTGATTATTTTGGAAATCATAACAAAAACCCGGAAGACCCTTCCCACTCTACTACCAAGCTGCTGGCAAGACTGCGTGAATGCTGCGCTGCGCTGGCGCGCTCACTTCCCCTGCGTTCGGCAACTAAAAATTTCACTGGCCAACTTTGCAACTAATACTAGATTCCACTCAGTGTGAAATAAAATATAGTAAACCTGAGGTTGAGTCATTATTGTGGCAAAGTGAGTGATGTTCACCGATGTTTACATGAAGTTCGTTGAGCAGTCAACTGTCAGCAAACGGCCTGCACACTGTGTACACGAATCACGACTATCAACGGTGCATTTATAATGACTGGCTGCGCCATCGCCGAGAAAGCATAGCTAGCTCAGCCCTCGCAGGCCGGCCTACGGTAAGCTTGCACGTGTGCAAATGGTGCCGCGCTTTGATGCTTTGTCAGTCAGCGCATGCGTGCTTCACGCAAGTTGCCTGCCGAGTAGCATATGGTTACGTGCGCTGTGATTGGTTCTTTTCGTTTGATTCATCTGCAATCCAGACATCGGGAAATTGTCGGTAAATGGACTCAAAAGCTGTTTTACTCATATTTTTCTCTAACAATTTATCGGCAAGTAATCAATAGAAAAGGGTGCTTGCCTTTCTGAAATTTGTCGAAAATTACAACTTTAGGCAGTTTCGGGTAATAAAATCGATAAAGTGGAATCGGGCCTACGTCACGGCCTTACTATGCAAGTGTTGGGTTTAAGTTTCAGGAAAGGATTTACACACAGGTTTTCAGGGTGGCATTCCAAAATCACTTCAAACCAAACACTGCGAGGCAAAATTGCATTACTTTTGCATAGACCAGGCTCTGGTGTTGTTCTTAACAAGTACTCTACAGCTACCAATCAAACTGCTTTAAATGCTCAAATTGATTTGAATCTCGGGACTATTTTAGTTGGTCAAGACTCTTAAATGACAGTCGGAAAGCGCCAGTCATAGTGTAAAGATGTTGTTAATGAATGCTCTGAACTGTCAAGAAGAAACTATGTGCTAAAGTTTTCTTACGCTGAGCTTCTTCAGGACAAAAACACTACCTGAAATATTTACTCGACCTCGACTTAAACAATGGCCAAGCATCTTGCAAACATTGAATTCTGCAGTGTGCTGTATACATGGTACACAGCATATGTGTTAAGTCTTATATTTCAAAAACAATATATTGAAACAAGTCAAATTATATTGTGTTTGATAAGCTTTTAGCAAAACAAAAGGTCGGTATCGCATGTGAACAATCAAGTGAGATACTCCATCCTCCGGCAGGTCTGTAAACAAAATCACAATCAATTAAAAATTTTAGTAAAAAGAAATTTGAAACTTACATGACGGAGTGGGGCTGGGTGCTGAGCAGACCACACCAGCGTCTTCAGAGTGTACGCAATTGTTGGTGGTCAAGAACTGACAAAGGTGTAACATGCTTTCATCACCCTGACAATTGACATCGTCGAACTTGATGGGTCCGCTGCCTTGTCCAAAGTACGCCGATAAATGAGCGTAGAGGGCATTTCCGTAGCCCAGCTGTCGACACACCACTGTGGCGTCTAACAGATCCCAGTAGTCATCGCAAACTGTTCCCCACGATCCGTCGACGTACACCTCCACTCGGCCCTCCAGATAGCTACTACCGTCAACGAGACGTATGGAGTATTCCACTAGAATTTAAACACAAAACAATCAATTAAAACGTTAATGACATTGGGGGCCTTTTCGGTTTAAAATCCTCATATCAACCCTTGGTTTCAATGCTTACTCACACACTAAGACAGTACACCCTTTCCTATTGGTCGAGAGCCCGTCACATGGCCGGTTTTAAACCGTTGATAAAGACCGGCTGGCTGGTCTTAATCACTATTCTGGTTACTCCTAGAACTATGATGCTCCGCGTGAGCGGAGCCTCATAGATCAAGAAGCCCGCAAAATTGCCTGCAGCACAAAACACTAATAAAGTACAAACACGTCCATCAAAATGGAGACATTTCACACAGAACCGCTGCACAGTTTGCCCCTATACTCCGTACTTTATCTCTTGACATACTCACGTATCATGCGCAGAACTAACATAGGTGGATTCTGTCGTTTTTAAGGCCAAAATGATGAAAAATATGCCCTTTCCACACTGAGCCAACCTGACACTTGAAACGTGCACGCATATGATCGAGCGATGATTTTCGGTTCGCTCGGAGGGGGGTACAGTACAGGCGAAATGATAGTATGTGCATGCGTACAAGTGCATGTACCGTACCCCTCGCGGTGCGCTCCAAGCGAACCGAAAATCATCGCTCGATCATATGCATGCACGTTTCAAGTGAGTGTCAGGTTGGCTCAGTGCGGAAAGGGCATATTTTTCATCATTTTGGCCTAAAAAACGACAGAATCCACCTATGTTAATTCTGCGCATGATACGTGAGTATGTCAAGAGATAAAGTATGGAGTATAGGGGCAAACTGTGCAGCGGTTCTGTGTGAAATATCTCCATTTTGATGGACGTTTTTGTACTTTATTAGTGTTTTGTGCTGCAGGCAATTTTGCGGGCTTCTTGATCTATGAGGCTCTGCTCAAGCGGAGCCTCATAGTTCTAGGAGTATATTCCGGTGTGAAATGAAAATTGGGCTCGTAAATCTGGTGCCTTTTACCGTTTTACTGGTTAAACGTTCACTGTCCTCACGAAGGCATGCGCAATACTACCAGTGAGTCAGTATTACATATTCCTAAATTCACACCACTGTCACTAGCACAGCTGCGTTCTGTGCCACATGCGCCAATCTCATAATAAGGATTTTTTTACGGATTTATATGCGACAGGGCCATACCATATTACCCATGATGATAATATAGCAGTGCGTGAAATTACGGTCGGACATCGGACATTTTCCGACCACTTTCATGGTTTGTCCGACCAAATGCAGATGTGCTCGGACAAAATGTCCGAGCGATTTATGTTTTCTTTGTGGAGTTGTCTTTTTCAGAAGTATGAAATAAACGCTTGCGCTCAAAAGTATTTTGTTGTTTATTTCCGATGATCCGGTCTGTAATACTTACCGTACGCTGAGCGGCTGCTAACTACATGTACGTGTTGTCTTATATTCACGCAATAGATGCAACGCGTTTACACCCCAATCATTACACAGTCTGGTACAGCGCGGCGTGCACAGCGATAGATTGCCATTCGTACGTACGTGCCGTTTGCCAAAAAATAGACGTGAAATCAAGTCGATAAATTGTGTTTTGATCAGCAGTCTTCGTGTTTCTTCTACAAATCAGTTAATACAACTTTTTGTACTTTTCAAGTCATTTTATGGAAATGAGCAGTGGCCGTTTGTGGAATTCCCAGTTAATTTCTATTGGGCAAAAGTGTTAAATTGGACCTGATTCAACCTCTATATATTCCTTGCTATAATGATTCGATCGAGCCTCTTTGGACATTCAGAACTGCAATTTCACCCAGTTTAAGTTATGTGTTCTTCAGACTTGAATGAGTCTGTATAGTGACGAGTCTAAATATAGACCGCTTGCAGACGCCTTCGATAATCGACGCGCGAAGGCGCGCGACGCCATGTTGTGGGACAGGCGTATATCAATTCACGCACATTTTGTCCCATAACATGGCGTCGCTCACCTTAGCGCGTCAATTATCGAACGCGTCTGCAAGCGGTCTATTATAAGGACATTGACGCGCATACATGTAATGAGAATTTAGCAAGATCAAAGTAGGTTGTGTTGCGCGGTATGCTTTAAGTGCGTGATTGTTACTAAATTCTCACAACGTGGCTTACTACAGAAACGAGCGCGTGAATGCCCGGCGCTTGTCAATGCAACTACATAGTGTGTATTATGGATACGTACGTACGTAAACATACATACTGTACATGTACACACGTGTATGTACCGTCCACGTGTTTGAAGTATAGTAAACGCGGCCTTTTGAAAGTTCGTCTCAGATGGCAGATCAAAACTTGACAATAGCAGAACACTTTTGATTGTGCTCGGACATTTTGTCCGACCACTTTTTTGGTCTAATTTCACGCACTGATATAGCTAGAGGGGCGTTTTGAAAAACATGAAGTAAAATTGTTGAACAAAATTTATAATTTTGACTTGTTTTGACTTTTGGACCCAAGTAAAACTTTTGATTATTGACCGAAAACGGTGAAAAGGTATTTATGAATTGCCATAATAAATTTGTGTTTGGCTGGTATTAAACACTTGTTTAAGACCGGTTTGCACAGGGTGTTGTAAAGTGAAACTGAAATTTAAATATTTCCAGTTCACTAGCATTCCTTGGTTAAAGCTAGCTGGAGTTACCCAGCCCTGAGTTTTATCATTGGGTTGTCATCTAGGGCTGGAGCGAATTTTTCTCGTAACTTGTAGTATAGGCAAAAAATTTTTGGAAAATGTTCAATTTTGTCCCCGTTACACACTAATTGCAACTACAACTCACCCCAAACTTGCCTGGAATAACCATTACACAGGTCATTGAAGTAAAAAACGATCCACGATGAAGATTCAGCCTACAATTGCAGTGAAAACAGGAGGAATAACCGCTAACTTGACAACCTTGCTGGATTGGCCAGGACCGCAATTGGTTTGCGGTTCCAGTACCAAAGCTGTGATGCGAGTGGTAAACCTTATATTAGTGCATGAAACAGTCATCGGGTGTTACGCTTCCGCGTGACGTCACGCGCCAACAGCCAGCGCAGCCGGCAAAAACGAGTAGTTGACAGCGATCACTCTCTGTGCCTGTTAATCGACCGCCATTCATAGTAGTAGTACACAATTTTTTTTGTGCACAAACCAATTGCGGTCCAGGCCAATCCAGCAAGGTTGTCAAGTTAGCGGTTATTCCTCCTGTTTTCACTGCAATTGTAGGCTGAATCTTCATCGTGGATCGTTTTTTACTTCAAGGACCTGTGTAATGGTTATTCCAGGCAAGTTTGGGGTGAGTTGCAGTTGCAATTAGTGTGTAACGGGGACAAAATTGAACATTTTCCAAAAAAATTTGCCTATACTACAAATACAAGTTATGAGAAAAATTCGCTCCAGCCCTAATACTAGACAACCCAATGATAAAACTCAGGGCTGGGTAACTCCAGCTAGGTTAAAGCCACATATCCCCTTTTTCCGACATATAATGACCACGCCCACTTACCCTGTCCATTTGCGCCATCAGTGTTCAGCAAAAGGAAGATCAGAGCCAAACTCAACCTCGTCCATTCCTGTAACGTTGCCATGTTTAATAATTATATGAACATGGACGATGATGGTATTTTACGAATCTCCGTTCATTCAGTGTTTGTTATTTCGTCACGACGTCACATTTCCGAGAAGAGTGTCTGATGATTAGCAACGTGGTTTTTTTCCATGGTTAGTAATTGTCACCGTTACGGATCATAGCTCCGCTCTGTCCGGCCTTCTTGCCCCACCCCGCATTGACAAAACGTACATGCGAGACAGGATACCAGGCCCAGACTATACTGCTAGTCTTGCACCAGCCGCCAAGCCAGGGCCAAATTTCATAAAGAATGGTCCACAGAGCTATATTTTAACACATACTTAGCAACCGATGAAAACTGGGATGCCAATGAATAATAATGTTTTCATCGGATGACGTCACTCTGTCCTGATCTATATACACAAAACATGGTGAACTTGGATAAATCTTCATGTAGTTTTTAAGTTACTGATAGCTCGACAAAAGGGGTGTGACATAGAAGGGTGTTACGTTTTTGGTGGATGCACCCCACCAAAACAAATGATAGTTTATATAATACTCACAACACCAGACTTGTCATAGTCAAATTTTTTATTCTTGAAAGAGATGCACTCAAAATGTTGACCAAAAAATGTTTAAAATGGCATGTGCATAGTGTATATTCATCATTGAAGATTTTAGGAAATTGTTAACTTTTTTGTCACTAAATAATAAATTCTAGCGTAAAAAGACAACAGTTATCAAATTTGAGCAAACAATTTTTTTTTCAAGGAAAGCAAAGACCTGTAAAACCTGGTCAAAGAATATTTAAAAAAAAAATTCATGTTGAATAATTCTTAAGACAATTGCTAATATTTGAAATTTCAAACAAGGATATATGCAGTGTGTCAAAAAAATCATACAGGACACGTCATATTCTGTAAAGGAAGAACGGGGGCTCAGAGCATTGTGGGTAGCTAACTACCTTGTCCAATGCCGTACATTCTGTGGGCACGTGTCATGCGTAGGTGGAAAGCTTGACCATGTTATTTTGTTCAATCAAATTCTATCTAATGAGAGCTCCAATAAGTTACGTTATTCATCATTAAGAAATCACCCTTCCCAGCGCACCCTGTTTGGGCGGTGGGTGCAAGCGAATTATTTTTCAATGGCACATTACCAATTCTACAAAAAAATTTCAAAAACTGTAAGTTAATGTAAAAATGGAATGAATAATATACGAAGGAAGAAACAAAAGTATCCTTGATTCAAACATCAAAAAAGTGTATGTACAAATAACTAATGTTTATGAGTGCAATGGTAAGAATAATTTCATGAACTGACATGGAATGTTCCATTCCGCGAGGTGGAATGTTCCATTCCTATGACCCAATGAAATTATTCTTTCCATTTGCAGGAATGTGAAACGTTCATTATTTTGAATATATCCTCGTCATCTGATTGGTCAGATCCACCAATCCTGTGATCGTGGAATAGAACTTCAATTATCGGTGTGCGGTCGGGCCGTGGGTTGGCCTGGGATGGGACAAATAATTCAATGAAATGTGATCTACAACCAATCAGACGCCGGGGATTCATTCAAGTGTTGTATAATATAGAATGATATATTTGAAAACCAAATCGAAAGCCGAAACCACAAATTCCCTGAAGTTCCATAAAAAATACTGCTTCAAAAATTCAATTAATTTACTTTAAATATTCAAACTCAAGTACTATAAGTGTTCAACTGAGCAACAAATTGAAGACGTCCACAAGCATATCAAAAAAAAAATCCATCTTAAAAACAAAACATGAATTTTGAATTTTCACAGGTATTTCAGCACACGAAATTGTGGTTCCACTAAATATAAACACCTCAACATCCATATTTATACAGATAATATATAAATCTGATTTGCACCGAATAGAACTACTTGTTAGATCTAATCAAGTTATAAATAGAATTTAATTAAATAAAATGTTCCCAAAAATCTTAAAAATTAAAATATTTGCAGCTTGAATTTTGTTTTATTGTTGCTGCTCTGTTGCTCTCATTAAAGATATACTGTCCTTGCGCTTCAAAAAATTCATTTTTTTTCAAAAGGAATTTTAAAAGTATATTTATATGTATTTAAAAAAAAAGAATTTTCAAATGTTTTTAGCGTCTGCAACTCTCTGAATAAAGACTCTTAGTTTTGGTTGCCATGGCGGCCCACAACCAAATCTGCTCTGGAAGCAGACTTGTCCCCAATCCATACATTATCGATTGTGACAGGGAGGTGGGAACCAGTCTGTGTTATTGTTTGAAGTATGTAAAGTTTCGAAATTTGTTAAATCATAATTCCATTACATAATGTACATAGATTTTTGTATTCAAAAGTCAATATCGAGTGTTTTGATACAGTGTTTATAAAAATATGTCGGTGAGGAAGAAATCCCATATTGAATTTACATCACCCGGACCCAATTCCATCCTATAAATAATTTGATTGCGGTACCCCCTGCTATATAAGATTCGAACCAGCCACCCGATCCCAGCAAGCTCGGTAGTCGAGTGGAAAGACAGCTGCGCTAGTAGGCAGGAGGTCGTGGGTTCAAGTCCCACCCGAGTGATTTTTTTCCCACAATCACTTGGGACAACACTGAGTCTACAATGTTAATAAAAATACATCGGTGAAGGACAAAACCCAATATTGAGCTTTGGTATTGCTGGCAAAATAGCAATTTGAAATAAGATCTATTTTTTTCGTGCCGAAACTGGACAAAAAAAGCACAAGGACAGTACGTCTTTAAACGCTGGACTCCGTTTCTTCAAAGTCCAGGTCCTGCTGTTGTATCATCTCATACTTGCGGGACCGGACTGTCGGGCAGACCCGCGGCAACGGACGGGACGTCACGCGACACGTGCAGCGGTAACACAAGAGGGCGACATTGCACATCAGACTGGCCAGGGCGATTGCGGTGGCCAGGACGAACCCTACTGCGTAGGGGTCTTGGAAGAACGTCTTGGAAGGGACAAGGTTTTGGGAGTTGAGGGCACGGTTGGCAAGGCACTGGCCAGCTACGTGGTAAAACAAAACCAAAGTATTAATAAGACGCGTGAGAACAGAACCTATGCGAAGTAGTCTCTTGAACTCGGCCCTTTTTTCTAAATCATTAAATGCAAGTACCCAGTTAAAATGTGTAGCCCTGAACAAGAACTTATAGTGACAGATTTTTTTCAGTGAAACTACAGTCGACTCTCGTTAGTACAAACTCTGTTAATACAAAATTCTGGTTATAACAAACATACAGCCTTAGTCCCGACTGTGCATTTATGTGCACAATGAATGCGACTGGTGTTCCTCTTAATACAAAATTCTGATATAACAAACAATTTGGCTAGGTCCGAACGAGTTTGTATTAACAAGACTTGACTGTATTATACACAGAACCAGCAACATTAGCAATGGTAAAACCTTGGAAATGGCGATCAGGGATCATTCGAAGAGGATGCAGCTGATTCATCAATTAATCTTAGATATACAGCCTGTCTAAAAAAAAATGGTACAATCAGAAAAAAATTGGTTAAATATGAATTTTCAAAATAAGTCATTATTACCTGGCATGATATTAAAGAAAAAAGACTGGGCTTTCCAATAGTGTTTGTTTGATCTTATTTGCTTTTGTCAATTCAGAGATATAATCAATTTAGTGCGATCGATTTTGTGCCACTTTTATGCATGGGCAGAGTTGTTTCGAGTACTGTGCCATGCTGTCTTGAAGCTCACAAAAGATTGCAACTTTTGTGTTCCGCAGTAAAATGGAGTTATCTCTGGATTGACAAAAGCAAATGAGATGAAACAAAAAGTATTGGAAAGCCTGGTCTTTTTTCTTTAATGTGATGCTCAAAACAACTTACTTATGTTGAGATTTAATATTGAAAAAAAAAATCATTTTCGATTGAACCATTTTTTTTTAAACAGGCTGTAATGCAAAGAATCATTCAGTCTCATGTACGAACAAGGCATAATTATGAGATATTTTCAAAATTCCACGAGACATATTTTTACTTTAACTAGGAAGTCAAGAGGTGGTTTCAGCAAAGCAACTAAGTAACTGATAATACAAAGGCAACTTGTCGACAAGCGATGGCCTCCCTTCTCCCCTTAATACAGCCATCCTTTCCTTCCTGTATGCATCAGAGACACCTTACGCAAAACTGGTGAAACCTTCAACCGTCAAATTTCCTGAATTTTTCCTTTTTTTTGTTTCTTCCCAAATTCTGAGTTTTGCCTGATTTTAGGTGTTTTCTTCCCAAACTCGAGTTTTCCCTGATTTGTGGTGTTTCTTCCCAAATTCCCTTAGTTTCCCCTGATTTTGGGGGTTTTCTTCCCAAATTCCCTGAGTTTTCCCTGATTTGAGCAGTGTTCTTCCCAAATTCCCTGAGTTTTCCCTTATTTTTGGTGTTTTCACCTCAAATTCCATGAGTTTTGGAAAAATGGAAACCCATATTCAAGGTTTACGCTGATTTCCATAGTGGCTGGCAACTCCGGAGCATATACCCACAGAAACTCAACGGTCTTGAATCCCGCTCCTCAACTTAGTGAATCTGTGGAATTCGTATCAAAATCCCAGAATCTACACCCAGGGCTCACCCTTCCAAAGGCCGCCGTAGGTTGCATCGTTACTGTCAAATGTACACAGTCCAGTTATGTGATGACACGCGCATACTTCATCTTCACACTTGCACGTCTCCCGGCACTCGGGCCCGTGGTATCCGTACGGACAAACTAAACCACACAAGAGAACAGAAAATGCTGACGGAAAAGCCGGGAAGTAAAGCCGCAAGGGGAGACTGAGGTCGTATTACTAATTATTACGTATTAGTGCATGGAAGAAGGTGGTTGGGGCAAAAATATGGGTCAAAAGGTTAAATTCAGATTTTTGGGGCAATCGAAAGAGCGTGGAAATATCTTTCATTTGATACACATTTTGTCTCGGGGGGGGGGGGGGGGGGGGGTTATGTCATTCTGACGTAATAAACAGCATATTAAAGACGGAAGAAGTTTTTTTCATTGTTTGTCCCCTGCAAAAGGACATTAGCGTGAAATACTGACAGGATACGTTCCAAAGTGAGCTAATGTCCAACTGAAGTGGGTACGCAAAGCCAAGTTTGTTCCCGGCAAAAAGGATGTTATGATTTACGCCACTTATAAGCGCACGTTTGAGGCAGGGGGGGGGGAGTTCCTGGTAAAAGGTCATTAGCATAAAATGCAAATAAATTCACAATCTAGTAATACTTTGAAACAAAAATGCACAATAGTATTTAAATTATTAACGAATTTCATGAGCCAAAATTTCAGCCTTATGTGATGTTTAATTTAGAAATGGGAGCACAAAACCTTTCAACCCGATTATCTCCAAAAGTGGGGTGTTTTTTTTGCGTGCCTGGGCTGTTAACGTCCTTTCCCTTGGCACACGACGAATTTGTGACTTGATCTGAAACTGGATATTTTGTGATTAAAGCCCGGTTCATACTCCACGCGAATGCGAATGCGAAGCGAATTTGACGTCATGAGAGATTCGCTGCGAAATTCGCCAGAGTTGAAATATGTTCAAAATTTACGAATTCGCAGTGCGAATACTTGCCATCACGTCACAAATTCGCGTTCGCTTTCGCTTTCGCGCCGAGTATGAACGGGGCTTTACTTGAGACAAACCACCCGCTACCCTACTTACTCTCCTCGCAACGCGTGCCCGTGTAGCCCGGAAGACACGAGCATTCCCCAGTCACGGGGTGGCAGTCCCCGCCGTGTTCGCACCGGCAGACTGACCGGCAGTCCCGACCGTGGGAACCGGCCCCACACAGCTGGATGCAGTCCGGGGGTTGGTAGCCTATATTGCACTGACAACCGGCTAGAAGAAGGGAACCAGGGAAACATGAAGACAAAATGTTAAAAAATTGCATTACAGGCGACTTCAGTGTCAACATGGGGTGGGGTGCTGTGGTCCAATGGTTACAGTGTTCGACTCGTGTGCCGTGGTACATGGGTTCCAATCCTGATGGGGAACATGGTGCTTGTGCTCTTGAGCAAGGCACTTTACTTTAGCTGAGGCTTGGCCAGTGACATCCTGGAGCAGTACGGAGGATTTCAAGCATAATCCAGCCCTATATTTATGCATGGCTGAGCAAAAACAACACAAGGTCCAGCCCAACACCTTGACAAAGCGCATCCTACGAAATCAGTAATGCACTTTTGCCTTGTAACCTCTATCCTCCAAATAGGATTGGTAAAGAGGATTTTGAAGGATTCAGGGCGGTTAGGGTTAATAAAACAAAATTTGGACCTACCCCCTGTACACACTCCGTTACCGCTGCAGTTACGCAGGCCACAGTCTAAGCGGTCGCATCGCGGGCTCTGCCAGTAACCACGGCAACGACACTCCCCCATCACACACTCGCCGTGGCCACTGCAGTCGGGCGGGTTGCAGTCTGGCTCGTGGACGCAGAGTATCGTCGAGACTTCCCGCTGGCAGCGATAAACACGATCGTCGCTGCGCAAATATGGATAAGGTTACAAAGAAACAACATTAACCATCTTGCTATTTAAGCAGTCATTTTGCCATTTGTCAAAGATCCTATTTAGGCCATCAGCCTCGGTCCAACATTTTTGCCACCAGTATTAAATGAGGGGAATAATCGTCATAGCGACTTTTGGCAAGGTATACACCTCCAGAGTTGGAAAATATGTGATAGCATTGCAGCGTGGCAGCTTTTTGGGTGTTATCACCCTTTTTTTTCAAAATGTCCACTAAAATGCTTGTTACCACTCTAAGGGCGGTATACCTTGCGCATGCGCACTATAATCATTTATGCCCTGATTTGATACTGGCCAAACCCCAGGCTGATGGCCTAATTGGATCAAAATGTCAGTCTCTCCATTTTTTATCTTTTTTTGAGGTTTATTTTTACACTGAACATTGAAGCTATAGTCCATCATTTGCAGCCATCCGAAAAGTAACTGGCGTAATTATTGTTGAAAAACATACTTGGTTGAAAGATAGTAAGGGAACTAAACTCCCTGTGAAATTATTCTTTCTGGGAAGCTGTCATTTTGAAGTAATCAACGAAAGAAGGCATTTCCAACGGTGATTCTTAAGAAGCACCGTTGGAAAATTTAAATTAGTAGTTCGTTTTGTTATTCAGCACAGCGCGCACAAGTATTGGAACGACGCACACGCGCGCGCTGTTGTTATAATTCGTTGGATCAGTGCGCGACGTCGCGTATAGCTGCAATTCAAAACAAGATTCAGTAACTTTTGATTTGAAATTGAGATCTTAGAATGCTGCTTTTCTCGGAATGTACAGCTGAAGCTGATCTGAAACTTCATCAGGTTAGTTTCTCAGTATTCTTCATTAGATTTTGAACTCTTTTGTTGCTTCAAACGAACAAAATGCACAAATTACAAATGATGGACTATAGCTTTAGAACAAAAACTCAAGGCCTTACCACTCATCTGTTGCATAGCTGACGACTGTTCCATTGATAACGTATGTGGAGGATCCTCCTCCGTCCAAGTTGATGGCATTCATGACTCCGTTGCGCTTTAAGAGCTGTGCGAATTCTTCCAGAGATACTCTGCAAAAGTGGCCCAAATTGTTGTCGGATTATGAGCTATTGATCATTGAAAAGATTCAATGAAACATGGAGGGCAGTCTGGTGCTGATTTTAGCACAAAGTCTCCCAAAAGTTGAAATTAGCCTCCCATGCAATTTCAATCTTCAACACCCCAAAACCTTTTGTTTTTAAATTGCTTTTTCCCTCGGAAAACAAAATAATCAGTTTTGAACGAGGTATCGGTAGGCTTTCTATTATTTTGTATTTTAGAAGCTCAAAGGGAAGCCACACTAAAAGCGTTTATTCAGTGTGTTGCCGATGCATAAAAAATAAAATGTGTCATTTGAAAACTTCTATTTCTAAATATATGGGCCAATTTTTTTCGGTCTCAAGAGGATACCTTTTGTGTGGCTAGAAATATAGCATTTTACAATAGGAATCTATTTTACGGGATGAAACTCTGAACTAAAACGGGGAATGCAATCTTAAAGAGGTTGTGGAATGCTCGAAGACATTTCCGTCATTTTTCAGGTATATGTAGCCTAAGGTGTGATGAAATAAAAACGACTATTGTGTCTGTCATGAAATGAGTATAAAAGGTAATTTTGAGAGCTGTTTTTCAGGTCCTGTTTCGACCCGAACGTGCAATTTGTGTAAAAGTCGTCGTTGGGGGCAGCAAACAAAACATAGTAAATCATGACGTAATAAACAGGACTCCCGATGCAGCGTAGTATAAACGAGTCCTGTTTATTACGTCACGATTTACTATGTTTTGTTTGCTGCCCCCAACGACGACTTTTACACAAATTGCATGTTCGGGTCGAAACAGGACCTGAAAAACAGCTCTCAAAAGTACCTTTTGTACTCATTTCATGACAGACACAATAGTTGTTTTTATTTCATCACACCTTAGGCTACATATACCCGAAAAATGATGGAAATGTCTTCGAGCATTCCACAACCTCTTTAAGAGTCCCTGACTTTAAACCCCAAATAAGACACAGAATTCGATGAAAAACTGACCAAATTGCCACGGCAACTGAGAGTTGAACACCTACCCTAACGAATCGGACTTGCCGTCCACATGTGCAAGGATAACGCGCCCTTCACTGTCACTGCCGATTGCCGTTCTGGCAGCGACAACGTTGAAAAAGGACTCCACCGTACCTGTATTGAATGTTGCAAAAGGTTTTTTTTGTGTTAACCATAACCCCTTCAGCACTTTTACTAGAAAGTATCCTGAATCCGCCAAAATCCACCAATTTTGTCATGCAAAAATATGTTGGTGTCCTGAGTCCATCAGAATCCACCAGTGAGTCCATCAGAATCCACCAGTGTAGTACATATACCTCGTACACACTCAATAGCCAAGAAGTTAAACTGATGAGATCCTGAATCCATCAAATTCCACCAACTGCTCCATACGGAGGTTTCCTGAATCCATCAAAATCCTGAAGTTCCGCTAGGCTTACTGTCCTGAATCCATCAAAATCCCCCGACTTTTTCAATATGGAGGTATCCTGAATCCGCCGAAATCCTCCAGAACAGGGGTGTGTATTTTGATGGGTTCAGGTACGCTAGGATTAACATAGTTCATCAAATGTTACAATAGCACACATTGTATACGTAACAGACTGTTATGTGAACTAGAGAAAAATTACAATTCCAACCGTTTGTGCCTTGTGCCATGACTAGTAACATAATGCATAAACCACCAGACTATGATTATCTTTCAGCCTTACTTTTACCAGTGGCATTTTTCACACTTCTGGTTTATTTTCCAGCTTTGGCTTTGACTCTGGCTCCAGAGCCATTTGTGAATATCAAAGGCCTAGTACCTGTCTCCTCAGAGTTCTTGCATTCAACTTTTTTGCTCTCCTCGATGTAGCTTTCCCCGTCCCTCAGAAGCCAGCCTACACCCCCTACCAGCTGCACAAATGGATTCTCCTGGTCTAGCACATCAAGCTCCGATAGGTACCTGAACAATTGTGGAATGTTCAATTATGACATAATGGGGGTTTGCTTAACAGAGGCAATATTGTAACTAACAAGGGCCTTGGCTGGGGGGTGCTACTGCTAGAACTGCACCATGGGAACCCAACAAAGGCATAGACATGATAGAGAATCATTTTCATTTTGTTCGTTTCCAATAATAACACCACTCAAAATCCAAAAGAGAATGTTCAAAACCTAACCTGTTGAAGTTAAAGCTGAGTGGATGTTACCCTTTTTTTGAGAAAACAGTGAAAAACCACGCACAACCTTTTGATAATGAAACACGATTTTGTCACTAGAACTCTTCATCTCCAAAATCTAGTCAAATGACTGATCATTGGAAATCACCTAAATGACAGCAAGCCAGACCAATTTCATGGGGAGGTCAAGTACCAGTAGGATCTTTAATCCAAGTTTTAGGATAATAATTTCGTCGCGCCAGTGCAACAAGGTCGTAACTCGATTCTGAAACAAAGTCGTATCTCGCGCATATACGCTCCGTGCAACAAGGTCGTATCTTGCGTATCGTGACAACCGTTGACTTTGTGTGTACATCCGATTTTTTTTAAGCGAGATACAACCTTTTGACATTGAAAACTCGCGCGTCACGTACATGATGTCACACGTCATTTTAGGAGATTCGACCTTGTTGCACCGACACGACGATTTGGAAGGTCACTTTGGGGGTGAATGCAAATGATACTATATGCCTTTACAAATACAAAATTGATTCATATATTTATTTCTTATTTTAACTGGGTAGCCCATTCAGTGGAATCCACCGATCGCCCATGGGTCCCAGTAAAGAGAAGACAATGTAAAGAAATTACAGTTTTAGAGGTGGGAGGAAAAGCCCAGAAGAGTTTTTTGAGGAAAACCCACGGAATCAGGTAGTAACTGAAAACCCAATCCACATATTGAGTTGACCCAGGTGGGATTCGAACCCGGGTCACAGCGGTGGAAGGCGAGGAAAGTACCGCTTCGCCAACCTGACTCCCTTGATTGGGCCTGACTTCAGTAGAAATCTGTGAATTTATTTAACCAAAATGTCAAAACAAGGCACATATCATTTTGTAAATTACTGTCTCACCCAAAGACTAGGCTGCCATCTGCTCTGATCCCGAAATGGGCATTCTGCACACCATGAGCATTCTCAACCAGTCGGCCATCACTCACAACATTTCCATAACAGCCCCCGGTGTGTGTGTTGAAGAAACCAGCATTCATGGCAACTAGGCAGCGTTTCTGCTTTGCTGACCGAGTCACTCGTACCCTGAGCCCCAGGGAGCAGCCGCCGATTCCCAGCGGCTCTAGAACGGAGAGCGTCCTCAGAGGATCGTTCACGATGGTCAGGTGACCGAAAGAGGTTCGGAAATACAGAGAGCTGTCCATGAACTGTTTTGTTGTTGCGATGGGAAGAGTGACGTGCGCGGCGCCGACACCATGGGAATTGTGGGATTGGATGGTGGAGTTGCCGTAAGCGACTGGCTGGCAGTCACGGACGTAGCGCCGACTATGTGGCGAGCCGTGAAAGCCAAGCGGGTAGGGCGTCAGGACATCTCCATGGATGACACTGAAAAGTAAACAATTAAAATGAGTAGAAAGAATGCAGTATTCTGTTGACACTTTTTAATACATATAAAGAGTTTGGGGAATGCTCGAAGACATTTCCATCATTTTGGGGGTATATGTAGCCTAAGGTGTGATGAAATAAAAACGACTATTGTTTCTGTCATGAAATGTGTACAAAGGGTACTTTTGAGAGCTATTTTTCAGGTCCTGTTTCGACCCGAACGTGCAATTTGTGTAAAAGTCGTCGTTGCGGGCAGCAAACAAAACACAGTAAATCGTGACGTAATAAACAGGACTCGTTTATGCTACTCTGCATCGGGAGTCCTGTTTATTACGTCACGATTTACTGTGTTTTGTTTGCTGCCCGCAACGACGACTTTTACACAAATTGCACGTTCGGGTCGAAACAGGCATGACAGGACTTGAAAAACAGCTCTCAAAAATACCTTTTGTACTCATTTTATGACAGAAACAATAGTCATTTTTATTTCATCACACCTTAGGCTACATATAGGCCTACCCGAAAAATGACGGAAATGTCTTCAAGCATTCCACAACCTCTTTAATAACAACGCAATGGTCACCTAATCACTTTCTGGGCTTCAAGAAGCATTTTACAAAATTTACAAAAAGGAAAGAATGTAGAATCCAGACACCACTTCTTTGGTCGAGTACGAAGTCTATGGAGATTTGAGTGCATTTTCAAAGCATTTTTCTAACTAAATTGGAAATGTTTCTCCGTCCCAGATTCGTGTCTTTTCAACATTTCTGCAATGACTGACCTTCATTGAGATTATATATGAATTGATGACGTAATGCCAGGATGCAACATTCTTTCCTGGCCATGGCGTTTCAAATTCCAAATGGCATATGTAGCCTATTGTTGTTCAACATATTTGGGTAATCCTTATCTTTAGGATCCCATTCCTATATAAGGATACAAAAATCACCAAAAACAGCTGACTAAATGACACTCAAAAGTGACATTCTGATATTTCTTGACACATTTGAACAGCTGGGAATGACACCTTCTTGAATATGAGCAGGTTTAATTTTGTGGAAAGAGGGAAGGGCTTTGATTTATGAGGGAAATTACGGGGTAAAAGGCAACGACGATGACAAAAAAAAACAGGCTTGAAAACCAAGGTGGCGACAGTGAAAGCTCGATGCAATGAAAGCTCAATGCTGATTGGCTGCTAACAAAAATAATTTTTTAATTTCTTTTATCAGCCAATCAGCATCGGGCTTTCATTTTCATGATTGTGTCAGGCTTTCACTCGTGTTTTGAGAACTACAACGTGCACGTCTGACTGCCAAAAAAAGGTTTAAAAGTCACATTTTCTTTGAAAGTGCGTTTCAATATTGCAACAAACATAAGTTAATTTCGGAAAGAGTTCTAAAAAAGGCCACCACTCAGACCTCCTGCACAAAGTCTATGGGCCATGACAGAAAAAGTTGAAGTATTATCAAAGAATTTGGAAAAAAATGTTGCAACCTGACGACACTACTAAATTGTAGGCGAATATGTGGCCAACTTGGTGAATTTTTATATGTCACTACATGTTGACGCCCTCAAGTTGAGGCTCAACTGACGTGTGAAAAACGAAGGTGGAAACATGCAAAATTCACTAAGTTGGCCACACATTCGCATCTCTCTTAAAGATTTTGTCAACATATTCTTTACAGTTCTCAAGGGAAAGTATACTCTCTGAGGTACAAAAGTAAGCAAAAAAATTTCTTTTTTTCTGTTTCGAAAGTGGCGTCAGGTTGTAACATTTTTTCCAAGAATTTGTGCACTCCTAAAATAGTGTTTCTTCATCAGATTTACAACTTTTGGTACTTTACAGGTCATATTAAGGAATATGAGCAGTGGCCTTGTTGTACAAAATGTTGTATGGAATTGGAACTCTTTCCGTCTGTTTTGAACGGAACTCGTAAAAAATAGCGTCCTAAAGATAACGACTACCCATATTTGCAATGATCTGACCATCATTAAGCCAAACTGTTACTTAGTAACATCAGTTAACTGTAAAAAAGAAAAGAAAAAGGTAATCCTTACTTTTAGGACCCCGTTCCTATATAGGAAGGGAAAGACTCACCAAAACAGTTGACTAAATGACACTCAAAATTGACATTCTGATATTTCTTGGCACATCTGAACAATTGGCAATGACACCTTGAATATCAGCAGGTTTGATTTTGTGGAAAGAGGGCAGGGCTTTGATTTATGAGGGAAATTCAGGGGTAACAGACAACGATGACAACCAGAAAACAGACTCAAAAACCAAGATGGCAAACGTGAAAGCTGGATGCAATGAAAGCTTGATGCTGATTGGCTGATAAAAAATAAACATCTTATTTATTTTTAGTCTGGTTCCCAGACCAAAAGATTCAGGAATAGTCAGAATCTTTTGGTCTGAGAACCAGACTAACTTATTTATTTTTAGTCTGGTTCCCAGACCAAAAGATTCAGGAGTAGTCAGAATCTTTTGATCTGGGAACCAGCCTAATTATTTTTTTGGTACAACTATAGAATGCAGAGCCACTTTACTCTACATCCGCGCCTCCGTACGGCTGCGTGGAGGCGTGGAGCCGCAGTCGACCTACCTCCGAAAATCAATCGTGGAGTCGTGGAGCCGCAGTCGATATCTCCGAGAATTGCGCCCTCTATCGGTGCGCGTCTCTGCGACTCCGCGACTCCGCCACTCCAGTGTCCCGCGTCTCCGCGACTCTGCGACTCCACGACTCCGCGCCTCTGCCACTCCAGACAGTGCCCCGTCGCCCTCCTCCCTTCCTAAATTGCGAGCCCATTTAAAATGGATATGGATGCTTCGTTCTCAAAAAAATTCCGCCGAGAATTGCGCCCTCTATCGGCGCGAGTCTCTGCGACTCCGCGACTCCGCCACTCCAGTGCCCCGCGTCTCCACGACACTGCGACTCCGCGACTCCGCGACTCCGCCACTCCAGTGTCCCACGTCTCCGCGACTCTGCGACTCCGCGACTCTGCGCCTCCGCCACTCCGCGACTCCGATCCGTACTGTGCCCCCAACACATTTACAAGCACGCCCTCCCTTCCGATCCTTCATGAGAAGCTTAGAAGACAAGTGCATTCGCTGTACTTAGCACTTTTTGCAGGTTTGCATATCTATTACTCCTATCCATCCACACCTCCAAGAAAAATTAAAAACCTTGCTCCGGCGTGGCCCTGCATTCTAATTTCTATAGTTGCTCCATTTTTTTTAGCAGCCAATCAGCATCGGGCTTTCATTATGTAGGGCTTTCACGCGTGTGAGAACTACAACATGCACGCCTGACTGCAAAAAAATGTAGGAAAGTCACATTTTCTTCGAAAATGCTTTCAAAACTACAACTAACAAGAGTTTATATTTATTTATATTTTAGCCTGTAAAAGTCACTTTGGTACTGGACAGTCATCTGCAAAAGTCAGTTTTGAACAAAACTTGTAAAAAATAGAGGTGTCCTAAAAGTAAGGATTACCAAAAATAGCGTCCTAAAGATAACGACTACCCATATTTGCAATGATCTGACCATCATTAAGCCAAACTGTTACTTAGTAACATCAGTTAACTGTAAAAAAAAAAAGTTATCCAGGGACTGGCACACCTCCTGCCTGCGTCCGGAAACTGGGCACCATGTTTTCCATGTTCAGGCCATAGATCAAGGCCTAGATTGCACATAATTCAGGAGAAGACAGTACATTTTTGCTACCTAAAGCAATGACCCACACTTACGCCTGCGTCATTTCGAAGCAATCAAGGAGAAAGACTGCAGCACAAACGACAATTCCATTCCATATGTTAAAGAGAATTTTAGGCCACATGGGCGCCGCCATCTTCCATTTTGCTCGAATCACATGATTTATCATCAACTGCACGTTCCAAATTATTGTTTTTTATTTGGAAAATAACTTTCCAAATAAAAAACAACTACGCGTTCCAAATAATTGATTTTATTGCCGTCAACTACGCGTTCCAAATAATTGATTTTATTGCCGTCAACTGTTATGTTGACGGCAGTAAAATCAATTATTTGGAACGTGTAGTTGATGTTCTTACTCGGAAATTTGCATGTCGTTGTTGTTTTTATTAAAGGGAATATACAACATTTGCACCAAAAAAAACCTACCAAATTATCACAAAAAACCTTACTGGACTGTTAATGAATGACAGACTAAAAGCATCCTGTAAAATCATGGCACCTGGTGTGCTGTCATTTTAAAGAAAGTGGTAATTTTGCATCAATTTCCAACACTGGTCGGGCGACCAGCGTTGAAAAAAAACTGGCTTTTTTCAAATACTGTTCCCAATCTATCATATTTAGATTTTCTTTGCAATCAATAAATGCACATGTGAACGGGTACAAGCCAGCTAGACTGATTCCCTGACTTTCAATTCCCTGACATCTATAAAATGCTTCAATTCATTTTAAGTGGGGTTAGAGAACCAGACTACAAGAACATGATTGTTTTTCTTGGCTTTTCCAGCATCTATGAACCCAACACGCCAAACAAGTCAGTGTAACAATATTTGCTATAAAATACCAGACCCCCAAATCCATCAATTTCTGAAAATTACAGCAAAAGCAAAATGTTGTATTTTCCCTTTAAGTCATTGATGTTTTCATTATAAACAAATAATAATAAATAAATTAAAAAAAACAATAAGGAAAGATCCCCATATCTGACTAACATTTGTCACCCTGTGCACAAACCTTATGAGACTGGTCTGAAAATTTCTAGGTGTTTTCTCAGTAAATACTTCAATATTTTCTCTGCTAAATTTGACTTTTTAGGACATATTATTAATTTCTTATGGCTGATGGGTCACTGAAGGGAAAAATTAGTGATGGCCAGATATGGGAATCTTTGCAATAATAATTAATACTATTTGTATTAATTAATAAATCCAGGCAATTTGAAAAAAAGAAAGACATTACCACTTAATATAACAGGAGAAAAACATGGAATTTCTTTTGTTTACAAAATATCTTTATTCAGAATCTTACATATGAATACAATTACATTTGTTTTTGTTCAAAGGGAAAAAAATGGCAAGGAAAATAAAATGACATTATCACAAAACGCTACTCTATAACTATTGCTAACGAGGGCTAAACTTTCAGTTGAAGTTTGAACTCAAAACAACTAAAAGTGCATGAATTTAAAGGCTACTTCTGTTTCATAATTAATATGACAAAAAAAATACAAAGAAAAATATGGCATTACAGTAAATTAATGAGGCGCTAATTTCCAACATTTGACCGTTTTTAAATTGACAAAGTTTTAAAACAGTTTTTAAGTAGAAAAGTATACCCTGTGACGTGTTACCCAAAGTTGAACCAAAAAAAAAATAGAGTAAGACATTGATCAAGATCGAATATTTTTTAAATGAATGTAACCATTTTTAAATGAATGTGACTATTTTTAAATGAATGCGATTCTGAAAACAATATAGTGATAAAACTACTACCAACTCCACATCACAAAATACTAGAGGCAGTTTAAGTAGCAATAAAATAAATGAATTAAAAAAAACACACACGGATAAATGTCTTATGAATTGAAAAAAATGTCTTTCAACAAAAGAAGATACAAAAATACCATGAAACTAAACTGACAAAATAAATTTTGAAAAAGAGACCACTCAAGCATAATGCCAAGGAATAAACCATCTATTGCTTATCACGGAATAAAATGTTTAATGCTTATATTGAGTAATTGTGTGATCTTTGAAAGGTTACTTTGTAGAAAATAGGCTAAAATACAAAAAAATATTAAGTGACACATTCCAGGCAACATAAGAGTTTTTACAAATGTGCGTCGACACAAAAAGGCATTTCTACATTAAATATAGAGCTATATTAAATTAATTGACTAGAGCGCTAATGCCTCATTCTTGCGCGCGGACATTTTGAATTTATGTGCGTGTTTGTAGAACACAATCAAAATAGATGGATTGAATTTTAAAAGTGTACTCTAAATGCGACGCGCAAGTAGAAGATACGAAGCGCGTCATGACAGTTCAACAAACTTCAAGGCGAAAAGCATCTGCAGCGGAGGGATGCGCACACGATGCGCTGCATGCGTAGAGCAAAATGAAACGCTCATTTGCTGATCGTGCGTTTCGGTTTTGGGCGTATCGGCTTCGATGACGCACCGGTATGGAATACAAACGCAGAAATGCCAATAGCCGTACAAAAGCCGTACACAATTTCGAGTATTCCATAGGTTTGTGCACAAACATGGATGCGCCCAGCAGGCATTACTTTGCACATCGAGTTGCGCTCTAGTAATTTAATATAGCTCTATGGTATGATCAATGAAACTTGAACAATACTCGTTCAGGATAATACCATAAGCTTACAAAACATCAGGAAGAACACGCTGCTTTTAAGACACTTTGGTAACATTCAAATCGGATCTTCCTTCCCTACAGAGCCCATGCACTAGGCAGCCATATTGGAGGGGTTTACGAGTGTCGCTATGGAACAACAGCGCATACCTCGAATTGAAGATGGCTCAAATGCAATGGATCCATATGTGATGCGATCTAGCTTAATGAGTCGTTTGTCGACCCTGGTCAAAAAAATATTTTATTACAGATTTGAAAAGAGCACCACCTCAGCATTACTGCTGTGAAAACCGCATGCTGATACCATCTTCAGTTCAAAAATTATCGAAGTCGGAACACCACGAGATGTGATGAAGTGATGTGATGAAGTGGCCCTATTTTGGCCTGCATCTCCACATGAAAATTCCCGACAAACGACTCATTTAGCTTGATCGCATCACATGTGTTTCGTAGAAGCAAAACTGAGCAGAAGACAGACAGCTTAACACAATAAACAATAAGGGACGGTCTCCATTCATATCTTGGACAAGTTACGGTAGAATCATTCACTTTGTCCGGAAGAAGCTCTGCATTTGTCCCGGACATGTTCCGGGGAAATTTTCATCAGCAACTGCTTGACTCACCAATACTGATAACTTCATTGCGGGAAGATTGTGGGGAAGTTGTTCAAAATCCTGCAACTTATACCCAATACCAAGTCCGCAACTTGTCAGGAACTCATCCCAGATATGACTTGAGACAGCCCAGACAGAAGTGAACATGTATAACGCTGTTTCTGAAGACGTCTCAAGATAATAAAGTAATGCTGATAAATACTTGTAACTTCAACAGTGGAACCTGTCTGTAAATTGAAGAACGTTCCCCCAAAAAATACAGTGTATTTGTTCAGGCTAAAGGTTCCTATACACGTAGAGAAAATTAACTTTGACTGCATAATTTTGGGCAGTTACAAAAGCAAGTCAATTCATTGGTACTCCGTTTCCAGTGAGCACCAGCCAAAATATAGGTTTGCCAGTTATTGGTTATTTCTTTCAGAATGACATATATCTTTGTTAGTAGGGAGTCAAAACAGACGATCTTTCATAATAACAAAAGCACTGATTCACTTCTTAGAACTCACAAAAAAGTCGGTGAGATGCCCATCCATTCCAACTTTGCCTAATTTAAGTAGGGCTTTGCTAGTCATGATCTTTGGGTTTTTGTGGGTCAATCAAACATGTCAAAGAAAGTTTAACACTTGATGCTATTGAGTACACACAAAATAAACAAAACGTGCACCCCCATGTTAATGTATGTACCTCTGTCATTTCTGTTTTAGCCTCTGAAGAAGAACTTGCTAAGTTCGCAACGTCAGGCCACATTAATTTTAAGACAAAATAAACAAGTTAAACATGTTTAAACCCCTCCCCCCCAAAAAAAAAACAACCAGAAAGCAAGCAAATCTCAAAAAAAAATAGTTGATTAAAAAAGGCACAACTCAAATTACATCGAAAGTGATTGAATGAGCTGCATTATTTAATACAGACACAAGAAGTCCAATGTTCGCTTCACAGACTAAATGACGAGGTTGTAGTTTTTTTCGTAGCACACAGCATAAAAGTAACAATCAATTAATCAAATATTTAGGAATCGAAAGATAACACACATCTGGTAGCCATCGGAGGGCTGGTAACCAAATGTTTTTTAACAGCAACTGGTTTAACCCTATTATGCTATACTTTTGGCTAAGCATTAAGCAAGAACATTTGCGCCACATTAAACCAAAAACGGTATTAAAGAAATGTAGTATACCGTTCTATATCATAAGTATGGCAGTGTACAGGGTACGGTTTTGGCCGAGTTGTCTGCTGTAGTTTTGTTTTTTTGCAAATCAAATTTGGAAACCATGATTAAAAAAGAGCAGTCATATATTATCGTACTGCTCAGTGTAGCGATAAAAAAAAACTTTTTAAGTGTCCAGTTTTGAAAACATTTTGTAACGAGGCTCGAACACTGGGTACGATATGTTACACTGAATAAGCCCTCTACTAATTGGAAAAGGTTCGAACACAAAATTGCGTAGATTTTCGACCCCAAAAAGCTAGGTCTTGGTGAAAGTCAAGTACATCGTCGGTCGCACCACCAGGTGACATCGTGTGCACAATGACAATAGGCGATACGTCACTTCGTAGTGCACCCGACGATATGATGTTTTATTGCGCAATGGATAAACGGACCTTAGACAACAGACTAACTACATCTGACCAAGAGGGGGCGCCATCCATCATGTACTGGGGCCACAGACATATAAACACATAGACCGCCAGTCGTGCGCGTAAAACTGTGATTTGAAAAAGTATGGGCAAAACGCTTGTTAACAGCACGCGTTACCGATTGACGCGCGTTCAATGCAGATACGCACTTAGTACCGTACATACACACAGAACATAATTTCTTGAGTTAAAAAAAGCTGTTCTACTCACAATCCGATTGAAAAAAATTGTGCACGTTATTGTTTTTTAACACATTAAGCACACTAGGGATTTTTTTTACAATCGAAAAATAACTGCATAGAATTTGTTTAATGGAATAGTTTGGGTATGTGTAAAATCCCTATACCAAGAGGTGAATTTGCCCATAGTTTGGATTTTAGTCGGGCGCCGCGAAATCAAGAAATGCGTGTGTAGTTTCGAATAGGACCTGGCGGTCTATGTGTTTATATGTCTGTGACTGGGGCTAATTCCAAAGAGCCTCCATGCACAAAAACTTGCCAAGCAAACAACAGGTCACCAGCCAAAATATCATGCGACGCATACAATTCATGGCTGGTACTCGGCTGATCTGTGCTCGGTAAAGAAAATTTACCCGGCAATATTTTCTGTCCAGCAGCTGTAACCAAATTTGGCAATGCGAAAATAACACCACTCGTTTGATAATGTAATTAAGTGCAAATTAACTTGAGCAGAACACAGCTTGCTGCTAGTAATAGAGAGTCTATTGATTGACATGGGTAATGTGCACAGCTGATTATACATGTACATGTACTTGACTGTGCATTTTATTATGCGCTATACGTACCTGTACATGTACTTGACTGTGCATTTAATTATGCTCAATATGTAATATCCAGACAATTAGCTTTGCTGAATGTAATTCAAACAAGAAGATATCAAATTGGAAATTCTGGTACCAACAAGCAAAATATTAGTCCGAGTATATCCCCCGTTCACGTTGTACAACGGAACCCTCTCCGTATCCAAAGTTTGACATATCTGAGCAATGCAAATGTTACATGTATGCAACTCGCGCGCCAGCCAATTGGAGTCGACTTCATTCAAGAAATCGTGATGTCATTTCGAGCAGAATTGGCTAAGTTTGGGCAAGGACCATTAGTCAACTAGTGGTTGGTTTGTGATGTACCTTACGCCTGCGCACTGATAGCAACGTGCGAACGTCTCTAGTCACATGCTGGTCAAAATGTCATCGCAAAACTTCTGGATCCTGGCTCTCTGCTAGCGTTATGAATGCGCGCGGCTATTGGTTACCAGCGATGCAACCAGCCCCAGTAGGTTGGTTCCAAATAGTCGACTAGCGTAGTCAACCATCGTCGACTAGACAGAGTTCGGGCAAGCGCTAGTCAGACTATGGTTAACCATTAGTCAACCATGGTCCTTGCCCGAACTTGGCCATTGTGGACAAAGCTGTTGATTGGTCAATTTGGCTGACATGTTTTTGTAATACAACAGCGGGTTACGGAAGGCCGGATCCAAGGTGCCCACTGAATGGTCAGAATCTCAAGGTCAAGATGCAGCCTTGTTTTGCATAATTAATCGCAAAATCTGCCAGTATATTTATAGACCTTTGCTGTGCAAAGGTCTATTCCATAGACTAGCAAACTATAGACTCTCAAGCCCAAAAAAATGCAAAAAAAAAAAAATGTATTTAATTTCCTTTGCATGCATTACATCAAACAAACAAAAATTAGTAAGAAGTACAAAGAGATGGCCAAAAAACAACCAAAATAATAAAATAAAACATGTGCGTCATTCTGCTTTTCCTCTCGTGAGGACCTCTTCATGAAACTGCAGTTTCATGGTGTCGGTGACAAACCCTCTTAGGGTCTGAACCATCCGGGCCCGGAATTCCCCGTCCTGGTTTACCAGCCGGTTCATGGAGGCAAAGTCTTCCACGATGCACTCGCGGAGTACCGGCTGGAAGTGCTCGTGGAGCTGGTCCCGCTGCTCTTTGCTAAGCTCCGTCAGGAGGTCGGTTACCGGCCGACAGGTGCCTTTGTACTTCCACCGGGCCATCACGCTTCCTAGCGCGCCACCTGGCAGTATAAACAACAGAAGATAACGTCACTTCAACACGACAAATATATTCAACCCCAACTATCCTCAATCAATGTTGTTGTGGAGTCTATGGCACGACCTCACAAGTGCACACGGTCACGTGTGGTCTAGCGGTAGGGCACAGGAGTCATGAACGTGAGATTGTGGGTTCGAGCCCCGCCGTGGCCACGCGTGTTGTGCCCTTGAGTAAGGCGCTTTACCTCAATTACTCCTCTCAACCCAGGTGTTAAATGGGTACCCGCATTATTCAATGCTGGGAAGGTAACAGACTCGCTGTGGAGGAGGTGTGGCGATCCCCCCGCAGCAGCATTTCATGGACTCGAGTCTGGCCCAATCGTTTCGAGAGATGGGCACTCTGTTCCTGTGAACACAGGTTCGTGCCCCCCCCCCCTTTCACAAGTCCAAGACAAGTTAACCACAGGTCATCCCAATCAGGCTAAAAGCTATTCAAATTTACTGTAACAAAGGCATTCCTTCAATGTATACTTGTTACCAGGCCTGTGGATGCCTTGAGATGCACTGACAAGACAACTGTCAATTTGCCAAAATCCGACGTATGAAACTGACAGATTTAAGACTGCGACTTTTACTTCACATGTAAATAATGTCCTAATTTATGCCACTACAAAGTTCAATAATTGTCACAATTCACGAACAGTGAGAAAAGGACCATTAGCCAATTGCATTGAATTGTTCCAACACAGAAAATTCCTAAGCACATGAATAATTAGATTTTAGCCAAAAAAAACCAACACACACAAAAACAAGAGTCGTCATGGTACAGGTTTTGATGGTCCTCAACTCATTTTTGCAAGGCAATTATGCAATTCACCCCGATCTTGTCAGTGTCAATACATCGATGTACCATATCCAGCAGATCAATTTTAAAATGTCTTCAGGGCAAACAGGATATGATTATGATGACGAAAAGTGGTGAACATGCAAAGTTTTGAAAAGGAAAGGTCGTGTTGAAGTTAGGACAATTAGAACAAATTGATTTTCCTTCCTGTAATAACTGAAAACCAGGGGCAGATCCAGAGAGGTTAATGTGCCAGGGGGCGGAGGGTATGCTGGGGCGGAGGGTGGGCGGAGGGTGTACAGGGGGGGGGGGCAGAAGGGCACTCTCAAGTAAAATATTGCCGAGGGGGGCACTCTCAAGTAAAATATTGCCTAATCTGAGTACATTTCGGTCACTGCTAAGGGTGGGGGGTTGGAAGGTGGGGATAAGGGTGGGGGAGGGGGGTGCCCGTCCTCCCCTCCCCTGGATCCGCCACTGAAAACGTTCACCTTGGCTCAAAATTCAACCATTTTGAAATCATCTCATGAACCAAAATGTGACATTTCTGTTCTCAAAAAAAGAAGAAGACATCTCTGACTCATTTTTAAGCCCTTTCAAATTGAAGACAAAACTCTTCAATTTTACCAAATACATGTATCATACTTTTTATGTACACATATGTAGACTTATATGCAATTGTACCAGCTTCTTCCACCTAAAATTCTGCTCCATTTAAACTGGTTACACCCATCGCAATCTGCTATGAACCCCCCAGAAACATTCCTCATAATTACAAATTATAAAAGGAAGGTCAAGAGCCTCCTTAGTTCGGTCAAAACTCACCATGATACATGTTAAGCTACACATAGACATGATCAAGTCTGCAAACACTGCTGATTTTTTTTGCATTTGTTTAAAAAAATCTTCACGACCAATTTCTTTTTTACAAATCATACAAATTTCCTTTAATTTCCTCTATCTGCTCATTGCCATGAAATCACGAAATGACAGACACTGTCTTATAAATTAATTAAACAAACAGCAATTTTAAGGTTGACATCATGAACCTCCTCACAATTTCAATTTCACACAATATTTTTAGAAAACAAATATATTATATCCAGGGTACATTCTGGGAGCTAGTGCACAAATTTATACATGAAATTATAAGGGAACATCTTGGTGGGAAATTTTTTATTTCTTTATTTACATTTTCGGAGAAACTTCATAAAAAAAATATCATATTGGGAAGTCACACACTTAACCCTAACTCCCTAGCATCTTTTACTAGGAACTGGGCCAAGTCCATCAAAATCCATCAATCACTGTGCGTCTAATACAAAACTGTACATGACATAATGGAATCCACCACTGACGTAGGCCTACTAGTTGACATTCATGGACTTGCTAGACACAGCTTTTATAAAAAAAAGCGGTACAGGAAGCTAGGCAAAATCAATCGGATACGGTTCATACTACATGTACACAACTGGTCATGACGTTCTAAATGTTGCATGGTGTCTGTCAATTTGCCGAAGTCTAGTTCCTGGAATGGACAAGTGCCAAATATTAGATAAGTTGTATACATGCATTGTAAATCTATACAATGTATAAAATAGAAAAGACTTGTGAATAATATTACAATGGCTGCCAAGTGGTTTCAAACAATATGCATGTCAAGTTGTCGACATGTACATGTACTTTGCATATACACTGTAACTAGTGATTAAGTGCATACAGCGTACCAGCATGTTTTTGCAATCTCTGAAGTACTCCAGAGGATATAACGGACCGAAATCTAACAAGGTTGCCATGAAATACGAACTTACATCCAAAGTGGACTGGAAGATTCCCTCGCTATATCCTGGAGTAAATGTTTCAAGTGCTATCCAATTTGTTTATTTAACTTCTATTTTACTGCTTTACCCTAACCCCCATCGGGTATTCCCCAGGTACCCTGCTAAATGCTACAATATCCAACACAACTCAAATGAGAACCCTGCTAAACGCAACAAATTGCAACAGTGGATTATGTTGCATTGCGCAGTGAGCCCAGTGCATACCAGCCTTGGCACCAAGCAGTTACCCTGCTAAATGCAACCAAATGCAATGGATACTCAACCTTGGCACTATGAGCAGTTACCCTGCTAAATGCAACAAAATGCAACAGTGGATTATGTTGTATTGCCTTGGCACTATGAGCAGTTACCCTGCTAAATGCAACCAAATGCAATGGCTACTCAACCTTGGCACTATGAGCAGTTACCCTGCTAAATGCAACAAAATGCAACAGTGGATTAGGTTGCATTGCCACTATGAGCAGTTACCCTGCTAAATGCAACAAGATGCAGCAAAGCATGGGGACTTGAGTTGGCTGCTAAAAGCAACAGTATATATGCAACAACTTTGATACCTTTGTTGCTTTCTGTTGCATTTAGCAGGGTAAGGGTTCATGGATTTCTTTTTTTTACATGTACGACCAACACATTTTGTGACTTACCCATGTCAAAATTTTCTTGTTACAATTTACGATTAAATACATCTATTCTATAGGCCTACCGTACGTGTACTCTTTGTACAAGAAGTTGCCATGCAACACGAGTCATGCATTTAATTGTTAACTAAACAGACAATGTGAGTTTACATTCTACGCTTCTGTTTAAATTCATGGGAAATATTAGAGGGTTCATGAGATGATCTTGGTTAATAACATACAAAAAACCATGTTACACACAAAAAAGCCTGTATAATTAATTGTAGCGCCAATACCAGTTGTAACATTCAAAAGACTTAACATTTTAACATAAATGTTCTGTGTACATGGACGTTATAGACACATTGGCAAATAAAGTGAAAATACAAGTAAAAAGTATTAAATTTCATGTCAGATGACCTGCGTACACAACTGTCACATGATCTACAAAACAGTCACATGTCCTATAGAAATTTCACATAAACTGCACAGACACAACCTCTGCACTATACTAGTGTCACATGACGGTTGACCTGGACTTACATGTGTGTCACATGCCCTACACTAATGTCACATGACCTACACGTGCAAGCAAAGAGCTGTTCCTCTATGGTGCAAGTATGTAGCCATACCGTACATGTATGGTACCCAGGAAAGTGATACGGCTTTTTGAACAATTTTGACATGATAGAGAGATGCATGCATACAGTCATACACACATGTACAAAACAGATTTTGACAAAAATGCAAGCACCATTGGAAACTTCCTAGTGTCTTTTACTAAGTACTGCACCAAGTCCGCCAAAATCCATCACTGACCCTGCTTCACATAATGCTTTTGGACCAAATCCGCTGAAATCCACCACAAGACCACCACTACTACAGGTGGATTTGATGGACTTGGTACTTATGGCTTGTCTACCAAAATCCCCAAAATGGGGGTGGGGGATGGATGTTGATGGAGTTGGGAAGGTTAGGGTTATAATACTATCAAATTTTAGCAAGCAAGCATAAGCAACGAGCGCACCAATTTGGCAATTAAAAAAGTGGAATGTTTCGGTGATATTTGTTGTAAAAATATCTTTTATCACCTAAATTTTCATTTTTTTACTTGAAGGCAAGAATTGCGCGGTATATAGTTGATTAGACTTATTTTCTTGATCATCAAGGGTACTGCAATTGCATAGATTATGCAGACTCCACTAGAACTCGTACCATTCAGCCCTTTACAAATGATACAGTTTCATTTTCCATCAGTAATGTCCATCTTCATGGTAGCTGAAAAGAAATCTTTTAGTCCGTTCAAAGCCTGTACCCTAACAAGGGCGTCACCCATCACTAGCGCAGTCAACATCACGACATCTTGGGCATCAAAGTTCCCGAAAACATTCCGGAAATGGTCGTAGAGCTGCCGCCTCCGCTCGTGATCCATGGCTGTCAAGACGTCGGGGACGGATTGGAACTTGCCATGGGTCGCGTAGGCGCCCATCATGCCCCCAACAGCGCCACCTAGAGGGGAGAGGAAAGTTAGTGTTACATACGCCATACCGGGATGTCCTTCGCGACTCGTGATGCGGTGCTCCCGGGGTGAATGGACTTCCAGCGAAACCTTCACGGGACTGAATGAATGATGGATTGACACTGACTCACAAAGAGTATATAAGGGAAGGGGGGTGGTTGTGTAATGATCTCAATGCAAGAACTGCATTGAGCGCTCTACAATCATAAAGACACATCATATATATTATATACTGGTTGACATATTTATGACGATGATTGCCACGATCAATATTCAAATGGATATGCTCAAATGCTAGCATCTGTGCAATGAGTTTTGGGAAGGGGCACCTACACTGTAGTGCACACACATGTAAGGGAATTTGTGCTTGGCAGGTGTTAAACACTATGTTTAGGACTGGTTGGAGTCTGGATGCTTAGCATCAAGACTCCAACCAGTCTTAAACATAGTGTTTAATACCGACTAAGCACATATTTATTCCCATTCATCAAAACCTTTCGGTCAAAAAAAAAATCAAAACATTTCGGTCCAAAAATCACGTCAAAAATTAAAAATTTCCAATGATTTTGTTCACAAATTTTTCTTCATGTTTTTCGAAACACCCCTCTAGCTATATAATGGAGTGTCCAGCTCGCGAGTAAGACTCCTTTTATGGTGATTAGCGCGCGCACGTTGCGCCTATTGCGTTTGATGTCGCGCAGGTGCAACTGTGGCGAGTGCGTTGTGAATTTATGACTATGAAATACTGACTGCAATAGAAAGAATAATTTAATTCGGTGACAGATGAAATGCTCCATTCCACTCAACGAACATTTCATCTGTCACCTCATGAAATTATTCTTACCATTGCACTCACAAACATTCATTATTTGTATAATAATAATAATATTGGATGGCTTTTTTTCCGGGTATATTGCACTCACTATGACAATATTGCACTCATCTTTGACCCATGCAATATTGTTTTATAGCTCGTGCAATATATTCTTGCTTATGTATTCCCCTTGAAGCCATCCAATAATATATAATTATCTGATTGCTAATACTGCAACAGATGTTTACAAAAAAGAATGTCCTTTGGATCACCTTTACGATTCACGCTAAGTGTTAAAAAAGCTTGGAAGCCACAAAAGTCTCAAAACAAAAAATTACCTGCTTGGCATTTTTACATTTTACATGTTACGTAGTTTTACAAATGAAAAATAAATAATGTACGTTGACATTCTTGTATAATAAAGCTTGCTTATTTCTAATATTTTTTTTCATTAAAAACAATGAAAACAAACTTGACCAGAAACAAAAATACAACAGCATGGTAGCAGCAATGAACATACATGTATAGATATTTAACAAAAAGAGTAGCAATAAATGAGGTACATGTAGATACCGCCAATAAGTGAGTTAAGGGTCATTCTAAAATCTACAGATATGGAGTAAACTTTTTTTTCCTGTCCTTATTACAACTGCACCCGATTTCACGAAGCACTGCGATGCGTCACAACTGGAGTTACGACATGTTACGCGTCGCAACTCGCAACGCGTCGTATCATCCATTTCACATGAGTTGCGATGTGTTGAACGCGTCGTAAGTTCCTTGACAACGGTTTAAATTAAAACACGTCGCAAGTTTCGACGTGTCTAGTAGTCATCGCAAAATAAGAAGAGTCCCTTTCTTAGCCAGTTTAATGCCATAAACATTACATAAACGAGATTATAATACCGAGGCAATGTGTGTAAAGTTGTAAATAGAAAATTCAATGAATAATTATGAATTAGACTGGAATATTGCAGTTGAAATTTACAGTCCACTGAGAGCTTGTTTTCCTTCAAAATTGCATCGCACGACCGCCATTTTGTTTTACGTTTAAACAAATTTCAAGCTGAGATCCGACGACTCTTTGTTGAATATCAGACGACTATTTACTGTACGCTGACTAAATACATGAAACAGTCACCGAGTTGTGCTATAAATACACCTACGACGCGTCGCACTTACGACGTGTTTTGTGATATGGATCGTAGGACGCGTCGCAGCTGTGACGCATCGTAGGGTTATGACACATCGCAGCGCTGCGATGCATCGTAAGTTACGAAGAGTTTGATGAAATCGGGTGCTGACATGTATGAGTTTATAATTCTGATGCTCGCCGTAATGCAGTCATCCTCCAAGAGTGATTATGAATAGCAAACTGCCTACCCAACATATTAAACATTAAAGTCATTCTTTATCAATTATTAACCCTAACTCCCTAGCATGATTCACTAGGAACCATACCCATCCTGGTGAATTCTAACACCACATGTGAAACTGCACCCACATTTTTCTGACTTTGTTTCTGGAGGTGTGCCAACCCAATGTAAAAGACTGTCAGTTTAGGGATACTGTACCCATCCTGACAGATTCCAACAAAACATGCCGTTGGGGTTTGATGGGTTGAGTTCTGTTACGGTTAACTTGAATGGCAAATTGCCAAGTACCACGGTAACAGGGACAGGAAAATGTCGCACTTTAGACCTTAACCCGAACCCCCTAGTACTTCCTCAGGACTACCCTGCTAAATCCAACAGAGTCCAACCAGACTTTCCTGTTCAATCCACTGTGCCTCATTTTCAGTTGTCTGCTGAATCCAAAGGAGTCCAACAATGCGTTATACTGCGGTTCAGTTGCCTGCTGAATCCAACATTTTGCATGAGGAATGTACACAAGGGGTTAACTGCTCAATCCAACAGGCTCCATCGGGTATGTGACATAGTTGGATCCTGTTGGATTCAGCAGGGTTAGGGTTGAATTTATAGAATGACCCATTTATAAACAAAAAGGCAGCAAAAAGAAAACAGCAAGCTAGAAAATTCACATACATGTACTTCAATAATAGTCTTACTCTCTACATTATGCTAAAAAAACGAAAATGTTGAGAACACATAATAAAAGAAAACATGCAAATGAAAGACTCCTTTCCTTTAGAGCCTTACACAGAAAATTATATCATGTGATGATGTGACACGTGATTTCTTCACTACAGACACCACTGAGCAAAACTGCAATCAGCATCAATTGTATCATGAAAAGATGCAGATGTATACATAGGCAAGCAATTTTATGAACCGATGGAAAAAGGAAATGAAACGAGGAAATGCTACAATATACGATGAACATGCAAATGAGATTTAACTGCTTTGAGTTAGTACAATTTCTGCTTTTGTTATTTATTTTTGATGAAATCCGAGCGTGCAACTACAGCACAAAGAATACATTGCGTAGGCCCCTATGCTTTCAATTACAATTCAGCATCACGGACATTACAAATCTGACAATGTTTTGAGGTACTTTAGGAGATCAGGGGTAAAAACCCTGAATATGTACTACAGTAATTCCGGCGTTTAATTAAGGGCTCAGTGAATAAACCTGAACATGTATTTTTATATCTTATGCATCCATCATCTAGTAATGGTCAAGGAGATTACAGACCAGGAGTTTTGCATCATTTCTCTAAATCATTAACCCTAACCGCCCTGAATCCTCCAAAATCCTTTTTGCAAATTGGAGGAATTTGCAGGATTGAGGTTACATGGCCAAAGTGCGTTGCTGATTTCGGAATACGCACTGTGTCAAGGTCTTGGGCCGAACCTTGTGTTGTTTATACTCAGCCGTGAATGCATTTAGTCCTTGATTATACTTGACATCCTCCGCACTGCTCCAGGATGTCATTGCCTCTACCTCAGCCTATTGACAGTCATAGCCGGAGGATTTTGCAGGATTCAGGCAGTGGTCACCCCTCCATTGACCATATTCAAGAAACAATGGAGGAATTTGCAGGATTGAGGCTATGCTATTTTTCCATGAGGCCAATTGGAAGATTTTGCAGGATTGAGGCTACATCCTAGCAAAAAGGCCTAGGGAGTTAGGGTTAACACTAAACTCCCCAACTCCATCAAAATCCATACCTCGTTATCAGGTTATGGTGGATTTTGAGGGACTTGGTCCTGCAGGCCTGGTTTGACTAATTATTGATGGAGTATGATGGACTTGGGCCTGGAGGCCTAAAGCAACGCATGCATTGGAAGCAATGTGATTGATGGTTTTTGGCGGACTTGGTCCACTAATCAGTAAAAGACTCAATTCACACCCTGTGCACAAACCCTATGAGACCGGTATGAAAAATTCCAAGTGTTTTCTCAGTGAATGCTTCAATAGTTTCCCTGCTAAATTTGATTTTTTAGGACATGTTATCGCAATCTGATGACTGACACATGTCTAGGTCATTGCAGGGAAAATTAGTGACGTCCAAGTATGGATTTATTCTTACATGTACGTAGAAAGGGTCACAGCTCCTCGGGACACATTTTTGTATCAGCAAGAGTCAAGAAAATGGAAGAATCCATCCATTATCTTGGAAAATGCAACGATCTTGGGGGTAAAAGTGGGGGGGGGGCCTTCATTTGTCCAAAATGCCTGATGAACTCATTTTCAAAAGATGATAAACTACACGTATTTTTGTTTTTACTTGGCCTTATGAAGCCCGGTTCATACTTCATGCAAAAATGAAAGCGAAGCGAAATTCTTGACGTCAACAATACGTTCGAAGCGCGTCCACCACTGTTGACGTCATGAATTTCGCTTCGCACTTGCTTTCGCGTGAAGTATGAACCGGGCTTAAAGCAAAAGAACCAAAGCGAACACACTCATGCATCCGCCGTTTCTGTGTTTATATAGTCATAAAAATATCCTTACCAACAGCAATGCCGACGGGACCTCCGCAGAAACCACCAATTACCGCCCCGGCCCCCGCCATAGCGCCACCTTTCAGTGTCTCCTTGACTGTCACTTTCAGATTTTCTTCGGTAGCCAGCAAGGCCAGCAGTCTGACGAGTTCTTCTGGTGAGACGGGCATGATGTCTGCTGGTCAGTCGCTTAGTCAAGACTCCGAGATGGTTTTCCGTCGATCAGATGAAGTCACCGGGTATGGGTAATCAGTGTGACAAGGCAATTCTGAAATTATAAACATTCACAACTTAACTCTTTAACCCTAACCACCCTGAATCCTCCAAAATCCTTTTTGCAAATCGGAGGAATTTGCAGGATTGAGGTTACAAGGCAAAAGTGCGTTGGTGATTTCAGAGGACGCACTGTGTCTTGTGCCGGACCTTGTGTTGTTTATGCTCAGCCTGGCATAAATTTAGTCCTTGATTATACTTGAAATCCTCTGCACTGCTCCAGGATGTCACTGCCTCTGCTTCAATCTATCGACAGTCATAGCCGGAGGATTTTGCAGGATTGAGGCAGTGGTCACCTCTCCACGGACCATATTCAAGAAATAACGGAGGAATTTGCAGGATTGAGGCTGTATGCTACATTGCTACTTTTCCATGAGGCCAATTGGAGGATTTTGCAGGATTGGGGCTACATCCTAGCAAAAAGGCCTAGGGAGTTAGGGTTAAGGACGAAGTTTCATTTTCACTTCTACCACTAGCCCGAGTTTTACGTATTTGCTTTTTGTCAGAACTTTCCATTCAATCTAACTGCAAAGAATGCCTGCTACCTAGTATTACTACAGTTGTAATTTATAGGCCCAGAGGCCCCTGGGGGCTCGGACAATTTTACTGTTGGACAACTCGACCAGTGGGACAACTCGAGCATTTGTGCATCAAATGGAAATACAAGTCGTCCGTTGAGACGAGTCGTCCGTAGATACAAGTCGACTCGCAGTTAAAAAAAAAAAAAGAGAAAGTGGGCCAGACATTGGGGGCTGGTACATTGTGCAGGCGTGATGGGTTGGTGGGGCTCGGTCAAAGTTTTATTTTGCAACCGGGCTGGTGATTTTTTGCCATGTCCGGTGGGTGGGTTTGGGGTTGCTTGACATGATGGGATACATGTACAACTATTGGGCTCAGCTCGCTCAGGCCTGACTGATCGGGCTGGGGCTCCTGGAAGATGATCGGGCTTGGCTCGGTTGGGGCTGAGATTTGCGGTGGGTTACCAAGCTGGGTACAAGCTGGGTGATGCGGGCTGGGCTTGGTCTAAGTTACTGATTTTTTTGGCATGCCGTGTCACCGTCAGGGTCATGCTCCACACTGGGTAGCCCCAGAAATGTGGCCAATTTACTGGACTACCTCCGTAAATATAGGCCACACTTGCACCATGTACAAAAACATGTAGAACTTTTTGAAAATTTTTGATTTTTGAAAAATTTTGCCACACAAGTAGTGGGGCTACACGCTACCAATAACATACAACGCCTCGCTCAGTCCTCAAATTGTCTCTACGTCAAAGTCGACTTGTCTCAACGAATGACAGGGTTTGTCATGTTAATCTTGAGTTGTCGCAACGGTCGAGTTGTCTCAATGACAACGGCCCCTGCCCTGCACTGTATGGTTAAAAGTTACGAAGTGGCTATCGTTACGGCAGCCGTTGTTTAGCGCCCTCTACGATACTTTTTTGATACGCACGCAGGTATATAATTATTTGTTTCCCCATGTTTTAGCGAGCAGTGCGACAGCTCAGTCGATAGAGGGTGGGATTTTGCACCGCGAGGTTGCACTCAAATTTTTTTCCTTTTCTAACCTGAGGCTTTGGAGGATTTTTTTTAATAAAAGGGAAATAAAGTCCGAATTTCATAACGTTCAAATTCACTTTTTTTCCTTCTAATTTTATATTTTCTTCTCATGTTTTTATACAAGTTTCGGCACAATTGCAGAATACCCCGCCACTCGATCTATCCACCTCGTAGCCGGCTACGAGGTCGAGGTCACGGTTGGTTGACCTCAATAAACAGTCTCAGTGCTACTCATGTTCTATGCGTCATGCTCCATTGCACTCCCACTTCGTAACCGCGTAGCCGCCAACAGGGTAGTTGGTTTGGACTTAGAATTTTTTCAGCAACTCCCATTCCTTTTGTGTTGCTTCGTTCTCAAATAATGGACCCCAACTCAGTATCCACGTAGCTGGCAATGGGCTTGAATTGTTTCTTTTCCAGTGATTCCAACCTCGTAGCCAGAGAATTTAGGGGTGTGTTTCCGAGTGGCGGGGTATTCTGCAATTACTTCCAAAGTTGCAGTACTACCGTAACGATAGAAAATGGGAAATGCGTTACGGCTGCCGTAACGATAGCCACTGCGTAAAAGTTAAATTCACATGCAAGAGTCATCAAACTCAAACACCACTATTTAACTAAACACTATTCACTAACATAAGTAACAACATTCAGCAGTCAGGTGATTTCAAAAAGTTGAAATAGAAAAACAGTGTCACGACACTATTCGTCATGTCAATCAACAGTGATCAATGACTGTCAAGACTAAAATTATAAAATTTAATAATATCATTTAATATGACGGCGTGCTTCTTCTACATTCTCACCATGCTCACCGAGATTACAGATTTACCTGTTTTTGTTCTGATATTCGAGCTGTTGTAAGCTAGAACTAGAAGCACATTTTCAGCCTCCAGAAAACCCACAAGTGCCACAAAAACTTCGAAACACACTGGTCATCACAACACCTCGCTAAAATTAAAATCGTTGACGTGGAAATTTAAGAAAAGCATGGCGCGCGACCTCTAGCGACAAGTACTTCCGGGCAAAAAAATGACAACGGGGCAATATTGCATATTCATGAGGCGCAGCCGCAATTCGCTCATGAATATGTTAATATTCATTAGGCTAAATATAGCCTTATTTGCCTAGCCACTCAATCTGTTTTGGCTATTTTTTTACACAGGAAGATGAATCATACGGAGTGTATTTTTGTTCCAGGCCGACTAGACGATTTATTTGTGTTCGTTAAAAGCACATCTTTGCTATAAAACCCCATTAAAGTTGATTTTTAAGGTGAAAAATTCGACCCTGTCAAATTATGACAGCCAGCAGCTGTGCGATTGGAGAGTGATCACGATCCGTATCACGTGCAATTGTTTGGGTTGTACCACTATCGAAAATAACAGGGGTAACATTATTATAAAATCAAATTTATCTCGGAAGTACAAACATCTTGATTTTAATTATGACAGTAGAATTTAAACAGTACAGTTAAAGCTAAGATAAAAATAAAAAGAGTTCAAAAAATAGATTTGTTTCACGGTACTTTGCTCTGTAATTCGATACTTGCATGAAAGGACCCTGCTATAAATGTTGGTATCGACCAAATTGTTTACAAGCCTTGGAGAACGTCACGTACGCGTAAATCAGCTGGTCGCTACTCCGCCGATGTCAACAAACCGATCCGCCACAAAAACCGATCTTGCACAATATTGCGCCATTTTTTAACGACATTTTTAGTTGTCCAAGTGTACATATTTTCACCCGTGTTGATTGGCAGTATCACCGAGGAACCACTGGGCTATATTAGAAAGGTAAAAATGACGATTTAATTGCTGTTTTAGTTGAGAAAAACAGATAGATTATATCCAGTTTTGTCGGATCTAGACTACGACAGTGGAATTGTGGGCGGGGACGTCGGTGTACGTACGGCCGCAGCCCGCTGTATTCACACGGTCGCGGCTGGAGAGCTGGGCAGGGTCATTTAGAATGACATTCTTTCACAACAAGCAAAGGATATATGCATTTGAAGATTCTTATATCGTTTCATTAAAAAGGTGCTATATTTTTGTACATGAGGTAAATACCAAAACAGATCATTTGTATATGACATAGGCTAGGTCTAAACTGATTTGTGTTTACTGCAGGCAAAAAAATGTAATATATTTTGCTTGCAAACTGCATAATTCGTAAATTGTAGTTGATGTAGACCTGTAAAAAAAATGCGCATTTAATACTGCCAGTTTTTGAGTACTGCTAAAAAAAACAGGTCTAACTTGCTTTCATAGTTTGTTTGTATTTATACTGGAATTGACTGACCTGGTATTTTTCACGAAAATGCTTTTTGTCGGCCTGAGCTAAACTAACTTTACATGTTATGTTTTCTTTTTCCAATGAGGGGCTGCTGCAGTGGTTTTTTTCTTATTATTTAAATTTGATTATTTTATCATTGGCCAAGTCTTGTTCTTGATCTTAAAGATAAGATTAAAAATAGTGAACTCTCGGGTATAGCATCATACCCTAGCCCTGACTTAGAAATGTTGCTTGTAATAAAACTAATATTTATTATTTTTGAAAAAAAAAATTAGCTGAGAAGAAAATCACAAGCATTGCATTTTGAGTTGAATTAACTTGTTTTCTCAGCACATACATGATGTATAGTTCCTGTGCTTAATTGGTCAATTTGCAAGCACACAAAAGATGCACTACTTTACCATTGATGACAAGATGACAATAGGGGTCTTAGGAATGACAAGTGCAATTGTGATTGGTCGGGAGTCTTTAGTAATCCACCAATGAAATAGACTATGTACATGTGATGTGAAGTGGACCATCACGTGCAGTGCGCATGCCTCAATCAGTGGACATGTATACATGTATTGTGTACATGTAGCTTTGAATTGCATACAAATGTGACTGACAAGATTAACAGAAACTTTGTAAACAAGTATGAAGAGGATTTGGTCTTGCCTCAGCTGGGAGACGAATTTATGCGGTTAGGTCCGAACAAAACCTGTCAAAGTTGCAAAAAGTGATATTCAAATATACCCCTCAGACGTTTTTTTCCCCTGCTGTTTTCATACAAAATGCAAGAAATCCAAGACCAGTGCATTTTTTGTCTCACATATAACTTAAACTTTCAGGCCTAAAATATACCCAAACTTCTCATGAACACAACTATTTTTTTTCTGCTGTTAAGAGACATTAAGTTTTGTCCTTGACCATTTGTCACGATGTCTGGATCAGTGTTTGATGCATACATGATACCATTAATAGTTTTATAGGATGTTCAGGAAATGGGATCATACCCAGATTACAGCCCAGGTTGGCACCCGGACTGCAGACTCTGCATACGTGACTAAGCAGTGGGCGTGGTCACAGCAATTTGAAGAGGGCGTTCTGCATGGGAAGTTGCAGTGCCAACAATCACAGTTACTGTTGTTTGTTGGACCCTAAAAAGTCAGAGAGCTGCTGTACTTTTTTTTCACAGTTTGGCTCAAACAGAGAATAATTCAGCTTAAAAAGAGCTTCAAAATTCCATCATGTGTGATGATTCATGCAGTCAGGGTGGTTGCTGGGCCAACCATCACATTCACAGCCACCGTTTTTTATCTGTTGGACAATGAAGGTCACAAAGGGTCTGGGTTTTTTCAGTTTTGGTAAATTTATGTGTTTGGTAAAATGTGCTTGTATAACAAGTGAATATTTTCAAAATGAAAGCACTTTCAACTTTCATAATGGCAGATTGTTGCAGTTGAAGTAGTTCATAGCAGCTTATTGAATGTTCCAGTCTGACTTTTGATCAACAGGTTTTGTCATGTAGTCCAAAGGTCTTGGCTACTTGCCAAAATGTAAAAAAAAAATACCCGCAAAAACCTAGCAATTTGCAAAATGTAACAATGTTCCCTATACATACTCCAGACTGTTGAATAGAAAATGCAGACGCTGGATTAGACCTTTGCTAGTCAGTTCTGGGGAATGGCCTTAATCCAGAGGCTCCAGACAGGTATGGGACAGGAATCAAGTCTGTACATGCAAGGTTCCCCAATAGACCTGGTTAAGTCAACAAAAGACCTGATATAACAATGCATCTATACTGTGTGCAGGGGTCTATTATGTAGGGCAGGTTGATGAATGCAAACTGTCCAGCTGGCACATATCCTTGAATGATTGTAAACCACGGATATATCAATACAATGTGCCCACTATGTAAATCATGAGCTCTTAAAAACATTACTTACATAATTTAAACTAGAATCCTGTCTCAGTCAGTGGCTCGCCCAGGATTTGGCTTTAAGGGGGGGGGGGGGGGGGGCTCACAATTTGCTTGTCAAATTTTTAGTTTAACTTTTTTTCATAAAATGTTGCCAACATTTTGGGCCGCAGAATTTTTTTTTTGGGGGGGGGGACTATTTTGACGTTGGTGGCACCACTTACACCCCCATTATACTACTTGAAAATAGGCCACATACATATCACCACTTGAGGTCAAAACATGGACTAAACAAAACAAATTTGACAACCTCTTTGGGGGAGGGGCTCAAGCCTCCCGAGGCCCGCCCCCCCCCCCCCCCCCCCCCCCCCACCTTGGGTGCACCACTGTCATGTGTACATTTTTATCATTGCTGACGCTCGCGTGAAGACGCCATGGCTTTGTATAATATCCAAAATAAAGTTAGCCAAGCGTACTTCACGCCATACGCAAGGAAACCAGTATGCGCATGTGATGCAGGTCCTGTCCACTCGGCTATCAAAAGTAGTCAAAAAGTGTCATCAACTGTTTGTGCACATAGTCCATTAGATTATATTGGACTTCTCAGGAGCCAATGTGACGGAATACCGCTTAGCAAGGTTTTTGTGCTTAGCAAAAATAGTCAAGAGTACCAATTAACAGCAATGAACATGACATAGGTTTTTGGCTGGTAACCGGTTGTGAAGCAAATCTCTCAAATGCGCTTAGCAGAACTATGTGCTAACAGCTAACAGCTTCTTAAAATAAGCTTAGACCATAAGCAAAATACTTGAAAACTGGTTTGGGTTAACGTCCAAGTTGCACACAGACCCTTACAGTTGAACTTTTTCATTTTTCAGTTTCCAATAGTCGCAATCAAACTCCAGCATCAACAGTTATCCTCCAGCTCAGCTAGCCATCCACCTCGCAGCCGTTCATTCTTCATTCTTGCGAACCTACCTACCTACCAATCAGTATGCTTAGCGGTCTTGCCGAGTACATCTTTGGCAGTGCTGCCACCGGAGAGGCGGAGCCTACGTCCGCCGAGGGGGCGGGCACGAGACCGAGCGCTAGCATGCAGCTCACCTACGCGGAGGATGACTGGGTGCTCGTCGATGTCACCAGTAGGTTCCTGAATTTTGGCTTCTTTTGAGTTATTGACACCCCTTCTTGAACCCTTTTATTCCTGTACCCGGGATAAACTGGGTAACATTGTACATCTTTAGATCCACACCGGGGATATCCCGGGTTACATACATGTGGGGTTTAACTATGTGTCAAGTGGTAGTGAAAAGGTTCAACACTTTTTTCTTTCTACCAGAATTGTAGCTGAGTCCATCTCCAGTCATCCAGTCGTAGTGCAAGTCACAAGCTATCCAAATGACTGTGACAAAAGCATTCTGTTGTAATTGTTCATCCCCCATTGTTTGTGACCGGACTTGTGATTTACTTTTGACTGGACTTGTGATGGCCTTGCGCTGGACTCGGCTATAACACTGCTTTCCGCATATATTTCTGTCCCCATGCATGGAATTAATACAATAATAAGGTTGATAACATCACTGCCTGCCAGTGACAACAATTATTTTTTTTGGGGGGGGGGGCAGAGATTTGTATTCATAAAATTGTATATTTTATAAAACAAATTTCGTCAGAACCTACTAGGGAAAGATTCCCATATCTGGCCATCACTTGTCACACTGTGCCCACGCCGAATGAGACTGGTCTGACAATTTCTAAGTGTTTTCTCAGTAAATTCGTCAATATTTTCCCTGCTTAATTTGACTTTTTAGGACATATTATCACTTTCTGATGGCTGATAGGTCACTCAAGGGAAAAATGAGTGATGGCCAGATATATGGGAATCTTTCCCCTACGAGACCAATTTGATCTACAGAGGCTTTGTTTCATGTGTCCAATGTGGAAACGGCGAGTGCGTGATGGCAAGATATTCGCATTGATGAGTGATAAACTAATGATTTTTGTTAATTTTCTTGCCTCTAAAAACAAACTAGCTACAAACAAGGTGTCAATCATTTTCCGAACACTGAAAATTCTGTTCAAATACGAATTCTATTTAATGCCAAATTTGCTTTTAAAGACCTGATTTTTTTTATTAGTTTGGCTCCATCCCCATTTCACATTCAAACCAAACTGCAAATTAATGTTCAAAAATGAATTCTATTTAATGCCAAATTTGCTTTTAAAAACCTGATTTTTTTTTAACCAATTTGGCTCCATCCCCATTTCACATCCCAACCAAAATGCAAACATCTTACTTGAAAATTCTCATTTACACAAAATGTGTTGGCATGCTTCTTTAAATAATAAGAAATTATAGGCGTGGCATCCATTTTGCATTCAAGATAGGAGCATGCTACACTCACTTTTCAAAATGCTCGTGTCTCTCTTCCTAGCTTTCGTTAGAAGATTCTAGACCAACAGTCGGGAATCTATTTTAATTAAAAAAATTGAAATTCCCCAAGCACTACACTTGTATCTTTATTGATTACGGAAGGTCATCGGCTGACCTCATGGCATGATGAGCTCGTCTATTGGCTCGCCAGCGCGTACGTACGCCGCAGGACTTCATAATGCAATTTTGTGCCTGCGATTACTCGCCATTGAAGCTCTTAATGCAGGGATAATGGGGGATCCAGCGAGCACTGATGTTAATACTGTAAGGTGGCATATTGTTCTGACCTTACTAATACACTTAGTGTTGGTTAATTGGCGTGAAATAATAATGGTGCTGCTTTGTGGTCTTCCATGATAGACCTTGCCCTGCCTAAATGCACGGATGACTGAAAATTCCATGTCACTGCCGTTTTCAAAAACAAAACAAAACAAACAAAGCTAGAATTGGCTTTAAATTAAAATTCAGAAATTTTATCCAACCACTAGCAAATTAGTCATTCTGTACTTATTTTGGGCTGAGGAGAATTAAGTTAATGTTTTTCTCTACCGGAACGCAGTCTACCTTCCCATGTACACATGTTTCTGACGTGTATTAAAAAAAAAACACGAAGAAGGCTTTTCAGGAATTCCTACTTTCATTGTTAATTGTAATTTCATTCCATTTTGAAAATTCGAAATCAATTCCACAAATAACGTTGAACAAATTATGACAAATGATTTGTAGCCTCACTTTTGATACACATTATAGATCTATTGATCATGTCTACTAAACACTTTCAGATGCAGCAGCCAGAATATTTCTAGATTTGTGTAGGTTTGTACTCAAATTACAGTGTATGTGGAAGCTACATACTGTAGATCACAACTGCATGTGAAGCATTTGAAACCGAAAGGGTATAAACGGTGATATTTGTTCCTGTATCAGTTGTTCAGTTGCACATTGAAAATGGGAAAGTTGGTACAATTATCAGTGAATGCAAATGATTAATTGTGTTTATTTGTTGTATCGATCAGATAGCCCCAAGCGAGCTAAGGAGTCCCACCCGAGTCACGGAACCCCACCCCTAGGGATCCCCATCCCCCCTCAGCTGGAGGAGAGCTGGCTGGTTACCCCTCCCCCGTGCTTCACCGCCGGGGGCAGATCCCCCCAGGAACTTGCCACGAGTCCCATGGAGAACCTTCTCATTGAGCACCCGAGCATGTCTGTGTACGGACCCCGTAACGGTGGCAACCACACCACGGTAATGCGAGCCAGAAGGACCAATCAGCACGAAGCGAACGCGAGTCAGGTTGCCAAGCGGCCCAAGCCGCGGAACCTGCGGGTGCGCAACGCTGAGCCCCCGCGCCGGGCCGCCGCCGTGGCCGCCCGGCTGGGTCTGGAGAACCCGCCGAACTTGGCAGCTATCCAAGAGGCGGAGACCATGCAGCGAGAGAAGAGGGGGTCACTCAGCAGGTCAAAGGTCGAGCGGCACAATAAGGCCTACCACCAGCAGAGTCGCTCTGGAAAGCGCCACTATCGTCAGAACGTGTCCGGACGGCACTCCCGTGTCACCTACAAGCAATGCTAGTGATCAACACAAAATCCTTACGCCTCTTCGCACTGGGGAAAAAAATTCAAGTTTCAAACCTAAAATCTCTGATCTACACTTTCTGGTGAAGTCTCAATTTCATGTCATATTTCTCTTTAAAAAAAACAATAAAACAAAGTTGTAAGGATTTTCTAAGCATGTGTCATCACAATCTTTTCCAAACCAAAAAAAAAAATTTGAAATTGTTTCAAAAGAAATTTTATTTAGAAATATTAGAAGATCGATGGTTCATCCAGGGTAACCCTTAGATTTTTGTAGATACATACTAATTGCCGGTGGAGTGTGGTGATGTTTTTAACTGTTTATATTCCAAAAAATCGATAAATTCACTTAATATATGCCATATTTATTATCAGATTTATATTTTAGTCATATTGCTAGTTTTAGTCATGTAAGTAGCTAGTAGTTTTAGAGAACAAAAAATGAAAGAATCCAAGGGCATTAATGGATAGTTTTTGTGTCAAATTTAGAGAAACACATTTGTTAAGCTCTAATAATGAAAATTCAGACAAAGACGTATTAATAGAATGGAAAGTTGTTCATGAAATAAGGTTTAACTTTGTGGAGTGCTTTTGAATATTTTTTTTTTAATTTACTTTTGGGATTGTAGTTTGTGTTCTTTTTTTTACCAAATTCTGAAAAAAATAGCCATAATCAATAAGCAAAAAAAAAGAATGCCAAAGTTGGATTTGGAAATTACAATAGTGCTATTTAATCAAAATCTTCATTGAAGTTGCCAAGGTTTGCCGTTTTTTCATGCTTTGAATTCAAATTCTCCATAATTTTAAAGTCATTTTCAGTAAACCAAATGCCGAAAAGATTCCTGTTCAAATTGCTGGCTTTAACTTAAAGCCAGCCTGTCACAGTCAACTGTATTGTTTGTTTGGTTTTTTTTCTTCAGTTTTCTTTATTTTCAGCTTGTAATAATATGACAAGTGTGTTGATTTCACAGCGTATTCTTTGTGATTCATGTCTGAGTTCGGAATCTACCTAGTGGGGCAGATAGGGGAGACATTTGGGGGAATTGTGCCTTTGATGATACAAGCATGGCATTTGGCACACAGTCTGAGTATGTCTCAAGAAATACATCGCAGATTTGTCCTTTGAAAAAATATAGGTAGAATAACAAGCAATTTTCAAAATTTTCAAAATGGCTGCCATTGCTTGATATTCTACCTTATATTTTCAAAGGACAAATCTGTGATGGTCCTGTAGGCAAATATCTTTCTCATGACATCTGACTGTGTGCCATTGCCATGCTTGTATCATCAAAAGCACAATCCCATCACCTATCTGCCGTACTAACATACACCCTCAGGTAATTAAAACAAGAAAACAAGGAAAAATTGTCTTTCAAATCAAGTTACTGTCTGTGAATTTCGAATGTTTTGTGGGTATTTCAAGTTTTCCGCTAGACAAAGTCATATCTCGAATGCTATCTCTATCTTCAATATTAATTGAAGTTTTTGCCTCAAGCAACGACTTGTGTGTCTCTTTAAATGTCAATAAAAAAAAAATACCTGCAGATTATTCCATTCACACAGGAACATAAACATTCGGAAATGCTGCATTTTTGTGCATGTACAGTATATACAATGGTCACAAATGTTTGAATACGCAACACCTGTTAGGCCACAAAAAAAAGTCTCCGGTTTCTGGTATGCACACGCGTCGCCGTAGCCATGCGCGTCGGCAAAATGAAAAGGGTTTTTTTTTCAATGAAAGATGATGTCTCAAAACCGCCAAACTCACTGGTTTGACTGGAATCCTGCTGCTGCACAATTTTAACGTGTTTTTAGATTGGGTTATGGTCGAGAATAAGCTTTATGTGGCCTTTCTGGACTCCGATATATTTGCACTAAGTTTAGTCGGGCACCATTTGCAGTCATCAGCCGACATTTGAAGCAAAAAAATCAGGTAAAAAAAAAGCCGCGTCGACGCACCACTTTTTGGGCAAGCTCCATACCAGAAACCGGAATCTTTTTTTTTTTTGGCCTTACTTGTCCATGATGTGTGTGAGAGATTTTGGATTGAGTGATTTTGTGTGCGTTTGGTGTGCAGGTATATGCATGAACAAAAGTGTGGTAAACAGGTGACTTCCTATTAAAATAATAATGTCGTAAATCAAAGTTCAAATCTTTGAAGCCAGACCATTTCATCGGTGCTAAGGTCATTTTAAAAATTAAAGGGAATATTAAAATTAACATCAGATAATATTTACTCAAATTTTGTATTACATATTTCAATTTTTGCATGGAAATGGCAAAATTAGATTTGCAATATTTAGGAGAGAAACCACAGTTCAACACAGACGTGCCTCAAAATGTACAAATTCATATATTTGGATTTCATTAAAAATGTATCACTAAATTTAGGGATACAATTTTAACAAAAATTAAGCCAGCATGTTTATTGTTCCAATTTTAAAGTTATCACAAAGATTTTGCAAACATTCATGGATTCAAAGTACAAAAATTCCAACAATCGTTTGAAATGTTTTGCTCTGTATGTGAGTGCCCAAGACACTGCCTACGTTCTGTGCATGGTATGAAAACACAAATGAAATTCTGAAAGGCGCAGCGATGGACACAAGCCAGAAGGCTTGTAAACACATAATCGATATCCTTTCCATTACAGCCATCTTTTGATGTGTTTGTTTTGTTCCACGGGAATATATGCATGAGTAGACATCTTACTGAATAAAAATAACTAAAAAACACCTCATAGATTGCTGTCAAATGCAAAGCATCTATAAAGAGCTATGCTACCAGTGAAGCAGAGTTCAGCCACACAAGAGGCCTTGTCACACTAGACAAATCTCGGGGTCGACCCAGGGTTGAAAACATGCAGCGTTTCACACTTGAACATTGCCAACCCTGCGTCAACCCCGAGATTGTTTGACTCAACCCTGCCTCAGACCAGGATTGAGATTTTCAACCCGGGTTGAAACTCTCACCAGGGTTCAAAACAGTAGGAACCGAAATAAGCTTGGTTTGCACGAAACAAGTGTGAAACGATCGGGGGTTTGAACGCGGGGTTGAACTCAACCCTGGGCAAACCCAGTGCCGCCATGGGTTGAGTTTTTTATTTTTCAACCCCGCGTTCAACCCTGCATCATTTCACACTTGTTTCATGCAAATCAAGCTTATCATGCTCAGTCACTACTGTTTTGAACCCTGGCAAGAATTTCAACCCGGGTTGAAAATCTCAACCCTTGAGTTCAACCCAGGGCGAAATCAATCTCGGGGTTGACGCAGGGTTGACGCAGGGTTGAAATTCTTCAAGTGTGAAACGATGCATGTTTTCAACCCTGCGTCAACCCTGCATCAACCCCGAGATTTGTCTGGTGTGAAAAGGGCTAGGCTGGGGCGGCACTGGGTTCACCCAAGGTTGAGTTCAACCTGGGTTGAAAGGCTCTAGTGTGAGATAAGCTAGATACAGTGCAGACAGCAATCTGGAATGGCACCATTATAGAATGTGATGCAATCTTTTTCTTTTTGAGGATACAGCTTCAGTTTTGTCAATTTCTATGAAACACCACCCACTGTGTGCGTGCTACAAATCCACAAACTGTATTTTTCCAGGCACACATCGTAAGGTACATGTAATGCATGCACATCAGACTCATTGGACAGTTGGTTCCACAATCACAACTGTGATTGGTTGAAACATCAATAGGCGGGGCTTAATGGTGGGCCTATTCTATGACTGTCTAGACATGCCATTTCTCAAAACTTGGATCAGCTTTAAGTTCTGGCGACATGCTTTTTGCCATTTGTAAATCAAGGACCTCAATTGTCATAAAAGAAATTGAAAAGAAATTTGATGTCCTTTTAAGGCCAACATAAGAACCTAAATTGAAACAAACACATGTTTATCAATACATGTAGTACGACCAAAAACAAATTGATCTGATTCAAGTTTCAGATGCTAATGATTGCATTTCAATTTCAAACACTGTATGTATACAATGTACATGTTTTCGTAAACTAAGTATGTAGATTTTAAATCGTCAGTTTTCGTGTTTCTGTTTTCACGTTATTTTGAAGACAGGTTCACAGTAATCTATGTAACTTGTATTTATTTCCAAGAGAGTACTATATTTGCCTAATTTAAAGGAACTTCAAATGTCATATATTACACTTGTTTACCAAAATAATACTCAACCATATGGACAATCAGCTATGCAATAAGATACCTGTATCAGGTTTAATCAATCCATGTTCCGGGGCCATACAGAATATTAATATTCATACATTCATCATGTCTGGTTCGTTTATATTGCAAGGGCCAGTGCAGCAAGACGTGAACTGAAATTTGTTGAGTGTGTTTCAGAATTACGAGACTGTTAAAATTAACAACTGGATTTTTTTTCAAAGTCTGTCAAAGTACATGTATCAACCTGGTGTTTTGCAAAATCAGTAGTTTTTTTTCCGATTTTTTGTTTTTACTGTACGATGAAAGGAAGATCAATGCCTAATTACAGTTGTTCCATCCGAAATTAATCAGAAGACGTGAATCCAAAAACCAGATGTAGCAATTTCTCTTGTACATGTGATTAAAGGGAATATACAACATTTGCAAACATCAAAAAACAAAACTACCAAGTTTTTACGAAATACCTTACTAGGATGTTGGTAAATGACAGTCTCAAGCATCCTGTAAAATTATGGCACCTGGTGTGAAGTCATTTTCAAGAAAATGGTATTTTTGTATAAATTTCCAACGGTGGTTGGCCGACCATCATTGGAAAAACCCAGCTATTTTTCAACTACTGCTCCAAATACACCATTTTTTTCTGTCCAAATTTTGTTTGCTATTGGTAACATGTTCATGAACGGGTGCAGGCCAGCTAGACTGGTTCCCTGACCTTATAATTTTCCGGCATCTATAAATTAATCCATTTTATCTTTAGTGGAGTCAAGGAACCAGACTACGTGAACATTTTTGTTTTTGTTGGTTTTTATTGCATTTTCGAACAGAAAACTTCAAACATGTCAGTGTAACAATATTTAATCCATTATAATAACCCCTCAAATATTTCATTTCTGAAAATTACAGCAAAAGCCAATGATGTACATTCCCTTTCAATCTTCTGCTTTTTTACATGTAGTTGGGGACAGTTCTGATAAGTTGAGACCTATTTGAAATGAGACCTTTTGCATTGTGGCTGTCTCAGAGGTTTTTCCTTTGTTTTTGTTTTTAATTCAGTTATAATTAATGAACAGGTTTACTCGTGACTATCCGAGTGATTCAAAAACATTGCCCTCTGGGTGCACGAGGTCTATGTAAGATCGTAATATCACATACTAAAGGACTGCCCTGAAAATGGCCATGTTTTTGAGGGAGGTGTCGATAAGTGCCAGCCAATTTGACGGAGTATCCTGCCTGTCAAGTTTTGGAGTGATTCACGGCTAGCCTAAAGTTCAGGCCCAGGCAAAATATGGTCTAACTGAACAAATTTCAAAGGTCATTAACCTGTAAAAGTGTCTTGTACTGTAGAGCAAGGAAAACAGATCTTGGATATGTCTGCAAAAGTCTAAATAACAACTGCATGTCATTTGAGTTACCAAAGAATCTGATCAAGTAAAAAATAATAACGATCTGAACTCAGCTGAGGATTTTGTTTTTTCAAAATTATGTTTTTTTCCCAAAACAAAGGTGAGAAAAAGTAAGAAATTATGTGTGCAGTGTACATATTAATATTTTTCTCCATTTGTTCACATTTAACATTAAATAAAACCATTTAGGAGTTTGTCTTTCCACGCATGTGATAATGTAAAAAAAAAAATGCTGATAGGTTTGAAATGCGAGTATGCAAACTTGCATTCAACTTTTCCCTTTTTTTCTTATTGATATCAATGACATTGAAAACCTGGAAAATAAACTCCATATATTATGGGTTTTTTTTCCCAATTCCTGCCTGTGTGAAAAAAGCTGGTCTTTTACACAAGATGATTACGCAAGCAACATCGGTTCTGTTCAGTTTGATTTTGGTTTGCAAATTTGTTCAGAACAATAACTCTGAAAAAAAAATTCATTGTCTTTAACTCTTTAACATGTTCATGTTGTCGTGTCGTATTTAGTTGCTGGGAAAATTTCTAGATGTGTGGTATTGATGGTCATATATGCAGTATTAAATAGAATGAAAATTCCCTGACGGTTGGACATGTTCATTATTTTCTCACATTATTATTATATAGAAATATGCAGTTTAAATAGTTTGAGTTCAGATACTTTGAAAAATACCACCTCATGGTCTTTACTGAATCAACTTATTTTAATTTTTGAGCTGTAAGTTTGTCATGTTTCATTAGGAAAGAACGCTGCATCTTGACGCCACTTTTTCACCATATATTATCTCAATGAAGGTCAGTCATTGCAAAAAATGTTGAAGACATGAATCTGGGACTGAGAAACATTTCAAATTTTGTGACCAAAAATTTGGAAAATGCACTTGACTCTACATAGACTTTGTACGCAACCAAAGAACTGGCGTCTGGATACTACATTCTTTCTTTTCATTGCTTTGTTTTAAAAAGTTAGATCTGCGTTTGATGAGGTACACAAACAAATCTCTTATTTTTGAACTAGCCTCACTGAGAACAGCTAAATCCAAGTGGCAAATGTTGCTGGGCTGAACAACAATTTAAAAAAAAACTATTCTAGTTGTTTCATCAAATCTGAATCAAGATTAATCATAGTTTACAGTTGTTTGACAAACTGAGTACTTGCAGAAAATGGTTCGGATTGTAGACACCGATATTTTTAGAGCAATGTTAAATATTTTGGTGAAGCACATCCAACGTGAAGAATTTTTACATAAAATATTCTGCACAAAACTGAACGTCCAGTAAGAAAAATTAGAGTTACTGATTCTACCAAATGTGGTAAAGAACTGATGGAAGAAGTGAGAAAAAAAAACCCACCATTTCTTCTTAAACTGCCTTTTGATTGATTATAGACTATTCTGCCTAAGACTATTCTGCACAAGTGTTAGAATACACCCAGGCCCACTTTTTGCTGTTCCACTAACACAGTATAGTGGAATCTGGCGGCCAGAATTAGAAGCTTTTACTGCGATGGTGTCATGCTCACGCGCATGCTGCGGGCTTTTTAAAGACCAGGCACGTGCGCATTTTGGAATTCCTATTTTCAGAACCACACATACTCACAAAAGAGATTTATTCACATGGTGCTACTGCAAACTTATCTTGTCTTAGTATCTTTCCACCATGCAAACCTTCAAATCTTGTATTCCTATTGGTCGAAGGAGCCCGGAGTGCGTGTGTATTACCTGAGCGCGACTCACACGAGCCTAGTGCCACCGCAGAAAATAGTTGCCGCTGGATTTGTCTATATTTCATTTGAAAGGAAAGGGTTCGTCATGAGTTTATCTTGTCAAAAGCCATAGTCGTTAGCATTTCTAGTGATGGCTTCATATAGGTTTGTCCTCTTTCATTTTCAATAGTGTCCTGTTTCGAAACCTGTGACTGTTTCATTAGCATAAAATGTATGGAAGCCAATACAGCAGTGTGATAGTGTAACTTATACCATGGGTTTTTAGCAGCGCTCAGCCGTTATGTGTTACCTGGTGTGGTTTATGATGCGTTTAATGTTAATGTCTGTATGTAGTCTCCTAGTCTAAATTATTTATGAAAAAAAATGTATTAAAAAAAAACAGGCAGCTATGTGTATATGCCAGTATTTTGTTATTTTGGGAGAACATCTGGTGAATTAGTTTTGATTATGATAATTAGTTTTAAGTTAGAGTGAAGTGGAGTCAGAATGATCCTTGATATTTGAGGCAAAGTTGTGAAGATGACAAGTTTATATTATTGGTTAACTTCTAGAAATCTAGTACATGGCGTTGACTGGTTCCGTCAAGGTTTTAAGTTATATTTTATGATAGTGTTGTACCTAGGTTTTGTAGTCTGGCGAAGGAGGTGAAATTGTTTTAGGTCAAGTTGTTGGGGTGTATTGGACTTGACTGATTGTTGTTTTTTCTGGAATCTGGAGAAAAACATTCAGCATGTTGGAGAAGTGAAAATAATCACACAAAGTCAGCTCTTGTGGAACGTCAGATTCGAACCAGCCAACCAATCCTGTTAGCTCGGTGGTCGAGTGGTAAGACGTCTGCACTAGAAAGCAGGAGGTCGTGGGTTCGAGTCCCACCCGAGTGATTTTTCTAACTTTCACTTTGGTGGTAACACACTGAGTATACAGTGTTTATACGTTAATGAAGGGCAAAACCTAATATTGATCTTGTGGAACTGTTCAGCGATGACTGCCATGCCATTCAGGGAGAACAGAAACATTTCTCAGTCGTTTCACGCCAAGGAAACAGAGGATAAACGACAGCCTCATGAACTCCGGACAGACTTGACTTTATACCATCAACAGAGATAAATCTAAGAGTAACTATTTGGGAGAAGGATGAGATTCAGTCATTTGCTTTCCTAATCAATTGCAATTTGAGAAAAACCTCGACAGAATTTTTACAATTTGTGAGCGATTGGATGCATGCAGAGTTGAAACTATCTGAAGTTGTTTTATTTAGTTGTTTTCCAATTTGACATAGTTTTTAGAGGGATGAACTTATTTTGTGAGGGCTTTTGCGTGCAAATAAAGTTATCTTTTCCCTTTATGAAAAACCTCAATTTTGACTTGTTTCCTTCTTTCATATCTGTCTGCAATTTAGAAATCGGAGTGCTTAGAAAAATGAGAAGTCATTTCGATTATTACAATTCATTTCCATTATTGTTTATTTACAAAAATATTTGCAAAAACTGAACAGTGACCAATATCTGTCTGATTTTGTTCTAAGCTGTCAACAAAAGACCTTGTGTTCCATCTTGAGCTGTATTCACTATGGTACTTCTTTTTACACGTAAATTATTTAAAATCTATCCAAAGATGTTCTGAACCAAATGTGTCTTAAACCATTTTAGCCATGCTCCCATTGGGGTGTTTTTTTTTCATATTTGGAAAACCTACAGGGACTTTACCGTAGAATCACAAAATTAAGTCCAATGGGGACGACCGATAAACTAACGTACCTGTCAAGTTACCGCAACCATAGATTAACATGGACACTAATTAGTCCAATGGGAACAGCCCAACCTCGTTCCCATGGGTACGAGATCTTGCTGCGCCATGTTGTTTCCCATCATGCCCTGCGCGATCTCAACCCCTGGAATTCTGTAATTTAGATGTGTCAAAATATGGCACATTATAATTAGGCTGCAGTTTATCCGTTTTACGCGCCGACGCCATCTTTAAAATGTTGAAAGTTGTGTTTTTGAAGAATCAATGCTTTCAAACCTAAGGTTTGGACGTTGCGTTATTTAGCAAAGATTTGTATTAAAGGTACGTACCCCTTTCGTCCCTTTACAACCGCAGATACAGGGTTTTTTTGAGCGAAAAACGAGGCTGCCATAATCCATATTGTACAGGCATTGCGCAGTTTTGAATATTCCTACGTGACGTGACGTGCACAGCACGCGAGCGCATTATGGGCGCGCCCGGCGTGCAATCTTCGCGAAATGCCCGCGCAGTACGCTCTGAATAGCCAGTCAGCATCGTTTACGTGTGCATCACGGCCAGGGGTTAGTGAAGGAACGCGCACGCGCCCATGGAGTCGAGGCTGGGAACAGACCCACATTGTAAAACTACTGCAACCACTTGTAAAATGCCTCGCAAACAATGTCACTTCCTGTCACATGTCGTTACACAGCAAACATCGACAGCGTGCGAAGAACGATAATTTTTAGCTGCGGGATAGCAGCTCAACAAATCATCATGTACGTCTCTCCGTTAGTTAGTAACAAACGTTGACATTGTCTATTGCTCCTACATATTTTGACCGATTTTCAACCAAACTTTGTCAAAAGTATCAGTAGCCCAGCCCCAACATGTCACATGCCCAAACTGAGGTCAAAGGTCATCATGGGGTCACTGGGGCCAAAAACCTGATTTTTTTAGTTTGACTCAAAACACTACTTCCAGAAATTACATGGCACAATCACGTGACTCATGCATGAACACGATTCCGTCGGCCCGCAGCTTCCAAGATTTTTCCGATTGAGGTTGTTACAGTTATTATTAGCAACTGAATTCTACAAGCATGATTGACACTTGCACAAAAATTGGTTCAACTGCAACACAACCAAACTGATCTCAAAAAGCAGACCAAACAGCGCCTCAGTTGTTCATTGTACAGAGTCTCCATAAACAGAACTCGTTGAATGCAGTACCTTTTTTCGTTGAAGCAAATGACGGGACTGAAAACCTTTGCAGACATGTTTTTTTTTTTCAGGCTTACCGTCATTTCGCCGGGTCGCCGCGCAGACGTTTGACTTCACTCATGAACCGCTGAACTTTGGCGAAGTCGGGATCGTGGTGCCACAGTCCGTTGTGCTTGAAGTGCGACCCGACGATGAGGGCGCTAGCACCGAGATACTGCTCCAGGTTGTCGATGGTCACTCCGGAACCGACCAGGACTGGGATGTTGACAGATTTCTGGACATCTACAATTAGCCAAAATGACGGTAAACTTAATGACCAACTTTTCAACTAAGGTGTAAATCTTTACAATCAACATTGGAAAAATGAAAACCATATAGTTTGGTTTGGTTTGGTCAGAGTTGTAATGACTCAACTCGAGTCGACTCGAGTCACAATTTTTGGTGACTCGACTCGACTCGAGTCCCTAAGGATAAATGACTCGACTCGAGTCACTGCGAGCTAATGACTCGACTCGACTGGAGTCCCTCATCAGAAGACTCGACTTGACTCAAGCGAAGGCTAATAAGAGTCGAGTCCCAAAAATAAAACCACAACTTTGCGAAAAGTATTTGCAATGACTTACGGTGCAAAATTTATGCTCACTTCGCTTTGTGAATAGCAGTCATGTATTATACAACATGTCACAGACTCCCACCTCATGGTTCTAGAACGCACAAAATGCTATCCACGAACCAGATTTTTACACAAATTTTCTAATTCGCTGTTTCATCATTGGCTTTGGGCGATTTCTTATAAAGCTCTTGGATTCGAACGCTGGCTAAACTTATGGCCTCCTTTTATAAATGTTGGTATATAGTGTTCAAATATTCGTGACTCGAATTGACTCAAGCTAAATGTTTGACTCGACTTGACTCGACCCTTGGACCTAATGACTCGACTTGACTCGAGTAACTTCTTTAAAATGACTCGACTCGACTCGAGTCACTTCTTTAAAATGACTCGACTCGACTCGAGTCACAAAAATCAGTGATCGTTACAACTCTGGGGTTGGTATATGGTTAAACTTTACAATCGGTACACCCATTACAAATTACTTCATGGACAGGTGATGGAGGGGAAAAGATGTTGCAACAGAAAAATACAGACAACTCATTGCAATATATAGTGAATCAAGCACTTCAGCCAAAACAACAAAAAAAATATTCCAGCTATTAAAAGAACAAAAAATTATTACTTTAATAACACACAGGGGCTCCTCAAATATTAGGCCTACATCAGATAATAGCCTGGAAAAAAAGAGTATTTAAACTTAAGCAATGTAGCAATCAATTATGCATTTTAAAGAGGAGCGCTCACCGTATTTGTTAAAAATTTCTGGTTTACATTATATCTACAATTTGTCTAGTTCAAATTCTCAGAGTTGGAAGCTTAAGTTGGATTTCTCAGGGTTGAGCAGGACAGAAGCATGGTGCAACCATCCAGAGTTGTAACGAGTCACTGATTTTTGTGACTCGAGTCGAGTCGAGTCATTTTAAAGAAGTGACTTGAGTCGAGTCGAGTCATTTTAAAGAAGTGACTCGAGTCGAGTCGAGTCATTAGATCAAAAGGTCGAGTCGAGTCGAATCAAATATTTAGCTCGAGTCAATTCAAGTCACTATTATTTGAACACTATATGTACCAAAATTTATAAAAGGAGGCCATACGTTTAGCCTGCGTTCGAATCCAAGAGCTTTATAAGAAATCGCCCAAAACCAATGATGAAACAGCGAATTAGAAAATGTGTTTAAAAATCTGGTTCCTGGATAGTATTTTGTGCGTTCTAGAACCATGAGGTGGGAGTCTGTGACACGTTGTATATTTGTACATGACTGCTATTCGCAAAGTAAAGTGAGCATAAATTTTGCACCGTAAGTCATTGCAAATACTTTTCGCAGGGTTGCGCTTTTATTTTTGGGACTCGAGTCTTATTAGCCTTCGCTCGAGTCGAGTCGAGTCTTCTGATGAGGGACTCGAGTCGAGTCGAGTCATTTGCTCGCAGTGACTCGAGTTGAGTCGAGTCATTTACCCTTTGGGACTCGAGTCGAGTCAAGTCACCAAAAATTGTGACTCGAGTCGGACTCGAGTCGAGTCATCGACTCGAGTCATTAAAACTCTGCAACCATCCAGTTTCATTGCCGGAAGTCCACAATAATATAAATATTTCTATCAATTTTGGAAAACCCATTTCACAAGGGAAAAATTTGTTGGTGTGTTTATTTCATTCTAACTTACAAACAATCCATTCCTCACCTTTTATTTCCTGTTGGCTAGCTTCTTGACCCGTAGCACTGCCGGTTACAATGACTCCATCGCTACCAAAGAACTCGGCAGCTAACGCTGTCTCAGTTATCCCAACATCTGCTGTGATGGCATGGGAGCTGCCGCAATAAGAGTAACAGTCATGATTAGTCCTAATCCTTAAAGATGCATCCTCCATGCTATTTTTGAGTTTCATCCCAAAAAACAGATTCCTTTTCTAAATTGCTAATTTCCTGGCAATACAAATTGTATTCACTTTTGAGTGAGACATCGACCTAAAAAAAATCGGCCCACATTTAGTTGTTAAATTATTTGTTTACAATTTCAAATTATTGGCTGTCGGACACTAATTTCATTATTGACGGGTAGGCTGGTTCCTGCCCCCAAATCACTATCAATAGTGTATGGACCGGGAGCCAGTCTGCCCGCAAAGTGGATCTGTTTGTACCCAAAACAAAAACCTTTTTTAAGAGGGTTGCAGATGTCCAAAAAGGGAAAAAAAGGAGGTTTTTGGGTTGGAAAGTTGAAAATTTACTTATAGAAAATAATCAAATTTGTTGAAGAGCGTGCGGAGCGCAACTTTAAAAATCCATCAAAATCCATCAGAAGTTTGGAGGATTTTGTAAGATTGAGGAGGGTGAGTCCAACCACAATTGTTTTTCACAGAAAGCTTGCCCGACGCAACAACATGCAACAGTTGTCAAAGAAAAACCGCCTGCCAAATGGAACATGATCTAACAGGTCAAAATTTCCAAGGCAAATGTGCCTCAGAGTTCATGGTTGCCACCTGCAGCAGGATACAACTGTGGCATTGTTAAAGAGGTTGTGGAATGCTCGAAGCATTTCCGTCATTTTTCGGGTATATGTAGCCTAAGGTGTGATGAAATAAAAACGGCTTTTGTTTCTGTCATGTAATGAACACAAAAGATACTTTTGAGAGCTGTTTTTCAGGTCCTGCTTCGACCCGAACGTGCAATTTGTGTAAAAGTCGTCGTTGGGGGCAGCAAACAAAACATAGTAAATCGTGACGTAATAAACAGGACTCCCTATGCAGCGTAGTATAAACGAGTCCTGTTTACCACGTCACGGTTTTGCTGATTTTACGAAGAACCCGACGACTGTTGATTTCAATTATGCACTCGCCGACCAACAAATTAATCGATGAATTTCAGTTTCATAAACATATAAACGCACATTACAAAAGAATGGGAGTTTGTCATTATGATATATATGGGTCTACTCTACAATAAAAAAAATATAAAAAACAAAACGACTTTCAGCATTCCACAACCTCTTTAATGTAACTAGCTCCCATTGTCGCAGTGACAGTTGATGCACTGGTGCAGATAGCCCAATGCAGAAAGGTCCCACGGACTTTAACACCATTTGCACTGTTTTTTATCTGGCGGGGTGAGGGTCAAGGTACAAAGAATGAAAGAAGCCAATAGATCTTTATCACGCTGCCACCATTTCAGTCGTGTTCCCTATATCCAACAACAGTACTGAATGATAATGTTTTTTGTGCAAAAAGGAACCAGACCATTTTTCCTTCCTGCTTCGCTTTGGCAACATTGATTTGAATGGGACAAAAATCAAAGGGCTGCAAGATGATAATGGTCTATTCCATGCAAACGTGGACATGCGTCATTCCATTACCGACCTCAGTATTATTTATATTCGTGAGCGAAAAGAAATTTTTCAAAAAATGAAAGTGAAAATCAAAGGTGTTACTCCTTTATTTCCACTTTCAAATTTTTGAAAAATTCTTTTCGTTTATGAATTACGAAAAACAATGAAAAATCTTCCCCTCAACGCGACCTCCTCCTGCTCACTCTATCCAACACTCACCAGTGTTTCTTCTTGATGTCCGTGAAGACTTTCACGTTCTCGGCGCCGATGTTCTTCCTGAATCGCAGCAGTTCACCGGCGCAGGAGTTCATCAGTCCCTCGTCACCGACGTGAGAGAAGACGAAACCCTCAGTTCGGATGAAATCAAGACCTATATCAAGACAGAGTCAAGTCAGGGCTAGCAATATAAATGTAAAATTTGTTAAAGGGAATATACATCATTTGCTTTTGCTGTAATTTTCAGAAATGGATGGAATTGGGGGGTTGGAAATATAAAGCAAATATAGTTACACTGACTTTTTGGAGGTTTTGGGTTCGAAAATGCTATAAAAACCAAGAAAAACGATCATTTTCCTGTAGTCTGGTTCCCTGACTCCATATAAGAAGAAACAGAGCAGTTTACATACATTGGGGAATTGTAAGGTCAGGGAACCAGTCTAGCTGGCTCGTACCCGTTCATAGATTTGTAATCGATTGCAAACAAGTGCAATGGTCAATTGGGGCCAGTATTTGAAAAAAAGCCAGTTGTTTCCAACGCTGATCGGCCGATCAGCGTTGGAAATTGATACAAAAATACCACTTTTCTTGAAAATGACAGTATACCAGGTGCCATAATTTTACAGGATGCTTTAGACTGTCATTTACCAACATCCTATTAAGGTATTTCGTAAAAACTTGGTAATTTTATTTTTCGATGTTTGCAAATGTTGTATATTCCCTTTAAAGAGGTTGTGGAATGCTCGAAGACATTTCCGTCATTTTTCGGGTATATGTAGCCTAAGGTGTGATGAAATAAAAACGACTATTGTTTCTGTCATAAAATGAGTACAAAAGGTACTTTTGAGAGCTGTGTTTCAAGTCCTGTCATGCCTGTATCGACCCGAACGTGCAATTTGTGTAAAAGTCGTCGTTGCTGGCAGCAAACAAAACACAGTAAATCGTGATGTAATAAACAGGACTCCCGATGCAGAGTAGCATAAATGAGTCCTGTTTATTACGTCACGATTTACTGTGTTTTGTTTGCTGCCCGCAACGACGACTTTTACACAAATTGCACGTTCGGGTCGAAACAGGACCTGAAAAATAGCTCTCAAAAGTACCCTTTGTACTCATTTCATGACAGAAACAATAGTCGTTTTTATTTCATCACACCTTAGGCTACATATACCCGAAAAATGACGGAAATGTCTTCGAGCATTCCACAATCTCTTTAAGATTTTCAAATAAGTGTGTTTTTAAAAGACATTCTCAGCAAATTTAACATGGGAAAAAAGCACCCACTTCATCAGCGAATAAGCAAAACATCTCAATGCCCAAGTATGTAATGATGGTTCCCTTCCCCTCATTTTCTAATTCAGAATACAATGCAGGGACAGGGAACCAGCCAACATGGTTCTAGTTGTTAGTTTTTGATTCATACTTCCCTCAAATGTGATTGGTATGCAATTTGACGTCGTGCGACATTCAAGGCCAACTTTTGCCGGTGTTGAAAATGTGTTCAACTTTTGCAAATTTCCTTTTGCATCGAGAATGGTCTGGCTTTAGGCAAAACTGTACCTTCAGAAATAGTGTTCACAAATGTGACCACTAATAATGAGGAATAACCCCCAACTTTGACTTTTCACATTGTGTATATCATGTTAAAGCACAAATCATTGGCTTTCCAATGATACCACATTTATTTCTGTAGTTGAATTTATTCCAAAGATATGACGCAGGAACTTCAGCAGTGTCCTGCGAAGTTTCGCTAACCTCATTTCGAGAAAAACGGCTTTGAAAAAAAGACACGAATTGCGCTGCCAACAGCAGTGAAAAACGTTCTTCGGTTTTTCCACTTTTGTGGGTATTTTTGTCCCCAACAAAATTATGGATACCTTGGCTACTCAAAAATACAAAGCAATTAATTTCAATTTTGACACGATTTTTCTTGTATATCCAACTTCTGGTGTCGATTACTCAAAACAAGGTTTTTGGGGACATTCCTCATTTTGCCTCAGTAGGTCACAAATGTGAGTGGATAAACACTGAACAGCATTTGCAGCATGTACAGGTTTCCAAAAATATCTACAAGTTATTTCTGAAACAATGACTACACAAGGCTAAGGAGGATTTTTGTGTCGTTTATTATTGACAGCTGAGACTAAAAAAAATCCCAAAATGCTCCGGTGCCCCTGGCTCAAAAAAACTTGAACTCTGACGTCATCCACAAAATAACACATACCTTTGCCAACCCCAACCCCCAAATCTTTATTTCTCAATTATTCATCAGTGTTGCAGAAATATCTGTAGATTTATTCCCCCTTTGCTAGCCTTTAAAGGCATATATAGGATCATTTGCTTTTCATGCATTTTTTCCGTTTCCAATATAACACCACTCAAAATCCAAAGAAGATGTTCCACACCTAACCTGTTGAAGTTTCAGCTCAGTGGACATTACACTTTCGAGAAAACAGTGAAAAACTACGCACATCCTTTTGATCACGAAAAACGATTTTGTCAATATAGCTCTTTATTTCCAACGATCATTCATTGGACTGATCGTTGGAAATCACCTACATTTCTTGATTTCTTCTAAGTGACAAGCAAGCCAGACGGAATCATTTCACTAGGTGTTAATTAGTACCAGTACGGTTTTTAAAACCATCCCAAATCCTCCAAAATCCTTTTTGCAAATTGGAGGAATTTGCAGGATTGCGGTTACATGGCAAAAGTGCGCTGCTGATTTCGGAGTACGCACTGTGTCAAGGTCTTGGGCCGGACCTTGTGTTGTTTATGCTCAGCCGTGCATAAATTCAGTCTTTGATTATACTTGAAAATAATCCGCGCTGCTCCAGGATGTCACTGCCTCTGCCTCGGCCTATTGACAGTCATAGCAGGAGGATTTTGCAGGATTCAGGCAGTGGTTACCCCTCCATGGACCATATTCAAGAAATAATGGAGAAATTTGCAGGATTGAGGCTATATGCTATTTTTCCATGAGGCCAATTGGAAAATTTTGCAGGATTGAGGCTACATCTTAGCAAAAAGGCCTAGGGAGTTCGGGTTAATCCAAATAAGATTTTTGATTGCTTGTTGGGGTTACTTTTGGATACATGCAAACGATCCTATATGCCTTTAAAGGGAATATACATCATTTGCTTTTGCTGTAATTTTCAGAAATGGATGGAATTGGGGGGTTGGAAATATATAGCAAATATAGTTACACTGACTTTTTTGAGGTTTTGGGTTCCAAAATGCTATAAAAATCAAGAAAAACAATCATTTTCCTGTAGTCTGGTTCCCTGACTCCATATAAGAAGAAACAGAGCAGTTTACATACATTGGGGAATTGTAAGGTCAGGGAACCAGTCTAGATGGCTTGTACCCGTTCATAGGTGTGTAATCGATTGCAAACAAGTGCGATGGTCAATTGGGGCCAGTATTTGAAAAAAAACCCAGTTTTTTCCAACGCTGGTCGGCCGACCAGCATTGGATATTGATACAAAAATACCACTTTTCTTGAAAATGACAGTATACCAGGTGCCATGATTTTACAGGATGCTTTACACTGTCATTCACTAACAGTCCAGCAAGGTATTTCAAAATGATTTGGTAGTTTTATTTTTTGATGTTTGCAAATGTTGTATTTTCCCTTTAAGTGATCTTCTGATAATTCCCATAGGCCATCTATCATCACAACTCTGTTACCAGTCCTCTTACTGTAACTAACCTGCTGCATGCGCAACAGACAACGCCTCCTGGTTGGCGCCAGACAGAATCTGCACACCGCAAGGCATGCTTGGACACACCTCCCGTACCTTGCAGGCCACTGCCGTCATGCTGGCGGTGACCTCTGACCCTAGCCGATCAGCTGGTAGGTAGGGCACATCGTGCATGTTCTCAATCATTATACCATCCTATAAGGTCGTAAACAAAATTGGTTCAGCGTACAACAGTCTATTGCAAAAGTCTACCTCTTGATATGGTATTGGGATGATTTAGGAGAAGTTTGACAGTTCATAACCTACCACACCTGCTTGACTGTAGCCCTCTGCCTCCTTACAAGCTAGACGGATGATATCCCTCATGGCTTGGGTGTGCCTCGGACTGCCTGTTTATATAAAGACATTCCAGGGTTTATACATGTTTCGGCTAAGAGTGAGCCCCCCCCCCCCCCCCCCCCACCCACTACCCACGAAAAAAAAAACCCCTGTATTTTATTGAATTCTGGGCCTTTATCCAAGTCAACCCTTCCCTTTTTAAACCCTATACCCTCCAAGATCCTTTAAAATTCTTTGGGAGGCTTTGGACGATTTTGATGGACTGAGAAAAGGTATATCCAGTGACTTTTGTGATTTGACACCAATTGAAAGAGTTGACATAATATTACGTGCCACATGCTGCATACTCGTTGACAGTGGGGGGTTTTGTAGGGTGCAGCAAGATGTCTTCTTAAAGAGTTCAGATGTCTTTATTTCGTCTACAAATCTATGGTCTTCGGATAAGTTTTTGTTGCCCGATCGGTGGATTTGTGCGATCGCACAGAAATGCGTTTGCATGATAAGTCGATCCTGTAGGAAATGTCAGACTTTTTTTCCCTTTTCCCGATAATTTATAAATAATCCTTCAGTGCTGTGAATAAGAAAGACAATTGACAGCGCGATTAATGATGGCAGTGCAATCAACCGATAGTGCAGTGGGATTGGGTGATAGCAACGGTCCACTAATTGTGCCCAACGTATATACTTACCCGGTAGAGCCTTGACGTGTATCATGCCAATAACAACGCCATGTGTCCGTCCAAAAAGCTGACTGAACAACGACAGAACGTTTCTAGACATTTTCACTCTTCCTCCTATTACAATGATTCTCTTCCTGAGATAAACTACAGTTGCTGCATCTTGGAAAAATCCTGTTAAAGCACACAATAGTAATGATAGTGTCACGCCCCAACTATCGCATCGGTCCCAACTATAGTTGGGACTGTCCCAACTATAGTGCGGCAGTTGGGTCGGCCCAACTATAGTTAGGACTGGAGTTGCGCCGGATGCTTCATGCTTGATAGATCTTGTTGTTGGATTAAATGTTCCGCGGCGCTGGCACCGTGTATTCGTCGTGCATGCATGCCGCAAGGCTGGCCGGTCACGTGGTACTGCCTAGTTGGATCATGGAGAAATAAAACACACATGTGTTTTATTTCTCCATGGTTGGATGAGTTGTCCAGCTGCTGGGTTGATTGCCCAGCAACATTTTGCAAAATTCAAAGATTGCCATGGCCGGCCAACTAGTATAGATGGGCCCCACCCATAGCTAATGTCAAAGGTCCCAAGTAAAGTCGGACAGTATGTAACAGAGCTGCCTGTAGGGAATGTTTAATAGTCGTCGTACATCAATGTAAACTATAGTTGGGACCGCCAAATAAAAATATTGCGGTGGCCCAACTACAGATGGTCCCCACCCATAGATAATTTCATTGGTCCCAAGTAAAGTCAGATGTGTATTAGAGTTGTAGGGAATGTTTTATAATCGTACAACAATGTACACTATAGTTGGGACCGCAAAATAAAAAGATTGGAGTGGCCCAACTATAGATTCGCCCCATCAATAACTAATTTCAGTGGTCCCCAGTAAAGTCAGACATGTATCAGAGCTGAAGGGAACGTTTTACAGTTGTACATCAATGTAAACTATAGTTGGGACACCGCAAAATAAAAAGATCGGAGTGGCCCAACTATAGATGGGCCAGCCCAACAATGGAACTTACAGTTGGGACCGTCCCAACTATAGTTGGGACAGGCCCAACTATAGTTGGGCCAGCCCAACTGTGGAACTACAGTTGGGACAGTCCCAACTATAGTTGGGACAGGCCCAACTATAGTTGGGACCGATGCGATAGTTGGGGCGTGACAATAGCATTATTTTAACTAGTCTTTGACAAAAATCTCATTCAATTTTTTTATTCAGTCACACAATAGTACAGTGTATAATAGCCCGATTGCGTCTGGCCATACAGTACTATCGCAAACTCTTACAACAGAGCTTGCGATAGTACTGTACGGCCAGACGCAGTCGGGCTAAGTGATAACCCTAACCCTATAAACCCAAAGTAGTCTCTTAATGTTGATAAATCTAATTTGCGACTTTCTTACTCACTTGTGCATTTCTAACTCCCCGTACAACCACACCGCACTATTTTTTTTTATTAAACTATTGAGTATCGCCTATCATGATGTAACTTGCACTGCTGCATATGCACTGACTGACAACAGACAAGTCATGCAAGTCTGCGTGCTGTGCTCAAAAATTGCAAAACAAGAGTTGGTTTATACTCATCAATTTCTTCTTTTATGGCAAAAAATCACATCTGCTACCCAGCCAGCACATTCCATAGCATTCACTGAATACTAATTTAAATAGATAGCTGAATAATTATAGCTTTTAATACATATTTTTGTTTTACCTTCAGATCGCGATCGGAACTCCGAAGTGCCTTGCTGTTCTGTTGTTCCCCGCCCCACACGTGTACGTCTGCGTGTGCACCACTTCCGTACGTATTGCATGTATTGAGCAATGCATGTAAACAAACCGCAATGCGGAAGTAACGACAGCCAATCACGAACCTCGTCTCACAACACTCCCAGAAAAAGTCTTAATCAATATCAATTTTTCACTAGAAAGAAAGGAGAAAATCCAGAACAAAAAGCGAAAAATTATCGTTAAAATAATTATTCTGTGTAACGTTTATTTGAAATATTTTCCCGTCGCATATTTCTGTGAGAAATTAAGATAATAAACACCCTCAAAATTAAGTTTCCCGCGCCGAGCCGCGAAGTTAAATCTCCCGGGTGGCTGAAATTGTCATAAAGAAATAATCGTGAAATCCCATTTTTAATCTCGAAAAAGTAACTTTTAAGACTTAGAAATGTATTAGAAATTTAATGAGGTTCATGAACGATTAATTTCAACAGTTTCCGGTGAATTTTTTTGGTATTTTACGAGTGTTTTTAAAAGCCGGCGCGAACTTTTTCGCGGCAAAAATACGCCACCTTCGGTCGCCTAGCTAAGCGCGCGCCCGGGCCGGGCAGCTGCGCACTGGCGATGCGTACAGTTTGGCGGGGTTTCTCTCAGCAGCTGCATCAGAGAAAGGGCTGGCAGGGTTGCTCCGAATTTTTGGCTCTAATTTTGTTTCCCTGCTCTCGTATTTTGTCATCCTTTGAGATAAAAAGTATTTGATGATAAAACTAGATGGTAGCGGAGTTTCATGACCGCACGAGGTCCGGTTTTGTTGTTATAGCGTGAAAATCACAGGTACACCGGAGCAAAATCTGCCCGCTCTCTCGGCACTGTGTACCTTGACTTGATCGGCTCAGCAGTAAGTTGGTGAAATAAAATGTTGGATATTTTCATTATTTCCTCATAATTATTTAAGAATACTGAGTATATTGATGTTGATTAAACATCCTATCCGGATATCACAGGTTAGTTATTTGTATGGGATGCAAAAGAGTGAAAAATGGCCTACAATTTTTGGGCTGCCCATGGAATTCTGCCGAGTGCTAACACAAAGGAGTTCAGCGATTCCGATTTTCTTTACGGAGTTAGGTTAGAAAATGTCCTATATTTTTCTTATTTGTTTCCAGCTAGCATCCAAGTGAGCTGATCAGCTAGAAGAGATAATGTCGAGGAGACGAAGGTATGATATGTCTAATTTTGCCCAGAAACACTATTTTTAATTATTTTTTCCCTCTTTACATGTTTGTTCATGTTTGTTGGCTACGTTCGACCGCCACTTTTGCGACTTGACCAAAACTTTGACGTCCGTAGCAATGTCCATCATGTCCATTTTTCAAACCAAAATTCTGTCATTTTTGTCACCGATATTTAGCCAACGATTACAGACCAGGCAGGAGTGCCTACCGCCTGGCCAGGATAGTGAAGAAGAATTCACCATTTGCACAAGAAAGAGGAAAATTCGGGAAGATGATTCGGTAAGTTCGTGTAATTTTGTTTAGTCCACGTACACCGTACACGTACATGTACGTACCGGTGTTTTTGTACGCAGTGAACACGAACGTAAAATCGAACATAACATTATTGATTTCCCGGGGATCATGGGTCTTCGTGAAAACTTCAAAGGTCACTTAAGTTTAAGCCACAATTTTCCCCCTTTTCAGTGAAAATATTTCACATTTTCCAACAGGATGAAGAGCTGCATTCTGCTGAAATCCAAAGAAGGAGGCAACAGTTCCAAATTCAAGTGAGTTTTTGTGCAGTTTTGGAGATGGTTATCGTTTTATTGTTGGGTGCCGGCTTTTCGCGCCGGTGTGTTGTTTGAGGCGGTCTCCTGCAATTTCGCGGGTTAGTTAGGATCCCTTTGCCCTTGACATGGGTTGTGTACTTTCTGTTCAACCTGTGGCTGGGTGGTTCTCGGCAATCATTGGTTAATTCGTGTCACACGCAAATAGGTGCAAATTTATTACACAGCGTGAAAATAAAATGTCTATTCCTTTTGATTTGCTACACACTCAGACAATGTTTGTGTTAAAATTGTTCTGCTGATTTTAAATTTTTAACAAAGTTAACTTTGTTTACATTTTTATTTGGATAATATTTTTTGGAGCATTTTTTTTTTTCAAATGAAATGCATTGTCCATTTTCAAAAATATAATTAAGAAAATAAAATGTGTGGATTTGATCATAGGTGTATACACCAAGTACATTTTTGTTTTATAAATTGTATACTTTGCTATAAAATGGGGGGGGGGGGGTTGTAGATCATTATTTAAAGTAGATGTGATTCCCATCATTGAATGAATCTGTCATTCTCATCACATCAGTCATTTTATGTTACATGGCCAACAACTGTCGACACGATGCCCGTTGGATTAGGAAAATTGAATTTAGTGGATCTAAACCACAATATTATCTACGCAGTGGCTATTGTTACGGCAGCCGTAACGCATTTCCCATTTTCTATCGTTACGGTAGTACTGCAACTTTTATAAAAACATGAGAGGAAAATATAAATAAGAAGGAAAAAAGTGAATTTGAACGTTATAAAATTCGGACTTTATTTCCCTTTTAAAAAAAACCCTCCAAAGCCTAAGGTTAGAAAAGGAAAAAAAATTGAGTGCAAAACTGAGATGCGAACCCGCAACCTCGCGGTGCAAAATCCTACCCGCTATCGACTGAGCTGTCGCACTGTTCACCAAAACACGGGAAAACAAATAATTATATACCTGCGTGCGTATCAAAAAAGAATCGTTGAGGGCGCTAAAGAACGAATGCCGTAACGATAGCCACTTCGTATTATCTAACATCGCCAGGTTGGATAGGAATTTTTTTTACACAAATTCCATTTTTCAGTGAAATCAAGTATGCGAGATATGGACTTTACACTACAAAATACCACTTTACACTGAAAATTGTAATTTCAACTGGGGTTATGAGAAAATTGACAAGGGTATAATCAGTAAATTTTAATAAAATCTCAACACCAAATTGATCTTCCAATATAGACTGTAATCACAATGAGCAGTCTAGACTATCTACAGAGCAATACTTCCGAGGGTAGCCAATTATTAGCTGATGAGTACAAAAAAATGGCGTGGATAATTTATTGACTTTATGATGAAAACTAGTGAGTGTCTTAATTAATACTTAAATGATTTTGGCATAAGATAGATTCATGTTTAAGCAAAAAGCTTAAGCCAGATTCTTGACTTTATTGACTTTTGCCTTTTAAAAAAATGACACGGTTGACGGAAACGGTAGTAAAATGGGAACTTAAGTAATATCCGACTTTGGTCATTATTATTCAGTGCTACAACCCCAACTGGAATTCCTCTGAAACCACTCACACTTCCCCTGCTTTCATTGTCTGTAGATGACCAGTGAGCATGAAAAAGCTTTTATGTCTACAATTCCCCCCCCCCCAACAATCCTTCACTGTTAAGCCCTCATTTGCAATTGTTCCTAATGTGGCATGACTGGACATGCCCCATTCAACCTGAAAAGGAAGTGGTCACAAATCGGGCATTGTGTGTTTGCTTGAAGGTTGACCTTTGAACTCTTGGTGGTGGGTTCTTGGTTGGTTCTACTCCTAAATACTCCGCGTGGGAGTTTATACAGGAGGCCAGAAACACCGAGGCAAAGCCCTTCTCTTAGCGACAAGTGTCACTGGGTTCTTTGACATGCATTGCAATACGCAACACACGGGACCTACGGCTTTACGTCCCATCCAAAGGACGAAGCAATAATGGTTAAGTGCCTTGCTTAAGGGCACAAGTGTCCGGGCCTGGGCTCGAACCCACGCTACTGTTGCCTCTGAAACACCAGAGCACGAGTCCGGTGCTCTTAACCACTAGGCCATGACACTCCACTATTCCAGGCAACCCCCCCCCCCCCCCCGAACACCCCTTCACTGGGATATGAAAAGTTTGCTACATTTATGCCTTACATAAATGCCAGAGTTGTCAGTGCGTTACAAGTAAAGTTGTGTTGTAATACCAACAAAATAGTGTCCCCAAAAACCTTTTCCTCAGTTTATTTTCCTCATAAAAATTGGAAATTGTCAAAACCATTTTCTGGCTTGTTTAACCTCAACTTATTTCAACATTTAACAATCTGTGTAGTCTTCATTCAAAAGTGATTTTTTTTTTCTCCCCCTAGAATTGCTGGGTTCCAATTTCGGAGTCGAGTGCCATTGAGACGTCGTCGCTCATACCCACCCCGCACCAGGAGCCCACGACCCCGTCCGAGCAACTCCTAGAGTCCGGGTCCAAGTTCCGCTTCCGCAACCTTTTCCCCACCCCGCTTGCTGACAGACGGTCCCCCTTGCCCATTCTGAACTGGGCCGACTCGGCCGAGGTGTGGCGGGTCATGCTCGAGAAAGAGAACAACTATGTACACAACACCAGGGTGTTGGACAGACATCCTAGCTTAGAGCCCCGGATGAGGACCATTCTTCTGGACTGGTTGATTGAAGTGAGTAGAAGCCAGCAATTCCTGACCGTAATTTCCCAGGTTGCCCCGCTCGCAGCGAGCGAGGCCGGAAATATCAGGGTGTGCTACCCGCAGATGACGGCCTGAACCCGTCTGGCATCGAGGTTTGTGGAAAACAATCCCATGCCTGGGTTCGGTCAGTGTCAAAATAATCCTGGCACAAACTGGTTAAGACTTGTGATGGACTTCACTACAGAACAGGCATAAATCTGCCTAAACGCATTTTCGTCTGCCATGATAAATTTGTTTCATACAGCGTAATTTATTACAGAGGCAAAATTAATGCCGCACTACAACGCCGCAAAGGAGTATGTGATTTTACACTGGTACTCATTTCGAGTTGACATTGCTTCCCTGCAGGTCTGTGAAGTTTACCGGTTACACAGGGAGACGTTTTACCTTGCCGCCGACTTTGTAGATAGATATTTGTCGAAAGCCAGCAACCTACCAAAGACCAAGCTGCAGCTTATAGGAATAACGGCGTTGTTCATCGCAGCCAAACTAGAAGTAAGTCACGAAAATCGTGTGCGGAAACCCATAGCAGTAGGTGTTTTGTGAAACACACGAGAATGCTTTTATAAAGGACAAACCAACAAAGAGCTGTGCCCTTAAAGCCAGAGTCCATCATTTGCAGCTATCCAAAAAGTAACTGGCGTAATTAGTGTTGAAAAACATTCTTGCTTGAAAGATAGTAAGGGGACTAAACTCCCTGTGAAATTATTCTTTCTGGCAAGCTGTCATTTTGAAGAAATCAACGAAAGAAGGCCTTTCCAACCGTGCGTCTTAAGACGCACCGTTGGAAATTTCCATTAGTAGTTCATTTTTTTAGCGTGGACACAACGCACACATGGTTGCTATAATTCGTTGGATCAGTGCGCGACATCGCGTAGCTGCAATCGGCTATTGAGAACGTGTCTCGGACGCTGAATTAAGGCCCAATTCAAAACATGATTCAGCAGCTTTTGATTTGAAAACGAGATCCTAGAATGTTGTTTTTCTCGAAATATACAGCTGAAACTGAGCTGAAACTTCATCAGGTTAGTTGTTTAGCACACTTCTTTAGATTTTGAGCACTTTTGTTGCTTCAAACGAACAAAATGCACAAATTACAAATGATGGACTATACCTTTAAAACTGCCCAAAAAATTGCCCTTTGTTGTAGATTTTTTTTGCCTATAGTCCGTGCAGAATTCTGTTCATCATCTGCTTGCGAAACACTCCAGAATATCGCAGAAAACACACTATTTTATCTGCTGCTTTGTTCACAATGATGAAAGTTGGGCAGATTTCTCTTAGGCCAAAAAAAAAAGTCTCCGGTTTCTGGTATGCGCGCGCGTCGTCGTAGCCATGCGCGTCGGCAAAATGAAAAAGTTTTTTTTTCAATGAAAGATGATGTCTCAAAACCGCCAAACTCACTGGTTTAACTGGCATCCTGCTGCTGCACAATTTTAACGTGTTTTTAGATGGGGTTATGATCGAGAATAAGCTTTATGTGGCCTCTCTGGACTCCCATATATTTGCACTAAGTTTAGTCGGGCACCATTTGCAGTCATCAGCCGACATTTGTAGCAAAAAAGTCAGGTAAAAAAAAAAAAAAAGCCGTGTCGCCGCACCACTTTTTGGGCAAGCTCCATACCAGAAACCGGAGACTTTTTTTTTTTTTGGCTTTAACGGCAAATTTTTTCTTTAAAAAAAATTTCTTATCATTCCAAAAGGTTTTACAAAGATCTGCATGTTCCACAAAATTCTCATACTCCAAAAGCTTTAGCAATTGTCTCCTTAGAAATGTTATGTTAATTTAGCATCAAGGCCCGGGCACCCTATTTTGTTGCAATCCGTCATCTTTTATTTTCCCCCGAAACAGGAAATTTATCCACCAAAGCTTGCCGAGTTTGCCTACGTCACAGACGGCGCCAGCTCAGAGCAAGAAATCCTCGACCAAGAACTGGTCATGCTAAAGGTAAGAAAAAAACTCCATCATTTATCTCAAAATTTTAAGGCTGATCAGACATGTTTCACACCATTAGCTTTGAATCCCAGAACGACATAAAGGATTGAGTTTTCAGTCCCTACCTAAGGCTACCTGGTTTCCCTATATTCCCCAGAATGTCTCAAATCATCTTACAATTCTTATTTCTTGAACCTTAAATTATAAATACAATCACATAAAAGTGCTTACAGCTTTTAGTGTAGGTTACAAACTCTGTGTATATAGGCCTCTTCAAACGCCCCGTGAAAGCAAATGCGAATTTGTGAAATTACAGCCAGTTTTCGCTTCACAAATTCACAAAAGGTGAACCCATTTCAACTCTGGCGAATATTCATAGCGAATGTTCCATGATATCAAAAGTCGATTCCCATGAAGTAGAACCAGCCTTATCGATGGTGAGTCATAAAAAATGTTACCTCTATCCATGGACACTTCTGTGCAGATGTGTAACATTGAAGGTTTGTTATTTAAATTGAAAATTGATAGCGTGCACTGTGTTCAGTAGATCTATCTCATAGGACGCCATCTTCGTAGGAAAAATACAGCTGCGTGTTCAACGCCATCATGTGCGTGTGCGCGCAGTGTGCTCACAGTGTGCAAAATAAACATGCACGTGAGTTGCTGGAAATTATTTCTTTGAAATACGACGCAGCCGATGCGATTCACGAAAATTTGATGCCCAAAATGTCGATGCACATGGCAATCTGTAGGTCGTAACGCCAATTGAGAGAGACCCATTGCACATGCAAACCAGTTAGCATGTGCAAAATGTCCTTCATTGTCGTTCACTGACTTCTAATGCTGAGTACGCTTCAAAAGTTCGGAATTTTTATTGTATGATTCTGTAAATTTCGAAGAATTTTGTCACCGACTGATTGAAGTTGTAATTGTTCACATCCCTTTGCAGGTATTGAAGTGGGATCTCTCGCCAGTAACGGTCAACACATGGTTGAATATCTACCTTCAGCTCAGTCGACGTAGTCACACGACCCGCAGCAACCACAACTTCCTACTACCGGAGTACTCAGGACACCAGTTTGTGCAAGTAGCTCAGGTGGGTGGTAGATAGATGGGAAAAGATTCACAATCAGCCTCTTGAGATATGACAAACACAATGGGCCTTAATCACGAGTTGGCCATTTTTGTTGAGTTCCCTGACTGTATTTCATTAATTGTTAACTGTTGAATTGGATGGCGCCAAACTATTTATGCAGGCACTGTCATTTTTTTTTTAAATATGGCTTTAAACATTAGGGAATGTTTAATTACATATTTAAAATTATTTATTGAGGCAGACTGGAATTGATTATGAATTAAATTGCTCTCTTTTCTCTTCGCAAGTTAAAAAAAATTAAGATTTTACCTAACTTTCAATTCAATATGGCCGACTCGTGAATAGGCCCATAGGAGGCATTGTGTGGCGTGTAAAATTACAAGTTGTGATCTCATGACAACAATTTGGGTGGGTTGAAAAATGTTGACATCATAGAGTACTAGACCTGTGCGAGTAGTGGATTTTTCTACTCGAGTACTCGCAAAGAAATTACTTGCGAGTAGTCGAGTACTCCTAAGTAGTTAACCAAATTCCCATAAAAGCAGACAAATGACATATACATTTGTGTGACGGGAAATAACTACAAGCCCATAGCGTGCATGTCGCACCGCATTCTTCAGCACTGAGTTATCCTTACTGTGCGACGTTTTGAGTCATTTACATTTTTGACGAATGGGATCCTAGGGAGAGAGAGGTGGAGGGAGTGATTCCCTGTTTGCAGGGGACGTATTGAGCTATGAACCATAAACCCTAAATTGCTACTCGCGAGTACCTGCTTTATCTCGCCAAGACAAGTACTCGAGTAGATGAAAAACTATGAGTAGAACAACGAGTAGCATAAACTACTCGCAAGTACTCAAGCAATCGAGTTACTCGCCCAGCAGTACAGGGTACAACAGGGCTCTCTCAATGACCAAGCTGACCCGGCATACATCTGGGTACCGGAAAGTCAGCGTCGCCATTGTAGTAGGCAAAGATCATATAGTGCCACATGCAGTAGTAGGCAAACCTCCAAAGCTGTGGTGGATGGCAAATAACTGAGAAAACGTGGAGCCAATACCCAGGGCTGGGTCGGCACGATTATGACAATGTTACACGGCACAGCTAGTGACCATTATGCCATTTTGATACAGAATTTGAAATTACGTGCGAAAATAGGCCCTATTGTCTGATTTACAATGCACGACGTGGTTGCTAACCAAATGCTTGCCTACTGCAATGGTGACCGATCACGGTGAGACCAAATGGTCATGTGGTACTTTGATGTCATACGATCGGACTCTACATGAAATCAAAACCATGAGAAAGATACTTGGATAGCTGCGTTGCCTATTCGCTCTTTTCACACTCCGCCATTGGGCATGCACAGCCTCGATCTGGCAACTTTACACAATAAAAATAGCCGGTTCAGTGATCTGAACCCCGACACGGGAATCACTGAACCGGCTGTATTTATTGTGTAAGGTTGCCAGATCGAGGCTGTGCATGCCCATGGCGGAAGTGTGAAAAGAGCGAATTGGCAACTTCTAGGGCATGACGTCACAGATGACATGGTCTATATGACTAAATGTTACTCACTCTGAAATGTTATCAAAATCAAGCTTTCTCAAATCCCTGAGCACTTTAAGGTTTTCTAACGTCTTTTTTTTTTATTATTCCACAGCTTCTAGATTTGTGTATATTAGACCTAGGATGTCTCCAGTTTGACTACAGCATCGTAGCTGCATCAGCGTTGTATCATATGATGTCTCAAGAACTAGCGTTGGAAGTGACAGGTATTAAAGGACATTACTGTTAAAAAAGGCTACCCTTAATGTGTATTTATGCGGATACTGCCAGTTTTGGCGCACAAGGCGCTACATCATTATTACCCTGCTCATTGGGCCAATGCAAACATTCCAAAGTCAAACTCAGCTCCCTGGGGAATATACAGCTCGATGCTGCCCATTTTGGCACAAAGCAGCTGAAATCAACCACGGTTAACCATCTCTGCCCTCACAGGTACCCAATTTACTCCTGGGTGGGGAGAAGCAATGAGTAACAAAGTGCCTTGCCCAGGGCGCACGCACCACAGCCCCAGGCTGGACTCGAACCCACAACCTGCAGAATAACCCGCAGACCACAAATTCCATGCTCCAGAACAGAGTAAAAAAGTAAAAGTTAAGGGGACGAACCTGCGCTCACAGGAACGGAGTGCCCATCTCTCTTTCGAAGCAGTTAAACCAGACTCAATGCTGCTGCTGTGGGGGGATCACCACACCTCCACAGCGAGTAATTACCTTCCCAGCATTGAATATTGCCGGTACCCATTCAACACCTGGGTTGAGAGGAGTAATTGAGGTAAAGCGCCTCACTCAAGGGCACAACACGCACGGCCACAGCAGGGCTTGAACCCACAATCCCACGGTCATTGAACTTGTGCTCAACCGCTAGACCACACTTGGGCTCGAGGCCACGCCCCTCCCCCCCCCCCCCCATTATTTTTCTGGTCTCGGATAATGACCACTATTCCCTGGAAGCACAATATGCATCTCAGATCCTCTCTTGTCATCAATTCTGTTCTGTTCTGTTTTAAAGTTTTATTTTTGAACTTGATATTTTCCAGGTCTCAAGTGGGACGACATTGCTGCCTGTGTTCACTGGATGTCGGCGTTTGCAATAACGATACGGGAGGCGGGGCTTGTGGAGTTGAAGGGATTCCGAAATATCTACGCTGACGAGGCCCACAATATCCAAACACATGCCAATCAACTTAGCAGCCTGGTGAGCTGTTTTATTTGATTTTTTTTTTTTTTTTTTTAAGGGATTGTTTGCATCCGTCCAGCACCCAATTTCAGCGCTGCAACGCGTCGCAACTCGAGTTACGACGTGTAACACATCGTATCATCCATTTCAAGAAGGTTGGGATGTGTTGAAAGCGTCGTAAGTTCCTTGACAATGGCTTAAAATATGTCGCAAGTTACGACGTGTCTAGTGGTCATCGGAAAATAAGAAGAGTCTCTTTCTTAGCCAGTTCAATGCCATAAACATTACATTAACGAGATCATAATACCGAGGCAATGTGTGTAAAGTTGTAAAAAGAAAATTCATAGAATAATTATGAATTAGACTGGAATATTGCCGTAAAAATTTCAAAGTAGCTATATAGTCCACTGAGAGCTTGTTTTCCTTCAAAATTTCATCGCACGACCGCCATTTTGTTTGACCTTTTAACAAATTTCGAGCTGAGATCCGACGACTCTTTGTTGAATATCAGACGACTATTTACTGTACACTGACTAAATACATAAATATTCACTGAGTTGTGTTATAAATACACATACGACGCGTCGCACTTACGACGTGTTTTGTGGAATTGATCGCACGATCGCAGCGAGAGTTTGATGAAATCGGGTGCAGGTAACCATGTCCAAACTCAAGAAGACACCATGTCACCAAGCATTTACTGCTTCACGTCGTGATTATTTTTGCCGAAAATTTTGGTTTTTTGCCAAAGGCAAAATTTTTCAGCCAACTTCTTCAGCAAGAGTAATTTCAACAGTATTTGTACAATATTGCTTGCCGAAACCTCATTATTTATATACTCTGAGGTGTGCACTGGAGCGTAAATGGTTGTTAATAGGCCGTGCACAACAGCCAGTTCAAGAGCAGCACACAGTCCGCCTCCACAGACTTCACGGACTTTGTGTGTGTGTGTACAATACAAAAGGCACGAGGGATTAGTGTGTTTAGACGTCACCCGGAGGCAAGTCAAGGCAATCTTGACATTTTGGCCCATCAGCTGTGCCTGTGTATTAAAACAGCCAGTGCGTGTTATCACATCTTTCGATGCACACTGGTAAGGGGCATCCAGTCCACACTGGATGACGTGTATACCTGCAAAGGTTTTGTGGTATTCGGAACGAATGACGGATAAACACGCAGGGAACACGGCCGGAAATATCTGTCAGCGACCCGCTCGCAGCGAGCGAGGCCGGAAATATGAGTGTGCTGCCCGAGGGTGATGGCTTCAACCCGCCTGGCATGAGGTCGAGCGAAAAGTAATCCTGCGCCTCGTTCTGTTTTTGTCAAAATAATCCCGGCTTGAACTGGTTAATAGTAAAAAGCAAAACAAAAATTCTTTTGAACTACTCCTGAAACAGTTTGATGACCGTTATTTTCAATTTCCCACCCACAGGACAAAGCTTTGGAGAGACTACAGGAGATCACGCGGCCCATCGACAGTAGCCCAATCCACATGGCCGGGGTTCTGACCCCTCCCCACAGCCACCACAAAGGTCACGCGCAGAGCATCAGTCTATGAAACCAGGTCGGCCTTATTTTCCATCAAATCCTAAGCAACTTACGGGTGTACTGTGTTTATTTTTTTCAACTACAGCTGATTAAGAAATGTCGTTTTTGGAGAAGGAAAAATGAAATGCTGTATATTCTTTCTTCGAGATTTAAGTGTGGATTATATCCAGAATATTCTTTTATATCAAGCTTGTTATAACTGTACACAATGTACATCACTGTTTCAGCAGCTATGATGATATTCAGGAATTGCGTGTGAAAGTGAGCAACTGTCCTTTTTTTTTTCAAGAAAAGTTTGGTAAAATATCCACACGCAAAAAAAACATGTATTAGATACACCTCCAACTGCTGCACTTCCAACTACAGGGAAAATATGTCAGTACTTAATATGAGTATATCCTCATTGCCATAAGTGCCTACTATATTTCAGTTTTATTGTTTATTGAATGAGTGACATGTATAGATGGAATTTTCACGATGTCATAATCACTGCGCCTTTATAAACCGATCCAATAATCCTCCTGCTGTCTGAACAGTCACAGACTGTCAAATCGATCCTTTTCCCCTGCCATGCCTTTTACACATGCTGGTCACCAACAGTCGGATCATATTTCAAGCAAGCACTGTGACTAGTCAAATTCAGGCACCAGACAAAAACAGGCAAGTGGTAGGCACAGCTGGCTTATCAATCACCTACAGTCAAAACATAGCTGCATCAAGTTACATAAACAGTCACAGCCAGTCAATCCTGCTTAATGTAGGCTGGGAGCTGTTGAAAACAGTCATTTGTTTGATTTTGACTGAAAGGACTACTTGGCAGAGGATGTTTGTTTGCGTAGGAGGGTTAAGCCCAGCCTTCTCCGCACGTGGGCACCAACGTGCACTTCTCTCCAATGCCCCACTGCATGTTCCTGCCGTGCCAGCAGTAGGCGTGATTTAAGGCAAACCTCACGCCAGCAATCCCCAGCTCTGGTATGGGATGGGCTCTTTGTTCCATTCTCACTGAATATAACAATTTGAGGATGCATGCTGGTTATATGTTTACTTGTTTTCTTTTTTTACCATTTTTCAGGTACAAACGGGTAATTTATTGTTTATGTAACATGCAATTATTCAGTAGCATATGACCAAAAGTGCCTTAAAAACCTCTGGAAAGAATGTAGTATCCAGACGCCACTTCTTTTGGTTGTGTACAAAGTCTATGGAGAGTCGAGTGCCAGTCCCAGATTCGTGTCTTTTCAACAAATATGTTAGTTATGGCTGAATGTCTCCAGTAGTTTACTACACAGTGTTGGATTCTGATGGATTCTGTTGGATTCTGATGGATTCAGACAGCTTCTTAGCCAAAAAAAAAAAAAATTCAAAGGAGTTTAAGGGCCGGTCTCAATTCATATCCGGAACGACTTTCGGACAAGTTGCGTGGAGAATTATTCACTTTGTCCTGAAGAAGCTCTGCATTTGTCCCGGACATGTTCCGGGGAAATTGTCATCAGTAACTGCTTGACCAACCAATACTAATAACTCCATTGGGGGAAGAATCCTGCTACTTACATCCGATACAGTGTCGGCAAATTTTTCTGGAACTCGTCCCGGATATGACTTTAGACAAGCCCTAAAATGACCCCTTTTTTGCGTTTGTGTTGGTGTCTTAATGTTTGTTTTATGCTTGTTTTTGAGTTTCAGTGGTAGGAAGCCCGATTTTCATCTAGTAACTGAACTGTTTTACGTATTTATTCCAAATTTTTAATTAGGTCGAAAATCAATTTGTGCCTTTGGGGGAAATCTTAAATGAATTAAGTTAAATATACATGTATTTAACAATTTCTTGTAGAAAAAAAAAACACATTGTACATACAAAGTTAAATAATAAGTTTTATAATGACATAAGTACTTCAAAGATAACTGTGAAATTTGGACTTAAGTCTTTTTTCTTCTGGTCAAAAGACCAAATTTCTTGTTCCCTCTTTTCGTATATTGAATATGTATAATGGTTTTGACTAGATTCAATCCACAAACAGGGTATATACACATGGATTTTGGGGGGAGGAAGTTAAATTTGAGTCATAAAGTTTAACATAGTCATAGTTTTTTTTGGGGGGGGGTTCGGAATATATCCACTTCAGAATATTCAATCGAGGACTTGGTGACAATGCTTAAAGAGGATTTTAATTCAGGAAATGTTTGTTTAAAAGCAGATGCAGAAGAAAAAAAAATGAGTTTCGAAGGAAGTTATTCAAAGTGAGTAAAGTCCGTCACGAGCAAATGTGGCCCATCAGGCCAGCGTTTATCACCAGTTTCAGTCGCATAAAATGAATGAGAATATTTCTACTCCCCCTGGATGGGATGCTAGTCCAACGCAGGTTACTCCCCAGCTAATGCCGGTACCCATTTATACTTCTGGGTGGAGAGAGGCAAGTTGAAGTTGGTGAAGTGGCTTGCCCAAGGACACAACATATGGCCAGCAGCTGGTTTCGAACCCATGACCTGATCATGAGTCACGAACCCTAACCACTAGGCCACACTCGCCCCTTTGAAGGAAGTTAAAATTACATGTATTCAGACTTAGTCTAAAGAAGACTTCTGAAAGGAAAATAATAGAAGATTATACCCAATTCAAAAGAAACCTCGAAAAAAAAATGCCTAATAATGAGATTTGTGGTATTTCTACAATATACACATGTTGGAATCGGTTGGAAACCCACAGGGGCGGGCACAGGAGGAAAATTGTGTGTGTTGGGGGGGGGGGGAGGACACCAACCTTTTAAAACTTGAAGCCCAGTGTTAACAGATTAAAGACTTCTTTTAAAACGTGACTTATGTACTGATCTAAACCTTTTAGCCCTAAAACAGAGTTTTTCCTTTCATGAACTTGAGTTGTTTTGTTGACACAAAATGTCAGATTTTGCACTATTCCTTCGAGTTTTGTCAATTTTAAGTTAAAAGTAAATATCACTGCCATGGCAGTAATACAAATTAATTTCCCTGACTTTGCTTTTGAGGTTGTCTTTGGCAGTATTTGTTTTGAAATTTACTTACTAGAAATATTATGCCATAAACATTCTTGAATGTAGTAATGTGTATGCAATAGTGGCCTCAGGCCAGTAAATGATAATAATTTGACATTCCGATCTTCCCGATTACCTTTAAAATAACTGTTATTATTTGAGTTTGGCAACTCATAGAAAATAATGGCTCTGACTATTTAAGTTTGTAGTGTTCTTTACTGTGGCGTATAAGACATATATTTATCGTTTTATTGTACAGAAAGTTTCTATTAGTATTTTGTTTTATGGTTTTTTTTGTCTTCATCGTAAGGAGCAGACATTTCCATTCAAGAAAAAATGTAATGAGTAACTTGATGTTTGATGGAATTTGTGTATTTAATCGTTATTTCTTGTCATTTATTTGGGACTTAGGAAAGTCCTGAAATTTCTCCTGTACTACTTTTAATTATAGTTTGTTTCTGTAATAATTTTGATAAGTTTAAAAGTAATATATAACATCTGCTTTTGCTGTAATATTCAGAGATGGATGGATTTGGGGGTGAGTATTTAATAGCAAATATCGTTCCACTGACCTGTTTAAAGTTTAGTGTTAGTGGATGTCGTGGAAAAAAAACACAAGAAAAAAATGCTGTTTTTGTAGTCCGGTTCCCTGACCCGATGCTTCATATGAAACCAAACAATTTATAGACGTTAGGGAATTGTCGGGTCAGGGAACCAGACTATAGCTGGCTTGCACCCGTTCATGGATATCATGTAAGCGATTGCAAAATGTGGACAAATTTAATTCGGTCAATGAATTCGGTCAATTGAAAATGATAGCATGCGAGACGCAAGGATTCACAACATGCTTTGAGTTTGAGACTATTATTTACTTACACAGGCATGCAACTTTTCCTCGGATCTGCTGATTTCCTCGTTTTTTACTTCTCATGAATGCCATTACAAATTGAAAAACACTGTACATAGTATTGTGTGGTTTGGAATTTCCTTGTTTTTCCTAATTTCCCAGTTGCATGCCTGCTTACAGCCCTATAAGGTATTTCATAATAATGTGGCAGTTCCGTGTTTTTAAAAGTTTGCAAATGTTGTACATTGCCTTAATTTCAGCAACCATGTATGTTGCTTAGAAAATGAAGATAGAGTAAAAACTGCAACAACATTACCATTATTGACTGCGAAATGGACAACTCACAGGGCAGCAATTTCATTGTATGTGTGCATATGTTACTTGAAGTTCGTATTTGTCCGTAAAGGTAATATAAAACATTTGTAAACTTCAAAAAAACAAAACTACTAGATTATTATGAAATACCTTATTTGACTGTAAGTGAATAATAGTCTCAAGCATCCTGTGAAATCATGGCACCTGGTGTGCTGTCTTTTTTAAGAAAAGTGGAAATTTTGTATAAATTTCCAACCATGGTCGGCCGACCATCTTTTGGAAAAAAAAATGAGTTTTTCAAAATACTGCCCCCAATTTACCAAATTTAGTTAGTCCACATTTTGTTTGGAATGAGTTACACAGCTGTGAAGGTCCAAGCCAGCTAGTCTGGTTCCCTGACCTTACCATTTCCTGACGTCTATAAATTGCTGTGTTTCCTCTGAAGTAGGGTCAGGAATCAGACTACAAGAACAGCAATTTTGTCTTGGTTTTTCCAGCATCTATGAATACCAAACTTTAAACAGATCAGTGTAACAATATTTGCTTTAAAATACTCATCCCCAAATCCATCCATTTCTGAAAATTACAGCAAAAGCAAATGTTGTACAGTCTTAATGAAGTTTTGGTTGTTGCATGTTTGCGAGTGTGTTTGTGTGTCAATTTTGTTTTCTGTTTGATGATTTGAAATTGGCTTTTAATATGTCTAACGTTTGGGTTTTTATATCTTTGTCCCGTTAACTGCTTGTGAACCCAAAATGTCGTTTTGCAGGTTGTATCTGTTGTCGTTTCGTGTAAGTTTTGTTTTTAATTGCATGATTCGATCAATTTCAATGAGACTTGCGATTTTTACCAACGTATACTAGTAATCGCCGAGTAGTCACAAGACATGTAGAAATAATTATTGTAAAATGGGAACATATTTATGCAAAACCTGGACTGAAAGTATTCAGTTTTAGAACCGATGAACTTAATGTCAAAGTGATTTGAAAGTATTTGTTTAATTGAGTGGAATTTGGGGATTTTGTTTATATCAGAATTGATCATACTTCATGTGTACATAATTTGAACCAATAGAAAATGGACCAAGTGGTTTTGAGTCTGGTTACAGAACGAAACGATTGTGCCTTATTTTCTTTCTTTTTTTCGGGGGAGGGGGGCACCTTCAAGTTGGAGATTGTGTACTTTGTAAGAGAAACTAAACAGCCATGCAAAAACAATGGTACCGATGATTTTTAAGGATTTGCAGTTTAAAAAAATTATTCTAACTGCATGCATTTCCCAGAAAAGTGAGAATATTTACATTAACTTCAGAAAATGTGTTGGGTCTTGTTAGATCATTTTTTTTGTAATTTCCTCCTTTTTTAATGTGAAAGGGAAAACATGCAAAGAATTATTAATTTGTATATTTAATTCATTCTCTTACAACAAGTTCATCTTAGAAGGTATTCCCATTGACAAATATGTAAGCAATGTGCTTCAACAATTTTCAAGTATATACATAAAGAATTAGAAAGTAAGAATTTTTAGTTCAACATTTGTTATAACACCTTGATTTTTATACTAAGTGTGAAAATGTTATTTTCTTTTTTCATTTTGGATTGTAAACACTTCATTATTATGCTTCCTTTTTTTATAAAGTTGATGAATTTTGTACCAAATGAGAAAAACATGTTGGTGCTTTGAAATAAAGTGATTAATGGTTCAAGTTAATTTGGCTGTTGAAACAGGTCTTTTCCTTTTTCGTTATGTGAAAATTTTGCTCAGTACAAAAACATTTGAAGAAGTAAAATAGGTAAACGGAATTATATTGTACAAATTTGTTTAGTGGGTGGAGGGGAAAAAAATCATACTATTATTATTATTATTAATCATTTTTGGTAATGAAACCAAGGATTCCTCAAAAGCGCCCTAGGCACTGTAGCTCGCAAGCCTGAAGAAACCTGTGGAGAGAAGACAATGAGAAGAAATTACAGTTTTAGAGGTGGGAGGAAAAGCCCAGAAGAATATTCTGAGGAAAACCCACGGAATCAGGTAGGGACTGAAAACCCAATTCGTCCAGGCGGGATTCGAACCCGGGTCACAGCGGTGGAAGGCGAAGAAAGTATCGCTACGCCAACCTGACTCGACCATCTACACGGTCAACAACCAAAAAAAAATCACATCACTGTCTATACACGTTTCAAAACCAAACATGAAATAACCCCAACGTGTTCGGAAACAACACTAAATACTGGTTGTATTACTTGTTGTATTACCAGTCTTGAGCCAAGACTAGCAAAACATTAGACTATAGTACACCACTTGGTGGCGCACTCTCGTGCCGCGGGGAACTCCCCAAAATAACGACGTGGTCGCTAAAAATAGATTATCAGTAACTCGCTGCTCGAAATTGAAGATATCACGTAGTTCATGTTGTTATGAAGTAGTGGTTGTTCTTTATCTGTCAGAGGGTTTTAAAATTAAAACATCTTTCAACTTCATCTCTAATTTGCTTGATCGTAATATCTTATCACAAGAGGACAGTATCAATAATTAATAGTTACTCAAGAAAGTCATGTACTACACGTTATTAATACTTAACGCAGTGATGCAATGACGATAATGTGGAAATTTCCAGATTCTAAAAATAGCTCTGAATAATGAGGTAATGCAATCCACACGAAGCGTTTGCTGTTGTGGGGATATTTGCTGCAAATGTGCAATAATCCAATATCGATACATGAATTAACTGATGTTCCTTGCTTTCCACTCGCGTCTTACAGTTGTTGTGGCTCTCAAAAAAGAAACGTAAGTATTTTTGACGGACTTTTTAGTGGCCTATCCCTAATTTAACTTAACTAACATTGACCATGGAGGTAGGAAACACCTCCATGCTAACATTAACAACATTTTTTTGTATTATGAATGAGCATGTTTTTTGTTAATTAATTTTTATATTAGGCCTAATGAGTAATGTTACAATGTTAATTGTCATGTTTATCAATGTCATGTTTGTTTGGCTGTCGTTACGATCATAACGGTAGACCTGTAAACATGGTTACAAGAAACATAACTTATTATTAACTTATATATGTTTAGACCCGTGAACGTGGCTTGTAAACTGAACGTGGCTTGTAAACTACGCCACGTTCTTATGTCATTTCGAACCTGGCGAACGTGTCCCTCTGACTCCCTCCGTTACACACACTGAACGTTATTTTGCCCATGTAATAAGTACTCACATATGAAGCTGTCTTGAATTCTATTTGTACGTCAAAACTTGCATTTGACGACAATTGAGGAAAATTCTGGCCCCGGTTCATGAAGTCCGTTCGCTACTGCTAGCTGCCATTTTCTCCCAACTGCCGCATGCGCATTGCGTTTTATTTTCGTATGATTCGACGGCTGTTTACTGTCGCAGCTAAAACAGACATCGTTTTAGACAAGTTTCAAGTCCTTTCCTCTCTCACCGCACCGCACGCGGTCGCACGTGCGCCCGCGTGTTTGTTGTGCACACACGTACTGTACACGAGATAAGCCGAGCAGCAATCGTCTGCGGGGTTTTTTTTTCGGGGTTGCGACATGAAACAGCCGTCAATCTGTCCAAGCGACTCAGACGCGTCCGGGGTTATTTGTCAGGGTCAGGTTAAAATCTAATTTCTACACGTTCGTATGGGTCTTTACTGATGGGCAAATTTCGTCGAAATTACACAGCCGAAACAATCGGACGGGCAAATTTAGATTTCTAGGTGAGTACTCAACACCCATACGGAATTATGTATGTCGGATCGATTTCGCCAGGTTCGAAATGAAACAAGAACGTGGCGTTGTATACAACGCCACGTTCACGGGTCTAATATATGTTGGGCGCGTTCGGTCAATGTGCGCAATCGGTCAATCGCATTGCGCTGTCGGTCAATCATGAGGCTATATCGGTCAATCCTGCTGCCACCCAGTAGGCCTACCAGTAGAACACCAGTTTCTTTGCGCATTTTCCGGCGATCGTGTACATGTATCTACGGGCCCGGCCCGGTTTTATTATAACTATAATAAGGGAACAAAATCCACTTTTAAATTATTTGACCAACCAAACTAGTCATGCTAGTTGGTAGACCCATGAACGTGGCTTGTAAACTATGCCGCGCTCTTGTACATGTTCAAACCAAGCGAAATCGGCCTTCCGTGACAAAGACTGAACACCGCCTTACCGTGTGATAAGTATTCACATATCAAGCTTTCTTGAACATGTTGAAATCTGCTTTTACGCCAAATCTGGCATTTAAACGATATTCTTGGTAAAATCTGGCAAGATCTCGACGTCCTGCAACCTCCTGATGCATGTGATTTACCACGTGATAAATGCTGCAGATAATTTGGTATCGCACTGACGCTCCGGGCACTCCTGATGTCCGGATCATAAGTGCGATTCCAAATTATTAGCTGCCTTTATCACGTGGTCTCGTTATTGGCCAATCAGACGCCGCCTGTCATATGCGCCACATGAAGCAGACGGGTAGCTCGGAGGGCTCCGATAATTTTGCACGCAAATGACCCTGGGTACTCGTCCAGGGTCATTTGTCAGGGTCACTTGTCAGGTTAAAATCTAATTTCTACACGTTCGTATGGGTCTTCATTGATGGCAAATTTTGTCGAAATGACACATCCTGAACACGCGGACAGGCAAATTTAGATTTCTAAATAAAGAAATGAAATATTAAACTCAGGAATATGATTCCCAAGCAGCAGCACATCAATCATGATCACACCTAGACTGCTTTCTGCCCCCATAAATTTTCCAACTATCATTGAAAGATGAAATCACTTTCGCAGTGATCAGGAAATGTTTTTAGCCAATCCTGTAGTGTTTTTAATATTGCTGCATGCTTTTTGCAGTTTTTAACTTGACCAGTAGTGTGTGATCGAAGAGAGAAAAGGGGAAATTTGAGCTTGGAAAGTAATTGTGCAATTCGGGGGAATGAATGGATCTGCTCGAAAGATTGTCATTTTCAATTTTTTTTCCCTGGGTCCTGTAAAGTTAATAGGTCTTGTTCACAATAATACCACACTTTTGAAAAGTTGTGTAAGTCACACCGTGATGTATAAAATTGAAGGAAAAACAATAACCAAAAAACCCAGGATTTTCTCAAGGAAAAACCAAACCAACTTAGTTGAGAATTACTAATGGTGTTGAATTATTAGATCCGGCATAGCATGAATTTTAAGGGAAAAAACACAGAGAAAATTGAGTCTCAAAAAGAGTGTCAGATGTCACTGAGAATATGTTTGGTGAAGTATAAGGAAATTAAAGAAATATTGGTGTTTAATACCCCCAGTTACAAAAACCATTTGTTTTACAAATCTGCTGATTTAAAAGCAACAACTTTCTGGTAGGTACCATTTTTCATGATTATATGAGATGTTTAAAAGCATTTTCATTGAAAGTGTGGAACTGAGTTTATTTGTAACACAAATTTTTTTTTTCCATTTTGGACAGAATCGTCTGATTCTATTCATTGTTTGTGCTCGCCTCATTTGCCTGTGATATTGACGTCGTGGTCTAGCTCTGCGTAGAACGATGGAGAACGGCCAAATGAACCAAAATGTATCGGTAGAGCCAGAGCATTTGCAGTATTTCCTGGCCATGTTGGCAGAAGAGAACATGGGGAATGGTAATTTTTTTGTTCTTTGGTTTGTACAACTTTTCAAATTGCTTTTCCACCGTTCCTACAACGTTGATAAACATTTTTTGAGTACAGACAGGACTAGAACAAAATACTTTTGTAAGTTTATTCCATCCGGTATGCTGTCGATTTCAAAAGACCGTATATAAATTGTTTTTTATTTCTGTTCGGAATTTCCCAAAACAAGGGCCCGCCGGCGTTGAGGCTCTTGAGTCCAAGTTTGACGACGAGATATACAGAGTTGCGCTAGCCATGGTAAGAGACAAATTCTTTCACTTGCACGGTGGAGTAAAAAAGAAACATCAAAATAATCCACTTTATACCAAAAGATATCCATATCACATCAGAGATGTCATTCATCGGCTGTTTTTCGTTCCTTTTAAATCATCACAATTTGGAGATTATTTTAAGGTATTTTTTCGGAGTGATAATTTTTGTTTTTCTGATGAATGTTGTCAACAGAGCCCACTGGATGCAGGCTCGCAAGAAAACAACACTTCGTTACCAAAAATAGGTGAGAAATGTTTTATTTGTATGCAAAGTTAATCCTCATTTCCCTTTAACAAACAAAACATTTTTTTTTGCAATACAGACCCAAATCGTAGTGTAATTTTGATTCAGGATTCTAATTTTTTTGCAAGAACATTCACAATCCAAACGACAAATCCACATGAACACTGCGTTCGCAAGGGACAACTTAGTTATGATGGAAACATTGTGACAGCGTTTTTTGTTGTTGAAATAACGGCTGAATGTTACAATGAAATAAACTGGCGATTTCAGCGTACCAAAACATGTTTTTTGTGTGATTGCAAAAGGAAACTGAGAAAGATTCTTTACCAATTATTTTGAAATGGGGGCAGAAAAAATGCTGAAAAACCGTTGATCCACCAGAGTGAAAGAATTTTCTCTTTCCTGCAAAAAAGTCTTTGTCGTTTCCAACTTTTGCTTTTCCTGTCTTCCTCTGCCTGCTTTTTTTTCTCTTCCTTGCACTTTGAAATCTCAGATCTGATGATTTCAAATCTCTGTTGTTGAGTCCAAGTTGTTTGTGCTTGTAAATCTTTGTTTATTTTGTGTGACATTTATCATCATGAGTTCTCTGCTGGATATAATATTTGTCTATTTGAAAACAGTGTATTCAATCGGGATGTGTGACATATTTCATTTTTTTAATATGTAAACTTTGGTTGGTTCAGTATCGAATCGCTTCATCAGGAAAAAAAGATTTTTATGTTTAAAAAGAACCTTTAATAAGGGAATAAATGTGTGCTCGAGAGGTTTTAATCACTCTGTTTAAGACCGCTTAGAGTCTGGGTGTTGATAATTACCCGAGCCGGAGGCGAGGGTAATTATCAGCACCCAGACTCTAAGCGGTCTTAAACAGAGTGATTAATACCGACCAAGCACATATTTATACCCATTCATAAATACCTTTTCGGTCAAAAAAATCCAATATTTCGGTCAAAAAATCCCAATTTTGTTCAACAAGTTCACTTCATTCCTTTTGAAACATCCCTCTAGCTAAATAATGGAGTGTTCAGCTGGCAATTAAGATGTAAACAACCCTTTTATGGAGATTCACACTCGCATGGCACGTTCTGTGCGATGTCGCGCAGAACGCACCTGGGGCGTTGCGTTTTGAATTTAGAACTATAAAATTCTGACTCACTGGTAGTGTTGTGCATGCCTACGTGAGGACTGTGAACGTTCAACCAATAAAACGGTAAAAGGCACCGGATTTCATGGGAGTCCACATTTTATGTGACATTGGAAAAGTGTTTAAGACCAGCTAGCCATGTTTTTATCATCCGTTTAAAGGGAATATACATCATTTGCTTTTGCTGTAATTTTCAGAAATGGATGGAATTTGGGGGTTGGAAATATTTAGCAAATATAGTTACACTGACTTTTTTGAGGTTTTGGGTTCGAAAATGCTATAAAACCAAGAAAAACAATCATTTTCCTGTAGTCTGGTTCCCTGACTCCATATAAGAAGAAACAGCAGTTTACATACATTGGGGAATTGTAAGGTCGGGGAACCAGTCTAGCTGGCTCGTACCCGTTCATAGGTTTGTAATCGATTGCAAACAAGTGCGATTGTCAATTGGGGCCACTATTTGAAAAAAGCCAGTTTTTTCCAACGCTGATCGGCCGATCAGCGTTGGAAATTGATACAAAAATACCACTTTTCTTGAAAATGACAGTTTACCAGGTGCCATGATTTTACAGGATGCTTTACACTGTCATTCACTAACAGTCCAGCAAGGTATTTCAAAATGATTTGGTAGTTTTATTTTTTGATGTTTGCAAATGTTGTATTTTCCCTTTAAGACCAGCCACGTGACAGGCTCTCGACCAATAGGGGTGGATCCATAATTTTGGGAAAGGGGGGGGGGGGGGGGCAACCTTTCATGCTTTATACCCTCTGGAGTAAATAAGTTTCTACCAAGTAAACATTTTGCCTTAGTGTGTATTACATGAGGATACTGGCTAGACTGCACATTATGTGTATGTTTTTCCAAAGCGTTGATAGTTTTTCAAACATTTAAAAAAAAAAGGTGAGTTCCCCCCCCCCCCAATTTAAAATATTGCCCTGGTGTGTATTACATAAGAATACTGGCTAGATTACACTTTACAGGTATGAGTTTCCAAAGCTTCAATTATTTTTAATTGGCAAATTCCTCCCCCCCCCCCCCACCAATCCACCCTGTTGACTTGTCTTAATTGGATTGTTTCCCACCCAGACCTAGCCATGATAGATGACATCATCGGACCAGACCAGGAGATGCAGATGGACGTCGGTGCCCCTCCCTTGCCACCCACAGGTGGTTACCACTACCCGATCTCCTCCCCACACATGTACGACTCCAATTACGGCTTCGGGCAACAACAGTTAATACCCAATGGTATGGCACTTGTCTTATGATAACAAACGTCAACTCATTTAAACGGTTTCCTTCCTTCATGATGCTGAGTTCAAACCTTCGGTAATAGCAGAGGTTTTCATTTTTTTTCACAAAGAGGTTGTATTTTTGTCTAGTTTAAAGGTAGGGTAGATCGTTTGTCAGTTGAGCATTTTGGTTTGGTTTGAACCATCAAAAGTGCTCAAAATCTAAGATGGGTGCTTAACAACTATCCTGATGAAGTTTTAGCTCTGTGAATGCTGTAATTCCGAAAAATCAATGGTCTTGGATCTCGGTTTCAGTTCTAAAGTTGCCGAATCATGTTTTGAATGACGCCCGAAATCAGCGTCCGGGACACGTCATTCAGCCGATTGTAGCTACGCGGTGTCACGCAATGAAATGACGAATAATTTTAAGGTTCTCTCCGTGGGTCGCAAAAAAATTCAGTGTTCTTTCAGCAAAACGAAATTCACACACATAGGGATGTGTGTTAATTTTTTTCGTTTTGCTGAAAGAGCGCACACCTTTTTGGTGATCCGTGGACAGAACCTTAAATTGGCGGTTGTGTTCAAAATTCTGTAACTTGAAAAGTACATGAGTGATTTGAATGATTCTTGTACTAAAAGAAAGCTCATGAATTGAGTTTCCATATACTAGATTTTGAAAGTGCTACATGCAGAACTTCAATAAAACAAAAGTCCTGAATTTTGGGTTTCGGTGGGTTTTTTTTTTACTCACACTGTATATAAAGCGGAGAGGTGTATGTAGTCACGAGTTGATCGGCGAGGCAGCTGCCTCCGAGTCCCAAGCAAAGTGTGCGAGGCGAAGCGCCCTCTACCATGAAGCGGGCGAGGTGAAACCGTGCTATTTGTATGTCAGATTAACCCTAATCCTCACGGTATTATTTCTGTATCTCTAACCAGAGGAACTTTTGCAAACAGTCCCCGTTCAGAACCCGTCAGCGATGATCTCGGGCGCCATCCCCGAGCAACTGGACTTTCTCCAGTTGCCCATGGTGACCATCGACCCATCGCAGCTCCAGGAGAACGCATCCTCCCAAACGATGTCCGTCGATGTCCCGCCGGAGGGCATGTCTGTGGAGGTGATGTCGGTCGACCAATCAGAGGTCATGTCCGAGGCCGTGTCCGAGGACTCGGCAACCACAGGAAGCACAACCACAGAGAGTGCTGCCGAGAGTCTCCCAAAGCAAGGCGGAGCCCACATGACGGAAGGGGAGGGGCAGATGGCCCAGAGGCAGGGAAACGGAGAACCCCCTCAGCTACCAGACTGTACGAAAGCATTCTTAGCCGTTTTTATTGGAAATTGTTTGAACAAAATGAATGGTTCCCTGCATGGAGAAAATAAGATGCTTTTATTGCCCAATAGCAAATGTTAGTGAAAAAGTCCCTTCTAAAATTCTCAGTTCACTGTGTGGTAGTGAATCAGAGCTTAACCGAAAAACAAAAGCAAATTTAGATAGGCTGGTTGTGTCTAAGAAGCTTGTCTTCTTAAGCAGTTCACGCCGGGATTTCTTTTTCCGAAAGTTGCGATTTTTTTTTAAAAGGCAAGATATAGCAGCCAACGTTTGATATATAGCCAAACCCCACAAATACTAATTCGGTAGCGTCATGTCAACAGTACATGTATGGTGTTTCTTACCGCAACCTCATATTTTTCAACACTCTGGGGTGTGCCCGCGGAGCGTACTACAACAGGCCATGCACAGCGGCCAAGTTCAAGTACAACACACGGTCCGCCTCCACAGACTTCTCGAACTTTGTGTGTGTGTTCAAAACAGATGGGGATAATCGTGTTTAGACGTCAACCGGAGGCGAGTCGAGCCACACTTGGCATTTTAACCCATCAGCCGTGCCTGTGTTTAGAAACAGCCAGATTGTGTTAAAGGGAAAATACAACATTTGCAAACATCAAAAATAAAACTACCAAATCATTTTGAAATACCTTGCTGGACTGTTAGTGAATGACAGTGTAAAGCATCCTGTAAAATCATGGCATCTGGTATACTGTCATTTTCAAGAAAAGTGGTATTTTTGTATCAATTTCCAACGCTGGTCGGCCGACCAGCGTTGGAAAAAACTGGCTTTTTTTCAAATACTGGCCCCAATTGACCATCGCACTTGTTTGCAATCGATTACACACCTATGAACGGGTACAAGCCAGCTAGACTGGTTATCTGACCTTACAATTCCCCAATGTATGTAAACTGCTCTATTTCTTCTTATATGGAGTCAGGGAACCAGACTACAGGAAAATGATTGTTTTTCTTGGTTTTTATAGCATTTTCGAACCCAAAACCTCAAAAAAGTCAGTGTAACTATATTTGCTATATATTTCCAACCCCCAATTCCATCCATTTCTGAAAATTACAGCAAAAGCAAATGATGTATATTCCCTTTAACATTCATCCAACGGGAAGTGATCGAATTGACTATTCTCCAAAATAATGGTGTTACAATTGCCTAAAGATGTAGTGATGTCATGGGCCTTATTCACGAGTTGGCCATTTTTGTCGAGTTCCCTGAATGTATTTCATTAGTTGTTTTCTGTTGAATGGGATGGCGCCAGACTATTTATGCAGGCACAATGCAGCCTTATTTTACAGTCATATTTGTTTTTAAATACGGCTTTAGACATTAGGGAATGTTTAATTACAAATTTTGATTTATTCTTTACAGCAGACTGGAATTTGTTAATAAATTAACTTGCTTTCATTTCTCTTCGCAAGTTCCAAAAATGAAGATTTTACCTAACTTTCAATTCAATATGGCCGACTTGTGAATAAGGCCCATGCTTTCTCACATTTACTTTCTTTGAAAGCAAGTTGGGAAGTGGCACACATTAACAAAGCCTGACTTCCATCTCAGGTCAGTCCTGTGTACAAGATGAAGAAATTCAATAACGTTTTGTTTCCTTCTCCCCCCCCCCCTTTTTTTTTGGTTAACAGTTAAAGAACTCCTAATCAGAATTCGCTACCGTTCCAAAGAGATGACCAGAGAGCTCATCAAGAATCCTAACGGCTGCCTGGTATTTTACAACAAACCTTGGAACTTCCCGGTCCCGCCAGAACGCTCCCCTGCTGGAGTGGCCTTCCCAGAGATCAAAATGCAGGAAAGTGAAGGAATAACAGAGAGTCAGTTCAAGTTTACGGAGCAGGTCCTTAAGGCTCTGGAGAAGGGGTAAGTGGTTGGTCATTTGCTGCTTGACGTTACTAGATATACTGTCTGTACTACTTCACCTTAAACTTAGAGTACATCATTTGTGATTTTGTTTTGGTTTGAAGCAACAAAAGTGCCCAGAATCTAAAGAAGGGTGCTTAACAACTAACCTGATAAAATTTTAGCTCGGTGAATGCTGTACGTTCCCAGAAAATGTTCTAGGATCTCGATTTCAATTCAAAGTTGCTGAGTCCTGTTTTGAATTGGGCCGGAATTCAGCGTCCGAGACACGTTCTCACTGAGGCCATGGCACTCCACAAAATCGGGATGACACAACACAGGGATGTTACACCCTCACCATGAGGTTAATTTGTAAAACAAATCCCAGGCTATGCATGGTAGGAGCTTTTTCAATTAAATTTGGTCACAATGTGTTTATAAGTGCCTGGCTGTTGAGTTTAAAGTGTCAACGATAAGTAAGCTAATTGTTGTTCATTCTGTTCCAGGGTTTACCTCCGATGCGATGATTATGGTAACATCTACGCCACCCGTTTCTGCCGGAGTAAGATCTTCTGGTACAGCACAGAGAAAGGGCCAATCGCCGAGGCCGAAATCACACGGTCCATGCCCAGCCTGACGTTCCAGAAACTGGAACGCAATCAGGAGGTCATGGTCTTCGACAACATGCTCTTCCAGCGCAAGCTCTTGCACTACGTCATCAACAAGCCCACGTTCAAGAACGAAGCGGCCAAGCAGGCCTCCGTCAAGCACACCATACCCATCAGCCCGGCCATCTTCTTCACGTTTGCCCAGTCCTGGAACCCCATGACCAGCGCCCTCAGCAGCTGTCTGGTGTCCATGGTGGTCAACCCCGTGCGGGCCAGGATGCAGCGGCAGTGGGGGAACGAGGACCGGCACGAGTCCTACGACTTGAGCAACTATCGGCCGCAGATCTCGGCCAAAAGCGACGCCAGTATGAAAAGCTCAACCGAAAAACAACTACCGAATGTCAGTCACTGAGTGAAGGTCATTGAGTAACTATGGGGTGTGTGACCATCGGTTAAGTCTTGCATCCTACACTGCATTGGTTTAATGTTCAACCCAGTCAACTTGACTTGACACAAGTGCTGTGCCACTTTTCTGAAACGTTCTGAAATACTTCAATCAAGTGTGCAGTTTGCAGTGAAAATCGTGTCCGTCAGCGTCAGCAATGTGACATTAGCATGATGTTATTTGACAAGATATATTTAATTACTGACTGAATCCATTGTAAATGACCATAAAAATATTGAGTAAAAGACTTTAAACAGCACTTAATCAGGCCTATTGTTCATTTCCCAATTCAGTCACAGTCGTATTCTACCGGTTTTTTTTTTAAGGTACAACTGATTTTTTTGATCAGTTCGTGCCGGAGGCCGTGATAACATGCACTGGCTGTTTTTGTACCCAGGCATGGCTGACGGATTAATACATCTAGATTGCATTCGACTTGCTTCCGGGTGACGTCTAAACACGCTAATCCCTCGTGCATTTTGCACACACACACACAAAGTCTGTGTAGTCTGTGGAGTCAGACTCTGTGCTGACCATTGTGTGGGCCGTTGTGCACGACCTATTGCTGTACAATTAACGCTCCAGTGCACACCCTGAGTATTGAAACATATGAGGGTTCGGCAAGAAATAATATACAAATACTGTTGAAACCACTCTTGTGGATCAGTATTTGTGGCGTTTGGCTGTATCACAGAAGTTGGCTGGAAAAATTTTGCCTTTTGAAAATTTCGAAATTTTCAGCAAAAATAAATCCAGCGCGAAGTGGTTAAGGTAATTCACACATTTTATAAATTCTTCTTGCTATAAACATCCTACCACCGTTGAAATTTTATGTCTGAGGTCACATAACATGAAACGAATAAATTAGTCATAAAAGGTCTGTATATTTGCATGAGTCATGGTGACTTACAAATTAAAATATCACCCACGTACTGCAGCGGTATTTACGGAAAGGGGGGGGGGGCAAAAATGGAGGCGAATTTCGAACATACAAGCGGGGCCTATATTTGCTTTTTTGGGTGACAATTTCTGTATTTGAAGTCATTAAATGAGTAGTTGACAGAAAGATGGGGGGGGGAGATGAGACATACCTCGTAAAAAAAAAAAAAAAATTAAGTGAAAATATAGGGGGAGGCACATGCCGGCTGCGCCCCCCTCTTGATCTGCTACTGTAGTGAGGGAATTTAAGATAAATTTCCTTTTTTGATGCCAACTCCTTCATCTGTACATACATGTAAAATTTAGTAATGTAAATATTTTTTTGCATTCACTATTAAAATGGGATCACTATTGGATAGACATCCAGCACCCATGCATAATAGCTGAATGAAAACAAGGCAGGCACATTATCTTATTTATCTGCATTGGATGTTTCTTATTAAAATGATTTGCGTTCTAAGTTTCATCCCATGGGGAAATGTTTATATGACAGATACATTCAAAAGGGCAATTCCACGGTTACTCGCATTACATTTTCGTAATGTTAGTAACCGATTTTGTGCGTCTTGTTTATCATACATAACGCATTTTTCTGGATGTCATCTTTGGTGCTTAGGTAGGTCTAGGTCTACTCTATCTACCATGGGGATAACAGATATTAAACCTTTTCAGTAAGGTAATTACAGCCCAAGGAAACTCAAAAGTACATCAAAAATGTAACGTGAGTAACCGTGGGATTGCCCTAAACATCCTCTTCTCACTATTATTCAAGAAATGAGTATCACCTCTAAATTCCCTGTAAATAACAAACTGAATATTTCATGAGAAATGTAAACGCTGTAAACTTGAAATTGCAATTTGCAGGTGGGAACTTGTGAACAATGTGTTAAATTATAAGGTTTAAACAATTTTTTTAAAAACTTATTGATATGTTTGTTTTATTTCAGTGTTTTATTTCCACTCCTTTTGTTAAAAGTCTTTATATGATAAAATAATTGAATTGATGTAGTGCATTTCCCATCAGTAACAACAAGGGCGTCAATCACTTCGCAACAGTGAGGGGGACATGTCTTGACAAGAATTGATGCAAAGCGCGATGCCCTAACTGCGTGGGGTTCTGGGCCCGCTTAAGGGCCCCGAAAATTGTTGGATTCTCGACGCTTGTGTGTGGTGCGATCTGAGGCCATTTCTGACTTTAAACAGTTTTATAAGCAAAAGATCGTCATTTAAATATCATTTTGGAGTTTTGGAGTCATTAAATCAGCTAATCTGAGCTATAGAATCATATGTGGGCTACAATTTATATTCAGGGACGAAAAAAGTAGGGGGGACAAACAATATGATACTCCCTCCCCACTTTAAAAAGTGGGGGCGTCCCCCACCGATTGAGGCCAATGAGTAATGATGGGCTTCTGCAGCTATTTTGACGAGGATGGACATAAGTGTGTCTAACTCTCTGATAATGTAAATACGTGTTTGTCTGGATGTGTTTTCTTTTTTTCACGTGGCATTATGTACAGTGAATTACCAGACAATGTTGTCAGTACATTGAATCTGTGAAAATTGTTTTGAGAAACTGATTTCTATTGGAAACTGTCACAGGTTTTGAGCCATGAGGGGTGATGTTAATATTATACCGTTAATTGATTGTATATATTTAACACCCGATTCTGCAAAAAAAAAGAGAGGGCCCTAAAAAATCTGGGTATACAAGTTCTGGAACAAAAATGTTAAAATATGTCCAAATGATTTAATTTATTACAGCTGGTACTTTCTTGCATCGCTTCTGAAGAGTGCTTTGCCGCTGCCCCCCCCCCCCCCCAAGAAAAAAACAAATCCTGGCGACGCCCATGACGATTACACCACTCCCTTCCCACTGTTGATACGGAGTCATGCTTGTAAGCTGTGTTGCACAAGTAGGCGAAATCATATAAATTTGATAAAATCTGCAGTATGTGAAATAAAACAATTGTTTGAAGTACAGTCTGTTGGCAACCTCGTCCCCAGTGCTTACTTTATTTCCAACCGCGTTTCCAATAGTAAACCCTGGATAGGAAACTTTCTTCCTGTATCCTGATTGGATACCGCAATTGGCTAGTAATGGATTTTTATCGTGTACTTGGTGCTATTATTCACAACGTGCAGTACGTGTTTTCGCGATCATTCGTCCACGCCTTCTCGAAAATACTAATTTCCTTTCCAATTTGCTCATATTAATATGAAATATGATGCTGTATGTTGTCTTGATAAGATCGTAACAGTTTGATTTCAAAAATCGTGTTTTCGTAACTCACGCCGTGCTCGCGCTGCTACGAATTGACTCTGTTTTTACCCCAGACACCGCATATAAAACCAAACGCTAATGTGTAACGCATATCCAGGCACCAGACTGTTCCTCATTTGCATACGTGTGCAAAAATCTTGCACATGCAAATGATCCAATACCAGGGTGAGAGAGCAGGTAGTGGTGGGCGCGTACTGCTCAACACCCTGGAGAGGAGGTTGAGTCTGTTGGTTATTATTTTGTTAAAGGTAGAGTCCATCATTTGTAATTTGTGCATTTTGTTCGTTTGAAGCAACAAAAGAGTTCAAAATCTAATGAAGGATACTGAGCAACTAACCTGATGAAGTTTCAGCTAAGCTTCAGCTGTACATTCCGAGAAAAACAGCATTCTAAGATCTCAATTTCAAATCAAAAGTTGCTGAATCATGTTTTGAATTGTTTTGAATTGCAACTATATGCGACGTCGCGCACTGATCCGACGAATTATAACAACCGCGCGCGCGTGTGCGTCGTTCGAATACTTGTGCGCGCTGCGCTGAATAACAAAACGAACTACTAATTTAAATTTTCCTACGGTGCTTCTTAAGAATCACCGTTGGAAATGCCTTCTTTCGTTGATTACTTCAAAATGACAGCTTCCCAGAAAGAATAATTTCACAGGGAGTTTAGTCTCCTTACTATCTTTCAACCAAGTTAGTTTTTCAACAATAATTACGCCAGTTACTTTTCGAATGGCTGCAAATGATGGACTCTACCTTTAAATATTAGCACATTTTTAGTCTAAATGCCTGAACTGGGCCTTCTTTTGTGGCGTATGGATATTCAAGCTTGAGAGACGCGTACCACAAATACCTAGTGCCGCCTCCCCCCAAAAGGAACCATAATTTGCCACTCCCCAAAGAGGTTTTTTTTTTTTCATTAAAACTTAAACCAGAGAGATATGTAGACAACTAGTTTAAACTCAATGTTGCAATAATTCTCATTCCCCATATGGATTTGTGAAATACAAGTAAAAAGATAAGAAAAAGGGGGGAAGAGCCCCCCCCCCCAGCTTCAATTGAGGTCCACCCCACCCCTTTGAATTTGTAGCTGCAAGTTCAGACCTTTGTGGCACCCAATAAAATGCTAGTTCCCCCCCCCCCCCCAAAAAAAATTAAAAATTAAAAAAAATGCCACTGATATGCTCATTCCCGGTGGTAAATAAGGGAATAAATGTGTGCTCGAGAGGTTTTTATCACTCTGTTTAAGACCGCTTATTAGAGTCTTGGTGCTGATAATTACCCGAGCCGGAGGCGAGGGTAATTATCAACACCCAGACTCTAAACGGTCTTAAACAGAGTGATAAATACCGACCGAGCACATATTTATTCCCATTCATAAATACCTTTTCGGTAAAAAAAAATATCAAATAATTCGTTCAAAAAATCCCGATTTTGTTCAACAAGTTCACTTCATGCTTTTTAAAACATCCCTCTAGCAAAATAATGGAGTGTTCAGCTGGCGCGTAAGATGTTAACAACCCTTTTATGGAGATTGACGCGCGCGTAGCATGTTCTGCGCTATGTCGCGCAGAACGCACCTGGTTATGGGGCGTTGCGTTTTGAATTTAGAACTATAAAATTCTGACTCACTGGTAGTGTTGCGCATGCCTTCGTGAGGATTGTGAACGTTCAAGCAATAAAACGGTAAGAGGCACTGGATTTTTAGGAGTCCACATTTTATGTGACACTGAAAAGGTGTTTAAGACCAGCTATATCATCCGTTTAAGACCGGCCACGTGACGGGCTCTCGACCAATAGGAATAGCTAAACTGTCTGAGGTATTTATGAATAAAGTTTTCATATTTTTTTTATTGAAAGACATATTGATTAACAAAAACAGGTTAATGCCAGCTGATTTAATTGTATATTGCTTGTACAGTTATCAGCTGATTTTGAATTTACTTAAAACACTCTGTCTAACTGGGTGTGGTTTCATAGCATATCCGCTCAAAAACACTCAAAAACAGGACACTGAAATAACGTAAACATGGAACAACTTTTCACAGGTCCTGCAAACTTTTATTGGAATACATGTAATCGCATTTGAATTAAAATTTTAAATTAAAACAAAAACAAGATTTTATAACTGTTGTTGGCAAACAACATCAGATTCTATCCATCTACGATTGTTTTTTAATATATCTGAGTTTTTCTTGCGAGGACAAATGCCTTATTTCACCAAATTTTAAACGATCTACCAATTTGATTGGAAAAGCATTTTGGCAAGACTATATCTATTTACTTGAAACATAAAAAGAGTTAAGCCATAAAAGAAATCATGGTAAATGTAAAAGTCACTGCAAATGTTTACGTAATTGTATTATTTTCAAAAGGTCCTGCAAACCTTTATCGGAATAACTGCATTTGAAGGCAAATAACATCAGATTCTCTCAATCCATCTACAATCTTATTGGCTAGCAATTTTGTTAATAATCTGAGTTTTTCTGCGAGGGCAAATGCCTTATTTCACCACATTTTAAACGATCTACAAGTTTGATTGGAAATACATTTTGGCAAGACTATATCTATTTGCCTGAAACATAAAAAAAAGTTCTAACTTTTTTTTATGTTTCAGCTTAAAAGCTTTTTAAAAAATCCTGGTTAATGTAAAATGCATTGCAAATGGTAACATTATTCTACTATTTTAAATAACAATTGGGTTTCCTGTTATACACTAACTACATATTACCAACAATTTACTACGTTATGCTCAATGCTAATTGTATGTGAATTTCAGCAAGTTTGTTTCCAACACAATTAAGACACGAGATAAATTTTATTCCAGATATTCTTTAAGTATGTACAGTTTTCTTAGAAAGGCGAACTAGACTTTGTCATGTCCCTTTGAACAATGCCTGATTTTATACTTGTCTTCCAACTACAAAACAATATATATTTACGTTACAAGCATATATACAGCAACTTCTTTAAAGATAGAATGGACTATTTGTTGTTTGTGCGATTTTTTTTTTTTTTAAATTGAAGCGACAAAAGTCCTCTTGGCTTGTGATTGACTTGTGATTGGCTTGTGATTGATGAGTGATTTACTTGTGATTAACTTGCAACCGACTTGGCAGTTACTTGTGATTGATTTGTGGTCAACTCCATCATGATTAACTTGTGATTGACTTGTGATTGGCTTGTGATTGGCTTGTGATGGACTTGGGATTGACTAGTGATTGACTTGTGAATGTGAAGATCACATTTGTCTGGTAAGAACCAACACTTTAAATCCACAAATCAGGGATCTGCATAACTATTCCATCTGCCAATTCTATCCAAATTAATAGTTCCACATTTACATTTATATAAATATTTAATAATTATATAATTACGATATACAATTTTTTTGTTGAAATTAACAATTTGAGATGTATCTAGGTTTAAAACACAGCTATTAGACATACTGTTAACATATTTTTCATGCAACCCATTCCATTCCAGTTTTTTTTTTTTTTTTTTTTTTATACATTTTTTTTTTTTTTTTTTAATACATTTTTTTTTTTTTTTTTACATTTTTTTTTTTTAAATCATTTATATTTTATTTTTGCCAACACAACTCATTTGGGTAATGGTTGACCATTTGGACCATGTGAAGGCCCACCCTGGCTCGAGGACAAACTCATATCGGACATAGCCAAGACCACTTCGTCACATTCAAAGGATTCGTGGTTGCCTCCGTTTAAAACACATCGGTTATACCGGGCCGATTTTGGAAGGACCTTAAGGTACACCAGACAATTAGCAACAGGCTTATCCGGTTCCCAGTCCTGGCCAATCGTGAAAAATATGACTGGGCGAGGGATTTGGTCGGGTTTACAACTAACACAACAATCCAAGAGGCTTTCCTTGAATTTTTTCTCATCAAAGACCTTCACGATTGTGTCTTTTGGCAACTCCTTGACGTAGCGTTTATGTTTGTGGTCCAAGGAGGTGCTATTTTGCTTGCTGACAAGCTGAAATCCTTCATCGCTGGGCATGGTGGAATAGCAGTAGACGTGGGACCGACAAAAACGTCGGGCACAGATGTCCCCATCTTTGTCGTAAAATATGTGAATCCTGGCCGAGATGAAAACAAAGAAAAGAGGAATTTCTTGGCTAAGCAAGGATGATAATGCTAATTATGAGGGGGCAGTAAAGGAATCTTGGTATTAGCATTGACGCATTTCCAAACCAAGGGCGGATCCAGAACACAATTTTTTTGGGGGGCCAAAAAAAAAATTGGTCCCCCAAAAAAGTGGGTCAAAATTTTTTTTGGATTCTAGATGCTCTGTGGTGCGATCTGAGGCAATTTCTGACCACTTTAACCAATTTTTTTTTGAGGAAAAGATGGTGGTGTACTCATTGCCTGCCTTTATTGCGATGTCACATAAAAAAGAAAACAATTGGGTTTTTTGGGGGGGGGGGGGCCATGGCCCCCTGGATCCGCCCTTGTTTCAAACTAAACAAAAGTTGTCTTTGTAATATGTTGCTCCAGCTCCTTTCAAAATGGGAAGTGATTTTGTTTTTTTAACATCACTCAAGACAACACCAAAGTATAAACAAATACACGTCGGTGAAGGGCAAAACCTGCAATGTTGAATTCAAATCATCCCGCGGAGCATCTTATATGAATAGTTTGGTTACTGTACCCACTACTATATGAGATTAGAAACAGCCAGCCGACCCGGGCAATCTCGGTGGTCGAGTGGTAAGACATCTTCGCTAGTAAGCAGAAGGTCGTGGGTTCAAGTCCCACCTGAGTGATTTTGTTCTCACAATCACTCGGGGGCAACACTGAGTATACAGTTTTTTATAACAAAATTTACGGCGTTGAAGGGCAAAACCCATTATTGAATTCCAAAATTCCTTGGTAAGATCTGAAGGTGTGCATGAGAACTAGTCAGCAATACATGTCAATGTAAGTTTGTGCAGTGTTGCAGTCCAATGGTTACGGTGTTCAACACAGGATCTGTGATACATGGATTTGACCCCAGAGAGGGGCATGGTGTTGTGTCCTTGGGCAAGACACTTAACTACAATTGCCTGTCTCCAACCAGTAGTATAAATGTGACTGGCTCCACAAAAAAGAAACTGAGTTACATGATTGGAAAGCCACAATGTAAGCTTTCATTTGGTATATAATAGAGCTCCATAGCTCCTCCCGTTCTGGAGATATGACATATTTGCATTATATGAATTACTTCCTTGGAGTTAAAATAAGCCATTTGCGAGTTAAATTTGAATAAAATCTGGTATGCTGACTTAATCCAATGGTTTGCACGTTTTAACTTTGCATTCTCCCGACCAAAGACACTGTTTCTATATCACGTGATTTGGGGCAAGCCTTATGCTAGCAACCCCAGCTCCGGCATGGTCTGGTGTCTTTGTGCCATTCTCACCCAGTGTGAACAATATACTGGTGCTGAGCGTCTCTTACGTAACTATGCAAGAGCTTGCCCCGAATCATGTGATTAGCAACAGTGTCTTTGGTCAAAGTTAAAATGTGCAAAGCATTCTGAGCAAGTCAGTGTACCAGATGTTTATCAAATGTAAATCCCAAAGGGTGTAGGTTACTCGCAAATGGCTTATTACACAACTGAGAAAACAGGCTTTGAAATAGCTGGCTTCGATGTAGAACAGAATGATGCACACAAAATGGTTGTATTTTCCACTTTGTTCATCAAAATCATCATTTCTGTGAATGAAACCTGAAACTGTAGGTAATAAAGATGTCATTCATGACAAAAACTTAAAATCACTTTTTGACATATTTTTACCCTCTCAATGTTGAGCAGGCCATTGTACAGTGCGACTTAATACCCTTTTTCTGTGGAGCCGGTCACAAATGGGTACCTGTGAAGGTAGAGACCAGCTTGCACTGATCTAAAGCTGCTGCTGCAAAAACAATTGTCTCACATAGCCTGATGTGCAGGGGTACTGATTGTAAAATGCTTTGAGATCTTTGGTATAAAGTGCTATATTAACACCACACGTAATATTATACATTCTACAAATAAGGCCCCAAAAAAAATAGTCGGTCTCTGGTCAGACCGAAGTTCCGGAATTGATGCGGCGACGCGGTTTTTTTTTTTTTTGGTGGCTTTTTTTTTTCAAGCTTGAATTGTACAGACAAGGTGGGTACTATTATCTCATCATTATACATTGGTGTCCTCCATAATTTGCCTAGGTGCCCTTTATCATTTGCCTTGGTGCAATTTCCCAATTCCTTGGTGCTCCTTGGTACAAAAATTTGAGGAGGTGCGGCAATAGAGAGCGCTGTTATAGCTTCCGTGTTAATTTGAAGAAAAACAAGGTTGACGCGGATGATTAAAATCGACGCGCGCTGACCAGAGAACGAGTATTATTTTTTTTTTGGCCTAAACATTTACCACAAATTCTTACCCTTTGGCCAGTGCATCCAACAACTTTCTTGTGGCTTCTGCCTGACTATCCGTCAGTTTGACTTTCTTGTCCAGTTCTGGGAACTCGATTTCGGTGACATCAGGGCTGGTGTCTCCAAAAGTCCACGGTTTCTTGTGGAACACCAGACATCCGTTGCGACTGTTGACCTCCAGGGGGCATTCCCGCAGCGCTTGCGACTGGAAGTACAGTTGGATATTGAGCTGCTTTGCTGTAAAGAAAAGAGAACAAAACTGAAACGGATATTCTCAAAGGTTCAACTGCGAAATGTTGAGTGCACTTTGCTGGGCCGTTATTAGCCAGTTCGCGCCGGAGGCCGTGACAACACGCACTGGCTGTTTTTGTGCACAGGCACGGCTGACGGGTTAAAATGTCAAGATTGCATTGCCTCCAGGTGACGTCTAAAAACACTAATCCCTCGTATCTCTTGTACCAGAGTTGCTGACTCGAGTCATGTGACTTGGACTCGAGTCGGACTCGAGTCGCTATTTTTGTGACTTGTGACTTGACTTGTAAATACCAGCTTTGACTTGTGACTTGACTTGGACTTGCAAACAATGACTTGCGACTTGACTTGGGATTGCAAAAAATGACTTGTTACCAACCCAAGTCAGACGCTACTCGAGCGACCCAATACACTTTAATTAAGCTATTATAGGCCAAAAAAAAAAGTCTCCATTTTCTGGTATGCGCGCGCGTCGCCGTAGCCATGCGCGTCGGCAAAATGAAAAAGGTTTTTTTTCAATAAAAGATGATGTCTCAAAACCGCCAAACTCACTGGTTTGTCTGGAATCCTGCTGCTGCACAATTTTAACGTGTTTTTAGATGGGGTTATGATCGAGAATAAGCTTTATGTGGCCTCTCTGGACTCCCATATATTTGTACTAAGTTTAGTCGGGCACCATTTGCAGTCATCAGTCGACATTTGAAGCAAAAAAGTCGGGTAAAAAAACAAAAAGCCGCGTCGCCATACCACTTTTTGGACAAGCTCCATACCAGAAACCGGAGACTTTTTTGGGGGGCCATACTTTTAATTAGCTTTTTCATTCCAGAAAATAGACCTCAGTGACTGAATCCAGTAAAATGAATAGTTCCCACTAGTTTCAAAAGTTTTCAATAAGACTGTCACAACAAACTACAGTTTTCAATGACCAATTGTCTCTTGCTTAATGTATTGGTTGAACAAACTTTGAAAGGAACCTTTCTTTAAAAGAAATCAGGCCTTTGTCAATTGCATGTAAAATACTGGATAGCCTTACCCATTAGTAGGCGTTTAGTATACATGAAAATTGAACAATAAAGTGTTAGTATACTACATGTAATTGAGTGAGTGAAGTCTTTTTTTCACGGTCATCTTAGCCTTGACCAAGGCGTTGGGCTTATCGATTCGCCGATAAAAAAAAATCGCCGATAAGAAAATCCCTAATCAACTTGGCAAAGCATAATTGCGTGCACATATCGAAGCCCGTACGCTGCTAGTGAGAAAGTAACTTGTACCATACAGCAAGGCTATGCTTGTAAAATACGTGCGCACGTACATGTACATCACACACGTACTCGTACAACAGCCATGCACACACAGTACCGTACATGTACATGTACATGTACAGTACATGCATGAGCTAGTCCGCGTAACCCAACGCCTTGATGGTTTTGAGTTGACCCAGCAAAACCTATTATGGTAATGAGGTACCACCCCCGCGTATATACTGAATTCTCATTGGTCAGCCCGCGATAGGCTAACAAACACGTCGCATCCGCGAAGAAACGCTGCAATGGCGGCCCGTTGCTGTGGGTGAAAGTCGTTCAGTCCCAGTCTGTCCGAAGCAGTATTGAAGGCTCCAACGAATTCTGCAGGTAATGCTGTCATTAGACGATCGTTGCCCACTCAAATGGATTCATTACACGAGCCGAAAAACTCGAATCAATGTCAAATTGTTGAAAAAGTGATGACCATGGCGCTCTCGCTAAAAAGACATGGAAGACGCCATGATGACAAATGCATTATGCATGTCGCGCGACGTCACATGATTCTTGTGAAGCTTACGATTGGTCAGCTTAAAAATGAATTAATCATACTATTGGGAAGGTTGTTTCATGTGATTGGTCCAAGACGAACCTACATAATCATCACGGCATACCCGCATACCTGAAGCCCGCCCATTTTTTTCCAAAACTGGACGAAAAAGTAAAGAAAGACATTAAACCCGGAAGTTGCAGACCCAACAAGGCGGTCGTTCGACAGGCCACGCGGCGCGTATATCCCCCACACGTACGTACGTACACCCACACGCAGAACATAGTAGGCCTACATTTACTGCCTTATTACACCATGCGTACAGTCCGTACTCACGTGTTTGTGCTTGCTGGTTGTGTTAGTACCAAACCGTTCGTACGGACAAGGGTCGGTGGTACGGTACACGCACGGACAAGGGTCGGTGGTACACGCACGTAGCCGCGTTGATTGTGGGTGCTAGGGCCCGATTATCTTCCTTCGACAAAAAGCCGAGAGACCGCATTGAACAAGGCTACGGTCATCTCAACATTTATTTCTACAATGTAAAGTAAATTTATTAAAGTATACAAAAGGCTTATATCCGACAGATATGTGATAAACTACAAGAATGGTAATTGCAACACATTGAAAAAGGGGAATTAAGGAGGCATGTTCAAAATAACTCGTAAGTTGACGCCAGGTTAATTCTTATAGCTTATTACAGCTGTACAAAATAATGTGCAACTTGACGTGTTCTTGGACAAAGATACTTGTGACTTGACTTGTTTTTAGACCAAATGACTTGTGACTTGACTTGTGACTGGACCTAATGACTTGTGAATTGACTTGTGACTGGACCTAATGACTTGTGACTTGACTTGGACTTGCAAACAATGACTTGTGACTTGACTTGGACTTGCAAAAAATGACTTGCTGCCACCTCTGTCTTGTACACACACACAAGGTCCATGTATTCTGTGGAGGCGGACCGTGTGTTGACCATTGTGTGGGCCATTGTGCATGGCCTACTTTTAAACAATTAATTTATACTCCAGTGCACACCCCATAGAATATAGAAACACATGAGGTTTTGACAAGAAATATCGTACAAATACTGTTGAAATGACTTTTGCCAATCTGAATGTATGGCGTTTTATATCAGAAGTTGTTTCTGGGACATTTCGCTTTTTGACAATTTTGACATTTTTGGCAAAAATAAACTCAGCGCCACTAGATACATGCACTCACCATCAGGCTCTTCACCGATTCCTACAATGTCTGAGGTTTTGGTCTTCTTGGCATCTGTTTCCAGTGATGACAACTGGTTAGCGTCCTTCTTGGACTTGGCGCCGGCCTGACGGTTTTTTTTAGGCTTTCTCGGCTTGGGCCTTTTGGTCTTGGTTTTCTCTGGAGGATTCTCGTTGGTTTCTGAGGTGGAGCTAGTGGGGTTGCAGATGGGAGAGGCTGCCATGGTGGTTCCCATGGCAGCATCCGTGGGGGGGTTTGAAGGGCTCAGCTGAGCCTCGCGGGTTGTCGTGGACTGCGAAATGTGATTGGCCATCACGGTGGCGGGTACGGTCGCCAATGGCATTCCTGCAGCTGCTGCTGAGCTTCGTGGTAAAGCAACCTGATTGGTTGATGCTGTTACCATGGTATTAGAGAAACCAGCAAGTGGTGGAGCTGGATTGGTTGGAACTGCTGTCGCCATGGTAACACCTGGATTATTTGGGCACTCATTTGGATCACCAAGTGGTAGACCATCAGTGTGCTGTCCATCTGCTGCAATTGATTAAAATGTATACATTTCTAATTGGAAGAGATCATTATGCACTATACACACATATAAAAACAAAATTGATTTTGTTTTTTTGTAAATGCACCACAATAGACAACTTAAAAATAATCCCAAAATTAAATTATGAATAGACAAACCTTCTAGTTGTCTAAGAAGAGAATCATATGACGTTTCAGTAACATCAGCCGCCGAGCTTCCATTGAGAAGGGCGTTCAAATCATCCATGGTGAAAGTCACTGTCAACAACAACAAAGAAATCAAAGGACAAGAAGTTACAAATACCACAGACATTTCTTTACCATTATTATTCTTATTATCTATTTCTGGTGAAGAACCAAAGGACTCCTCAAGGCTGAAAAGCGCCCCTGGCACTGTGGCTCGCAAGCACCTGTAGAGAGAAGGCAATTAGAAGAAATTACAGTTTTAGGGGTGGGAGGACAACCCCAGAAGACTAGGAATGCCATGTCACGGTTCATTTGAATAGCTTGTGACTTGACTTCAGACAAGACAAATCGTCACATAATTGCGGGTGAATTAACTGAGAGGATTTGTGAGGCCACAGGCAAGATTGCTCTGAAATTATAAGTGGAGTGTCATGGCCGAGCGGTTAAGAGCAACGGACTCAAGCTCTGGTGTTTCTGATCAGCAGAGTGTGGGTTCAAGTCCCGGTCTTGACACCTGTGTCCTTAAGCAAGGCACTTAACCATTACTGATTCCTCCTTCCGATGGGACGTAAAAAAAATCTGTCTAAATACCTTGATTAGCTTGATCCTGGCAAGGTGGTGACTGGAACTGCGGATGATTGACATCCTGTGGAGGTGGCAACTGGCTGGCCGGTGCCTGCAACACTTGTGCCAGCAGCTGCTGCTGCTGTTGCTGTTGCTGCAGCTGCTGCAGCTGCTGCAGCTGCTGCAACAGCTGCTGCTGCTCCTGTTGGTGTTGTTGTTGTTGTGGTTGTTGTTGTGGTTGTTGTAGTTGTTGTTGTTGTTGTTGCTGCTGCTGCTGCTGCTGCTGTTGCTGAAGAGGATTCAAGTCAGAGGTCACCTGAAAGCTCGGCCTCATATAATCCTCTTGTTGTGCCACCTGCGCCGTCTGTGGATAAGTCGTCACATTTGGCAAAAGCTCCGGGACTGGTACCTGATGTGCTTGAGGCATCTGGAGCATGGGCTGAGGATTCTGCACCAGACCATTGCCCAGTTGCACCCATTGAGCCATCGCTGCCGCTTCAGTATACGTTGGAGGCTGCATCATCAACTGCGTTTGAAGAGGATTGTAATTTTGGTGCAAGCCCAGTTCTGGGACAACCGTCTGAGTTTCGCTGCCCTGAAATAGCATCACATTTAAAAGTGAAACTTTTAACGTTTCACTAAAAATGTAACTGTCAGCCAAATCCAGACGATTAACTGAATTAATATCTTCACTTTCATTTGTCATTTCAAAAAGCACAATAAAGTCTTCAATGAATATGACACACAGATCAACAAATTTTTAAGTGTCCTATAGGCCTTTCTTTTGTTTGTAAACATTGGCGCCATTTTGTATGGGCTGCCGTAAGCGCATAAATTGAAGCCGTGGTTGGCAACATATTTTTCCAAAAAAGTCCTCATAACGCCATCAACACATAGTAAAAAGACATATGTAGGAATTATTTTGTATCTTTGTGGAAAATGTTTTATTTTCAAGCATCAAATAATGTTTTGGTGATCTGTAATAACTCTTCTTCATTTTTGCAGTGTTGGACCTTCCATAGTTTTGCAGGCTGTGGTTGGCAAAAATGCAGTTTGCCAACCAAGCGCAGAAAGGTCTACACAGATTTAGTTTGCAAACTAAACTCATACTGAAATGAGCAAACGTAGCACATAACTTTTCTTTATGAGTAACCTTATGTTTTTTTCTCTTCCACTTAGGTACCCTGTTAAAGACTGAGCAATTTTGTCTGGGGGCTGGTCCATGAATTTTCAAAAAAATTTGAAAGATACAAAATTAGTTTTGGCATTGACAAACTATTATTGATGACATCATGAAACTTGCTTCACTTTCGCTCCCACGTGAAGTGTTAATCAACTGGAAGATAAAGAAATTTGTGGCTGAAAATTACCTGCTGATCTTGAGGCACGTAGCCGTCCATTTCTCTTTGGCAGTGGACTTTGATGAAGAGCAACTAGTTGATTTTGAATGTAGAAGAGATGTCCGCTGCCAGTAATACTGTTGGATATTAGAACAAAACAATTAAATTTGTAGCGTTCGGAATGTCAGTTTTCTATTTGAACAAATCTTTTAACATCTTATTCAACATCAGTATATTTAGCACTAGTGGGTCTGTATATCGGTCTGACTTGGCCTGGGCCAATTACGCACAATGAACCATTTGCGGTATGGCCGTATTCGGAATACAAGTACTTGTACTCGTACTCGTTGTACAAGTACTCGTACTCGGAGACCTGAACTTGTACTCGGAAGTGCAAGTACTCGTACTTGTACTCAGTAACCTAAGGTTTCGGCAGTACTCGGTACTTGGAAAAGAGTACTCGACTACAACACTGATCGTAACCACATCTAAAAACACGTTAAAATTTAGCCCGAAAATTTGGGACTCTCAATACTGTGTATGGTTAAAATTGCACAGCAGCAGAATTCCCGTCAAACCAGTGAGTTTGGCAGAATTAAGACATCATCTAACATTGAATATTTTTTTTAAAAGACATTTTTTTTGGCCTAACCCATATTATAAAATGGAAAGAATGTTGCAACCTGACGCTGCTTTTTTCCTTCATATATCATCTCAAGACATGAATCTGGGACTGAGAAACATTTCCAATTTTGTTAGGAAATAACTTAGACAATTTTCTTGACTCTCCGTAGCCCCACTAGTGTGGCCGCGGTATGCTGCGCTGAACCTCTGGAGCGCAGTATACCGTGGCCACACTAGTGGGGCTAGACTCTCCGTAGACTTTGTACACAACCGCTGAAGTAGCGTCAGGTTGCAACATTCTTTCCGCTAAGGGGAATTTGGCAGAATACAGCTGCCGTAACGATGGCCACTACGATTAATATGAATTTTTGACTGACTTACGTTTTAAGACAATTTTCACAATTAAACATTTTGCTTTTAAACAACTAGGCCTACTTACAGAAAATTCTAAAAAGTATTAAACAACCATCACAATAGCGTCGTCGAGATGCTGAAGTCTTACCCCCCCCCCCCCAACAATCCAGTAACTGATATAATTATGTATATCAAAACTTTACCAGTTAGCAGTTAGGCCTACCTATTTATGCGGCCAAAAGGTTTGGCCCACCACTTCCGACCACAAAGGCAAAGCACAAGAATTTGATACGACTTCGTGATGTCCACGTCTTTCTTGCTTAGCTGAGCATCAACCAACTGCGCAGCGTATTTTCAGTTTCACTTTGGACACTGTAATTGTAAACCACACATCATCGGGTATTTCTGAGCTAAATTTAGCAGATTCTCTCATAATTATTTGAAGTGATGGGGAAAAACAATAGAACGTCTGATCCTTCTTTGGAAATACCCTGTTTTTCTGTGATAGTAGACAAACGTACAGTTCGCACCAGTTCAATCAATATGGTTTGTACTACAGGCTCGAAAACAATCGCTTCAGGGATTCCCAGAAAATATTGGTGGCGCCCTGGACATTCCAAAAACGTGAATGTTGGGGATTCCCCTAGTTCTAATTCTGGGGATATTTGTTTTGTATTCAGATATACATAGCTCATGCATTGAGTGAAAATAGTCCCTTCTGTGAGTATGCAGCATAATGTAGCGCGATATGTGACAGAGGGAACCCCCTCTTTTGTGTTGGTCATTGTGTTACCAGAATCTCAGGAATTCTTTTCAGATATCTAGGGGGATGTGTTAGGTAACAATAGTCTAGGGTTTGCACAGGGGGTTGGGGGCACCCCTAGTATCGTGCTGGCTATTGTATACAGACTCAATCGATGAAAAAAAAACGAAAATGCAACAAAAGAGTCATTTTCTAAAAATAGCGAGGGGCTTTTTTTGTTGGAAATATGCATAAGCTTAAAGAAAATAGGAAGGGAATGCATGTATCCCCAATTCTGAATTAGTCCCCAAAACAAAAAGTGAAAATGAAAAATTTAAAAAAGGGGCCTAAATCGATGTCTCTTGAAAATCTTGGAGAGTTGTGAATTTTTCTTTCTTTCTCATTCCAGTGAATGTATGCAACCCCCATGGGCGTCGCCAGGATTTTTTTCGGGGGAGGGGGGCAAAGCAAATTTTCGCTAGCATATTCTCGTTTAATTTCTGTTCATTTTTTTTTTAGGGGGGGGGGTTAATTCAAAAATACATGAACTTTGGGAGAAATTTCCACCCAAAGATGATTACCCCCTAAAAGTAATGGTGAAGCCCATCACCATCTTGAAAAAAAGATGCCTGCACTCCATTGCAAAATAGACAAATTTTAGGGCCCATGCTTTTCCATCAAACTAACACAGAAATACCGAAGCTTGCAGTCAAGAAAATTTGACGGCATACAAATTGTGATTTGGCCCGCGTAGCCAATTTTGGGCTTATTTACAGTCATACATCCTTAATACAAAGTCTTGATTTCAAGTTAACCCCACCCCCTTAATATTTAAAAGTATAAACGAAGAAATCGAAGATATTTAATAATTATTTATTCAAAGCCCTTTTTTGTTAATAGCCATGACCCCCTTCAAAACGGCCAACAAGCCGCCTACAGTATTTCCTATCGGAAAAAAGAAAAGAAAATCGGGGTCATCCTTTCCGCTGGAAATAGTCGGGGGATATAACAGAACGTTATGGCAACTGTAGAAGGTAGAAACACAAAAGTGTCAACACCGATCTCCAGGAAACACAGTAAGGAAATACAAATGGCTTGTTTTATGTTTTGCGCGAGACAGTATCCCCGTCAACATTTCCCAAACTGGCCTGGAAAATGTGTTCCTGGAAGTACTAATTGTTTCCTCGGATTTCCAGAGCGACTAAAACCAAGTTGGCCCCGTTAAGGCATTTTGGCACACATTCAAGAGTATGGTCATGAGACATTTTTTTGGCTATATAGGGCCATCGCAGATTTGTCCTTTGACCAAAAAATATAGGTATAGAGTAACAAGCAATTTTCAAAATTTTCAAAATGGCTGCCATTTCTTGTTATTCTACCTATATTTTGTTTTCAAAGGACAACATCTGCGATGGCCCTATAGCCAAATATCTTTCTCCTGACATACTCTGACTGTGTGCCAAATGCCACGTTTGTATCATCAAAGGCACAATTCCCCTAAATATTTCCCCTATCTGCCCCACTAAACTGGGCCTACGTTCTCACTTTTGTTTCGCTGGATGGACTATGGAGGATATTGTGGTAATAAAATCATAAGTCGATTTCTAACTGTTAAAGAGTGATAAACCACTCAAAAAGAGTTCTCCCGTATGGCTCTTTAAAAAGAGTGGAAGTTAATATCGTTTCGGTTTGCGGGAACACCATGTGGTAATAACTACTGCTTAGAAGATATTAGTTCTGAAAAGAACTTGTCCTGCTTATTATCAACTTTGCTAAGTAGTATTTGTGTTCTGTTAAGAACAGTCCTGCTGTAAGTTCTAAAAGAATTAAGTTCTTTTAGAAGATATTAGTTCTGAAAAGAACTTGTCCTGCTTATTATCAACTTTGCTAAGTAGTATTTTTGTTCTGTTAAGAACAGTCCTGCTGTAAGTTCTAAAAGAACTAAGTTCTTTCTTTTAGAACTTACAGCAGGACTGTTCTTAACAGAACAAAAATACTACTTAGCAAAGTTGATAATAAGCAGGACAAGTTCTTTTCAGAACTAATATCTTCTAATCAGTAGTTATTACCACATGGTGTTACCGCAAACCGAAACGATACCGATACCCCACCATGCAAAGCCTCAAATCTTATAGTGGAAGTTAATGTTTCTCACTATGGGCCATAGTGGGGAAAACCTCGAAAAGATGCAAACTTCAATCTAAAAGAGTGAAAAACTACTCGAAAAGAGTTGTCCCCCATAGGCTATTGGCTCTAAAAAGTGGTGTTTTTTTTTTTACTCTTTCACATTTAGAGAGGCCAGCCATCGCGGGTGCAACATTATTCAGGGTTGTACAGTTTTTAGTCATGCATTGCGAAATTTAAAGGGGAAAAGATTTGCTGTTGTTTCGGAATTCCCCGTCTCTTGATTTCGCAAGTTTAGCTCTAACATTTTGTAGTCGAAATGTAACAAAGGAATTCACAAATTTTTAATGAGTCATCATCAGATTCTATCTACACTAACACAAATTAATTTAAAGGGATCATGCAAAGTAATTATTTGAAATGCAATCCTTGAAAATGCACCTTAATTTGTATTTCATTAATCTTCGATTTTCGTTTTGCTATTTGCAAGGGTATTTTCAGTGGTGTTTTTTTTTTGTTTTTTGTTTTGTTTTTATGCTGATGCGAATTTCCATATTCATGAGCAAAAGTGTGATGTCATTTCAGGCAGAAACCTCAATGTTGCAGCTATTTCAGCACCAAAGTGGCCAGAATTGTGGCTATTTTCCTGTCATTAATTTTCTTTTCTGTGGTGATTCGTTGTGGTGTATAGTACAAGGCAGTGAGCAAACTTTTCACACAGATTGTTCAATTAGCACATTGTTGGGTTCACGATTTGAACAGAAAAACCCCTAAACTGAACTTCCTGAAATGACATCACAGCAACAGCGCCCTCAGTTGTCCGGGAAAGCATGGAAACAACTAATGTTTGAAGAAGTGCACTTTTTAATCCAATTAACCAAAAAGGGATGTCAAATAGTTTTCATACATTTAAGAGGAGTAGAAAATTGCCCAAAATATGTTTCTAGGAAAAATTCATTTCACGGACCCTTAAACTAAACCTTAATGGGGCACGAATCGAAGTATATAATACTCTATATTGTTAACATACAGTTTTACACTGAAAAAAAAACTAGGTATCAGAACACACTTTATTTCTGTACAAATAACTGATCTTTAATGGCCAGCATCATCCGTTTCTAATACAAAACAATCACTTGATAAATAAAAGAATATTAAATCAATTCAGAAATAAGGATTAAATAATATCTATAAAGGCATATCAGGCAATGTATAGGCATAGCTGTTGCGTGCGTTCAAACGGTTAAAATTCGAGGTTATGTTCGCTTGATTTTGTTGGCATAGAAAGAAATTATTTACATCAGTATAAAAAAAACCAGCAAGATAACTGCGTATAAAAAAGACCACCGTGTAAATGATGCAGAAAAATAGGTATTTACAAAAGTCCACTCATTGGATCATTTACATATCAGTTTGTAGAAATATTTGTAAAAAAAATATTTACAGGTTTTGTTCCTTGCAAAGTTATTATGATGTCTCATTGAATTCGGTGTACTAAGACTGCTTACGACACCAGACTGTATAAGGAACTCGCAACAGGAATGGTAAAATGGAGTCGGCAATTGTCTGCGATGATGTCAGCGACTGTCAGGGAATGTCTGTGATTGATAAGGATTACCCGCTCCAAAACCACCGTTTTATAGTGACGTAACAAGGCAAAGCAGATGGTTAGGTGTTCCAACTTAAACAAAAAATGTTGACAAGAGAGTAGCCTAATGGATATTGCAACAATTAAGTCACAAAAAGATTAATTATATATAGCCAGTGAATGATTGAAACGAAAGCACCACACACAAGCGACAAGCTAATTATGAACAGCGCCATCATCAGTCATTTTTGGGTAACCAAGGCCCGATTTTTTTGATTCTGCGAATATTTTGATGTCTTCACAGAGCTACCGTGAAAATTCTGTGAGCGCCGTGCGAAGAAGCCAACATTCCTTGCTAACAGCTTTTAGTGAAGATCAAGGTATAGAATAATCCGGGCACGGTGTCAATTCTATCACGAAGGCCCCCTTCAATGGCGAAAACAATGCTTTGCACAATAGCGTGCACAGTGGTTTCTCCATTGAAGGGGGCCCACGTACAGCTGTGATCACGTGCCGGATTTGTCTACAGCAGAGCCTTGAAATAGGGCCCAAGTACGGTATCCGTTTGCATCAGAAACTGACCGGCACATTCGATTTATGCATTTTCATATTTTCCTGAGCTAAGTCTTTCCAGTAAACCTTATTGGCCTCAGCGAGTATATAGGTCTATATCTACAAAGCTATAATACATACTTCTAAAATACAAAAAAAAATGTACAGCTACAGTTTCTGAGGTCAAGGTTCATTGATTTTTTTTAGGGGGGAGGGGGTGGGATGTTACACCACAGCACTCGATCTGCGGCAGCTCTGGGCCAAATCGTTCCACGAGTTGCCGAAGGGCGAGGCACAGTCCGACCCCGCCCCTGAGATCTGCAGCAAACCGCTGTGGATGCTTCCCGGCAAGGAGTGGGCATCCGGGCTGATGGTGCGCAGCTCCTCGGACGCCCTCAGCGGCGTGACCACGATGGAGATGAGGCAGGCGTGGAGGGACATGTCCAGTGCGCTCCACTTCTGCGCCACGGTGAAGTAGATCTTGGGCACCATCGGCGGCGCGTCCTCCCCGAGCAGGTAGCGGCGCAGCTGGTCGTGGAACTGGTCCAGATCGAAGACTTTGACCTCCATGTCTCGCTCCAGCTTCGTCGGCTTCTCGTTGGCGTTCGGGGAGCACCAGAAGACGACACTGCGACAGCGCCGCGTGACGTAGATGTTGCCGTGACGACACTCCAGGCTCATTCTACACATACGGGAGAGGAAGACGGCCACTTTTGATTTTTGGTCCCAATTTTGTTAGGAGCTAGAAAGGCAGCTGAGCTGCTGGGGTTCATTGAGAAAGGTGTGCACTTTGTGGTAAAAGCATGAAACTTGGCATGCAGGGCTGCATTAGATCTTGGATCTTGCGTATTTGGGAGGTGGAGCTTGATGTTTTAAAAAGCGGTGTACACAATTAAATTCAGAGAAACTGAAGTTTTTGTTCACGTCTGAAATAAATATAGACATGAGATAATACATCTTAACCTTTAAAACGCCTGTTATTTCCCCCATTTTGTAGGCGTTGCCAGAATTAGTAAATTAAGTCATGCCGGCTATATCCTCCAACAGCTTATAAATAAAATCGTGGACTTTATTTATATGCAATTGGACAGATGACCTCATTCGAGTTCTTTGCGTAAAAAAATGAAATAAATATAAAAATAAAATGTATAAACCAATTAAAATAAGACATACAATACAATGGCGGAATTGTCAGGGTACGGTCGGCTAACCACGCCCTTCCTTATGACTAATATAAATTATTTACATTTTTTTAATTTTATTTGCAATTACTATATTAACAAAAAAATCTCAAACTTCTTTTCTTGAAATAACGTCATACAATAATAAAGGGCCATGTAATGTAATTGTTCTAATGTCATCATTGAAAATGCACATTTGTGTCCCATTTAACCTTATTTTCAATTTTCGTTTTTTCCCTTTCTAAGGGCATTTGGTTCATTTTTAGATTTTATGCTAATGCTAATTTCCATATTCATGAGCAAAAGTGTGATGTCAGCTATTTCAGCACCAAAATTTGCCAGAATTTTGGATATTTTGCTGTCGTACATTTTTCTTTTTTTGGGTGATTCGCTGTTGTTTCGGTACATAACAGTAAGCCATTGAGCAAAGTTTTCTCACAAATGTTTTCAGTGAGCAAATTTTGGGTTCACGATTTGAACAGAAAACCCCTAAACTAAACAGCGTCTTCCTGAAATGACATCGCAGCAACAGCGCCCTCATTTGTTGGGAGAAGCATGGAACATTTTCAATTTTTTAAAAAGTGCACTTTTCAATAAGATTTTTTAAATTTTTAAAAGGTGCACGTTTCAATAAGATTAACCAAAATGGGATGTAAAATAGTTTTTATTCATTTAAGAGGAGTAGAAAGCTGCACAAAAAATATGTTTCCAAGTAAATTTCATGCCATGGCCCTTTAAGAAAACATTTTTTTTTAACACCTCGGTAAAATCCCTTTAAAAACTCTGGATCCGCCACTGCGATGTACGCCCATAAACTCAAATGAGAGTATTATTAACGAAAAATTAGCAAATCAAATAAATGAAATGAAAACTAAAATGGACAAAAACAAATACAAATGAACGAATACAAATGAATGCAAACAGAAAATTCTAAATTCTAAAATTCTACAACTAAAATGATGGACCAAAATAATAAACACAATGGTACATGAAAAAAAACTACAAAAATAACAACTCAACGAATACAAATGAATATAATGAAGAAAAAAAATCTAAAACTAAAATGGGTGACAAAATAATGAACACAATGGTACATTAAACTATAACAAAAAAAAATAACTCGAAAGCAAAATATGAAAACGGACACGCATGTGGACGTCAAACGATATAAAAATAACATCATGGCAACATGCAATGTAATTTTCAAATCTAATCAAGTTTAGAACTATGCTGTCAAAGATGTGTTTGGAGTTTAAAAACATTTCTAAATATTTAATAATTGTACCAACTTTTTGTGTTTGGAACATGTTCAGACTTGTGAATGTCCACAACATGCTTGGGTACAAGCCTGTTAGCACCATCAAGTATAAATTAAAAGAGTTAAAGGGTTCAGGTCGAATGACAGGCCAAATAAACAATTTTGTCATTCTGTTTTATAACCTGTCTCAGTACTAAACACGAATTTTTAATTATAAGTTTGACTTTTGTATCAGTTATTATAGATGGCACTACCAGGCAGACTTTTGTATATTTTCGTCTTGCACAAAATGTAAACATGTCTTAAGACTAAAGAAGTGGGTACAAAAAGCGTTTAAACTCCAAGCAACAATTTGGCACACTCTTCAATAATCTGTGGTGTGTTCTTGTCATACCCTCGCTCGAAGCAGCCGAGGACCTGGGCCGTCAGACGTGCCTGGTTCTCGGTCATGTCAGGGTGGGCGGGCACCGTTCCAATCTCAGGCAGGTGGATGGGCTCCATCCCCCGCTGAATCCCTTCCTCCCACGGCTGGTTGAAGTACAATACGCAGCCGTTGGGGTTATCCACGCACCGGTAGCCGGCGTCGGTGGACCGGTACGAGATCTGGATGGACATGACGTGCTCTGGGTAGAACGAGAGGGAAAGAGAAATGGAGGAAAAGGAAGGAGTTGGATTTAAGAAACTTGTTGGTACATTGCTAAAACTGAGAACCTGTCGATAATCATTAACCCCGCCCCGTGCATGCATTATGCTTTGACCAAGTCCGTCGTGCGTGTGCTTGCGTACGACGCGCGCGTCTGACACAATGCAGTGTGTCATTGGTTGCCCACGTGCGTGTGGGCGGTGCATAATGAATCGGTACGTCTATCCCATAGAGCTATATTAAATATAGCTCATATGGTCTATCCGGTTCGTTAGTGACTTCGTCATACACGCGCGCGCACCACTGATTACTAGCGCCCATTGGCTAAACGCTCAAGTTGCGTTAACTTCCGTTTCCATTGGTTCCAGTGCTACTTACGTGCAATGGGCGTGGTTTAAACTAAGTGACTTCACACCAACGAACTGGATTATCAAAATGGTGTGCATTTAATACACCATTTCAAAGATGTCAATTTTTTGATGAGTTCAAAGGGAAAGTCGATATATTTCACGGAGCTAATCACAGACATTTTAAGTGCGGAATAACTTGCTTTGTCAAAACTAGTTCTCATCTAAAAATACGCAATGTTCACCCTTAAGCCCCGCCCACTGCGCACGTGGGGAAACAACATGTGCGCATCTCCAACCAATGCCCTGCAACTTCCAACCGGCGCGCATTATTTACGCGCGTGTACGTTTGTGCACGCGCACGCGTGCCGGACATGAATTGCAGTTGTGATTGGTCAGATCATTGAGGGGCGGGGCTTAAAATGGATCGGTCATCTAGGAGCTCAACGTAAATGGATCCAGGTGCCCTGCATGCAAAACACTTTATGTGTAACACGGTGTGGAATCTATATTAAGCCACTTCATAGTTTGCCAGTTCATAGTAACGAGGTTCTACATTTTCTAAGTGTTGACAGCGAACGGTTATAATGGGTACCAGTATGAAGTAAGGAACCACACATGTGCCCCTCCATAGCACCCTGCAATCGTTTCAAATAGGTTCCTTTTTTTCTAGTTTGCCAACTTTTATAACGATGTGTACCAGGCGCGCCCGTGCACGAAACATTACAACGATGGTATCTCCATATTCGGCACACCTGCGTTGCAAAAGGCCTCCAATTGTAGAAAATAAGATTAGAATGTGGGGAAATTGGCAATTATCCTTTAATTACGGTCGAGTCAGGAAACGGCTGCTTTATTTTGCCTCGCCGTGCCACTTCCACTATTGCACCGTATCAAATTGGCCCCAGAAATATAACCCATGGTATTCTTCGAATACGGACAAGCGCTGTATTTTTTTTTATTTGCGTAGCGGTTTGGATGGGCGTTCCCGGCAAATTCTTTCCCGATGCTGTGGCCCTTGACATCTTTTAAGATATTTCTCCCCCTCAAATACGATTCATGCCAAGTTTTTCTCGTCATTGAACGTCAGAGGCGCTCCCAATGCTTTCCGCACTTCGGAGCAGATTTAGAACTACCTCGGCTAATTTTAGCCCAGGTAATAACCCGTTATAAGTGTCCCCGAATTTTTTTGATTCACCCTTCCCTCAAAAAGTTTGAGATACAAATTAACTTTCAAAGGCTGAGCCCTTGACTTCTAGTAGCAAGAGATCATCTGGTAGTATTTATTGTCATCCTATACGTAAACGTGTTTGTTAATGACGGTATTCCTACTGTCGTATTGAGGGGCAAGGTAATGCACTTTTACATCTGGCCATTTAAAAAAAAAGAGAGAGCACAGTGGAGAATTAAGTGACGGTGTTGGTTATCAGCAAGGTATAAAAAGATTGCAGGGTCCAAGCGGAGATGAGAGTAAAAATAGAGCGTCTTGCGGTCACGAGTTGTGGACAGAATAAATTGAATTTCAGTTAGGAATATCGTCATCGCGAAAAGTTCGCCTTTCCTCTTTTCCACCCCCTCTCTTGCCTGTTACTTCTTCCAAGACTTACCATCTGGTAAAGTGGGCTCCGAACAGGAGCGCATGCGCTTGGGCTGATGAGACGGGGAGAACTCGTGCGCATGCTCCTGCTGGTGCTGCTGGGTTTGCAGATGGTGATTGGCCATGTCGGTGGTATCCATGCTGACGGACTCCGTGGCCATAGTGACGGCGCAGGTGGTGGCGAAGGGCTGCGGGTTGGCCAGGGCGCTCTCGTAGCTCGGCGGCGGGTTGGACTTGCTGGAGGAGACGGCTGCCGTGGCTGTGGCCGGGCAGGTCGTGTAGCCCGTGGATGACGTCACGGTCGTTATGGGGACCAGGTCTTGGTAGTTGACGTGTCGAGGATCATTATTATTGACCAGGGCCTCGGCTGTCACTATTTCGAGGGGGAGAGGAAGGAAGTGACAGTTTGGGAACGCTGCAACAGGTTCGGTATATTTCGGGAAGGTCAACGACTAAATATAGGGGATCGGCAAATGTGGAAAATGTCCCGACTAAAAGAGCCAATTCCCTGGGCAACTTATATTCCATCAAGATATACAAACTCTTTAACGATTTGTTGAGTTTGCAAAACAATATATCTATTTGACTGGGTTCAATCTTTACTTGATTGACCCTCCATTACATTTAGCCCAAAATTTACAAGTTAACTCAAAGTTCAATTGTAGACATCGACACAGACCCAGACCTGTGACATACATCGTCTTGACTTCTATAAATTACAAAAACAACAAAACTAAAAGGAGTAAACAGATTGACATCGTGTAACAGAACAACACTCACCACCAACACTGTCCAATTTGGTGATGCGAGTTTGCTCCATCGCGAGGGCGTCCTCCTGATCGTACACGTGACCATTGTAGTGATGTCCTAATTGGCGGTGGCCATGGTGACCACGCATATCTCCATCGATGACGTCAATGATGTTGGACAGCGGATCATCAGAAACAGTGCTGCCAGGTTGGTAGCCTGGTGCTGAAGAAAGAGCAAAAACTTCATTTACTTAATTGCCTAACGAGTTGCTTTTACTTTACAAAACTGAATCGTTGAATCGAGAATTCTCATTTTTCATTTTCAAGTTTTCTGTCTTTCTGTTTTAAAATTCTGATCAATGCTGTCCTCACATCAGTAACTTCATGTAACACGATACAAAAAACACCGTCGAAAATAGGCCTATAGTCATCAATAAATAAATTTCGTCTGATGTCTCATTTACTCTCCATCTTTTAATATCACTATATATACTTTCATTTTTATGAATTCTCTTTCTGTTTTTTGTTAAAAAAAAATAAAAAAATAAAAAATACGTACATATGTAATTCCCATAGTTGAAGCTGGGCTCCATACCAGAAGTTGGACCCTGTATAAAGAAGGAAAAAGGATGGTTACAAGTTTTCAGAAAACGAAAGGCCTTTCTCCGTAGAATGTTTCCAAAATGAATTTTATACAAGCTTGTTCATGCAATCTTGAAGGGAAAGCTATATCATGATCAGGGGGTATACGAAATACATGGGATGGTGGGTTTTTTTTAGTGGAAACTTGAAGAATTTAAGATTTTTTTTAAGACGCCTTACCGTGTTAAACCAAGTGTCTCCATGGTGATGGTAATTTTGCTGTGCTGCCTGGCCAGGATCTTTAAGTTAACAAGGAGAAACAATCCAATTCATTAACGATTGAAAACATAAATGTTTAACCAACAGTTACTGTATTTAACAAACACAACAAACATTGATACATCATTGTCATTTATATTAAATAATGATATTTGTGCCTGGGTTTTTGGTATCAATTAGAGGATTTTTATTGTGACTGACTTTTCGATTTGAGGCCTAAACACAAACGGTTCAAAGCAAATTTCGTCAGGTGAAAGTTTGTACCCGATCTTTAAGTGTCCAATCTCAGGGAACCAGACATGCCGAAGTGAATGGACTATTAATCTCGTACATATGTTAATATTGCGGACCTGAAAGAGATTATATTCATAAGTATAACAATTAAAACAAATGATTTCTCCACTTACAGTAGTAATTCAAATGCTGATTCATGTTAATACCAGATGAGAAACCCCCTGGATAATTCTGAAAGTAAAAAAGAGAAAATGGATACTTTTTTTTCCAAACGTAAAAAGACTGGGCATTATTTACTATCGTTAGTTCTGTTTTCGCAGATATCAAAAGATTAATAGCAACCGTTCGGAACTCCATTTTTAAATGGGCTCAAAATAGTACATTTAAATGAAGAACAGCCAAATAAAAATGATAATTGAAAAACGTCAATCGTAGTTTTGTAGCCAGAACTGTGCAGCACAATACATGAACATCATTAAAGGGCCCATGTCATGGATGAGTGTGTTCCTGAAGTGACATCACAGCAACAGCGCCCTCAGTTGTCAAGAAAAGCGTGAAACATTTTGTTTGTTTGTTTGTTTGTTTTTTGTTTGTTTTTACCAAAAAGGGATGTCTTATAGTTTTGATACATTGCAGAGGAATGAATATTTGCTACAAAGGTGCTCCAGTGCAAAATTCCATTCATGAACCCTTAAATAATGAACCCCCACCAAAAAAGAAAAAAAAAGGGAATCGTGAAAACAATTCCCAGGCTGAGTTTGCAATCACGTGATTGCTAGTCTCCTGCTTGTGTTAGCAAAACTAGTCTCCATCTCAAGCCTTACCCTGTGGTGATCCACAGGAACGTACGATGGGCTGGTGGGCATGACTCTCTTCACTGGGCCGGATGCTGCTGGAAAAAAATCAAATGATCAGATGTTTAGTTTGAAGTATTGAAAACTCAACTGGTGCAAATATATTGGATTATGAATATTATTTCGGCCATACAAATTACCGGTGGTATTGTCCTAATACTTACAGACTAGTGTGAATACATGTGAATACAGTAAATCTGCATTAAAAACGTATAATGCGCAATTGCGCATGTCCTTTGCATTGTTTTGCTGTAATTACGCATTTCTGAAAACTTGTGCTAAACGGGACTTTTGGAGTCATCAACGTTAATGCATAGCCTAAATTAGAATAACTGTGCATAGATAATTAGCTTCGTTTTTGATTATCTAAACGCAACACGCCAGAGCGATTTTTTTCCAGATATGTTTGCCAGTGTGTGACAGGGAGCATTCCACTCCAGAATCAAGGCACGAAATAAGATTGTCTAAGTCAGCGTGTATACGGGGCCTTACACCCACACTGGTTAACCCTCGCCACCCGTGCCTGACCACAAAAACATTCAAAACTGTCTACAAGAAAATTGGCCGTTTATTTTAGGTGCTCGGAGCTCAGGCGGTTTCGAAGCGCCTGAGACAACAAGTCCATGTAGGGGGTATACCGGCTTAGGCTCTGGTCGAGTCGTCCATATATACTCAACAAATCACGTGTCATTCCAAAACAATAGTTACCAAAAAAAAATTACTATTATGAGTCACCACCAGAAGAAGAAATAATATGACGTCAGAGGTTCAAGTGCGGGGGCGCACACAGTTATATTGACGTCACGGGTTTGATGATCGCTTCGCTGTGGGAAAGCGGGTAAACACCGCGGCCCACTTTCGGCAGTCGATGTGGCCGGAGTTAATACGAGGGGAGAACCCCCCGTGATTTCTCTTAATTCGTTTGCAGGACAAGACCACTTTGGACCGGCCCCCATTGAGCGTCCACCGAGACTAAGATTGACAGTGGTTCAGACAGCAAGATTGGGCATAAATGTTAAAAATAAATAGTGGTGTTTTTCAGAATGATTGGTCTTAGTCTGAGAATTTGTCTAGTTTAGTTCAAAACATGATTACGAATCGTCTTAAAAATAGATTATCTACAGTTCTCACACTGTGATTGTTTGTCTCCGTTTTGTGGCACTTCCATGATATTAAACTCTGGATTTTGTTTTTCAGTGGTCGATATCAAAAGGCGACTTTTTTTTTAAACATCTTGTTGGATTTGTTGGATTTAGTACAAGAAATTTCATTATTATTGCTCGTCGCGTCTTATCAAGATTTTGTTTAATCCGAAACTTTACAATTCAATTTCAATTCAATTCAATCACATTTGTTTCCATCAACAGCTAAGTATAAGCATCGTGAAAACAAAAAGTAGTTATATTTGGATGGAGGCATGATTTGAAAAAGCCGAAGCTTAAAGGGGCATGCCTACACTTAAATGCCAAACTGTAAAATGGACATATTTTTCTTAATTTTTTTTCGGCAATGTTCAGAATTTCCCAAACAAATATTTGCATTAAATCTTGACCGCTAAAATGGCTTGAGTGCAAAATTAGGGAACCTGGGCACAATTTGATAGAAATATTGCTTTGCAAATTTATGTGCATTTTAAATTATTCCTGAAGCGAAAACGTGGACTAGTGTTTTGAGCCGGAATCTCAAAGTCGGGGCCCCAAAAGACTCCCCCTGAGGCTGAACCTTTGGAAAATGGGATGAGTTCTTACGTTTCTTGGGGAGGAACCGGTAGACCCGGTAAGGTTCGGGGATGTCGAGTTGCGTCTTCTCTTGGACCTCCTCAATGTCCGGGAGTTTGTTGAGCGCCGTCCGCAGCCGAGTCTTCCACACCGCCGGCTCCGGCACGTGAATGCTCGGCTTGTACTTGCCCGTGTTCAGGGACCAGAGCTGTCAATTCGCGGTGAAAAAAAGAGGGGACAGTTGTCATAATTCGCTAAACTTTTCACAAATAAAAAATGTCATAAAATGGGAAAGTTTCTACTCTTCTGGACTTATCTTTCTCATTCAGTTCTGAATATTAGTTTTCGGGCTCCTGAATTCTACTGTTGAGTTCAGAGAGTGTCCGATCGTACCAAAATCGTTTCAAGTCAATCACAAGTCAATTTTTCACAGTGCAAAAAAAAACACATGTTACAGCTCAACTATATGGTTTGTTACAGCTTGTTGCAAAAAATCAGTGAATTGGAAAGTTTCTATAGTTTGACTGACATTTTTTTAGTCAATTCTGTAAATATGTTTTCAGGCCACTGAACTTGTATTGTTGTATTATTTACACAATATCATTCCAGTCACACCCCAAATTTCGTAGCAAATGTCATCACAAGTCAATCACGATGTCACGTGATGTTACTGTTCAAATGAAACGTGACAATTGGACAAAAGCATTCCTTTGTCATTGTTCATCCCTTGTTTATACTTTTGATCTGAATTGCGATATGACTGGTGTCGGCATGTGACTGAAACGTGTGATTAGTGACGGCAATTACGATTAGGAATTTGCTTCATTTTTCACACAAAAAAATCTGAACAATAAATTTGTTGAAAAATCAAGTATTTAAAATTGCTCAAAATGTTTCGATACAATGACGGTATTATGTCTCGATGTGTCAATCAACTTTTATTTTTTTTGGAGGAAAAAAACTATGGCGGTAAAACGAACTTTTGGGAGGAAATCCAATATTTCATAGTCGAGCTGCAGCCGAAAGTTTTGCACATTAAACTTAGTCAGTTATTCAGTCAGTGAACCAGTCTATCACAGAACAATTATAGGCTGGCCCTTCGGTCCAGCAAAACAACAACAACAACAACAACAACAACAACAACAACAACAACAACAACAACAACAACAACAACAACAACAACAACAACAACAACAACACCAAAACAGGAAAACAAAATTGAAAGCATCTTGGTAGATAGTGGAGAAGAAATACCGTTGAAAATTCCGTTTATATCCAGCTTAAAGAGGCCATGACATGAAGTTAGCACCGGAACCTATTTTGTGCAAATTATCTACCTCCGAACTGTCTGTGAAAACTGTTAAAACGTCCCTTTTTGGTTAAAAAATAATTAACATATTCCATGTATTTTTCTGACAAGTGAGGGCGCTGTTGCTGTGATCATGTGATGTCACTTTAAGCACACACTCTTCAATTTCAGGGTTTCTGTTCAAATTGTGAACACGAAGTTTTGGTTACTGAAAAAGCATTGTGTTTATAGACTTACTTTCTTGTACTAACTCAACAATATATCACACAAAACTGACAAAAGCCAGCAAAAAAATTAACATAGTAAAACCCCCAAAATTCTGGAAACGGTCTATGGAGCAGCTGTAACACTGAAGTTTCTGCCTAAAATGACATCACAGTTTTGCTCATGAGTGTGCAAATACGCATGAGCAGCAAAACAAAGTGGCATCCAAACACCCTTGAAATTATGAAGATCGAAAATAAAGATAAATGGGTCATGGTGCATGAAAAAGACGGATGGCGTTAAAAATATATACAATGTATAACATGGGCCCTTACACCCAGCTGGTCGATCAGTCAGTGCAGTCAGAGAACAATAGGCTTTCCGTTTGTGTCAAGCAAAATCTTACAAGCAGTTGAAAGCATCTGAGAAGTTGTAGAAAAGAAATCGGTAGCCTCGGATATACCCACCATAAAAATCTTGGAGTCCTCGTCCTGATTGTAGTCCTGTTTCCCGGCGTGTTTCCAGGGGATCTTGAAGAGCTTCTTCTCCTTGTCGATCCACTCCAAGCCTTTGACCGAACCCTCGTTGATGAGGCCCTCCAGCCAGGGCCGCAGGCGGGTCCGGGTGTGGTGGGTGCGCGGCGCGACCTCGTCGCCGCCGCCGTCCGTGGAGGTCGGCGGACTCTGGGCCTGCTGCATTGCCTCGGCCGTCCTGCGAGATCACACGGGACAAAATTGTTGGAAAGTTGCCCGCGGTGGAAATGAATGATATAGAAATACAGGACTGGCAGCTGCATGACAGTGTCATGTTCTGTCAAAACCAGACTCTTTTGGGGCAGAATTTGAAATAGAGATATCACCACAGAAAAAAAGGAGTCGATTTCTGTTATTATTTGTTTTTCGATTTTCAGTGTTTTGCAAATATGTACATGTCAATCTGAATGTCTACTTTTTTATACAGTAAAACTTTCAAATTGTAATTTTGCTTCTTATATAAGGTTAATTTCTTTGGATGATTTGCAGAGATATAACAATTATCAAGAAATGCATAACCAAAGACTTTAATTATGTCAAATTCTCCGTTTTCATCACAAATATGCGACATCACAAACTTCGAACAGACAAAAGTCCGTATTAAAATAAGACAATGTTTACACAGACGTTCCTAATAGATAACGAGAAGTTTCTGTTTTTACACAGAACGCGTCACTCGTAATGCGGGAGTGTAAATGAATATATTTTGACATCTTTGTCCTCACCCCCCTTAAGCAATCTATTTCGTGTGAATACCTGAATCGATATTATTATTATTTTGGAAAATGTTTTAGAATAAGCAACGTTTTTCTCTGTGGAGTTGGAGGCCTGGAGGGGTTACGCACGGGCCAACGAAGCTGTACCGAACCAGGAAGGTCTTTTGAGGGGACAAAGATGAAAATGTGCAGTTCGAAACACAGGTCATTGAAACGGAGTTAATGAAGGAAGTTCACCTTTAGCAGGGGCAATCCAATAAAAAGTACTTTGATCTCGTGTGGTAGGCCTCGATAATTATGTAGCCACGGTGATGCGGCATATATACGAGTCACCTCGTATGTGCCAGGGTCACTATGACCGGGCCCGGGGACCCATCCGCGCCCGCGTTATCTAACCGTTTGTCGGTCGACTCACCGCGCGCCACGTCTGGTCTTCTCATTATCGCGAGCGGTGTAGCCACCAAGGGCTGCACTGGCCGGGAAACGAGGCGTCATCTCCCAGCGAACTAGTGGCACGCAAGGTGGAAACTGTAGGCATAGGCGGGGGTAGGTGGTTTATACGCTGGATGCTCTATTGTTTCCAAATGAGGGGGGAAAGTCACAACCACCGACAGAAACAAGGGACGATTTTGAGTAAAATTCATTCAATCGAATAGATCGTGTTTTCACTCGAGTTTCCACTGGATCGGAGTAGGGCCTAATTCTTTTTCAAAGCTTTGCGGTCTAAAGCTGAAGTGATTTTATTCTTTAAATCGACTTGTTTGGCTCTTTTGGAAGAGTGCACAGAGACGCTTGGAAATGGATCCGTGGGAATGATCTCGGGCAGAAATAGATGATTGTGCTTTAAACAATAGTTTGTTTTAAATAATGATGTTTAAATTTTATGCGGTAGATATTAAAAGTTGTCAAAGTTATAGGGCTTTCCATCAAGAGGTGCCATAAAAAATTTTTAATGACTGAAAGAACATACAGTTGATGAGGTTAATTTAACTGTGGCTGCACGGTTAATGACTGTGGTTGCAGGGCTTTTCGGTTTTCCGGAAAACAAAATAGTAAAATAAGCTTTTTGAACAATATTTTACAATTTGTTTTGCAATGAACATGCAGTCAAAAGTCTTTTTCATCAATCAAACATTAGCGACCAAAGAAAAATAAAATCTGGGAATTAAAAATGGGTGTTGCCTATGGTTGAATGCCACTTTCGTGGTATTTTCCGGTTCGCAACAATACGTCGACGAGAACACGCCCCGAAAGAAAAAAAGAGAAAAAGCAATGCCGATAAATTGAACATTTTTGACTTAAATCCCATATCTCATGGTCCAATCTAAGCTTTATCATATACTTGCTATTTAGCCCTGTAACTAAAGTGAGCAAATTCTTTACGTGAAAAACTACCCCCTCCCCCCGGCCAAAGGGGGGTGGTCATGTTCTAATTTTTTCCCCCCATTGCTGGAAGCAGAGTAAAACACATTCAAGTCACTCCGGGAAATGTTTAAGGAAATGTTACGCAGACCATAAGGAAAGTAACTGCACGGTCATATTGTATTTAGGTTTAGGTCTATTTTGAAGGAAATAAGGTCAATGGGAACACGAAATCCAGGAAGAACGTGTCGTGCGCTACGCCGAACACCTGAAGTTACGAAATGATGAACAAGTTTTCTTCCTCCAATGTCGTCAATGGTGGTAATGTTTCTCCAAACCCACGCAAGTGGAAAATACCCGTGGTGGACCCGCGACAACAACTTGATGCAGGACGGTCACGAGAAACAAAAGGTATTTCAAAATGCAATGAGTATAGCATTAATAAAAATAGGATTGCCACTGTCATGCTGACTTCACTTTTCAGGGGCTCTGTTTTCAATTGGTCCGCTGTCCTTGTTTCGATTCGCTGCGAACATGGATTCACTTTAACATTCGGTGATGTTTTTTTTAAGATGGGGTCTTTCTTGTGATCAGTGTATAATGTTTGAAAAAAGAATGAGCTGTTTTGCAGCCATTGTGGTTTTTCTTTTTTGGAAAATGATTGAAGCATGTTAATTCTTAGGTTGATTTTGATCCGATATTTGATGACAAAAAGTCACACACAAAAGTTCAGCAATCTTTAAAGACCAATTACCAGCTCACAGTACCGAAATATATGTCATTCTATAGACAAAAATAAATATGTAATTCCGGAGACAAAAAATGAAAAATAAGTTGTGTAACTACGGGAAATACAATTCCTCTGAAAATTAAAAAAAAACTAAATAACAATATTAACCAAAATTATTATTATTATTATTTTTGGGAAGTGGATTCCAAAAATTCATCCAATAAATTCCAAGTTCGATATTTACCCTTTCAAGGATGAGCTACGATATTGCTTTTAAAGTCTCGATACGTTTTACGAGTTGAAATATCTCACCCAGGTACCCCTCGAAACTTAAACATTCCTCTCTTTTGTTCGTGTCCAAGATACAAAACAAAAGAAGGAATTTGAAATTGGTATTTTTTTCAGATTCATAATAATGTGTTGAGGTCGTGTTTCTGTGACATCCAGTGTTTTTTTTTTCACGCCCAGTTCCCGAAAAACGAGGGGAACAAACTTCGGGGCATGTTTTGCCAGGGGCCGGGCCGGTTGGATGACAGCAGCGCCCGCCGCGTAAAACCACACACCGCCGGGGCCGCGCACAGCCCCTGGGCCCGGCCGAAACACCGCCGCGACCCGGGCAGCCTGCTCGGCAGGCACGCGGTATACAGAAGGAGGGAAAGGTGCTAAGTTTCAGAGCAGATATTGGGTGACAAAAGCTTGTCATTTTATGTCACGAGTGATCCCTTCCAGACGCTTGGCAAGACAAAGAAGCAATTTTTGTGTTGGTCTGATGAATTTAATTGTCGCCCGTGTGGGCAATAAACTGAGAAATGCAACATTGTGTGTATTTTTGGTTCTATATATAAATGCACTGCAAGATATCGCGTTTTGTCGTAAGCCTAAAATGAAATGATGTGACAATGAATCTCGAAGTTTTGAGGTCTGTCTGGTTCTGAGGACCAAATTGAACATTCTGAACAGGAAAATGCTCTACTCATCAGCTGAATTAAACAAAATGAAAATGCCATCACGACAAGCTACATTTGTTTGGTCACATTTTTGTGTAACTTGGAGATATGCCATCAGAGAGACGTCGCCCACAAAAAACAACTTTAATCAAACTTTTACAACATAGCACAAGTTTCTTTCTGGTGATCTCTCCCAAACACTGGGACCTAGACAAAGAACCATTTCTTTTGTCAGATGAATTTAATTGTCGTCCGTGTGGGCAATAACTGCCAAATGTAACATCATGGATTTGCAAGAAATTATAGACGTGCATTTTCTTTTTTTAAATGTAACTCTTGCACAAAGTGTTGCTTCTATAATTTAATATTTAATGTGGATAACAACCATCGCAGTTGTACGTTTTCTTCGAAAGTCAGATTAAATCAATAGAACTGTCCACGATGGCAGTGAAAAAAAAAAAATCTGTCGGAAAAAGCACATTTTCTTTAACAGTATATAACTACAATTCCAGATGGAGGGAAATACTGAGTGTAATGTTTAAAGGGCACTTTAATGTAAATAGCACCTGCTTCTCCAAAAACACAAGTAATATAAAAGGGCGGCGGTATAAGCTAAAACCACATTCAAAATCACTCATTTAATTCAAAATAAACAAACAAACATCTCTCTAGAGTCAGTAGTATGTACTTATTTCGGTCAAGTTTCAATTTCTTTGTTTACAAACATTCTAAAGTCTTAGCGAAGAGAAAACAAATCTAAAGCAATGCTTCAGAAGTTAAAAAAAAAAACGGAGAAAAGTTTGCAACTTACTTTGTTTCGGATGCTCGGTGCTGAGAAGTGGCGTTTGCCGACGACACGCTTGTCAGCATGTTGTCCGGTCGCAGACTTTTTTTCCTCTCGCAAATCCTATGAGATTGGCAACTTCGGAGCGAAAAGTTGTGTTCCTCAGTTCGATTCGTCCCAAGATGGAATGTGGCTGCCAAGCGCCAGGCGCGAGTGGTTTTATACACCGCGTCCGGTGTGTTGGGATATGATGACGTCAGAGGTAGCAGTGACTGGTCGCACTGCGCTGGTAGTCTCTGTGACTAGCGAAGTCTGTGTGATGTACTACCGGCCCACCTAGGGTGCTCGCACTGAACCAGTCAGCTCGCTATAAACGGAGGGATGAGATCATAATAAAAATGTAGTACCCGTCAAATTCACTTTATATCAATTCCAATTTCGCTTTCATCTAATCCTCGGTTTTCTCGCAATGTTTTCCCTGAGAAGACTACAAAAAGGTTTAATTAGTAACTGTTGAGGATCTGACGATTAATTAAGCGACGGTATTAATTCAAAAATCTCTCTGTTTTCTTTTCTTTTTGGGGACGACGAAGGGCTTTTAGTTGCACCACAATCTCTTTTTTTGTTGTTGCTTGGTTAAACTGGATTATTCTGACTTTTAAAAGCACGTGACCCGGGAGCAAACGCTGATTGGATATTGGCAGTCCAGCGCTTAACCAGACATGCACAGCCGTGTAAGAATTTGATTGGTTGGTTGTTGGAGTGCGTGACCCGACGAGTAATAATTAACTAACTCATTAGAAAACCGTGCGCGGTCAACGGCCATTTTGATTGGTTGGTTGACGCGCAAAGGCAATTCGTTTATACGACACGCGCGATATATCGTCTGACCAATCAGCGATGGGGCTTTTTTTGCATATAGCGCGCCTTATTAGGCTTAACCCAGCGTGTCAAGTTGTGTATACATGACCATAGAGGGAAGTGGCAGTCACAATAATACACTGACACCTTTGTGATGTTTGGGGTGGTAGCTATTCTTTGCAAACAGTCGAACAAAAGTTCTGCCTCGCGCGGAACTTGTTCAAAAGACCCCTGTTAAAATGTGGGTCATGGCTGATGTTATAATGGAAGGATTAACATTTGAAAAGATGCGGGGCATTGCAAGGGGCAACTCTTTGACGAATTTGGTTTTCTTTGGTGTTACCTACCTTACATGGTCGCGTAATGTTCGATGGCATTTCAGATTTCTTTTCTGATGTAATTACAATGTGACAATGAATCTCTAAGTTTAACGCCTTACTCATGAGTCGATAAACACGTCATGCTGACGTCAGAACGCACAATCTTTTGTCACAAAAGTGTTACGAGTCTTAAAGTCACGCCCTTATTGAAATCGCAAGCAAAATCTTTATTCAAATTAGTACAACGTAGTCCGACAAAAATGAACTGTAAAACGTACAATTGGCTGTTGTGAGGTCTGCGTCATATCATCTTTTTACGAACAAAAAATAGGATTTTAGTCATTTTACAAAACTTTCGTTTCAACGCGACATGCATGATCTGAATGATTTCAATGATCATCTTTCTCACAGTTGTATAAAATGAACAAATAATTATCTGAAGCTTCGGTATTTGCTCAAAATGTTTATCTGTTGAAGCTTGACTGTGGTTGTTGTTGTTGTTGTTTTGGTTGTTTTTTTTTTGTTGGGGTGGGGGCTTTTAGTATTTTTACAATTACTCCTCATGTGCCCGCTGCTACATGAACATCAGATTCGAACCAGCCAACCAATCTTGCAAGCTCGGTGGTTGAGTGGTTAGACGTCTGCACTAGAAAGCAGGAGGTCATGGCTTCGAGACCAACCCGAGAGAATTTTTCCAACTTTCACTCGGGAGGTAACACACTGAGTAGGCATATACAGTGTCTATACGTCGGTGAAGAGCAAAACCTAATATTGATTTACATCACCCGACGCAAATTCACTTAATGAACACTCACTGATAATTGAACTTGGCTGTTTAAATTAAAATATCAACTTGCCTTTGCAACGCTGTGACAAACTCTAGTTGCAAATTTCTTTTGCTCTTACAAGTCCTTAATTGATTTGGTGGCACTGGGTTTGAGTAAAAATTAGACACAATTGAATTGAATTGAATTGAATTTCTATACGACAAAAACTATTTTGCCTTCTTTGCAGAAACCTTTCAACCGATTTTGAGGGAATTTTGCTTCTTCCAGGTCTCAGAAAGGTTTCAGAGGAAATTAAACGAGGTATTCCAAAGAAAAAAGAAGTGCTTCATTGTTTCTTTCGGTGTAGGGATACTGTTTCCGAGATTCGTGCAGGAAGCACAAGTATATAGGCCTACTGTATGCTTATTTCTGTGTACGTTTTGTGGAAATAGTCAGGGCGCAATCTTCCACTGAATCTAGCGGGGGAAACACAGCGAGGCAACGGTACTGGAAGTTTCCCTGTACACGCTAAACTTACTCGAGTCGGAACTCCACTTCCTTCTAATATGCTAAAGCATTAGACTAAAGCGGTGTATCGTTACAATAGGGGGTTTCATTTTCAGTTGTTTCGAGGCTGAGTTTCCACTGTTTTGGGGTTTCGTGGAAAATATCAGCCGATGATTTGTCGGGAACCCATGAAACAGAAGCCTGCAGAATGACTGCAACCTTAAATTTTTAGCTTCTGAGGTTTCATTGTCTTTTTTTTTAAACCGTGTCTGAGGCCCTGGTTTTTCACAGAACCCTGAATCCCCGAAAAAAAATTGTACCACAAAAGAGACTTTTTAATGACTCTTGTCAAGAAAAATGCTCACGGTGATTTTGCAATGTTGGCTTCACTAAATTTTCTTTTAGGGTTCACATGCCCCGATTTCCACGACCTTGCGTTTAACAAAAGACATACCCAAGTACACGTACACATGCACCGCGCGCCACAGAAATAAAATCCCCCGAAGTTAAAATGTCCAACATTCCGAGGTGGTTGTTGTGCATGCAATTTCGAGGTATATTTTGGCAGAAAGGGGGAATTGTGCTCAATAGCCGATTGTCTCTTTTGTCGGTGTTTGATACTTGCAACGCGGGCCTTATATGGCTCAAGAGTGGTTGATCAACATGCATTAAGATTACTTTACATAGTATTCGGATAATTTCAACTGGCTAAATTAATACCCAAAAAGACATACTATGTATGTGAGTTCGTTTCTGCATGCATCCTAGTCAAGATCCCTAGAGGATGTTTCAGGAGGAAACCAACCAAGTACCAAGTACATTGTACCAAGTACCAAGTACCAAGTTGAAGAATGGAGGACAATAGGGTCCCCAATTCCCGAGAGGTCCCCATTTGGATTCGTGTACAAAACATATGGGAGGTCTTCCTAAAAAGTACAAACAAAATGTCCCCGATTGCAGGTAAATACACACTTGTACGGGGGGGGGGGGGGGGAAGGGAGGGGGTAGCCTAACCTCGACCTTTGCATTTTGGCTTCAATTTCGTCTCCAGCTCAAGAATTATTGTAAACGCACGGACCAACTGAAAATTCTCCAATTATAACAGTTGTCATATATTATGCGAAATAATTATGCCAATTGATGTATTCTGTCATCAATGGACAAACTGACACCAGGAGTAGGCCCTAATGCAATGTTGGGTTGGATATCACGTATCAAGATGATCAATTAAAGAATCTTCGCGTGAATTTACCATTTTTTATCGAAACATCGGTACCCAATTTGGCTGAAACTTCAAAGGTATATACATATTATAATTGTTAATAAACACACTTGCAAAATTGATTTGATAGTTGTTACTTGTCAAACAAACGGCCTACCTTGTTATGTTTTAGGAACTTGTGAAAACGACGATTTGCCGATAACAAATTACCGTTTACAAATATTGATACAAGAACGGGTGTCTTTGTCGTATATAGAAACATTCATCTAGTAAACTAGATATTATTCGTAATCTTAAACACAAACATACCGGAGGAATTTAAGCTGATAATGGCTTACGTATTTTCGTCAGTTCGTTACAGCAGTCATCAGTTTATTTGTCGGGCAATCGTACCGTCGAACAGAAAGCAAACAAAATTGTAAATCATTTTGTGAGTATTTGCAGCAAAAATATTGAGTCGTTATTTTTAAGCTTCAGTGAATTCACACCCGACACTGAAAATGTGTTGTTAAAGATACGCCATTAATTGTAGTTCCTTCTTTTTAAGATAGGAGACTGGAAAAACCCGGATTCGGGATTTTGAACACGGACCGAAATCGTACATGTGATATGCAAAGTACGGTAATGCCGCGATAAACCTAGCGGAGCGGAGCAGGTGCACCGCCCGTAACAGACCGGCAGGTTTTTGTTTCGTGTCTCGCTACTAAATTCACGTCTCGGTGAAAAAGAAATTTCCCCCAACAACGTGGAATAGCTTCCTGTTCCTATCTGCCTTTGTTTCGTCTGGCATTGCGGATCGTCAACTGGACGGGATTATATGTGAACAATAGTGATTGATAACAGACGTAAAAATACACACTGTATAAATTAAAATTAGAAATCGATTGGAATTTAAACAATTTGACAGAATATAGAGAAGTCATCTTCGTGAACAACGTTTTCATTTTAGAAGCATATATAGGCCTATATACAAAGACAACATTCTGGCAGCTTTTTGAAAACAAAATCATGGAGTGTCATGGCCGAACTGAGCACCGGACTCAAGCTCTGGTGTTGCTGATCAGCAGGGTTCGAGGCGCGGTCTTGATACTTGTGTCCTTAAGCAAGACACTTCACCATTATTGCTTCGTTCTTCGGATGGGACGTGAAGCAGGGTTCGAAATTAGCGGTACTGGCCCGCTAGCCAAATGCTAGTCCAAAACAGCGGCGGGCTAGTCAAACTATTTCTTAAGTAACCCGGCTGGCGAGTCAAAATATATTGGGAAACGGCAAAGATGAAAGGACAGGAAGAAATAAATCATTAAATTCAAAAGAAAACCTCATTAATTTGTGTCTCGTTTTTTCAACTGTTTTAAAAGGTTAAATTATTAGATCTGTTTATATTTAAAATTACTGACAAAATTGCATCGGAATTGAGCCTGAAAATGCGCCATTTTGTATTTGAGCTAAAAAAAAATGCGGGCTAGTGAAAATGCCGGCGGGCTAGTTAAGAGTCTGTTTCAGTAGTCTGGCTAGCTAGTGAACAAAACATTTAAGGTCGAACCCTGCGTAAAGCCGTAGGTCCCGTGTGTTGTGTAATGCACGTTAAAGAACCCAGTAACACTTATTGCTAAGAGAAGGGGTTTGCCCCGGTGTTTCTGGCAGTGGCTGCAATATGCGCCGCAGCAACTTGCAATTAAACCCTT